AGACACCACAGAGTTTAACTGTGAAACAAGATTCTTTCTGAACATTATCTTACGAGCTTTAAAGCCTCAAGTCTTAAAGTTTAAACGTATTTTTAAAGGCAAGAGTTTATGTAACTTTAGCTTTGAGGACTTGTTGTTTTAAACCTGTGTAGGTGGAGTTTTAGAAAAGTTTGTTTTTTGAAAATTCTCCTACACTTCTAAAAAAGTTTAATTTTTTAAGTTTCCGTGATGTTATCAAAGCCTCAAAAAAGTGATAAATTTAAAAAAACTTACGTATATCCTCTTCATTATATTATTATCTTTATGGTCGATTACATGCTTTCTATAACCCTATATAAATTCTTCCTACTTTAATGTAACAACTTCAACCATCACCACAGTAAAAAGCTCTATTTACTTTTCTCATCCCAATAGTAACTATCACAAGTATGTACGAAATGTAGGTGTCTCACCCGTGCCCTATCGTATTTCAATGTTTGTTTCGACTAATAAAGAATTCAAATACCATTGGCTAATGATTGGAAAAGTTTTTTGGCCAAAAAAGACGGTGTATTGTTTCGTTTTCAAAGTAAACAATTCTGATTTAGATACCGTACCAGATTGTCAGTACTCGTCGTATGTTTGCATTGTTGCAAGAAGAGTTGCCATTCTTTTTTTGCTAGTACAGAGTGTAAAAATGCAAAAAATAAGTAAATATAGTGACATGACGCGGTTGTGTAAAGACATATATTGGTGTAGGTTGATGAATAAGTTATAATGTTTGTATGTAAACATCATAATACGAGTTAGTATGTAAAATAATATTTTTTGTAAAATACGTACTGTTCCAGCAATGCGAATAAAATCATGGCAAATGCAGGGCAAAAAAAGGCAAAAACAAAGCAAAGCCAAGGCAAAGCCAAGACAAAGCCACGGCAAAGGCAGAGCAAAGGCAGAACAAAAGCAAGGCAAAAACAAGGCAAAGGCAGGGCAAAGGCAGGGCAAAAGCAGGACAAAGGCAGGGCGAAGGCAGGGTAAAGGCAGGGCAGAGGCAAGGCAAAGGCAAGGAAAAGGCAGGGCAAAGGCAGGGCAATGCTGTAAAAGCTTTGGATCTAATCCCACTTGTTTCCCCTCCACCCTAACCCAGTATATAACCCTACTTATATACTCACGTCGACATTGCGTTAACATGTCCATTTACATCTAGTTATCGTGTTTTTGTCTCAAAACAATCCTAAAATTTATAAAAGTACAACCAGTCAAACATAAACTCGTCTATACGTCTTGTTTTTTTCTCACATTACTACATTTTAAAAATCGAAAATTTGGGATTTTAACAAAACGTAATTCAATTTGAAACTATTAGACCTATCTTCAGTGTAATATCCTCAAATCTCGTTAGCCAGTTTACGAGCTCAAACAAAAAGCAATATGGTAGTAAATGCCTATTTTTTTTACTATGGCAAAAAAAATTTTTTTTTATGTTTTTAAGTTTAAAATAGACACATCACTGTAATGTTTAAATAATAACATTTTAGTCAGTATGTCTGTAGTTCATGACGTTATTCTTCTAGTTTTTTGAAAAAAATTTAACCATTTGTTCTCAAAAAAAACTTTGTTGTAAGATAGTAAATGCCATTGAAAGTCTAATAGTTAACGGTCATGTAAAAAAAGTCCATTAAACCCAATGAAAAGAGTGATTAAAATGATGTAAAATAAGAGAAAAAATCAGTTTTTAAAAAAAAAATATTTTAACGTTATGTATAATAATATTTTTTAAATGTTAAAACAGATGTCACGAAGGTGATTTCGGTATGAGACGGCGAAGTCAATCAAAACCTTCGACCCGGGCCAGCTCAAACCAACTTTGAAATTAACCAAGCCGGCCAAAAAAATCAGCCCAAATTTTTTACAGATTGACATAACCCCACCCTACCCGGTCTTGGTTTTACATAAAATTAAAAAAAAAGATTTTCTTGAAGTGTTGAATGTGTAAAATACGCATTGCTCTATTGATATCCTAATATAAACAAATAACCTTTCAATATTATTTTTAGCAAATTTTTCTTAACAATTTAAAGGACCATTTTGCCTCCGCTGCAGCCCTCATTTTCCATTACAAATTTAGTTCAAAATTTTGATACCTACAGCTGTAAACGCAAAACTTTTAATTTCTATACTATCTATAAATCTTTTAAAGCTAGCCGAACTAACTTTTCTAAAGCTAGTCCAACCAACTTTTTTAAGGCTAGACAAGCCAACTTTTGTAAGACTAACTAAGCGAATTTTAGGCTTAGATAACCCAAGTTTTCTAGGGTTAGCCAAAAAAAAATTTTCTGGGGCTAATTCAGCCAACTTTTATAAATCTAGTCAAGCCATTCCTTAACGGATAGTCAAGCTAACTTTTTCTCGGACTAGTCAAACCAGCTTTTTTTAGCTAGCAACCCAATTTTTTTGCAGCTTTGCTAGGGCCAGTTATACCAACTTTTCTAGGAAGCGAGCTTTTCTAGGACTAACCAAACCAACTTTTTTCGGGCTAGCTAAGAAAAAATTGTCAATAAAACTAAAAAAAAAATTATTTTTAAACCTAAAAAATCAAATTAAAACGTAGCACATCTCAATACTTCCTTTTACGTATACGACTATTTACCATCCTCCTCCTACTTTACACTTTGAGCAAGATTTCCTCTTGTAGGCGTTCAAACCGGCGTGTTGTGGACATAATACGACGTTAGTTGACTAACGCCAAAACAATTTTCGGACAAAAGACGAGCATTTATTGTTTATTTGAGCGCCAAGTTGTTCGTTAGCATCACTTTTACTTTCTGATTAACTTTCTTTTTTACAGTAGTCAAATTGGATTTGGAAGAATTTGTTTAGGCAATTGTAGTGACTTTAAAATAGTACTGTTTACACTAAAATAACAGATCGAGGAAATGGTTTTCTACTATAGAATCTAAACTTAACTTGGAAAGCGAATTCTTAAAGTTGCACAGAATTATATGAAAAACTTATAAAAATTACGTTTGGATTCTACAAACTTTTTGACCAACTTAAAACTTAATGTTTCGTATACTTTTTGATTACCACAAAATAAAAATTCTATAAACTTTTAGACCGAATCAATAATAAAGTATACACAGTGTAATATAGCACATACAAAGCTACTGTAGTAAAAATACCAAATGAAGCTATTCTACTATACAGTACAATACAGCACATATAGCAAATCTGCTATACTAAAACACAATCAACAAAAACCAAAAGAGACTATAGTATCAGAATATACGTTGAGAACAAGCAATATTACTCAACCTCACTTTCTCATGTCTTTTGTTTGACGCAAGTAAAACGAAATGTAAATGAAACATATTCTCTGAAAGGCCAATTAAAATATAGACAAACAATTCCGGATGTAAATGTTTTACTTGGTCTTTCGGTTTACTCATCTAAAATTTGTTTGCTTGCCAAAGTTTACTTACGTGTACATAGAAAGAAACGTAATATTATACACTTTGAGTTGACAAGTCTAAGCAGTTTGCTCTAACATTTACGAAAGGTTATAACTTTAGCTCGTCTCGGCCTCTTAAATAAATTCATTAAAATGATAACTAAGACAACTAAGTATGGTACTGTTTCTGTGCTTTAAATAAACAGAAATTTAACAATTTAATTTTTAAACACAGTTAAAAAGTACTCATAACTAAATAAAGTAGTTTTAACATCAGATTTGTTCTAAATTTTTTGCAAGTCAAATAATTCGTTGTGCGAGACAAGCTCGGTCTTTCTCTCAGGCCCATTTGTGCCTGCCCAGCTTGGCTTCATCCAAATTTTTTTAGGAAGGGTCGGGCTAAGACTAAGCCAAATTAGGCCAAAGCTGATGCAATCTTAGTATACACTCTTTCAAACCTAGTCACGCTTTTTTTTTAATTATTTTTTTGACATTTTGTAATCTTAATAACTTTGAGTAACTCTGAGTTAACGAATTATGCTTGACCATACTTTTGACGTCAGAATTTGCAGCCTAAACAGCTTTTTTATAACTTTAAAAGTGAAAATTACGTTATAGGCTTGAACACCAAATGTGAATATAGGTCGCTCTACATTAGTTAAAAAGACACTGAAATTATACAAAACGTATTTGTAATCAAAAGAATACATCTTCAAAATAAAAGGAATTTTCTTTGTGTGAAAATTGCTTTTTGAATTTTTTTTAAACTCATTTAGGCTTTTTCACTTACTTTTTTTTATTTTTTGTTACTTTCATTAAATTTTAAATTTATTTTTTATTTAAAATTCAAAAAAATACTAAATTTTATTGAAAAACAATATTATTTACTATTTTTTATTCAAAAATCTGATTTAAAGCTAGAGTTTTTTTCTGTCATCAGTCATTCCACTAAAGAATTACACAAAATCGCAAACCCCAATTTGGGGAAATCGCTGTCGCGCCGAGAATTGGGGGACGTCGCGCGACATACAGTGAGTCGTGCGACATTCGCTTGCACCCTGCGACATCAAAAGGGGGATCGCAATGTCGCAGGTGCAAAGCCCTGCGACAAACTGTCGCGTCGCGATTCGAATGGCGATGCGACAGCGTGTCGCGGTTGTCGCAACGCCCAAGCCACCACTGTGTTCAATGGAAGGTTTGCGACAAAATTTTTTTGACTGTCGCAAGTCCCCTGACTCCTGCGACAACCGACTAGTGCGACAATTGGGTGCTTGCACTGTGCATTCTTTCTTTCATCGTTTGAGGTTGCAAGTGATCGCGGGGGAAAATGCACGGTGCAGTGGGATAAAAAAGGGCGTGATTTTCCCAGGGACTGCACCGTGCAATTGTCAAATTCTTTAGTGGAATGACTGATATTTTTATGCAAAAATTAAAAATTTGAATCTTTTCAAAAAGTAATTTTTAAACTTTCATTTCGAAAATTTATTTTTTATTTTTTGCTACGTTGGCAACGTCCTTTTTTGTCTTTTATATTTGTGATTGTTGTATAATATAAAAAGTGTGTGATACGATGATCAAAGTGTTATTAGAACGCTGGAATTCAAGTAAACATTACTGGGAACTGGTGCCTTTGAAACGGTAAGTCTTTTTTAAAATTTAAACTGACACCATTTTAGAAAAAATCTGTAACAAAGCCTTTGAAGAAAGTTATCGTTATATAAGCTTTTATTTAAAGAAAAATTGATATCCATTTTAAGACGAAATTTTAACAAGATAAAAGTGCAGTACTTTCTTGTTGTTAACAATAATGACTATTTTCAGACATAAATTAAATTTTTTTAAAATATAATTTGTTCTTTAGATTTTGTGGCCTTTTTGTGTGTTTCTGTGTTCGTCTAACCATTAGCAATTATGTTACTCCTGATGCTGGTCCCAGAAGGTTCGTTCGGAAGAACATATACAATGACTTGGACTACTGTGATGGAGAGTTGGTAAGGTTAAAATTGGCTTTTTTCTTTATTAAACTTACTTTTATTTACGTTTTTGGTTTAAACTTGCACTGATTGTCAGTTTTTTATCCAACAGCACGTTCAGGGCGGACATTTTTATAATAGTTGGGAGGGGTGAGCAGGGTTGAACAAAGGTATGGACAGAACTGAAATGATCTGTAATAGGCAGGACAAAGCAGGGCAAAAAGCAACGCACAGTAAATTGACAATGGCTTGCCTTGTGACCCAGCATGAAGGTGGCAAATTTAAAATTTATTTGTTTGTGGATTTTTTAAATATATTTGTCACATTTATATAATTGTAATTTTGCAGATGGCCTACTCACATCAGTCCTATTTCGACGGCAAATATAAATTTCAAAGAGGGCGAAAGTTTCACTGTGATTTAACGCACTATATTGACATGTTCAAGTTGAGAGATACCGACGCTGTTGTAGAACAAGAAGTACGTTTTTTTTCATTTTTAAAATTTTTGAAGAAAATTTTAATACTTTTCTTGTTTTTTAAAAATATTGACTTTGCTCCACTTTTTCAATAATTTATGTGACACTTCGTACATCCAAAATGCCTTCGTATGAAAATTTTAAAAATTTTAGCCAAATTTTCCAAATGACACAGCGATTGTAATTGCAGCAAATAATCTTTATTGGGAAGCTTCTCGAGCCGCAATCGCTGAAGTTAGACGACATTTCGGAAATGACACTAAAATTATATTCTACGACCTTGGAAATGTCACTCAGAGGCATGTAAGTTGAATTTTTGTTTGATTTTTAAATATATTTTTTAATCTCGTGTAGGGTAAGTTAAGGTAAATTAGAGGAGAGCAGTGTAAGACTAAGTTGGGTGAGGCAGGAAAAGAAATAGTAACGTAAAGTAGGACAAGGTAAAGTAGATAAGGACAATCTAAGGTATGTGAAGTAAGGTAAGGTAAAGGAAAGCAGCTCAGGGTAAATTAGGGTAAGATAAGGTGGAGCAGAGAAGGGTAGGACAAGGTGATATAGAGAAGGACAGCACGGGGTAAAATAAGATAGGTAAGGAGGACAAGCTAGGGCAAAGTAGGGTAGAGGGAAGCAGGTTAGGTTAAAAATTTCAAAATTTTTATTTTCAGAAGGAAGAAATGGACAGTATTTGTACTTTTGAGTATCGAATATTCAACATGAGCCGGTTGCCAGAAAATGTTCGGCATTTGAAGACTTTTGCGTGGAAAGTCTTTATTTTGGCCGTAAGTTTAAGTTTAAAATTTTTTTAAATAAAATAAATTTTTAAAAAAATTTTTAAATATTTTTTATACCCACCCTGCCTTAAACTTAAACTTCCAGGAAGTATTCCGTGAATACAACCACATAATGTACATGGACTCATCAATCTATGTCGAGACCAGCAACTTTAGCATTTTTTTTTACATGATGTTCAACAAGACCTTGTCTCCAGTCCAATTGAGTGGTTATACAGGCCATGGACTAAAGTTTGCGACCGCCCCAAACATGTACAAGTACTTGCCATTGGATGTGAATGTTGATAATAAGGCATGGATGATGGAAGCCAACCTGATTTTATTGAGGCGGACAAAAGAAACGAGAACGCTGTTGAAGTGGGCAGTGTTATGTGCTGTTGCTAAAGATTGTATCAATCCGAGTGGTGGGTTGTTATTGATTTTTAAAAATTTGCATAAAGTGCCAGTTTTGAGTAGGTGATTTTTGTCTGAGGAGATGGGAGAGGGGTAAAAAAATTTATCGATATGGATTTCGAAGTAAAATAAAATAATTTTTGATAAAAAAAATATATTTCCTTTCTCGTCTATCTCTTTAATAGGTCTACATTGTTTGTCTTACGTGAATATGTATATAGAATTTTCTTGCGCTTTGTTATACGAGAGTTTTACTGAAGACATAGTAATAGGTTGTTTACATTTACCGCTTTTGATATGATTATTTTAGGATATTTTCTTGGCTGTCCAGTGCCAGATGAAGGAGAGTTTAACGGACGATGTCATCGACAAGATCAAAGCATCTTCAATGTGCTCGTCTACAATATGGAATACGATATGAAGAGGCGAGGTAAGGGGAATTTTTTTAATTTTAAAAATTCTTTAAGAAGAACATGTTCTATTATATATAAACAACTTTGCTTATACTTACTTGACCAGATAGAGGTTTTAACACTGGTCTTGACTACGCTTTTGATCAAACTGGAGTAAACTTGAGAGAAGCCAAGTTGAAAAATTCGTCTTGATCAGGCTTACAGGGTAATACTTATTCATTTAAAAATTTTTTAAATTGACTGTACAGTAGTTACTTATATGACGTATTTTTTAGGTCATAAAGTCATACCCCATATGAGAGAAGATCATCCAAAGAATACAAAACAGCGACACGAAACCAGACGTCTTCAAGGCACAGACCAAAACATTGCCCAATGTAGTGCACCGAAGATCTAAATTAATATAGTAATGTATATGATTTTAGCCGCAATAAAAGTTAATACTTTTAATTTTATTTTTAATTATTTTGGTACTTTAATATATCTCAATTTACTCTTCTTTCATATCTTACTAGTATTATAACTTACCTTACACTGTCCCACCCTACTTTGTCTTACATTACCCTACCCTACTCTTTCCTACCTTACTCCATCCTAATTTACCCTATCTTATATTGCCTCACCTGACTTTATCACAACATACCTTCAAGTCTGACATTTGGTCGTGGTTCTCTTTGTATGATACAAATGCTTTTATTCTTACAGCTTTGGCAATTACACGTTTCAAATTAAATTTTTTAAAAACCGTGTCTTTTTTTAAAAAGATGTTTTATTTGATACATAAGCCATGTCCAATGATGTTTTGCAACGTAACAACAATCGTATTTTCTGCTTTTGGCTATTGAAAAAGTACATTTTAATACGTTTTTGGTATTGCTGGTAAAATGCTTTATGACTAGACTACTTTGGTAGTATAGTAAATCTTTATTTTTAATGTAGATCCTAAAACCTAAGCTAAAACACACTTAACTAACTAATTGTAAGCTGCAATATGTATCTGCTGTTATGTAAACGTTTGCAGACTTATGAATCTTAGAGTATTGTAACTACAACAATATTTATACTTTTATATTAAATATTTTAGGTGGGTACAATTATGTTTAGCTGCTTTGGCATTTCTTTTGATTTATTATTTCTTTGTCGACAAAAACGACTTGATTAACATACAAAGTGCATTGGACGAGGCAGATTACTGTGATGGAGAAGTGGTAAGATTAAGTTTGTAACTTTTTATTTGGTTTATATTTAATTAATTTTTTAGTATATATATACACTGGTAGGTGGATGATTTTCTACAAAAAAAGATAGGTTCAAACCAAAAAAAAATTTTAAAAAACTCTGAAAAAATAAGTTCTTTGAGTAGTACAACAAGAAAAAATGGTACGAAAATAAAGATATTACTATAGAAGATGACCTATACACATTGGTCGAGAATCGGTGGTATTGTTGTAGAACAGAAAGGTCAAAAATTTGATTGTTCATTAATGAAATATTTGGAAAAGTATAAACTAAGAAAGGCTGATGTTGTTGTTGAAGAAGCTGTAAGTTTTTTAATAATTTTTATAAAAAATTGTAAAATCACACCTTATTAGAATGAAAACGGGCTCACTATGGCCTCTCTAGATTAGTTCTGGGACAGCTTAAGCCTAGCCGAAGAAAATTAGAAAAGAGCTATGCACATGCTGGCCGAAGGCCAGGCCAAACCAAAGCCACAAAGATCAAGCTTCGGTCTCGCAACAAAATATTTGTCTAACAAAAAAGTCCGGAAAACTTTTACAGGGGTACTACGCTGATCATAACAAGAGTTTTGTTAAAATAAAAAGTCGATACGAATAATGAAAGCAATTCAATTTTAGTCCAACTTCCCATACGATATGGTTGTGGTTATTGGAACAGACAATTTCTATTGGAAGTCGGCTCGAGTGGTCATTCATCAAGTTCGAAAATACTTTGGCAATGGAACAAAAATCATATTTTATGATCTCGAAAATATTGGAGAGAAATACGTAAGCTACAGTAAATTAAGGACCAGTTATAATATTAATAATAACTAGGACAATAATGTTATGTTTTAGAAAGAAGAACTTGAAGGTATTTGTAATATTGAATACAGATACTTTAATCTCAGTCGGATGCCAGAAGATGTTCGCAAACTGAAGATTTTTTCATGGAAAATCTTTATGTTGGCTGTAAGTTTATATAATAAAATACTTTTCTTTCCCCCACATCTCTTCGATCTATATTTTACATTTTATAATACGGTTGTCTAAAATTGCTTTTTTCCTTACTGCCTTTTACAAAAAAATGCCCTTTTAGGACGTCTTCCGTGAGTATAACAACATAATGTACATGGACTCTTCAATTTTCATCAAAACCAACGCCTTCTACACTTATTTCCAAATGATGCATGAAAAGAAGATAGTCCCAGTCCACTTGAGTGGCATAACCAGTCATGGCATTCGATTTGCTACACATCCACACATGTACAAGTACATACCGTTTGATCAAAACATAGCCAGAAGGCAAGACAAAATGCTGGAAGCCAACTTTATTCTAATGCAGAGAACTGAGCGGACAAAGGAGCTACTGAAGTGGGCTGTGTTGTGTGCTGCTGTTAGGGATTGCATTGATCCGATTGGTAAGTTTCTTGGGTATTTTTGGCCTTTTTACTTGAAAAAGGTTGTTTTGTAGGTTTATATGTATTAAACTGTAATTATTTCAACGGTTTAATGATTTTCGATATTTTGTAGGAGCAAAAATAACTTGTCCAATGCCGGACAACAAAGGATGGATCGCTGCTTGTAACCGCCAAGATCAAAGCGTGCTTAATCTTTTAGTTTTCAACCTAGAAGAAGAAATGAATATTAATGGTAAGTATAAGTTTTAAAGGCGTTGAAAAAGACTTTTGGCATCAAGTCTAGAGGCTTCGTTTAAGTTATGTTCTTTTTAATGACATGATTTGAACAATATGTCGATGACTTGAACAAGCATGTTTTGAACATCATCACACTTTAAAACTTTATACCATGCTTATCATAACGTAAAGTATAAGTTTTAATATAGCAATGAGCAATCCCCTTCACCAGCTACTCAACAATAACTATTATGATAATTTACTCAAATGTAAATCCTCTTTACAGGCCCCAACGTGTTGACGCATTTTAACAAAGAACACCCCAAAAACAAAAAGAATCGTCATGACACAAGGCGGAAACAGAGCACAAAAGAGGTCATTACCCAGTGCAAAAAATCATAAATGTAGTTCGTGTTTTCAAAAACAGTTGTTTAAACTTTTGCCTACAATAAATTTTGATTTTAAGCTTTAAGTTTTCTCAATTTGTTAATTATCTAGGGTTCTGAAGGTATTTAGGGGGCAGATAACGGGTAATAGACAGGAATAGATGTAGGGTAGGGTGCGGAACTGAAACGCCGTGTATTGGCGGAGTAATGCAAAGCACTGGGCAGGTCACAAAATATTGGCAATGCTTTGTCATTTGTCCAACCTTAGTAATATGGTTAATAGAGCAAGATTACACTTTTTTCGCACACCCTTATCCGCCTAGGAAGGAATTTGTGACAAAGTCCTCTTCTTTTTACTGAGTTTAATAAAAATGAAAGTAAGTCATGACTTATTTTACTGAAATTTTTGTATATTATGCTATACTTCTTATTCTTTATTATGTTTATATGAATATTATAGTAGTAAATATATTTTTTGTACTTTTATTGACCAATCCCTTATTTTAAAATCTTCAAATCATCTGAAACATCACTATCAAATTTCAAAAAACAATTTTAATTCTCATGATTGTGAATCACAAAACCCCAAGCTTTCATTAATGTTATGTTAAACACATTTGTGCTTTCCCCTATCGGACAATAACGTTCATGGTAACATTCAAAACGTTTGTGTTTCTAAAACAACCGGTGCTACTCGAAAAGCCGTCCCTCCTCCAAAAAAAGCTTTTGTTTTTTCAGCTTCAAAGCTGTATAAATTAGAATTGACATAAATTTCCGACGAACTTTGAATGTAGCATTAAAAAGTGCCCGCGGTTGTTACAGTGTCGGAGGGTGGGAGTTGGTTTTTGTGGATTTATATATCAAAAAACTAATAAAAAGTAGTAGTAAATAGAAATGAGGGCTAGGCAAGCGTTTGTGAGCTGACATGAAAGGGCGGGTCAGAAAGTTACAGTGAAAGTCCTATATAACAAATCGTTCAAAGACTTCAAATTTTTAAATCACCCGGGTTTAAATTTATAGCTTGTAATCATTTTTGGCTTTTTCAAGCAGATGGCCACTCCATGCGCTGGCAATCCTAATCTTGAGTATGCGACAAAAATTTTTTTCTTTGGAAAAGGCTTGCAAATTAAAATAATTTTTTAATTACTGTCATCTAAAGTCGAGTACGAACAATGTCTTGTAGCAAGTTCTGTTGATTATTAGAAGGCAATTTAAATGGCTTAAATATTTTTTAATTTTTTGTCAAATTTTAAACTTTATAGGTATTAAACTTAGCTCAGGAAAACCCCAAAGTCAATATAAGGTAGAGGTAGAACATGGTTGACAAGACCAAGGCTAAAGCAAAGGTTTTGTAAACTGAATAATTTTTTTAGGTAACAGGTGATGACTAAGACAATGTTTCGGTAAAAATAAAATATTTTTAATATTTATATGTACTTTGTATTTGTATTTTTATACAACTATCTATCTTTTATTTAAAACTATGCTTATTTATTTCTTTCTTTGTATACAACACCTCTTTCTTTGTTTGTTCTACCTATCTCCCCCAAAGCTAAAACAATCTCTCCGACACGAAGAGTAATGTTTTTATCAACTCGTCTCATTTATCATTTCGTCCCCCCCCCCTTTTTTCTACTATTAATTTCCATAATCGCCAAAATTATTTCGATTTAACGACCATTTCACACAATTATTCGAAAAATGGTCAAACGGATCGAAGTCAAAATTATAAATGTTACAGAAGACCAGCCGATGTTGAGTAATTTGACTCAACGATGGCATCAAAGCGAACATCGTTGGGAGTTTGTGCTATTGAAGCGGTGAGTGATATTGTTATAGTATGGTTGCTAAAAATAAAAACTTTTGTTAATTTTTTAATTCAACAAGGTAGACCATTTTCAAAAAAGTTCAAAGGATTTTTTTGGGTTGGGGAGGGGCCGGGAAGAATATACAAAAAGACGTTTTAATCTAGTATATTGTAGTATTCAAGTTAGTAAAAGACATAATTCTTATTTTTTTCAGTTTCACCCAAATTTTTGTGTTATGTTTAGTAGCCGTATCCTTGTTTGAAACGTTTTATTGGAAGAAGAGAACAGTTATGTTGTACGATGAAAAAAGAGATGTTACTGATTACTGTGATGGTGAATTAGTGAGTTTTTGAAATTAATGCATTTGAAAGAATTTTTTATTTTTTTCATAGCTAGTTTATGCCATAGAAGGCTCATTAGTATGGCTCTCAGTAGTCTAGTAACTCGATAGTGTGACACCTTAATGATAAGGACAGCTTTGAACCAGTCCTTTGAGTCTCATACTAGAGAGGTTTGACTGTATTCAAATAAAAATTTTTTTTGATTGTATGCATATTAACATTCTGTTTTAATTTACTTTACAATTAGATGAGATACTACCACAAATCAAAAATCAAAGGCGATTACTACGAACAGAAAGGATTACTCTTCAGTTGCAGTCTGATGCCCTATCTGAAAAAGTTCAAACTAACTGAAAATGATCCGATTCGAGAGGAAAAGGTATGTTCTTTAACCTTGTCCTAAACATGTTTGCCATTGTTAAATAACTACTTGTTTTACCAAAATACTTCGTAAAAAAAGTAAATCAAAGTTTTTTTAAATTTCAATAACTTTAAGAAAAATTTTGGTAAAATACGGGTTGGGCTTGACTACGTCTTAAGTGTTATAAAATAATGACTTTTATCTTTTTTAAAGCAAAATAATAATTTTTACCAAAAAATATAATTTTTAGCCAAACTTCCCTCAAGACACAGCAATTGTGATAGGCACCGACGCCACTTATTGGCCATCGTCTAAAGCCGTGATCTCTCAAATCAGAAAACACTTTGGTAACCGAACCAAAATCATTGTTTATGACATTGGAAATCTAGCTGAAAACTTTGTAAGTTGATACATCTTACCTTACCTTACCCACCCTACCATACCCTACCCTATGCCCTACTACTTTACTCTACCTTCCCACACACTACCCTTTTTTTGTTTCATTTAGAAAGCAGAAATTGATGGAATTTGTAACTTGGATTATCGATATTTCAATTTTAAAACGTTACCTTCAAAAGTCAGAAACTTGAAGACATTCTCATGGAAGATATTCATCTTGGCCGTAAGTTTCTTACCGAAAAAATCAATAATTTTATCATATTTTGTCTATACCATCCAACTAAACCTATTTAACAATTATTAGATGGTTCAAATAATTCTGTGCTCCTTGAGCACGGTAATTGGCTTTGAAAAAAGGCACAGAGTTATTTGGACAGCGAAATATAATATAATACTAATTCCAACTACAATACTATAGGAAGTCTTTCGTGAATACAACAACATAATGTACATGGACTCCTCCATCTTCATTCAAACCGACGAATTCGAAGTGTTTTTTGAAATGATGCACGAAAAGACGTTAACCCCAATCCAGTTAAGTGGCTACACAGGCCACGGCTTGAGATATGCTACTCATTCCAACATGTACAACTACTTCCCATTGGATAAGAACGTCAATAAGCAAGCCTGGATGATGGAAGCCAATATGATTTTGATGCAGCGGTCAGAAGAGACTAGGAAACTCTTGAAGTGGGCTGTGCTATGTGCTGTTGTGGAGGATTGTATCAATCCTTACAGTAAGTTCTATTGTCTTAGGCTACAAAGATAATCGGTAGGGTAAGATAAGATAAGGTGGAGCGGAGTAGAGTAGGGTAGGTTAGGGTAAAGTAAGGCATTTTCCGTTTCATCCAAATGAGCACCGAAGGTACCAATTTCGACATTCCACCGTTTTAGATGCCGAGTTATATTGTCCACCGCACGACGATGGAACCCGTGAAGGTGCATGTCATAGGCAAGACCAAAGTCTTCTCAACGTGTTACTTTACAACTTGGAATATGAAATGATGTTTAATGGTAAGATTTTCACTTTTAAAACCTTTCATTAAGTCTATATTAAACTAATTCAAACAAAAAATAAGGGTTTATCTAGGCTATATTGTCCACCAATGTCTACTATAATATAATATTACTTTTACTATAAAATAATATTATTTGGACAGTAAATGTTATCTTTGATTGAAAAACACAATACCTGATATTTAGGCATTCGAGTAGTACCTCATATGAGAAAAGATCATCCCAAAAACACTCGGCAGAGGCATGAAACACGCCGACTTCAGTTTACTAATGAAGACATTGCACAATGTAAAAACGTCTAAAGAAAGTAATACCGTTACATATGGTAGTATGTTGTAATATTTTTACATATGGTAGTATATTATCCTATATAAATCTACCACGTTGTGATTTATCGTTGTTCAAATAATTCTGCACCCCCATTCAACACACATCTTCGGGGTTAGAAGGCACAGAATTATTTGAACAATCTAATACCTAAATTATAATATGTTATTTACAATTCCAATATTCTACTATAGAAGGCGTATATGTTACTACAACATTACATTACAGTAAAGCGGGTACATTAATTGAATCAGGAACATTTTAAAATTGTTAGAACACCCTTTCATGGCATTTTTAAATATTTTTTCAATTTTTAAACATCTTATTATCGTCTTTTTCAGATATTTATGAGCTGATAGCTTACATTATTAATTAATAGTATTTTTAATAAATATTTTTCAATTTACGGCCTTATACCGACTATAAACATCAAAAATTCATTATTAAAATCTTATTCTGTTAAATTACTAATCAAAATGAATAATTATTCATAAGTTAATTTAACAAAACAATTTATAATATTATATTAACCATGTTAACATACAATAAACAGTATTCAAATATTAAAATATTGTTACACGTTTTCCTCGTACACGTACTTCACAAACCTTCGCTTCAACCTCTGTAGCCTTCCAATACTCACAGATTCACTAAACATTGTGACCCATTCCCTTTCTGTCACATCTACTTTGGCAACCTGAATGGCTAAAGCAACGACAATAATGGCAGTTGTTGTTACTGAATAATCCGAGAAGAACTGTGGATCTATTGATGCGTCTTGAAGTATTGTAGTTAACACAGTATCATACTTCTCGGCGACTTCAAATTTCGAAGTGTAAAAGTCTTTTAAAATAGATGAGATCGTATATGCCATGTGATGTGGCAGTTCTACGGTAAGATCAAAGCCAAGAAATCTTAGTACGACCGGTTCTAGCTCTATCAGACTCTTCTTTAGAGCTGTTTCCAGCTGGTTTAAAGGTAACGGCGAAGCGTCTGGATGAAGAATTCTAAAAAGATGTTCAATGTAATATCAAGTGTAATTCCGTGCTTATATCAATGTTACATGCTATATAAAACATAAAATAAAAAAGTAATATTACAAGCTACTGCAAAATAAACCAGTCAAGAAGGTGTTCTATACGTATTTTACCTACCTATAAGCGACAGAAACGATTCCACGAAGTCGCAGCCGGTTGTCATTTGCTGTTTTGGCTGCCAATGACATACAAGTTGTCGCTACCGTCTAAAATTTACATCATTACCTGAAAAAACCTTTAGCTATCTTAATATATAAACCAAACGTAAAAGCAATAACCGATTTTTTAGGCTTAACGATATTAAGTTAAGTATCCATGCCAACTTACGTATTTACATATTTCATCCGGAATCTCCTTGTAACATTTGTGAAAATAGATGGATGCATAGCCAATAGTGACTGTACGCGCCTCCAGTCGTATACCTATAAATCAATCATCATCAGCTTTTCAAAACATTTATAGTACATTATCTAAAATAAATACCAATATAGCACGAAAAAACCAAAATACCTACCCAACTCAATCAGATATTCCAAGAACTTCCTTTCTTTAGGCATTGAACCATTAACAATATGAAAAAGATGTGTAAAAGATAAAATATTATAATGTTCATGTATCTATTGGTTATATCACCTTAAATTCAATATAAAACAATTTTTGAATAGCAATCTTTATTAGCGTACTCGTAGTAATATCAGTACTAATACTGAAGATAATAATTTACAATTTAGCAATAATGAAAAGACAAAGATCACAAACATTAAGGCTTCAATATTATATTATTCATCAACGAACTCAATCATTGCTCCTTCTTCTGGCTCAAACGCCCGCAAAACCCTAGAAGAATTCCACTCCACGGTATCAAAGACGCCCTTCTGAATCTCAACCTTCACTTCAACTCTAGAAGGATCAAATCGCAGTAGCCGTGATGCCATAGCCACAATATTCTCCATGTTTACGCTTAACAATATTGTTCTATTGATCACTTTGTCCCCGTATTTTAGTTTCATCTTGATCTGCTTTATATTCGTTTCTTCTTCCGGCGGTTTTTCATAAACTGCTCCATATTTGGCTTCGAACCTGGCTAGGTCTTGTTCATGTACCTTTAGAATTGGCGGTTCACTGAATCTGACTTGAAAAAACTTTTCACAATTCGTACGCTCAGTTTCTGTTATTGTGCAACCATTAAGGATCTTGATCTTCGGAAGTTTGGCCACAAAAATTTCATAAGTTTGAAGATTTCTGTTGGCTACGTAAAGATCTCCTGTTCGAATGTTCTTTAGAGATGGTAGACGAGCTAGCTGGTTTATTGATTCCCACTACAATTATAAACATGATCTTGGTACAAAAAAGTTTTAGAAATCATAATTTACTCCTCTTCGCTTTAAAATAAAGTAAAATACGAGTACTTACATCGCCAAACGGGTTAGAATCCAGCCACAAACACTCCAAGGCATCAAACCCAAGTTTTTCATCAAATTGCACCGATGTAAACCCGCATTTCTTCAAATTCAGAGTCGATAACCTAAAACAAATAAATTCAAACAATTAAAAATCGTTTAAAAAACTTTAAAATACAATTACAAACATCGACCTACCTTTTAAGATCCTTTAGCTTCCATAATTTTGTAAAATCAACCAAGGGATTGGCAGATAAATCCACCAGTTCCAACTTTTCGTATCCAGAGAGATCAGGTACATATTCAAGCTCATTGTTCATTAAATACAGATTCTTAAGATTTGGGAAACATTGCAGCTTTGAAATCGTCTCAACATCCAACAAACAACTTGACAGATTCAAAGATGTCACATATTTCAAAGTTTTGGTCATCTCATCCATTAACTTCATCTTATTAAACCTAAAACAATATAAATAAGAAACTTTAAAAACTAACACCAATATATGAATATAAATCAAAAGATACACAATAATCTACTAAAACTTAAAAAACTTACGATAGATCTACCACTGTTATACTAGGAAACAAAGACAAGATATCAAACACATCTTTAAATGTTGATAACAGATTGTTGGCCAATGATAATTCCAAACATCTGTCAAACTTTTGATTAACATTCTTTTCCAAATGTGCTACGTACTTGCTTTCCAATACCAAGATGCTTCTCTTTTCGACATAACTAAGGACAGAAATAACAAAAACTATATTAACATACCTAAAATCAAATTCCTTCTGTTTTATCACAAAAATAATTTCCTCTAACTGTTCGTCTTGTCCTGAGTACTGATCCTTCAAAGTTTCTATAAACCCTTTGCCAAGAATAGCATCTTTTAAGCGCACAAACGAGCCGGAACGAGGTTTCCTCAAAATTATGTCATTAAAATTTAAAAAAAGCAAAAATATTCCTTAATAAAATCAAACTAATCTAAAACATACCGGGTTTGAAAATATCGCTTTCCTTGCAATATGCCATCATGCTTCCCGTCTCCATCATTATCCCACTCAATTCCCAGCCAGATTTCACCTGACCCGACATTAATGTGTAGGTTACCAACAAATCTTATAAATCCACGCTTCCGGCCAACACCTACACGATCACCAACATTGGGAAGCTTCTGAACCGTCATAAAGAAAGCTTCAATTTCCTGAATTATTTTATTATTTTTTAATCGATCGTGGCATTACGTGTCTTTATTATTGGTTAGAAAAATCGAGAAATTTATTTTATTTTCGACGAAATTTCGACATTTTTGGGTTTTACTAGTTGTTTTTTGTTATTAGTGCCTTTATAATGGTAAGTTTCACATTCCTAAATATTTTTTAAAACAACAGTTAATTTTTTGTTTTTAAGTATTGATTTATACAGCTGAAAAGTATTGTTTTTTATCAGATTTTTGTTAGTTTCCTAATAAATTCTTTTTAGTCAAGCGGATTCATCCTAGCAAGTCTAGGAATAGCTGCTGTAGGTTTTACTGGTCGATATTTGCTCAAGAACAAACATTTAATTGAAAAAGCAGCTGCAGCTATACCTACAGAAGCTGTAAGTCTAATATCTTTTATATTTTTATTTAAGTTTTAGCTTTCCAAGTACCACCAAGGAGGTTTTGATCCGAAGATGTCAAGGAGGGAAGCTTCATTAATTCTGGGAGTTTCTTTCAATGCGAAGCCGAATAAAGTAAAGGAAGCACATAAGAAGTTGATGATCATAAACCATCCTGATCGAGGTAAGATGGGTTTGAAGCAGGCTTGGACACAAAGCAGGGCATTGGCAAATTTCCATGCCATGCCCTGTGCCCTGCAATGCCCTGCCCTGTGCAGGGCATTCGACTTTCATGCCCGGCCCTACCATGCCCTTGCCCTGCAGGGCATTTGGATATATTCAGGCGGACGCCTCCGCCGAGTAGTCGATAATCGGCGGACGCCGTAACTTGGTTAGTTTAGCTACTATGCCCTGTAACAGGGCATGGTACAGGGCACCCTGCCCTGCGTCCAAGCCTGGCTTGACGTTTGTAGAATGAAATTGATAAGTTAACCTGAAGAAGGCTATAATAAAGATGTTAAGATAATTTTTTTTATTTTTTTTTGTTTTACGTTAATTTTTATATTATCCTTGCCTTACCTGAATTTTTTTTACCATTTTTAATATATTTGATTTTTCAGGTGGATCTCCGTATATAGCAGCGAAGATAAACGAAGCCAAGGACTATCTCGAAAGCAACAAATCATAATTTAGGAATTTATGAATAAAATTTTACATAAAAATTAACAATATTCGGTTTTTCTATTGGAGTTAATACAATTGAGCATACCTGTATGACCGGGTTCTGTACATGAATAAATATAACAAATTTAAGTTAAAAATGAGTGGTTAGTGTCTGAGACACTATTAGTGCTACTTGATGTTGGTTTAGTATGTTTTGCACCGTGTTACCTTCTTTATGTTTGATATTAAGGACGGTCTGAAAAGAACTTCCAATTTTCAATGTTATTTTACATTAAAATGTGTCAGTTGTTTTCAGACCTTCTTAATAAATGTGTTGACGTTTTTAGTGTTTTCTCGCACCGTCACTGTCCAGTAGCGGCCTTCCTGTTTCTTCCAAAGCACACGCAGGGTCCACAAGGTGAATATTATCAACACCACAAGCTCCTTGGAATATGCCGTGATTGATACATTCGAAAAAGATCTGCAAAAAGGAGCTTTATACGGTAGGTAAAAAAGTTTTAAAATGTTTTACATTTTGCTGTTATTTTTTGATTTTAAAATTTGAGAATTCCATTTATTCTATTAGACTAGTCTATAATAATGTTGTGAAGTGTTTGAAATGATAGTTTGCTAAAAATGAAAATTTACCTCTTGAGTGCCGGCAGGACAAGTAGCCTGAAATGTTCTCCACTTTCTACTGCCTCTTTTCACTCCAATCTCTGTTTCAAACACACAATTCTCCACAGAATCACAACAAACTCTCAATTGAATATTTCTGGCTGCTTCCCATGCCTGAAACTCTATCGTCTCATCCCTAGTAGCATTAATAATAGCTGTCAATGTTGATCGTTGGTGCGGTTTAACATAAGATGCGGCGAATCGTTGATTTTGTTCATTAAACGTGTCTCCTCGAGCAATTCCAGTCACGCTGTTTCTGTAGCGTCCACGCCAGTTTTGCCAGCCACGTTGAACGTAGTCGGCTTGACGATGGGCACGTTTGTGAAGCAAATAGCGGTAGTTGTAGCTTCCTGGACTGACTTTGTCTTCTGTTGTTTCCCAGTTGCAAAGATCCTGGTTTTCGAAGTCGCATGCTATGCTTTGACATTGTTTTAGGCGATCGTCGGCTGAAAATTGATTATTAGTTTATTTGGCTTGAAATGGTAAAAAAAACGATTTTTAATGACAGGACTTTATAAATTTTGGTACAAACAAAGCAGTTTTAAATTTTTTAGAAAGTGTAGTGTTTTGGTATTTAGAAATCTATTTATTTCAACATAAATTGCTTGTTTTTGTGATTTATGGCCAGATTTGAATATTTTTCGTTCTGAATTGAGCGTAAACAGAGGAGAAAAGCTTTTTTATGTATATTTTGATAAATCTAACGCGATTTTTTCTTGTTTTACACTCATTATTAAAACATTTTTAATGGTTTTAGTGGTGCGCGAGATAAAATTGTGATTTTGGGTGAAACACAAACAGCATAATACGTATGTTACAATAAATTTTTGGCCGTAAAACCCAGAATTCAATATAGAAACCTTCGAAATTTATGAAAATCCGTGTTAACTTTTGCAAAATTAATTTTTACTTATGTGTTTTCCAAAAAAAATGAATAACAAGTGGTCTCGATTGGTCGTATGACGTAGTTTCTGTATCAGTAGTGAGCTTTTGAGTCTTTTGTTTATCGAACTTGTGAATTTTTGTAAGCTAATTTTCAAAAATGTTTTTCCTCTTTATGTTGCGGTTTTTGAGGGTTCTTTTGACCTTAACATAGCCTTCAGTGAGGCTTATATCTCTAGGCTTTTCCTTTAATTTTTGTTATATTTTGACCAAATATAAGTTAAGATAGATGTTCTATTATCAAGTATAATATAATTGATGGAATTCCTTGAGAGTCTGTGTCACCCTCAAGACAGATTTTGTGATATCTTACCTTCATTGAATGGGGTATTGTGGTCACGGTGCACTTGAGGTGGGTAGTGATGATGCCAATCGGGTTGTCTGAAGTAAAGGGCGTTACTGATAACAAGGTTGTATAAATTTGGGATTTTGTAATAGTTATGTGAAATTAAGAAACTTTTGGACGTCTAAAGGCTTATATTTGGAAATTTGAATTGATATTGAACTTGTCTACTGATAATTTGGAAAATTTACCTTCAGGCATTATTATTTAAATTTATTTTCTAAATTAGAGTAAAGCTGCTGCCTAAATTAGAAGGCTGCTCCTACAAGCTTACGCCAATTATTTTTTACGAAAAGTATTTTCACTACAGTCAATTCTATATTACAATAGCTAAAGGCTTTATTTTACCGTTTGTGTTCTTGCATGTGTTCCTTTTGTAATTGCTGTAACAATTCGATGGCGCTAATATCACCCTTATCTTCAGTTGAGGATCTTCTGTTCGCTTCAACCCAAGCATCCTGGGATGTAAGTTCGTTTTCAAAGGTTTTTAAAGCATCAATCATGCTTGACATAGGGGATTCTGAATTTTCTTGAACTGAAGCTTTGTCTTTTGGAGCGATCACGGCTTCGTGTAACGCTACAGGGCTCTGATACTGAGGTACAGCTCTTTGTTGTACTGATATTTGTTTTTGCGATCTTGAGGTTGGTACATCATTACTTGGTGATCTTTGGATATCTGAAGCGAAAGAAGAGTGGCTTTGGACCAGATCATAATCTGAATCGATCAGTCCTGGTCTGTGTTGTTCTTGCTTCAAATTTATTAAAGATTCTTTTTGGGCTTCAATTTTTGTTGATTGAGTATCATATCTAGTCTTTTGTACTTCAGTTTCGGCCTTTTTGACATCTAATTTGGCATCTTTCTTTACTCCATTTGAATTTCCACTGTTCAAAGAAGTATATCCACTTGTGTAGATACGTTTAACATTACTGTTGCGTTCTCTGTAGCCACGAAGACCTTGTTGTGGGAAAATAAAGGGTTTGTTGTACCGCGAATCATTGTCGGAATCAAGCATTGAAGATGAATCGATTGGGGCAAATGATGCGGAGTGTGAGTTTGAAGGGGAAGAGTTTGACGATGGCGAACCTGAGTTTGACGATGAGCTAGTAGATGTTTTTTGGGCTGTTGATCCAATAGAAACTTCTGTATTTTTAGCGTAAGTCTCTTCTGGCATGATTTTGCCGTTTCCGTTGATGATACGAGGGAACATGGTGACTTCGTTCATAACTGTAGTCATTTCAAAGTGATTACGGCCATCAGTACCTTGATTGATAACGTGTTTCTGACCTTGCTTTTCAGCTTGTCTTTGACCAAGGCTGTCAATTTGGTCAACAACAGATCTGATCTCTTCTTCAACTACAAACATGGTAGATTTTCTCGAAGCTTCGGTTGAGGTCTCATCTGCTGGTAGAACTTCAATTTGGGCACTATCTGGTTTCCTTTCTGATGATGAGGATTCAGAGTTGAAGAAGGCTTGAATATTCTTCTTTTCTTGCTCGTTCTCTTCCCCACCCTTGTCTTCATCTTTTTCTGTTGTCGTTGTTTCTTGTTGCTCTTGATGTTTTAGGTTTGAAGCATACGTAATGGTTTCTTTGTTGTCTTTTTTGGCTTCTGAAGTTAATTCTTGATAATGCTGATTTTTCGATTGATCTTGCTTATTCAATTCATGATTTTGATGATGAATTGAATCAATACCATGATGCTGAACATTATCGTCGGAATATCCTTGGCTTTTATGGTGTACACGATCATTGTTTCCCTTATGTTCTTGATCGAAAGGCACAACTCTCAAAGGATTGTAGCCGTGCAATTCCGCTTCAATCTCTTTTGGCGGCTGAGCATATTGATCATACTGGGCATTGTGAGCTTCAGACAACAGTGTCTTGGCACGTTCTTCATTAAAATTTTCGTGCTTTGCTCCAGTAGCAACAATTGTTGGTGCAGCAGCAGCAACGTTACGTACTGGAGGCAGATCTTCCTTGTTTGGTTTGTCTATCGTACTCATATGACGTTCATTGATACGACGAAGGCGTCTCATGAATTCAATCTTCATGGATTCGTATTTTGTCTTCATTCGCTTCAGCTTTTCGCCCAGATCTTCAATGAATTGGGAGTGAAGCCGACTGTTTTTGGACTTTGTACTGAGGTTATCGTGGATAGCGAAGTTTCCATTGTCATCAAGGTTGACTTTTTTTTCTGGTACTGTTTTGTGCTTTCGGATCATCATGGTGAAGGCTGGCTTCTTTGTGGGTTCTTTAGGGGTTTCAGTAGATTGAAAAAGTGTAGATAAGGTTTTAGCGGATTCGGTAGAACTTTCAGGGGATGATTTTGCTTCATCGTTGGATTCTGAAGTCAGTTTAGCTTGAGCGTGGGATTCAGGAGTTAATTGAGCATTAGTATTCGTTTCACTTTCTTTGTTTTGCTGAGATTCAGCCAAAGCATCACCAGCAGATCCATCTACTATTGGCTCAATAGTAGCATCATTTGTTGAAAGAGTAGTAAAACTAGACTGTGACGGTGTAGCCATAGTCGTTCGGCTCTGTTCGGCAGAAGCGCCAAGTACACTGACGTCACCATTAGCTTCGTTGTCGGCTACGGATGTTTTCTCGGCAACACTCATGTCAATATAGTCATCCGAAGCCACCAAGGTTTGAGGGGTTGTTGCTAAGAGTTGTTTGTTTAGAGGCTGGGTTATGGTTTCCTGAAAAATTGTTGGTAAAGAATGGCAATTTGGGGCATTTTTTCAGTTTTTCATATATTTCTTTGGACTTTTCGACCTATGTCAATTTGAAAAAAAATTGAGTTACGTACAAGATTGCCCGAAACAAGTGAATCATCTTCATTGTCAATCAAAACTGGAATGTTAGTTGTTATCATTGGCCCTAAAGTTGTTCTAGACTGTTGCTTTCCACCAACCAGCGGATCGTTGTTAATCGTGAGTTCGCTTGGTGTCAGAACGTTTACATTTGTCAGGAGTTTCGGCTTGAGTAGTCGTTGATTATGGTGATCGATTATAGACTCCAAGGTCTTCAGCATCTCGTCTCTAGTCATCTGGAAGAAGGGGGTAATATAAAGGATATAGATATCATAAAAGGTACGATTTTAGCAGCATGTGATAGGTATTATAAAGAACAAGGTAAAAAATTACCGTTTCCACGTTGATTTCAGTTTCATGGTAGCGGCTCAACAAGGTTTTCAGTTGATGATCTGTTAGTCGGTCTAAGGGCTTACGGTAACTTTCATGCAAATCCTACAATTTTTTCGTTGTTTTATGGTAAATATAATAAGTCATAATTTATATAGTCAAATAGTGAAAGCTCAAAAATTTTAAAATTTAAGATTTTGCTTTCCGCCTATAGCTTAAAAAGCTTTGGTTTCGGATCCAGAATTTTTTTCGAGAGCAGGTAGGAACACTGGCTATAAGTATCATTTCACAATTGACTTACATGACCTTCGTTATTAGCCAAAGGATACCGAAGGAACTCGATAGGTCGTTCGCCGGAGAAAGTCGTAGCCGCATGAGCTTTGGCTTTTAAATTCTTGAAACTTTTGAGAAAAACAATGCTTTGGCTTTGCTGAATCTCTCCTTGTGTTCCTTCTTCCAACACTCTGAATCCACCTTCTTCTGAGTGATCATCTGAGTCTAGTGTTTGTCCTGAAAGGTTGCTGTTAAATTGAAATATTTTTAAGTGATATAGGCTTGCTTTTAGCTAACTTTAACCGTTGAAAATTTCATGAGAACTACTAAATTTACGTTTTCTTTCTCTAAATTGTACGTTCCCCACAAACCAAAAACATTGTCAACAACACAGTTACGTATATTGTTGACAATTACGTATTCCTTGTATTATCTTGTTATTTTTTTTCTTATCACTCGTCGAAAAAACGAAGCCGGTTTCACCGTGATCACAAACTCTTTCCGAGCTCGAGAAAAGTTTATAATCACTCCCGAAGCGCGGATGTCACCGATGGTTTCATCCCAATGTTCGGTCATCAATGAAATGATGAGCCTGCGAACCGGTTCGATTAAAAAAAACAAACTTGAACGTGCCTCGAACGATCCAAACCAATTGAAATAACAACAGCGCTGTGTTCGGTATTAACATCCTGAAAGCGAGTATTAAGAATGTGTTAATGGCACGGTGAAATTTGCATAGAAGAAATAAATTTATTTGAGCAGGCGTAGCAAATGATGATAGTTTTTGGTTGAGAGTTGAGCTTCAAAAATGAAACTCATAGTGAAATAGGATGTGTTAGGGAGAGGAGAGATAGAAGGGGAGGAGGGGTGAGATAAGGCGATTTTATTCAGGCGGGGGAAGTTAGCTGTAATTTTTGCTAAAATGATAAAAAGTGTGCCAGAGGGGTGGGTGACTTCTAAAAAAAATTGAATTACGATAATCAAGAATTCAAACGAAATGAATTGCTTTTCAAACGAAGTTCATGAAGTTCGAAAAACAAAAGTAGAGCTATAAGTAATTGTAGGATTAACACCAGGTCAAAACGACAAAAAAAGGGAATTACGATCAGCTTACTAGCGCCTTACCAAGATTTTTGAAAAATATTGTTTTTGAGTACAATTGCCATTTTAATTGTAGTACTAAAAAAATTATGACATAGTATTTGATTTTACAAGGATAGTGTCAAAAGATGTACTTAACCCCAAACATGTGATATAGCTTTAAAAAAATAGGCCGACCCCAGAACTGTTTTTTGGCGTTATTACATATCTGGGCGTTAGGTACACTTTTTGACACTCTTTTTGTTATAAAGAATTAGCTTTGGGCATAGAACATAATGTAAAATGCTTCTAAAAGGTTGAAATGCTTGAAAATTTTTGATCATAAATGAAAAAGGAAATGGTAATTGTAAGCTGAGTCTCTAGAGAATTGAAAATCGTGAGGTACGGATATGAAAAATAAAAAAAACATGATCTACTACAATATTCAGGCCAAAAAATTGAATTTTTTGAATTTTTGTTCTAAAATGAAAAAATCAGACCTTATAGCACCAAAACCCCGTAGCACCGTAACGTGCCGTGCCGTTAATCGAGTGGTCGGTTAATCATGGCTGTTGCTTTTTCGCAAACAAGCGATCGCTGATCCCGCCCCCACTCCGCTCACCCGAACCTCGGCGCCATGACTTCTTTAATGAGTGAAAGTGAAGCAATACGATCCGTGGATATATACTTGTTTGGAGCGATGGAAGGGGTTTAATGCCAATTCCTTCCCATTTTTTATTTGTTTTAAATTAATCGCTTTTTATAATTGGATGTGAAAAGGGAAAGGCATTTGAGGGCGAAAGTGAGTGTCAACGATGACAAGCGATAAGCTCATCGTACAAGCAAAACAACAACGGATAACATGACGGTTTGGCGATTAGATAACAAGAAAAGTGATTATGACGATTGGGGTGGAACAAACTGTAAAATATTTTAAATCTGGAGTCTACCCAATACCTTAATTTTCTTAAAAGTTGTCATAGAGTAAGATAATTCTTTCATCATACCATATATAATATCATATTCTTCATCTTTAGTTCAATTTTTAGAAAATACAGTTAGAAATTCATGTAGTTATGGTAAAATAAATTTTTTTGTCACATGTCCAAACATATGAAAAACAAAGAAAATGTTTTTTTCAGAAACCAAACATGGATTACATACACCGTGGAGTGAATTTTATGTGCATGGAGGTGCCAATGTTCATCTACATGGCATCTTCATTCATCCGTATGCCAGTTTATCAGTCAATGCTGTACGAGAAGGTGTGTTGGCGGAGGTACGATGTAAGTTTTGAAAAGCTTTGGTATGGAGGAGTTTATTATACAAGATTTTTACTTTAGTACTTTAATTTAAAGAGAATTCTATTGTAGTTGCTTCAATGTTTAATTCTAGGTAAATTCAACGATAGACTGCACAAACTCGACTCAAATTCGGTTTGACACGGGTATACATGAAGATTACAATAGACTCTTCTTAACCTCATCACTTTGTCTACTGATACCTTCACTTATCTTCACTATCTTGCTTGGATCACGTAAGTCAATAGTACAAGAACAGTAATTGACGTTATTATACATAAATGAAGCTAAAATAAATATTTTCAGTGAGCGACGTATGGAGTAGTAAAAAAGCAATGATTATACCATTTATCGGCCTCATTCTGGGTGATTTCAATTACATTTTTCAAGCCAGCTTTATGGATATCAATCCTTATTTCGTGGTGATCAGTGACATTTTGTTCGGCATTTTTGGCGGATATTCAGCTATTATCAGTAAGTTACCGTTAAGAATATGTTATCACGACAACATTTTTTTATTTTTTCGTATTTTAAATTTTTTTTGATTTTTTTTTATAGTGCAATATTCAAGCTTTAAAAACCTTTTTTTATTTTTTAAAATTTTTTTAGGTTTTTTTTAAAATTGATAATAATTAACTCTCCAGGTACTATGTTCTCACACTCAATCAAAGTGACAATGTTTGAGGATCGTAGCGAACGTGTAGCTTTACTAGAAGGAGCAATCGGTCTTGGTGCTACTATTGGATCTTTTGCCTCCGGAATTTTGAGACAGTAAGTAAAAAATACTTTAAAATTTTTTTGATCAAGGCAGTAGACTTTTTTGTAATTTTGAGATTTTAAAATTTAAAACAAATTGTTGCATCGTGCAGTCGAAAAAATAATAGACTTGCACCGTGCAGGGTTGATTTGATTCTTTATCAGATTTTATGAAAGATAATGATTTTGAAGTTGGAAAATTAAATTTAAAGGTTTTTTTAATTGTATTGTCATATTTTAGAGCCACCAGCTACAGTGTTGTGTTCACGATCAATTGTTTCTTACATGTTCTTTCTGTTATCTACATTATTGTTGCTGCCAGCGATATACCACTTATGGATAATGGAGAGGCTAGAAGTAGGTTTTACATTGTTGGAGTCGATTTGTACTACTCTGTCTTAATGTACTAAAAGTTTTATAGATTACGTTTTTTTGGCACATATATTGTTATATTGCACTATAGGCAATACTATATTAAAAATTTTTGAAAAATTTGTATTTTTAATTAAAAATGGAAATTTATGACAATATACGATTTTAAATGATAATTTCAGCTCAAATGGCATCCATAGCTGACGGAGTACGAATGCGTTTGAAGGAGTACGGCAATGTTATCACCGCTCACCGAGAAAGCTGCTTGAGAATGCTGATCTTCGCCACCTTTTTGGCATTGTCAATCGAACTGTTTTCTTATTCTGGAGTTTCGGACATTTTATTCTCATTCTTGTTACATCGATTCGCTTGGACTGACAGGGAATACGGTTTCTTCAGAAGTTTGTCCAGTGCTCTGGGTTGTATTATGGTAGATTTTTTTTAATATTGTTTTTCATAGGTGTGAAATACGATAATAGGACCACAGAATTTTATTGTAAATATTTTGCGGTTATAGAAAAATATGTCACGATGACGGAGAAAATCTGTCATTATGGCATACTTAAAGTTGTAAAAGTATACTGTGATAACGTGTAGATGTTATTTTTATTACTTGTCTGGTTACTTTTATTAATATTAACAGCTGATTTTAACATTTATCTATACTCACTTTGCTTTAGACGCTGGTAGGCTATCCATTATTGCGAAAACGAGCTGACTGGTCGAACGCTAGCTTGGCTATTTTGGGTGTTCTTATGAAGATCATCTTCTTGCTTACTCTAGCCTTCTCATACAATCCGGTTGTAACATATTTGACGGTAATCCCACAAAGCTTTATGCGATTTGTTGCCAGCGGCTTGAGGGCCATGATTGGACAGTTTGTCATGGATTCGGAGCAGGGTAAGTCAAAAGTACTAAAATTTTTGTTACAATATTAGATTTTGCATTTTTTCGATTTTTTTTGGAATTTGCTGGATTTTTTTAAATTTTAAAACTTTTAACTGATTAATTTGTGGCTTTTAAATTTTAACTTCAGGCAATATTTTTATTTTTTGTATTTTTAGGTAGAATTTTTGCTTTAATAGCAGTGGTGGAAAGCATCTCATCAATATTCGCTACAACAATATTCAACGGGTTATATCCAAAAACTTTAAAAACCTTTGACGGTCTTGTATTCGTACTGACGGCAGTTGCTCTACTTTTACCTTTGGTCATCATAATGTAAGTTTTTGTACTTGGTTTTAAGGCTCTTTTTTGTAATATACGGATGAGGTACTTACGATGGTGTTCAGTAAAAGGATTTTTTATTATTAGGCCAACATAAAACCTAAAAAAGATTTCTGTTTGTAACTTTAAATTTTATCATAAAAATTTTGAATTTTGAACTAAAAATTTCATTTTAGTGGAATCCGCAGGAAAATGAAGACGGCTTGGGCTGACGATGAAGAGCTGGAACGTTTGAGACGAGAGTAAATGTTAATATATGCTGTTAATATTAATAACAAGGTTGTACAAATATTTCTGTGTTCCTTAACTCAGAAAATTTGCCTTGAGAGAGGGCACAGAATTATTTGAAAATCATATATAATATAAAAATTAATTTTTCTTCACTTATCACTATGGCAATATGTTATATTTTTATGCCTTTTATCTCGACTATATTAATGATATTTGTTTCTCTTACTATACATGTCTATCAAGTCTCATTTGTTATAAGTTATCTCTTTTTTATTTATGCGGTGTTCAATTGGCACTCGTTATATCTTTATAGGCGACACCAAACTAAATACTTGTTGCGGGCGGTACTCCAATATATGTTTGTATTTATTGACTACAACAAAGTTTTCTTTTATCCGGCGGTTTTAGAAAAATGACTGTACGAAACTTTTTTCCCACTTTAAGGATAGTTTGCCTATAAAGAGTTTAATGTATAGTAAGTCTTATTTTATGACAGTAATTGTTATCAGTGTACATCATCGTCTTGTAATTGTTATAATATTTTATTTTAAAATGGGTGTTTTATAATACCGGTCTTAATTATATTATGTGTCTTATTGTTGTGTAAACGAGGTATGAGATCAATCGACAGGTTTAGTATTGTAATGATCATTACGCTATTAATAAACATCATCTAACTTCAGGGTATGTAATGGATACTATTGCCAACGTTAATAAAACTTAAAGAAAAATTGGATAATTAATGTTATAAAAAGTATAATCTACGTTCATATCGCCAAGATAATACATTTGTCTTTTCAAAAAACGTTTCTTCGACCACTTCGCTCTAAAAGTCAATATTGATATTGCGTCCACGCACAATTTTATTTTTTCTTGCCATTTTTCTCTAATTTTTCTTCAGTTTTTGACGGAATTATTCGAATAATGTTCCGACTGGTAAGAAACTCGATTCCAACGTGCCGTGCCATCAACCGGCTAGCCACTTCTTCGGTTAGAAGTGTAAGTATATTATACTTCCAAAATTTTGTGGAGTTTGTTTTATATTCGCTGATTTTATAGGTTTATAAACTTGAGATGGATATATTTTTGACTTAATGTGTATATCTTTTAGCTGGCTGCTGTTTCTTCTGTAAATCTAAACTTTTCTCAACAAAAATGGGACCGCAGAGATCTACACTTGGCTTCTTCGTTACAAGCTACTCACGTAAGTTTTTTCTTATTTTTTGTACTTTTAGATAAAAAAAGGAGGTTCTGCAGGTGACAACTTTCCAATTAGGTCGTAAATCTTTGATATAAAATATTTAAAAGCTGAGTTCTGACCCAAAATAACCTAAATCGAATCTCATTTCAGCAAGAATTTACGATCAAAACAGTGAGAGAACGAGTCATGTTGGTATTGAGCTTGTACGATAAGATTGATGCTGAGAAGTTGACAATGGACTCGGATTTCTTCAAAGACCTCGGTTTGGATAGTTTGGATTTTGTTGAAGTTATTATGGCTATGGAAGATGAGTTCAATTTCGAGATTCCTGATGGTCATGCTGACCGTTTAAGAACGCCTCGCGACATCTTCCAGTTCGTTTGCGATAAGCAGGACGTCTACGAATAGGTGAACATCAACTTTTTGTTCGTGTTTTGTTTAGGTCGTCGGAGAAAATAAAGGTAATATGAAGTTTTAACAGTTTTAATTGTTTTCTGTGTTTTGAGGTGATATTTTAAGGTTTTGGGATGGTGTTCAATAAGATATTAGAGCAAAATGAATACCCAAATTAAAATAGCGCGTTCATAATTTATTTTTTGGACTATTGACACAATAGCTGTTAAAATGTGCTAATTAGATTATATTTGAGCTGGGTGACTAGTTTTTGAAATGAGGTTCGAGTAAATTGACCACATCTTGAGCACAACCCCAACCAAGAGTAAATCCATTACCTCCATGACCGTAGTTATGGACAACCTGAAAGTTTACCGCATGTTGAATACTTCTTTCCTTTTTAGCTAGAAGGCTTTCTAATGGACCCAAACCTCAAAAAAGGTAACCTACATGATACTCCTTGCCATTACTGTTCCTTTTCTGGTATTCCACTCGAATTTCCTTTCTTTCCGGTCGTAATGACACCCATTCTGATAATATTTTCACTCCTTTAAACTTGGGATCAAGCTCAATATAACGTTCCAGAATTTCTTTGCGATCTTGGTCAGTGATCTTCCTTTCCCAGCAATCTGCTTCTCTTACCGTGCCCATCATTACTCCGTTGACCATAGGTATGGTGAAGGTACTAAAGTCGCGGTAGTTAAAGTGCTTCTGCCATGGGGCATCAACCTGAAGTTTGAGAGAGATTAATATAAAGTTTTAGTATATTAAGTAAAGTTTTATTAATTATAATAGTAGCTATCAGGCCATATTTCCATAGGTATCAGGATATCTTTTCATATGCATTGGGCCATCTTCTTGTAACTGTTGTCACCAGTGTTTTGCCGGACCGGTCCGGATGAGAATTTTTTCGGTCCGGTCCGGTCCAAAAAATTTCCGGTCCGGTCCGGCTCTATTTTTTTTCGCTCAGGTCCGGTCCGGTCCGGACCAAAAAAGTCAGGTCCGGTCCGGAAAATTTTTTTTTTATTTTTAAAAAGAGCCAGGAGCGCTAAAACTGCTTTTTTTACGTTTAAAAACTCTTAAAAATATGTTTTATTTGCAATTTTTAAAACAGTTTTATTAAAATAAAAAAAATTTTTTTTCCGGACCGGTCCGGAACTTTTTTTTCGGTCCGGTCCGGAAAATTTTCGGTCCGGACCGGACGGGTCCGGCAAAACACTGGTTGTCACAGTTATACACCAACCTCAAAAGCATTAATACACCAACCTCAAAAGCAACTCCTCGATTAGGTTTGATGCCTTCCAAATCATCTCCAGCCAGTTTTCCACCATAAACACCAGCACTGTTGATGACGTATTCAAAGCCCAAGTTTGCTACCTAAAACAATACATTATTCCACTACGATTTACCATAACCTACTACAATGTCTTCCCTTTAAACCACCAAAACATGAAATTTTTAGCTTTCTCTTATGTGAAAACCCGTCATGATGATGATGGACATCATCAAACCTACCTCATCAAGGTTTCTGAATTCTCTCGTAGCGAATTGGGCTCCTCTCTTCTGTAGATGTTTCTTAATCCACGGTGTGTAGGTTCTGCCTTCAGAAGCGTACGCTGTGTAGTGTATACAATACTTTGAGGGATTCACGAACAGTAGGTTTCTTTCACGGTCATCTAACCATCGAAAATTGTAGACCATATCGGCCATGTTCTTTTCCTAAACATTGCTTCAGGTTATTAAATGAAATTTGGGGTCAAAAACTGTCGAGAACTGTTATTAATGTATTGAAAAGAGTAACTTTTTTTTCCTGAAAATGGTTGGACAGTTGTAGAGGTAAAAGATCTATAAAGTTGTGTCAGTATGAAAGATACCTGAGACTTGAGTAGGTCCAAGTTGTCCGACTGAATATGTCCTGAAATAAGCTTTACCCCACACTCATGACCAAAGTTCTTCTCCAAGTATGCAAATCGTTCAAACGATTTCTTGGCCCATGTTCTGAAAACGGTTTACTAGAGAAGTGGCACCAAATATCCCTCGTCTTAAAAAATGAATTTTCATTTACCTGGCTTCATATTTGTCCAGTCGAAACAGTCCGCCCGGTCCAAAACTGCAACTTTCTTCAAATGGAGCGTTTGAGAACAAGGTTACCTGAAATTCTAATTTAAAATCGCTTTTCTAAATCACTTTTGCATCTGAACTTTTACAATATTGAACAGGGTTAAATTTAAAGATTATAAACTTTCTAATAATTTGAAGTTTTTAAAACTTGCTTACATTCAATTTGGGGTACTTTTCGAGCAAAGCCAACGCTGTGGAACATCCCACAATTCCTTCACCAACTATCGCAATTTTAGTCATGTACAACTCCTAAGTAAATGATATGAAACAACAGTAAATAAAAGTGCTTTCTTTAGAATTTTTTGAGCCCTTTTAAACGGCCGTTTCTTCCTCGCACACGAGACTTCAAAGTATGAGTTTAGTGTTCACTCAAAACGCACGCGGCTTTTAAATATTATTATTTTATTTTAGTCTCAATAAGACCAACTTCATCATCATTTATGAAAAGTGTAGCTTAACCTATGTATTTAAAATAAGTATCTAATGATCATATTGATCTTTCAAATTTTAAAACATAAAAATCAAAAAATTCGTTTTTCCTCCACAACCTTAACTATGATATTGTAGTAGCTTATCGTATGCAAGACACAAACTTTTTTAAAATTTAAAAATCTGTTTTAATTTTCCTTATTCTAACATCCAGAAAGTATAACATGTCCAAACATGTGCATTGAAATCTCGATTCCACAGAATGTCAGAATTATATATGTGTATCACAAATCCCATCAGTTAGAACAATATATATATCACATTTTGTATTACAATGGTATTTACATCACAATAATCTATTTAGAAAGTGCCTGAATGGACCGGAATCTCGCGTTTCGCACCGTGAAAGACCTGCATTAAGCTGTAGGCGTCGGCGGTGAGTTCGCAAATCTGTTGGTCTGACCAGTTTTGGGTCGGGAGGTTTTGGAGCAGGATCATGGCACCCTAAAATAAGGTTTTTATGCTATGCTTACTGACTATATTAAAATTTTTATAAATTCCGCAAAAAAATTTAAAAAAAGTTTTTAAAATAAAAATTTTAAATATTTACCTGAAAATCTCTTTCTTTTTGAATTTGCCGGCTCCACAACCGTAGAAAAGCTACACAAACGTAGGTATGAAACTGTGAGAAGCCATTACGTTCACTCTAAAATCATGTAAACCTTCACAACCAGCAATAACATAACATATCATCACCAAAAAAATTAATTATTAGATTGTTCAAATACTTCTGAGCCCCAGCCCCCAAAAATTTGCTTTGAGTGTAAACACAAAATTATTTGAAAAACCTAATATCATCCCAATTTCCCCCAAAATCTCCAAATATCTTACCAAATAAGTGTCCCACAGCCGTATCGTTGCTCTTAACGGTATCTCCCTCATCAACAAGTTGTTCATCCATCTGAATGCAAACTGTAGAAACTCGACTTGATGTCGTTCAAGATGTTTTGTCAGTTCTCCATCTACTCTACCTACAAGATACTTTAATTCTGCCACTTTTCGTTGAATCCCAGGTTGTGCAAACGTATAGTTGTCCTGAATCGTATCTAATAACGCTGTAAAACACCAAAATGAGTCGGCTTCAATAGCTTCCAATGTTTTCCTCTGAATTTGCGCTACATCGTACGTGCCCACTTCTGCTCCATCTGATATGAATTCACTTAAAAAGACCACGAAGAAGGGAGTAACCAGGTCGTTGATACCTTGAACATAACCACTGGCAGGATGTCTGATGGCCCAGATGTATAATATTCGTTCGAATATTTCTTGCACCAGTTTTTGTTGGAAAAGTGGTACTAATGGGCACATACGAGGAATGTCGATATGAATTTGTCTGAATGTGTCTTGTTGTTGTTCATCGTAACGAGTGTGGAAGTATTGTTCGACATAGTTCCAATATTCGTTGCGTTTTCGGTCTAATGTGGTTTGTTGGCGGTCGTAGTTGACTGGTACGTAACCCTAAAGTAATACAGTATAATATAAAACAAAACATATGCTAAAAAGCCTTCAAATAACCTTAAAACGCATTAAAATTGTTAAGAAAACAATGTTTTACATCAATTGTTTCTAACATTTAGAAAAGAATAGAAAAAACAGTTCAAGACGACTTACCGATAATATTCTCCAAGCCATAGGACGTATGTTATTCGGTATACCCAGCCAACAATCTTTGCGTAGTTGCTCTATGTCAATCATATGGTTCTGAGGAACATTTGATGGATCACAATGACCACTAACTTTTACTACACGTCTTAGACGCCCAAAACGACCTTCGTCGCCTAAATAAAGTTTAATTATAAACACATAATTATTACAGTTTTATCTTGTATACCCATGATTAATTTTTAAATAATAGCTAATATTCAGTGATATCTAAAGTAAAAAAGAAAAGTAAAGATTTATACCTTTTTGAGTGTGCATAGGCTTTTGAGCTTTGATAGGAGTAGAATTCGACCATGGATAAGATGGAGGTGAGTCGTCGTTGAGTTTCGGGTAAATAGAAGTATGTGAAGGTGGAGTGTCATTCTTAAATGAGTTGGCATGTTGTGCTAGTACGTGATTCGCAGATTCATGAGCTAACGCATTATTCACGGTCACATCCGTATCCCACACATCTGATACGCTGAAACAAAAGTTCTTTTTTAATTTTTGCCAATAATGATTTTTACTTAAAAATATTGTGATGCACCAGAAGTCTAAATATACATTTTCTAAGCTTCTTTAGAATTTTAAGTTGTTTTGTTACCTAAAAACTGAAAAAAATAAACAAGTGTAAAACATACCTATGTTCATATTGTTTAAATCGTTGCTGCGTTTTTCCTGTCATTGAAGGAACAGAAGGTACAGATTCTTCAAGTTTAGTTGGCTTTTGAGATGTGCTTGTAGATTGAGCAGATTCAGGAGGAACAGGATATCGTGCACCGTATACTGGGCGAACACTACAACAACATAAAATATAACGTCTATTTTTGACAAAATATTTTAAAAATATAAAATAATTAAAAAATAAGCTTTTATAAAGAAAATTAAGTGAATAAAATATACCGTATTTTACAAACATCTATTTAAAATTTAAAACAATATAATAAACACCGTCTTATCCACGTAACCCCCTAAGAAAGTAAATCGCAAGCAAGATCAACCTTTGATTGTTTCGCTGTTCATTACTTTTTGCTGATTTATCACTCGGAACTCCAAAAAACAAGTTCAATATCCCAAGAAAGCGCTTGAAAACGCAAGTTAAAGAAAAGTTAACTGTCAGAAAGAAAAATCAATGATAATCTAAGTTAACACCCAGATTAATTTCATTTTAGGAGAAAAAATTCCACGATTGACCCTATAAAAACTTATTTTTAAAAATATTTCTAAAGTTTCTAAACACATTCCTCTTTATCATAATATTTTCACCTTTAAACCCCATATTGTTATGGACATGCACATTATTATAAAAATTCCAAATGAAACATTTCATTATTCGTCTTCCTAAAGCAAAAAACATAAAAAAAACAGCTCACCTGCCAGGAAGAGCCAAATTCTGGGTCCAGCCAGACATCAATGCCCTTTGATCTGTTTAAAACGCTTCAATTCCTCTACCACAATACAGCAAATCTGAAATTATATCATTTAGATCAAGAGAAAATAAAGTGATGAAGAAGTTTAAAGCGTAAGGAATAGTAAATATAATATATTATAGTATCTTCTCGTGAGTTTTTAATTATTACACCTTGTCTTAAACGCTGAGAACGTTCATCAAATTCATTTTCAAATGCCAAAACACATAAATCAGTAAAAATTACAAGAGTTAAACAAGTTTCTTTATAAAGGTATAATAAAATATCATGAATCACTTTGACCTTTAACATAATGTTTTTGTTATAACTTCGAAAAAACAATTATTATTGTACAAAACTCAAAATAAACGCCAACAACAAGTTAAAGCAGCCATTTTTTGATCCAAACAGTTTTATATTTTCAACTTCTTGTTGTGTTTACACGCGTTTTTCTGATTCCTGATTCCATTTACACGTGGAAGCGGAAAAAAGAATTCGCAAAGTGAATAAGCTATCAAAGAGAAGAAACGGAGATTAAGCGCGTTAAACCGTCGCTTTTTGTGACCAATTAGATACCTAAAGACCGAAGAATACAAGAAGAAACTCAACTTACATTTAAATTCGGTCAAAAACCTCGAAAATTTGAATTTAGCCAAATTTTCGAGCCAAAAAACAATTTTTTTTCTTGGCCGGAATTCAATTCTGTACACAATATTCAATTCTACAATTATTTGGCCACACTTTTCTAGTTATTTCGTGCCCAACCAAATGGAGAGTAATAACAAGAATCCCCCAAATGTCTCCTTCAACAGCCGGCGGCGGCCAAAAAACTTTTTCTTGTTGTGACACTTCGTCTACACGGCATTTTTTACACTTCGTTTCATGAAAATTGAGAGATTTTCGGCACAAGAGTAAAATTTCGAAATGTACTTTTAAAACATAATTACAAGGTCATGCGGTAGGTAATGCAGTCAGTTCTGTAAGTTTTTTACTTTTAATACGATATTTTTTGAATTCGCATATTATCCATGAAGGGGTTTTTTGTTGTTTTGTTTGTTTTCGAGGGTTTAAAGGGGTTTTTTAATGTTTAGCGTGGTAAATTGGGTATCAAAAGAAACTCTAGAATCTATTTTAGGTATGCATGCCAAAGCTTTTTAGAAAAAACAATGTTTTATATTATTTTTGATCTATAATAACCAACCACATTAAAATTTATGACTTTTGAGCGAAACTCGTGAAAAGAAGTTAAAACGTTTCAAATAAAACAATAAAACAAACGTCCCATGGCGAGACAATATCTAATGAATACCCAAACATTTCATGTAGTTTTTACCACTTTAAAAATTGACATCAACTGATATTACACTAGACAACTAATGCTTACTTTTAAAGGAAATTTCAAAGAAAGCCGGGAGAAAATAACATAGTTTTGCTCGTTTTTGGACACAGTGGCCCTATAATTAGCTAATATCTGATTTTCGGAGCCGAGAGTGCGCAAAGGCACAGATGGCGACATTATTCATGGCATGCGTTTGATTTTAATGTTTTTTTGGTTTGGACTTTTATTCAAGTGCTTTTCAATTGTCGTAAAGTATGCCTTTTTAAAATTAGTTGCTGTTTTGAGGGGGAAAATAATTTTTTTCGAAATTTTTTCATTTTCTACGTAAAAATGTAGTCTTGGGCAGTAGGTATCATATATAGTATAATATGAAAAGTAAAAAATTTTATTGTGTGCCAAACTTTAATTTGAGTTTAAAAAATGTTTTAGAATAAACAAGTTACAGTATTATTATCAACTTTTTTAAACTTCAATGTCATTTTGACCTTACTGTAATATATTTTGACCCTACGGTTTAGTGTAATATAGATTTACAAGTCAATGATATTGATCTTGAAAGGTCTTCCGGTTCAATTGCAATTAAACGTTTCAACCAGTGGACAATCCGTTTTCCAAAGCGTCTCGACTAATTTTTCCGCTGAAGTTCGATCAAATTATGCAAATGCGGCTTATGTTTTATCTTTTTGACACTGGCAGTCAGAACAACTTTACTTTTCTGGTTTTTTCGTTAATTTTATGGCAAATATTTTGAAAATACATTTTTTAAACTTGAAAATGTTTAAAAATTTTATTTTTTTTAAGTTACAAAGGCAGGTAATGGACCGCTGGCTTAAAATGTTTGTGTTAACTGATGAAAAAAGTTTTAAAAAAGTGAAAAAAATAAAAAATCTAAAAAATGACGTCATCAGATTTACTGTCATTTGATAATATATTCAAAACTTCAAAGCTCTTTACAGTTATTTCTTTTGAAACTGTTGGAAATCCGAGCAAAGAAAAGCTGGCATATACTGCGATATAACCGCGGTATATCGTATTGTTATTTCCGAAGAATAAAAAAATACTCAATAGTAGTATATTTACGTTTGACTTTGCGTGTTTCGACGATTTGATTCTATTATTGGGCTTGAGGGCTTGCAGTCTTCTATTTAAAACTGCTTCTAATCGAAATACAACGTATTACTATTTGTATTGGTTTGTAGTACTAATACTTTTGAACGTAGTACTAAGTGTTTTTATTGGCTTTGTAGTACTATTGAACATAGTACTAAGTACTTGGATTTGTTTTCTAGTACTAAAATTTAAAAAGGTAGTACTATTATTGAGCATAGTATTAAGGTACTCATATTGATTTTGAATCACTAGTACTGTTGAGTACTGCGTTTCTAATACTGTTTAATACAGTACGATTTATGACTTTTTACTTAGTAGTACTACTTAGTACTGGTACTTAAAGTACCTTTTGGGTACCTTTTCTCATTATTGCACTAGTCTCTGCTAATTTTGATAAAATTTGTTTACTATTCCAAACACTATACGATACATTATTATATTATATTCAATTTCCACACGATATTTTTTGGTTTTATTGAATTTACAACGATATGAGTAACATCAAAATGTTCTTCTTCAGATTTTCGCGTAAATATTGGGCTATGGATAGGCCTACTGCCGTCGGCTTTTTAGACTTTTTACATTTGCATAAAGATAAAGTAAGTTATATTACTACTTTTGCTAAAATTTTTTCAGAAAAAAGCTTGTTTTAGATAATAGTATCTACGTTTTTGGCTAAAAAGTTAGTTATCAAAGTCCTTTAAAGTAGTTTTCTAGCATAGTTGTGTCCAATATTATGATGAATAAAAGTCAAAACAATAAAAATACGAAAAATATGTTAATAGACTAAAGTATTATTTTTAGACCTTCAGACCAAAGAAGAGATTTCCTATAGGAACGTTGAGGTACAATTTACATAAACATGCTCAAGCAACGTTAACTTCGGGACTTGATTTAAGGCAAGCGGTTCGACAGCCGCCTGATGAAACTTTTGAAGATTGGATCGCTGTTCACAGTACGTTTATGTAACTGGTTTTGAACTCAAAATTATCATTTTTTTCTTGGCCATATTTTGAGTTTAAACATAATATGAGTATATATAGACAATGTGAATATATGTCTATTTGGAGCGTACTGAGGCTATTTTGATGTGTAGAGTAATTTAATTTTTGTTATATACTCAACTTTTGGTTATTTGGCTGTTCTAAGATTGATCTCTTTTTTAGCCGTAGACTTCTTCAACAGAATAAACTTGTTATATGGAACGATAAGTGATGTTTGTACTCGAGAATCTTGTCCAACAATGTCAGGTGGAGCTAAGTACGAGTATTTATGGCAAGATGGACAAGAATACAAAAAACCAACTCGACTACCAGCTCCACAATACATGTCATTGCTAATGGACTGGATTGAGGCTAGAATAAACAACGAAGAGATCTTTCCATCAAATCCGAGTAAGTTATGGGTAGTGTAATATAGGACTGTTATGATAATATGAAGAAGTTGTTGCAGGGTATGGTAAATTGAGTTAGTAGTTTAAAGTATATATTTATTGAGGTGGAGAAGATTTAAAAAGTGAGACAGTTTTTGATCTTTTTACATTTGAAATTTTCTTATATTGTGTTAGGTAGTGACTCAAAAAAATTAAAATTTTAAAGTTTTTTGACTTCTATAACAAAAATTTTTAGTAAAACTGATAAAACATTATTTTAGCTGTATCTTTTCCATCCGACTTCCGGTCGATATGTTCAAAGATTTTGTCGCGATTATTTCGGGTATTTGTACATATTTATATTCACCACTTTGACCGTCTCTGCCAGATTGGTGCCGAACCTCATGCGAACACATTGTACAAACATTTCTACTACTTTGTAACAGAACACAACATGATCTCACGGAAGGAACTTAATGCATTAGTAAGTTTTTGGGCTGGTAATGACAGGCAGAACGTAAAAAAATTGAAAAAGTGACATTTATGTAGACGTAGATGGATAATATACTTTTGAAGATAAGTTTTTGAGGAGTTGATGAATTTGGCTAAGTTTTAGGGTTTTTGTAGAGCAGGTATCACACAATAAATGTGTGTAATATTGAGTGTTTATGCTGATAGAAATTTATGTTTCAGAAGGATTTAACAGAACGACTTACTGGTGAACAGATGAAGAAGTAACTCTACTGTAAACTGCTTAATCATTTCTGTATGAGGTTAAAAAGTATTGTAAATGAAAAACACTGTAATGGAAGTACAGCTAGCGCGATATTTTAGTACAGCGACTTTAATTGTTTTGCAAATACTGTAGGTAATATACAGTAATAGACTTGTTCCAGGGTATCTTTTTGAATCTCCACAGCAATTTTCGCAGTTTATTTTGTCTAATAAAGCTAATTTTTTATTGTTCTAGTGGTTTTTTAAATTATAGTGTTATTTACATTGACCTTTGTGTGAAAATGTACTTGTGGCGGCTAAAATCAAGGTATACCTAAAATATTTTTAGTTTTTTAACTTTTTGAAGATTAGGTCCCAAAACTTAAAGCAATATGAAGATAAAGATGAAAAAGAGGACATTATTAAGGAGTAGTATATGGTAAAAGTCATCGTAACAAGTGGTTTTTTGTTTATGACAATTTTTATATTGTTTATTGTTAGGAGAATATTTTAAGTGCGTTTTTTGGCAAATAACAATACTGCCTAATATGGAAATAAATTTTTATTTTTGTGCACAATTAGTTAATTTACGTTTGTGGCCTGTTTTATGACAAAAACTACTATAATAATGTGTTGGGAAGGGTTGTAGGAGGTTTTTACGAAGTAAAGAGTATAGGGACTTAATAATTTTTTGTCAATTAAACTGACTGGTAAATGAGAAGGCCGGCTTTTTTAACCGTTCTTTACATCTTCTCTCTAGAGAAAACCCATAGAAACGTCTTTAACAATAACACTATCACAACTTAATCATGATGATATTACACTCACATAATCATGCTTTTTAACATAGTCATGCCCTTTCAAACTTAATCCATTCTCCAATTACGTTTGATACTATTTGGAGAATGAGGGCCTCGGAAAAAAGAAAAGATATTTTACTCTTTTTCTTTGATGGGGCCGGCCGAAGTTGTGAGTGGCGGGCAGAAAGCGAGGACAAAAAAGGAGTGTAAATCTTCGATTTTCCGACCAAAAAGCCCTTGTTTTTTGAGGGAAACAATTGGCCGCTGGGGTTTTTGAATTCTTGACAATCTTTTGAGACTTGGAATAATCTTTTAGGCTTATATTTGGGTTTGATTTATGTCAAGGTTTAAAGCAGGTAATTTTTAAAACGCAAAAAAATTAAAATACTTTTACAATTTTTAGCTAAAAGTTGGAATATTTTTTGCTTTTTACAGGGTGTTTCACGAAATTCCGTTGTCAGAAATAATTTATATCTTTGCAACTACGCATTCTGCAATCGTGTTTTTTGGCACAGTTGCAGTCCAGACCTGTGCGTTTTTTTGTGCAAACTTTCGCGTTTTTAAGTTGCACTTTAAGGTCGTTATGAATTTTCAAAAATCAGCATTTTCACGAATTCAAAATTATTTGCTTTAAATATACAAAGCTAGCTTTGCAAAGTGAAGTTTTTTTAGTTTCTTACTGTAGAACTACTGTATAACGAATTGCTTTGGGATTTTTAATTTGTTCGTTATACATGAATTTTAAATGCAAATTCTAGTGTTGAACTGGTTTCTGTCATAGAGAAGTTTGTTATACAGGAGATCTTCTGGAAAGTTTTATTAGTTACGAAGTGTTACACTCTTGTACAACAATGAGAAAAACGTTGTTTGTGGGTCTATGAGGAGGGGTTGTAAAAAACTGCATTGTTTTGATACTGACATAGATCTTTTTCAAAATTTACATAGTAGTAGGCAAGGGGGTAAGCTGACTGTGACAAAAGTTGCATTTGAACTCATATATACCGGAAATTTTTTATAATGAGCAACTTTAAAATCTTTGAGCGATTCGTTATACAGGAGTTCTACTGTAGTTTTTGATTTTCTAAAATTAAAAAAAAAATTTCTTTGAACATATTTTGAACTTTTACTTTTTTACCTTCAAAATTATTTTTTGCTGCTTTAATTTCAAATTTAAATTTTTTGAAATTTCATATTAGTATTGACTTAAAACATTCTTTGTCAAATGTCACATTGCCATGTTTAGCTTGTTTCATCTTTTCGTTCGCGAAAGGTATTAATAATTTAAGAGCTTTTTCTTGTTCTTAATCCATCTGTAAAGTAATGGTTTCGAGCAAAAACTGTATGGAATTTACAATTAACAAACATTGATTAATGGCTCTAAATGTCTTTGCTTTCTGGTAACAAAAATTGTGAATTTTGGGTTTGTTTTTTGCTGGATTTGCTGAATTTTTTAAATAATCTTGGTCTTAAAACGACGTTTTTTTTCGTTTTGAATTTAACTATTAGGTTGTTCAAATAATTATGTGCTCACAGTCATAGTTTAAATTTTTGGGCTTAGAGGGCACAGAATTATGGGAACAAACTAATATTTGAATAATTTGATTATGAAACGAGTGTACACGTTATCACCTTATGTCTATCTAGTTCTACCTGCAATGTAATTATTTGTTTTTAAATATATTTACGACTTTTTAATGTTTATATATAGCTTTAGGTATTTATATATGAGTGCACTGATGTTATCCAAAGTTCGATCAGTAATTTCGGGTCGACAACCATCTGGAAATGAGCCACACAAGGTGGGACTTGTGGTAGATATGGCCGATTCTCATCTCATTGGCGGACTTTTTCCTGGTAATATTTTAATTAGCTAAATATTTTAAAAATGGTTTAAAAAACTTATTTTTAAATAAATAGCTTTAGGGTAATATAAAATGAAGAATATCTAGGTTGAGCTCCTAAAAATTAATTTCTACTTTTTTTACAGTATAAAGTAAAATAATTTTTTTCGAAATAAATTTTACACTTTTTAGTTACAGTAGGTCCAGACAAGCAAGAATACCCGTATTCCCGACCAGAATTCCTTCACTTCGCCGAAGAAGATGTTGCGCTAGCTCTAGATCAACAAGTTCGACCAGTCCTTTGTCCAAAGTTTCCCAACAGAATGCCAGCCTTTGCTGGATACGCTGAATGTTGTAATGCTGGTAAATCGACTCTAAATGAAGATCAAGCAACAGCAAAGATATTACAGTTTCATCAACTTGGGTACGAAGCCGAGAGTACGGTCGTTATTGATGATAAGAACAAAAAGAGTAAGAAGCCAGAGAGGAAGAAGAGTGATGAAGATGTGCTGAGCTTCTCACCCAGTTTGTCCAGCGATGACAGTCCAAGCATACCTCAGATTAAGGCAGCTTTTTTTGGACTATTTGATGGGCATGCAGGCAGTGGAGCGGCTTCTATTTCTGCTAATTGTCTTCATGAACATATTAAGGTAGGCATTGATATGGGCATACTATTATTTATTTTAGGGTAGGGTGAAGAACTAGGAGTATATTTTTGGGGCAGGTACGCTTGGTCAAAGTAGGTTGGGTAGGGCATAGTCATTTTTGGGTAGGCTTGGGTACTGTAGAGTAGGTTAGTCTCGGGTAAGGTCGGTTCGAGTCATGTAGGGTCGGAAAGGACAAGGTAGGATAGGGTAGCGCGTTTAACAGATTAAAAGATCTAGGTTTCTTAACCAAACTGATGTCATCTATTCCAGAACAAAGTGAATGAAGTAGTTGAGACAGTGTTGGCGTTATCAGCACGAGAGTCACATTATACTGGAAAGAAAGCCAAGAAGGATGATCTACGATGTAACCCGATCGACAGTCAAAGCTTGATTATTGGAGCAATCGAAAAAGCTTTTTTGGAAATGGTAGGTTTTTTAAATGTTTGACAAAAAAATGTTTTTAGTTTATATTTATTATGTTATAACACCTACTTACCTTATGTCAACCTTCAGGACGATCAAATCGCGGAAGAAAAGCAATACGTCCGAATCGGCGGAGGCTGTGCCGTTCTCATCGCTCTTTTCTGCCTCAACAAGATATTCATAGCCAACGCGGGTGATTGTCGAGCAGTCTACGTATCTCCACGCGATGTGCGACAAGTCAGCGAAGACATGACCCCAGTTAGAGAAAGGAAACGACTTCAATTCTTGGCGTTTAACAATGAAGATGCCTTGAACAACTCATTCTCTCGACTAGAATACAGTCGATTCTTGACTCACAAAGACTTGGGTCAAAAAGTATTGTACAGAGACTATTATATGGACGGGTGGACGACTAAAACTGTAAAGGAATATGATTTAAGGCCACCATTGATCAGTACGAGGAGTAGGAAGGCTAGGCTCTTGAATACGATTGGAGTTAGTAGAGGGTTTGGAGATCATCATCTGATGACATACGATGATAAGATCAATATTAAACCGTTTTTGTCGGCTAGTCCGGAGGTGAGTTGATTTCAAAAAAACTTTTTTTGTTAAGGGAAGGGCAGTTCAACGTAGGTTAGGGTTGGGTAGGCTAGGGATGTTATTGTAGTAGGTACTTTTATGGGCTTGATGATTTGATTTGAAAATAAAAACAAAAGGATAGAAGGAGGCTTTTTAAGAAGGCGTATAAGATATTCAAATTCATTATATTGTAGATCAAATTAAAATAGAATGGCGAGCTGTAAAACCTTTCAACTTATGTTATTTTAGGTAACAGTATTGGACTTATCAACGTTGGAAGAACTGACAGATTCAGATGTGCTTGTAATGGCTTCAGATGGTCTTTGGGACGTACTCAGTAATGAAGATGTAGCTAAAATTGTACGAACAACGTTAAGTCAAACGGATCCTAGTGATCTTACTAGGTAGGTTAATATGATTTGAATTTTAGGGCATATATCTTTACATATACGACTAAAAGTCATAAAGTTTTGACACAACTTACTCTTACAAAATTTCAAATTTTTATAAAAATACTGTAACTTTCAGGTACACTACCGTAGCGCAAGACCTCGCAGCCGCAGCTCGTGGTAACCCGATGGAAGGCTGTAAATGGCGGCTCACCTGGAACAAGGATGATAATATAGAACATGTAAAAGAGAGTCCAGCTACATCCTCGACTTCTTATGGCACACAAGCTTCTTTGGACGACATTTCTGTTCTTGTTATACCTATCAAGTTTGCCACGAATCTACCACGGGACGAGGATGATGAAGATGATGAGGAACTTCTTGTTTTTTGATGTCTTATAGCTATGTAATTATAGTGTTTTAGGTTATTTATTCTTTTGGAGTAAAGAATTTTATGAAAGAAAGTGGGATTTTGCCGTATTTTACAAAAAAAAAATTTTTTTGAAAATTTAATTTTTTTGAAAATTTTTTAAAATACAGTTTTTTAAAACTTTTTAAAACTGAAGAAATTTTAAATTCACCGTTATTTTCACTGGTGAGTCGGCGACGTGACCGGTCGATTTGGTGAAATGAATTCGCCAAAGTCGCCTCGGAATGAAGATCATCATTGGGTGGAACAGACGATCGAGGTGGAGCTGGGACAGCGAGTGTCGGTGGGGGTGATGTTGAGCAATGAAGTCCCGCCCAAAGTGACAAAACTTATGCCATCCTCGTCGTTCTTGGGACGATTGTTCGTCGGAGACAAAATCTTGTCCATCAATGGACAGGTAAGGGTTTTATGAGTTGGGCATGACATATTGTGCCAAAAAAAAATTTTTTGTTCAGAAAGGAGGGGGGGGGGAATCCAAAAAATTTTTTTTAATTCACCCTACCCTGCCAAAACCAAGAACTTAATTTTCAGCCCATCAAAAACTTTCAAGAGATGTTCATCTTGTGTAAGACTGGTAAAGTTACGATCAAGTTGTGCCGCGACGAGTACTGTATGGTCAAGATCAATCCATTACCCGCGCCGAAACCCGGCTTTGAAGCCTACGATCTGGACATGAAGTGGGGGTTGGGTGGAATGCCTATTGGTATTCTGGTTTATCATGTAAGTTATGAAGCATACACTGGGTTGTACAAATAATTCTGTGCCTTTCTCAAAGCTAATTTTTGGCGTTAGGAGGCACAGTATTATTTGAACGATCTTTTTTTAAATTTTTTGGCCTGGAATTTAAATTTTATTCATAATTTTATATAAAAAATGTAAAATTATGCAGCTGATTGCTTTTAGGACTCCCAACAACAAGCGATTGTTAGTATGATTGAGGACGGAAGTTTGGCTAGCAACAGTCTTCGACCAGGTGATGTGTTGGTCGCTGTCAATGATGCCAAGATTGAAGGCAAAGACGCTGCCAAAAAAGTATGTTTTTTTTTGAAAAATAGGTATAAAAATGCTCATATTTTTGCAAAAAATCAACAAATTTTTGAATTTTTTAAAATCTTACCTAAAATACAAAACATTTTTCAAAATTAAAAATTTTTTTTTGTCTCCAAACTACCAAAAACACATTTTCAGGCCATTCTGGACAGTGTAAACGCGACAAACCGAGTCAAGTTAACCATCCACCGCCAAATCGAACGTGACGTTCCCTCCCTCCTCCAACCACCCCCAGCCAGTCCAGGCAACAAACCAGCCGAGCCAGACACGAAAACCGACAAAACGTCCAATGACAAAACTGATAAGACTGACCGTTCTCAGGTACTAACAGCCGATACCAAAAGCGACACGAATCGATCGGCAATCAAATCTGTCACCGCTTCTGTTGTCAAACCACCACGCCCAAAGCCGAAAGGACTGCCAATGTTTGACCTGCTACTGCCAGCCGATGTGTTAGCCATAATGGCGGCCAACAAAGACTTTTACAAAAACCCCAATCCGAATCCGCCAATCTTGAAGAATGCTAGTGCGCCTCCGGGTAAGTCTTTTTTATTTTTTTTTTAATTTTAAAATTCGATTTTTTTAAATTTGAAAAAAAAAATTTAAAATGTTTTTCGAGCCATAAAAACAATGTTGTACTAAATCTCAGGTGCTGCCCGCATTGATTTGAATGGAAAAGTGGAGGAGAACCAGATCGAGTTCGAGCCGGGACCAAAAGCGCTTCGCAAGACGCCAAAACGTGTTGGATCATAGCCAAAAACTGACTTTGACGAATAAAAACTTGTAGTACCATACCGATATTTTGAGTTTTTTTTTACTTTCAATTACTTTTTCTAGCATTTTCTCAAGTTTTTATGCCGTTTTAAGCTTGAAAACAAGTTATTTTAGCTATAAAACCATAAGCTTTTCATAATTTTTAGGCATAAAACCTAAATTATGTTTTTTACCTCAAAGTTAACCTTCACTTTAAAAGCATATTTTATCTTTTAAATCTTAAAACTACCCTTAAACTTACGGCAGCCTATCAATTTATGCTAAAACCTATCCTTAAACTTATCACAACCCGTTATTTTAACCCCAAATACAGTCTAACACTTTAAAAATGCCCAAGAATCCGATTCAATTTTATTCAATATATTTTCTATGACATCAAAAACACACAGGGGGACATTAAAATAAAAAGAAAAACGTATGGACGACTATAGTATATACATTTACATCGCACGAGAGACCTTCAAGTGTTGAGTTGCAAACAAAATGTTTAGTCCGGACCTTCAAAAATTAGCATAAACTGGATTAAATCTTAATTTTTCGAACAAAAATCACATTTTTGGTTAGGATTTTGGTCAAAAAATAAATTTTAGCATTAAAAGAGACCAAACAATGAATGTTCTTTTCGAAATACAACAAAATTTAGTAGTAAAGATAACTTTTTTAAGACTAACCGCAGTAAGATAAGGTTTTTAACACCAGACCAGAAGTAGTGGTTAGTACCAAAAACTTAAATTCACCCCAACAAACACCAATGTTTTCCGTCCGAGACCAAACTTTTATAATAAATATTACTTTAGGCTTTTCTGGCCTTCTCCATGTCCCGAGTGAAGGATTCGGAGCGTCGGCGGAACCGATGAAGTGATGGGGTTGCTTGGCGGTGACGTTGTGGTAGAAGTATATACTGTGCCATGATTGGGATATGGTCCGATGGAACGTGGGGATGGGGGAAGCCGAGGATTTTGTTTTCGTTGATCCACTGTTGATCTACCCCGCCCAGGTAGCCCACCTTGTTAAGAGATTGGGGCGATGTGAAGATGTAGTCGATCATTCCCTTGAAGTCATGTGTAATATTGGTGTTGGCCACGTGTTCCTGGCTGATGGCAGACTCCATTTGGAGGGCGTGGGTGTAGTTGAGGTCGGCGTACTCGTTGGTGTTCATTCCGTTCAGTACCATGTCGTTGCGGAAAGACTTGAGGTCGGGGTGCTCTTTGTGGATGATACCTCGAGTTAGGTACTCGAAGACTCCAGAGTCGGGTAGGGAGTTAAAATCGCCACAAATGATTAGAGGGACTTCCTGAAATATCAAAATAAGTCATTCAATTAAAATTCCATCTTAAATTGTTTCTGACGCTTAAACTTTCAAATTTCAAATTTTTTAGAAAACAGATCTTACCGGTAACGCAATTTTGTGTTTCTCGGCCACAGCTTCGATTTGTCGTGCACATTCATGTACCAACATCATTGACTGGATCAACTTAACATCACAAAACTCGGGATCCCAGTGGATATGTGCAGCACACAGTACCAATGGAGTACCAACCACACTTTCCTCAGCATCAGCTCTCGTTGCAGCGTCTTCTGTGTCCATGGAGTTGTCGATGAACGGTGGAGGACCGTCTTTAGCGCGGTACACTCCTGGTAGAACCTCCATGATGGCCATTAGGGCAATGTTGTCCTTTGGCATGACACGGTTGATAATGGCATCACTTTGATAGGCCTTGTTGATGGCTACCTGAGCGAACTCAACTAGATGTTGATGGTTCATTCTGAACTTTTTGTTCTTCCAGAACAACGCACACCCATCCACGTGCTTTCGATCGTCCGAATTCATGGTTTTGGCTCTGGATTTTGGTGCAAAGATACCACTATATCCATGTTCTTTTAGGTTCGGCTCGAACAAGAGTTTGAATTGTTCGGCTTCAACCTCTTGTAGAGCCACAATGTCTGCGTTGTAGCGGAGAATCTCCTTGATGATGGCGTTCTTTCGGTACTCCCAGTTGAGTGCCCATGATGGGCAGTAGGAATAGAGGTTTGTCGTAGCGTATTTGTCGCACAAAACGTTGTAGCAGAAGACCGTAAACTCAGCTACAGGCTTGTCTATACTTGGGTGGGGGATTTTGAACCATTTTCGGGCTGGCGGAGGCTTTGTGTTCGCTGAAAAATTTAAATTTTAACAAAATCTTAGTTTGGATAATATGTTATTTTAATTTTTTGTACTTTTCGTAACAAATTCCCTCCAAAATTATAAAAAACTGAAAATTTAATTTCAATGTTAACAAAAAACTACCACAAAATCCAAAAAATCCCCCTGAAAACCCCAACACTTACTAGCCAAACCGTCCAACAGATGCTGCAATAGCTTTTTCGATCCCTGTGGACTATGCCCGTAACCCAACAACTCTTGAGGCAACGGATTATTCGACACATTCAACGTCTTTATCCTGAACAACTTGCCCAACTCAGCAGGTAACGACTTCAAATGGTTGTTACTCAAGTTCAAATGCATGAGACTGGCCATCTCGCCCATTTCTGGTGGAATCGACCGAAGGTTGTTGTTTGATACATCCAGAATACTCAAATGCGTCAAGTTCGAGATCTCGCGAGGAATAGTGGTCAAGTAGTTGTGGTTCAGAAACAATGCCGTTAGATGTTTCATTGCCAAAATCGACTTGCTTATCACACGAATCGACCCTAAAATACGTTTTAAACGTATATAACAAAAACTTTGTTCAAGGCATAATTCTAATTGTCAGAAAAACTCAAATACCGCCGTCAGACACTAATTTTAATAAGCCACTTGTATTACGAAGAATTTCCTCAAACATTATGTTGTCGTAGATACCTAAACCCAAAACAAAATAAACAAATCTTACCGTGAACTTCCATCTCCAACCACCGTGCCTGTTTCCCTTGACTCAATTCATCCTCACTTAGAATCCGATGAGTTCGTTGAGCTCCGTTTTTTAGAATCTTCCGCCCTTCCGACCCTTCATCTTTTGTTAATGGCAAACCAACTGTCCCAGTGTAATGCCACTCGGTTGACAGTAACGTCCGTTCTTCAGCTAGAATTTGCATGATACACTTTTAATAATTGCTTTAAAATTTTGAGTCATAACTTTGATTTTGAAAAGTTTTCTAACCAAAATTAAAATATAAAAAGTAATATAGAATTATGTATGATGAAAAAGTCTGTAGCAATTGAAGTGTGTGATAGAAAATAAACATAATTAGCCTTTCTTTAAGTCTACACTATTAAAACGCTTCATAATACTTCATAATACCAAAATTTCAACAAAAAACATAAATTATGCTCATCAACTTACCAACTTGAGCCATCGAAGCCAAATTTGCCAAATCACAATATTTCCAATTCGAGCTTAAAACGAGCTTGTGATTTTCAACAAACTAAAGGTTTCAAACCTGAAAGCAACAAAAAGTTTAAAATGGATTAAAAAATGGAGCGCGCGACACCTACTTCAACGGCAGTCAAATCGGTAGACAAAAAACGGCACAATCACATAAAGTTTGTCAAAGAAATCGAGATAACGCAGCTTATTTATGACAGTAACTTGCTCCATATCTATGCTAACCAATATACTTTGTTATTTACGTGTTTTCGTAAAAATATTAAATATTTTGTATATTATCTATGAAAATAAAGTACTGGATGTAATGAAACCCTTGTAAATTTTCAAGAAGTCAAGGAAAACATTAAATTAGCTAAAAATATCAAGCTCTATATAGTAAGAATAGTTTTAATAAAAAACCAAAAGACAAACCTCAACTTGTAACTTCAATACTATAAACCTCATATTATCCATGTGATAATACACAACTAGACATACAATAAATGCCTAAAATTTTTCAAGAATAAAGCAAAGCTTAAAGATATTCCACTAAAAGACAGTTTAAACAATTTTAAACGCCCATAAAAAATTCCAGAAGCCAGGCTCATCCTGTTACAAAACTGCGGAGCAATTTATATTATCCATGCAGTCAGCTTAAGCCTTTGCCCTTAAAGTTCAAACTCTTTGCTTTAAATGTAAGAGTTTTCAAAATTTCATTTTTCGAATGATAGTACCTCTCTCAGCATCACAAGTCATCACACAACCATCAGAAATCACTTCATCCCCAAACTGCAGCCATTTCTTTTAGTTACACTCTGATTTTAAACCAAATATCTCGACGCAAATAAATTATAAACCGCAAAAACAAAAAACAGCCCAAAATTTGTACAAATAACCCACATAACACGAGGGTTGAACCAAATTTCGACCAAAACAAGCACATTTGAATTTCCTTTTTATTATTTTAACAAAATCCTGACACTTCGTCTCATACCAGTGTGGACGGCGCGCTGCCACAATCGATTATTCCAACACTTTTTTGTCGCGTTTCGCCGACGTTTCGTTTTTGGATTTTGCGGTGCATTTTTGCGGTTTCCGGATTCAACGTTCAATCAAAAATTTAGTTTTTGGATTCGAAATTATGTCTAGAGGGTTTTTTGCGGAATTTTTCAGTTATTTTTAAAGTGTTTTCTTATCTATAATATTGGTTAAATGAGTGTTATAATTAAAAATTGTCAGGTGCCGGGGAAAAACCTGAAATTTGTTAGTATTGTTGTTCTTATCAGATAGTTTTTAGCATTTTTTATCTTTTACAAAGATTATTTCTGACTGTTTTTAGCGAGAATTTTAAATTTTAGCTTTTTGTTTGAAATTCCTTTATAGGGCAGACCGTGACTTAAAATATAATTTTTTGTATGTTTAGACGTAACAGTTGGAACTGTTTGTAGTTTGTTACGTCAAATACGTGCTAGTCTACGTATTTTTAGTTTTATTTTTTTATATTTTATATTCAAATTTTTAATTATGAGTTTTTATAAATATTATTTTTTAAATTGGTTGTTTACTTTATTTTAATTATAACTTTGTTGATAACATAGCTAACGGTTTGAAATTTTGGAAATTGTTAGATTGTTTATTTGGTTTTATAATTTTTTAAAAGGGTTTTTTTGAAAATCTTCATTTTTCAAATTACGGTAGTTTTATAGTAACATTATACCCAAAAATTTAAAAAAGGACTACTTACGAGCGTTTTTAATTGGAAAGAAAAATTATTTTGATATTTGATTTATGAATCTAACTTTAGGGAGCATGATCCCTCCAGGAATGCCGCCAATGGTGCCGAACGGCCAGTACCCGGCGCCATTCCCGGGTTCACAACCACAATATAACGGGGTGGCTCCACAACAGTCAATGCCGTTTCCTGGTGTGCAATCCCAATATTCCGCACCAGCTCCACAAAAGTTCGCGGCCCCACCATCAGCAGCACCATTACAGCCACAGTTTTCGGGACCACCTGGGCTACCACAACCGCCTCAAGGAGTACTATCTCAACCTCAAGGAGTACCTTCTCAGCCGCAATATAATGCCGGAGTACCTAATGGAGTAGCACCAGCAGCACCACAGAGTTTCTCAGGGCCGCCTGTAGGACTACCTCAAGGAGTACCATCTCAGCCTCGGGGGGTACCATCTCAACCTCAAAGTGTACCATCACAATCACAGTTTTCGGGACCACCTGGCCTACCGCAGGCACCTCAAGGAGTACCTTCTCAATCACAATATGGAGGACCGCCTTCAGGTGTGCCATCTCAACCTCAATATGCTTCTCAACAAAAATACCCAGCACCAGGTGCACCACAATATCCAGGAATGCCTTCGCAACAACAATATCAATCTCATAATCAACAACAGTACTCTGGAATGCCACCACAATATCAAGGTACGCCACAACAGGGTCCATATGGAGCTCCGCCAGGCATGTACGGCGATGTACCACAACAGGAGAAAAGATATGTGGACCTGATGTTCGAGAGGAACTTGTTGGGATACCCATTTGATGAGAATGTCATCAGGCTGCCGGATACTGTATGTAATCCTCAGACTGTAATGGATCCAAAGTAAGCTTTTAGATTTATCGTTTTTGCTTTTTAGGTAACATCTTTGGAGAATTTTTATAATAACATGTTTAATTATGAAATATTTCTAGAATATTTCGATCCACCGTGTCTGCCGTGCCAGAAACTCAAGAGATTTTGAAGAAAACTCGGATTCCATTCGGCTTAACTCTACATCCTTTTCGCGACATGAAGAATTTGACTGTTATCAATACGAATATTGTCAGATGTCGCTACTGTCGAACCTACATTAATCCTTATGTAATGTTGACGGATAATCGACACTGGAAGTGTAATTTGTGCTTTAGAGTCAACGACTGTAAGTTGTTTTATCTTTTTTTTGGTTTTTAGGTAACAAAAGAGTAATCTTTGGGAAATCGAAGAAATAAAGTGTTAATTAGGAGTTGGATTTTGCGATTTTTTAAAAACTTTATATTATTTTTTAAATTTTATTAAAATTACGAGCTTTTGAACTTTTGTAGGTAACAAATTGAAGAAAACGATAAAGAATAGCTTGTTTTTTGTATTTTTAGGTAATAGATAAGAAGAAAACTATAATACAGTGTTTAAAGCAATATGTAAAGGACGTATTTTCAGTGCCAGACGATTTTTGTTTTGATCCGGTGAAACGACGACCAGGAGATCCACGAGACCGACCAGAGTTGAACAACTCGACCATCGAGTACATTGCCCCACAAGAGTACATGCTCAGACACCCCCAACCGGCTGTCTACCTATTTGTGTTTGATGTGTCGGCTTGTGCTGTTGAATCAGGTAGGTTATTGAAGAGATTTTGTTGTTTACATTGTCATTTTAATATTACTTTGTGTATTTTTTTGGCATTTTAAAAAAATGCTTAAGATTTTTTGGGGTTTTGCCTTTAAAAAGTAGGTACATCAGATTTTTTAAAATTTAAAATAATTTATTTTGCTTAAAATTCGGACTTTTTTTTGAATACTGATGTCTATATTGTTGTAGGCTACCTTCAAACAATGTCCGAACAGCTAGCTCTTAACCTAGATCGCCTACCCGGAGATGATCGCACAATGGTTGGATTCTTGGCGTTTGATGCTAGTCTTCACTTTTTCGAATTCTTTTCTTCATCTCAAGCACCACGACAGCTGATTGTCACTGACATTGACTCCAGCTTCCTCCCAGTACCATCAGGCCTACTTGTAAACCTAAAAGAGTACCGTGAAACTATTCGAGCCTTTGTCAACAGAATTCCACAAATCTTTGACGAACCGACGACTCGTGAGAACGGTCTAGGAACGGCGGTGGAAATTGCTCAGAAAATGTTGCTACAGATGGGTGGCAGGATATCAGTGTTCACAGCATCTAGGCCCAAAGTTGGTCAAGGCGTGCTAAAGCCATTGGATCCGCAGGCTAAAACTCCCATGGGTACTACGAGTGATTTCTACAAAAGATTGGCCTTGGAGTGCACATCGAATCAAATTGGCGTGGATTTGTTCGCTTTCAATAGGGAGTATGCTGACATTGCGACGTTGGGTAAGTTGTTGATATATCAGGTTCAAATAATTCTGTGCTTCATTTCAAAGCAAATTTTTGTGGTTAGGGGCACAAAATTATTTGAAAATTCTACAGGTTTAGAGAGAGGGATGTGGTAATACTTTTAGCTTTTCTCAAAAAGGTTATTGGGCTGAGGCTGATAAGGAATTTAAAAAGTTAGCAATGAGAGCTTCTTGGAGGTGTAAAATGAAGTGATGAACATTTTTTTAGCCGATGCGGTCAAGTTCAGCAGCGGCACGGTATATCATTTCTCTCATTATGATCACATCAGAACGCCGCTTGAGGTGGAACGATTCAGGAAGCTGTTCTGTCGATATATTACGAGGAAGATTGGTTTTGAAGCTGTTTTGAGGATTCGGTGTTCTAAAGGTAATGATGTTTAACTTTTTTTTAAATTTTTGAGATTTTGATTTTTTTTCTTGATTTTTAAAAGTTTAAAAATCCAAATTGTTTAAAAATAAAAAAATTTGGTGATTTTTGAAGGTTTTTTTTAAAATTTTTAATGACAACTTTTTATTTGTGATGCAGATGAAATAAAATATGGGCTTGATGCTTATGAACATGATTTTAGGTCTTGCTCTACATACATTCCATGGTAACTTCTTCGTACGTTCGACGGATCTGTTGGCTGTAGCTAATGTAAATCCAGACAGCTCTTTGTCTGTTCAAGTACAATACGAAGAGGACTTGAGTAATCAAGCAACTGCTTCTTTCCAAGCTGCACTGTTGTACACGTCTTCGAAAGGTAGGTTATGAACACTTATAATTTTGAAATTAAAAGATTTTAAAATTTCAAAAAATGGTTTGTTTATTACTATTAGGTTGTTCTAATGGGCACATAATTATTTGTACAATCCAGTATAATAAAACGTATTATTTTTGGCTTTTGTCGGCTTTCAAAACTATTTTCATCCTTTTTTAGGCGATCGCCGTATTCGAGTACACACCCTATGCCTCCCAATCACCAAAGACATACCGTCGATCTTCAGCAACTTTGAAACCCGAGCTTCGATTGGAATGTTGACTAAAATGGCAGCGGAACGAGCGATTACAGGAGCCGACTCATCGGATGTTAGGGAAGCCTTGATCAACGGTGTTGTGGACACTTTATCAGCCTACAACAGATCAATTGGACTAAAACCGAACTCATTATGTGCACCAGTTCACGGACAACTCAAGTTTTATCCTCTGCTTGTGTTGGGAATGCTTAAACATGTAGGTTTTTTGAAATTTGCGGTTAAAATGATGTTGTTTTAGGCGTTTTGGGGGTATTTTTATTTTTGGTGTTTTTGAAATGCTTTTTGGAATTAAAATTATAATTTTTGGTAATATTATGGTATTTGCCATTTGTTATTATTACTTTGTTATTTTAGGCCGCGTTTTCTGGCCGATCGAACCTAAACCGTGACGAATTGGCCGCCACCTTGTTGTTGTTGAAGAACTCGTCACTGGAGTTGATCCTAAATGAAATGTATCCAGTTTTGTATCCGATTCACGAACTGTCCGAAGCCGTCGAAGTACCACGACTCGGATTGTCGTACGAACGAATTCAAAAAGACGGTGTATATCTGATGGATGCGGGTAGAATTGTCATTATTTATGTCACAGTCAGAACTCGACCTGAGGTTTTGACAAGTTTGTTTAATGTATCGTCGTTTGGTCAATTGGATGAGAATGTAAGGTTTTGTTACTTAAAATAGCTTTTGGGAAATTTAAAGTGGTTTTGAGAGGGTTAAAAGGGGGAAAAGACGAGCTTTTAAGGTTTTGTTAAATAAATTAATATTCTTCGTTTGCAGCAACCATTCGAAGTCCTACCAAACGACCACAGCAAACGAGTACATGACCTGATCAAAGCCTTAAACCTAAAACGATGCCATTACTCGCCAGTCCTTGTGTGCCGTGAAGACGGAGAACGACGACTCTTATTCACACAACGACTAGTCGAAGATCGAACCGAAAACGCTCACAGCTACGTGGAGTTTGTTCAACATATCACACGAGAGGTACAACGGTGATAATGCCAGTTCATATTGAGGATATGGTCGTGTTTTGCATACGTTTTGTATGTGTTTACTGTGTGTAAGATATGGTATAGCGAGAAAACGTGTGATAACGCTGTCTTTTAAGTGATAAAATACTATTTTGGTACGGTAGAATATAAAATTTATATTGTATTTTACTGAAAGCTCTATTTTGTTACCTAAAACACCATTTTTCATATAGGTCATACCTAATTCGGCTGAAGATCGTCGGTTAATAGAAGTTATTAAGTCACTGTGATAGTAATTTAAATATTGTAAGGTGTCGAGTCATTTCTAAATTTGTTGTATTAAGTCTGGAGATTTGAATTTTAAATAAAAGTTGAATATTATTAGGTTGTTCAAATAATTATGTGTCCACCTCAAACCAAATTTTTAGAGTTAAGGGACACAGAATTATTTGAACAGCCAAATAATTCCGATTTTACAGAAAATTTGAATTTTTAGGTCAGGTTTCAAAGAAAATTTGAGTTTTGATCGTATTTTATTCTGGATTTTTGCCGAAATTTGAAAGCGAAATTCAAATCAAAATGTTGTAATTACTGTTCAAAAACAGTAAAATCTTATTTTGTAGCCGAAATTAACTAATCAACGCAATGTTTGTGTTTATCAACTATTTTGTGTGTGTCTTATTACTGTAACAAAGGTTTCAGGGATTTTGCACTGTGCATTGGTTTTTTAAAAATCATTTATGAAAAATATTTTTTTTTTAATTTAAAAATTGATTTTTTGGAATTAATATTAAGTTTTTAGTTTAAATTTTGAAAAATTTATGGTTGGCAGTGCAAAATTTTCCAAAAACGTTTGTCGCGTATTTTACTTGGTATGTTAATTGTAAATCAAGCTCAGTCGTACGGTTAATTTTATTTTGTCTTTTTTTGTTTTAATTATTATTTTTTAATAAAGAAAATTTGAAAAATTGGCTTTAAATTAGAAATATGTGTATATAAAACGAATGTTATACTTGTAGTTGCCACAGATAGAACAAACGAATGTCATACAGTTAAAATCCATTAATATGACACTAAAGCGCTGGTCCAAACCTGCTTTATAATCAGGGTGTCACACTACCTAGGTGCTTTTTGATAGAAGTTTTATTACAAAAGGCGGTCGATTAGCTGCCATTTTGAAGAGGGTGGCACACTATCGAAGTTCATATTAAAAAGGTTTTACTATACTATAAGGAGCTATACGTAGCATCAAGTACTTTATTATTATAAAAAGTTTAATTTACTTTACTTTTACAATTCGAAGTACAAATATATTAAAATTGGATTTGTAAAGAAAATTGTAGCCGAAACCCTTCGACTTTTGCTTTGTTTTTCTCGCAGAACGGTGAAGAGGCACAGCACGTTAAATAAATTGCTAATAAGTGGCTGTTGGGTCACGGTTTTATTAAGTTTTTGCGGTGGCGTTTTGGTCTTAACGAATTGGCTAATTTCACCAGATTTGGGCTCGGGAATTGGCTAGTTTTTGTGGGGGAAAGACTTTTGAGATTATTTTAGGCAAAAAATATTGCTGTGGGTCATTTTACGTTGTACTCTTATGGCCGTAGTCTTTATAATAAAAAGTGTTGTATGTTGTTGTTGAGGCTACTTATGTTTGCTGACTATATTTGAAAGAGGGCCCGCTGGTTTTGCTAAAATAAATGGGCTCAAACCAAGGCTCAAGTAGCGCAGCTTAGGTCCCGCAACAAAATATTTGACTTTTGTGGGCCGGACCGAAATATATGGGCCCTGCTTGTCATTGATACATTTTCTAGCCTAGAAGAGGAGGCTTCTACTCAAAAAATTGAAGAAAGTATAACGGGGGGTGGCTTATTCTGTTTAATTTTGATTTTTTTTATTTTTAAAAACTAAAATTTTAGGCTTGTAAACCACATTTTAGTTTTAATTTTTAAAGTTTTTAGAGCTAGGGCTAAGAATAGGGCTAAAGTTGTTGATTTTTTAAACATTTTTATTTAAAAAATTTGAAAAACAAACAATTGTAAGTAATCATTCCTCTTTCCCAGTTACTTTTGACATTTGCAATCCTTTTAAAACCCAATTTTGACATTTTGAAAAGCATAAGAAACAGTAGTGACACTTTTTATATATAGTAACGGCTGGACTGATGTTCATGTTTCAAATCTCTTGGGTGTTTTTGCTTGGTCCAAATCTAGTTTTTACGAACAAAACTTTTATTCTTTCTTCTACGGCCACAAGAAAAAAACAGAAGGAGGGGGCGCTGTAGTCGGACGGACGGGACGGTAGGGCTACTGATTTGGCTTTAACAGGGGAGGAGGGGGGGGTGAACTTTTTCTAAAAGCGGGAATGGGTATGAGAAGGAATGGTTTTCAAAAAAGGGGGTTGGTATGGGAAGATGTTTTTTAAAAGGGAGAGGATGGGCATGGGAAGGAATGGTTTCGTTTTCAAAGAGAGGGGGGAGGGAGGGGTGGTTAATTTTCTGTTTTAAATTTTTTGTACTTTGGACTGTAGCTAGCGTTTAATGTTTTAAAGTTTCTAGTTAAGGAGGGTTAATTGTGTTTATCAAGCGGAGGTGGGTTAAAATTTTTTTTTAGGAAAAGTAAAATACGATTTTTGAAGTCGGTAGGAAAAATCTTTTTTAAAGGTTATGGTAGGGTAGGGATTTTTTATATCAAAAATAAGCAAAATTCAAAATTCAAAACATTTTTTGGATATAGGTCTAATTTGTACCGTACTCAGCTATTTTTACGCTAAATGTTGTCACTTTTAACAACTAAAACATTTTGATAAGCTTAGCACAAGAAAGTAGAACAACATATGCGAGACAAAGCCCACAAGCAAAGGGACAATGGAAGGAAACGCGCGACATTTCCGAAACAAAACTCCCTTTGGCACGATACTCTCTCTGACTTCGAACGCGCTTAATGCCCTCAGGCTAACGTGTCAAAAGACGATCTGTTGACATGATAAAAGCTTCGGGAGTTTCTTACTTCTAATTAGATTGCAAAGTTTGTTAACTTAAGAGTTGTTTGCAGGCTAATAATAGTTGTACAAGGGAAAAGGTTTTTGGTTTTAGTAGAGAGTACGGTAGATATTGTAAAAGAAATTTTATAGTGTAGGTAGGTTAAGGTGAGGTAGCTACTATAAAAGAAATTTTATTAGGCAATATAGCGTAGGGTAGAGTGGGGGTGAGGTAGCATAGGGCTAGGACTATAAATAACTAGGGCTGAAAATAGGGCTGAAGCTAGGGTTGAGGCTACGGCTGAGACTAGGGCTGTGGCTACTGCTGAAGCTAGGGTTGAGGCTACTGCTGAAGCTAGGGCTCAGGTTGGGGCTGATTCCGATCTTGGTTTTATGACCGGCCCGATATCCACTTCTAGCCAGAGTGGGATAGTTTATCATAACTTGTAGAGCTTTTAAAAGATCTCATAAAACTAAAAAGTTGTTATGTGAATGTACTTTTCTTTAATGTAGGGCATGTTACAACAGTAAGTTTTAAAATTTTTTATGATGCTCTAGGGATGAGTTAGTAAAAGATCTACTGCTATGTATTATGTTAATGTAGTATTGGTTTTTTAACGTTCTAACATGTTTTGAAACTTTTATTTTTTTTTCTAGCTTTGGGGGGGGGGAGGGAGAGTAAAAATTTTTCAATCTACAATTCTATGGACATATTTGTTGCTACTGTGCTTTGGTTTTTGTTCTATGTACTCAAGTTTTTTGTTTTTACTCGAATTTTTTAATTTTGAGTTCTTACGTGTTCATATCATATTAATATTGGGAAAAGAACGTCTGAAAATGAGAAGAGGATTAATTTTGATGGACTTCGGGGATTCGAAGCGGAAGTTTTTTGTGATACAGTAGGGAAACAAAAAATAAAATCAAAAACTTTTTTTTAATTTGTAATAACCTTGGGAAAGAGCAAAGGCAGGGCAAAGGCCGGGCAAAAGCCGGGCAAAGGCAAGGCAAAGGCAGGGCAAAGGCAGGGCAAAGGCCGGGCAAAGGCCGGGCAAAGGCAGGGCAAAGGCCGGGCAAAGGCAGGGCAAAGGCCGGGCAAAGGCAGGGCAAAGGCCGAGCAAAGAAGGGCAAAGGCAGAGCAAGGCAGAAAAAAAATAGTAAATTATATACCCTAGGGGTTACAATTTTAAAATGTACTTAAAAATCACACGCTTTAATCATTTTCAGCGATCAATACTAGAAGACCAAAAAACTTGTTTGAGTACCAAAAGACCACAGTACGTAGCCTAAAATATGTTTCCTCTTCCCTACCACAAGTTATGTTCTTGTTTGGTTGTTATTCATTTTCAGCGGCGATTTTTTATTTTTTCAAAGACGAAAAATATGGCCGGCTTTGTGTCCCACAAAATATCTTCTTGCATTACAATGTGTAGAATAACATAGCCGGGGAGTGGTCTGGGTTGGGTTATTTATTGTGGCATGATCTGTGTTTGGGTATTGTAGCTGGGGCTGAGGGGATGGGAGGGTCGTTATACATGGCTTTAAATTTACTATAGATTTTTATTAGTAAAGTCGTTTTTTGACCGGTTACTGTAGTTTATCTACTATAATATAAGCCTACCTCAAGTTGGACTGAAATATTTTTTAAAATTTTTAAATCTGCTGTTACAGTATTCTTATTTTATATTGAAACACGTTTTTTTCAAAAATTGCGTTATAAAAGGCCTTAAAAAAGTTCTGTCGTTTTTCAAACTGCAAGCCTGTGCTAAAAAACGACAAAAATTTTTGAATGATATTATTATGGCTTGAATATCAAAATATTCAAATTAGAAACTAAAAAACCATTTTTTAATACTCATATCTGAACCCTAAAACATCACAAAGACCCATAGCTCATCAGAAACCTCTCGTATAAGGTATAAAATGACGGCTATGACATTAAGATGGTCATTGTCTATACCCATTCCTATTAGAAAACGTAGTAAATTCAATTGTCTTGTTTACGACACACGATATAATACAGAATAATGGTTATAGTATGCTTTGTTTGTTATTTGTTACATGGTAATAGTTTGAGTATGAGCTGTTGTTTATTGTTGAAGGGTGATTAGGGTTACTTCCGCCGACTCGAAAGTAAGACAAATCTGTTTTTCTTGAGGGTTTTGGAACGGAAAACCAAGGTTTTGGCCAAGAATGGGTTGAGCTTGATGCAGAAACTTTGTTTACAAATTGGTTTTTGGTTTAGTTAAGGATAGGCGAAGCCTACAGTTAAAGCTGAGACAAGGGGTGGGACTGGAGCTGAAACTAAACCTGAAGCTAGGCCTGATGGTAAGGATAAGACTAAGGTTAAGGCTAAGGCTAGAACTAGAACTAGAGCTAGAGCTAGAGCTGTGGCTGGAGCTAGAGCTGGATCTAGGGCTAGGGCTCTGGGCAAGGGCTTTGGGATAGGACTTTCGGCTAGGGCGAGCCTACTCTGTTTGGTCTAGGCCCGACAAGACTAGGAATAAAAAAAATTTTTTCCTAAAAAAAATTTCCAGCTAGTCTGCCACTTTATTATCTATACTGTATATCTTACGACACTTACCACAAGGCTTCTCAAACTATCTCTACCCTTAATTGTGTGTCCTTTTATTTACAATTTTTGCTAATCCGGCTGGCAAGAAAGCGGCCTCAACACAGATTGGTAACTTTGTTTTCTTCGTATTCGACAGTGTAAACACGAGATATTAATGTCAACGCTTCTTAGATTACTTTGTCTAGTTATTTTTTAAATTGCCTTAAGGCAAAATCGGTTTTAACTTCCTTCAATTTTTTTGCAGTACCTTTCAATTTAAAAATTATTGCTTTTTTAATTTAAAAAAAAGTCTTGTCGCTTTTAAGCTATGAAGTCAGTGATAATCTGCGACAAAACTTTTTGTGCCAGTTTAAAACTGGCCTTTTTTAATTTTTTATAAAAAATAAAAAAAAATTTCAAATTTCAAAGTACCACCTATTTACCCCTCATTACCCACCATGTTTACTGTGATATCCGTCAAAACAAACAATTTGCTCCAATGTGCCAAATCCAATATGAGCCCAAAGCTTTTCCAATGTGAGACCGTTCTTATATTATACATATAAGGACGGGCTCATATTGGTATTTTTCAAAAAGATTCCGAAAAACAAGAGAATCTTTGATGTGTCCGAATATATTAAGGAACATCGGCACATACGATTCATGTTGTCTTGAGCAATTTAGGAGGGTCGTTAAAGTTTTAGTGCCATCAACTTTGGCACGCCTTTTTGGAGAGCAAAAGATGCGTTTCTTACGGGAGGAGGGGGTTGGGTGGGTGATGAAATTAGGGAGTGAGTCAGGGTGAAGGGGGGAATGGGGTAATGAAACTACAAGGTGAGTCAGGGGTGGGGAAATGATGAAAGTAGGGGGGTAAGTCAGGGTGGGTGGTTTTAATTTTTTTTCGTTTTTAGACTAAGATTGTTCTACCTACCCTACCCTATCCTACCCTACCCTACCCTACCTTAACCTACCGTAATTTACTTTACCGTACTTTGCTTTACTTTCTCTTACTCTCCATACTTTTGCTTTCAACCCTATCTTTGTTTGCCCTCCCTTGTCCTACTTTATCATTATTGACCCTAGTCTACTTTTCCCTATCCTATCCAACTACTCCCTCTTCTGCAGGCATTATCAATGTTTTAATGATTATCTAGTTTAAATAAGTAGTACACAAGCTTTTTGTTTTTTATTAAAACAACTAAATTCAAAAAGGCACGTTCTGTTTTTTAAATTTATGCTATTCACGTTGAATCCAAAGAAGCACGTTTAAATTAAAAAACAACTCCTCAGCTGTGTTGAACAGCTATGATAAGAATGCAACTCATGTAAATTAACCAGTTTATATGGTAATTAGCCTCGGAATACTCAATTCCCATTTGCATACTGTTTCCGCATCGTGCTGTGTTTGACAGGTTTTCCATTAAAATTTGTTTCTATCTGTCACTCGCAGCGTTCGGCATACATTTTCAGATATCTGTTGGAGAGAGTGTTTCTAATATTTAATTCCGACCACGTTTCCCCCCGCCTGAAGACGACTTGATTGTGTGGGAATGTGGAGATATGGGGCTAGGAGATAATACTCTATTATAAGGGGTTGATAGTTAAAGCTTAAGAGGTTGTATGATAAAGTTACATAGTTTTGTGATGGCTGTAAAATAAAGACGTGGTTATGTGAAGATAGTATAAAAAGTATAAAATAGTATCTGAAGTAGATGTTAACGGTCATATTTGTCAAAACTTTGTGTGTGGTCTGAAGTTTTTTTGAAACGAAGATGAAGATGAATAGATTTCGACTATAGTACGTAAAAATTGAAACTTTTTTGCAAGAAATATTATGTAAGTAGTAAACAAAGGGCTGGGTTATAATGATAAAGGCATTTTAATGGGTAAGGTATATTTTTAATAAATAGGGTAAGGCAAGGCAAGATATATGCTAGACTAATCCTGTAAAGCAAAGCAGGGCAGAAAAGTTTAGTAGATGGGACATATATTAAGAAATGGTTGTAGAAGAAGGCAGGATAAGGAAAAACATTTTAGTGGGTAGGGAGGTCTGGTGGGTATAACATAGTAAAATAGGGCAAAACAAAGGCAAAGCATAAGCAGACGAAAGGCAAGGCAAGGCAAGGCAAGGCAAGACAAAGCAAGGCAAGGCAAGGCAAGGCAAGGCAAGGCAAGGCAAGGCAAGGCAAGGCAAGGCAAGGCAAGGCAAGGCAAGGCAAGGCAAGGCAAGGCAAGGCAAGGCAAGGCAAGGCAAGGCAAAGCAAGGCAAGGCAAGGCAAGGCAAGGACAAAAGTACGGAAGGGCTTTTTTCTTAAAAAACACTAAAAACCATTTTTAAAAATGTGTGAAAATCGAACGCAAAAGAGCAAAGTAGAACACCAATGTGAATAAATATCAAGATGTTTGATTTTTTAAAAACAGCTGGATTTTGTCTATTTTAAAGATTTTTAATGTATGTGGAATGGTAATTATTGTCTGTACAAATCTCATTTGTGTTTATTTTTTTATGAAAATATGTGTTGTTTTAAATTTTTGTCAATTTTTTTGTTTTAACAATTTTTGTCCGTCTGGACCGTGCTTTTACTCTGCCTTTGCCCTGCCTTTGACCTGCCTTTTCCCTGCCTTTGCCCTGCCTTTGCCTTGCCTTGCCTTGTCTTTTCCCTGTTTTTGCCCTGCCCTTTACTTTTTAAAAGTTTTATTAAAGTTTAGGCTAGTTTCTTTCTTGTTAGTACAAAAAAACTTTTGAAAAAGGTAAATTCTTTGATTTTTTTGTTATGCCTAACTAATTTATCGTTGCTTCAAGAGATTTCAATAAGATGTTGTGTCCTTTATTAAGGCCGCAAAGTGTTTTTGCAATACTCTTTAAATGGAAAAACGTATTACGATGTTTTGCTTGTGTCATAATGTTGAAAACATCTTTTTATATATTAGTAGAAAATTTTTAAACTTTTGGAGATTTCAAAATTCAAAATTATTTTTTAATTTTTAAGCTATTTGCAATTAAAAATTTAAAAGATGTAAAGGTTTACTCGTATTTTACATTACGGTCATCGTGTTTTAAATTTCTGTCTCCATTTTTTTAACTTTTCATTTTGTTACAGTACCAACATGTACTTCTTCTTTATATTGTTGTTGTACGGTGCGACAGCTCTCGACTACCCGGAGCCCACTCGAGATTTCCTGGCTCTAAACAAAGAGCACTTCATTAGAGTGTCACCGTACTCGGATGTCGCATTCTACGTCATCAAGTTGCCAAAAGCGAATCAACCCCTGTTCATGTATATTACACCATGTAGCTCGTCGGTACATTGGCAGCTTAGGATTCCGAATCAGTTTAGTGAGTCAAAAGGAATTTATATATGGTTTAAAAAGATCTTTGAACTTAAAAATTAAGGTTTTAGAGTCAAAAAGTAGAGAAAAACAGGTTTCAAACAATCGTGTTGGGACCCAAAACCTAAAATTTTTTCGCAAAAATTTTTTAAAAAATTATTTTATCTTATTGTAGTGTATTTAAAAACTGATTTTATAAATGCTCAGATTGCTTTTATACCTAATTTAACCTAAAATGTGTTCTATTATGGGTCCCACCGCAAAAACATGATTTTAAAAAAACCGGGCCAAAACCTTTTAAAAACACTTTCTGACTTAAAAATACTTACCTTAAAACAATTTTTAGTAATGAGCCCATACCTACCTTCCCACTCCCAGCACTTTGATCACATATTACACATGCGAATACCTCCGTTAATCGAATACCACAGTGATATGCAACTTCACGACCACCTCATTTTGTTAGCTGGTGAAGAGAACGATAAACGAATGCACTTTTATGCAAACGCAATTGAAGCCGATTATGTTGTGTTAAATATGACGGCCGAACGGTTTACCGCGGTACAGCTGTTTGTGAGTACGGATCAAGATACGATGGATCGGTTTTACCCAAACTTGGAAAAAAACAACAAGTTTGAGGTAAAAGTAGAAGATGCTGGACACATTAAAGAAGCTGTAGAGGATAGTTACCGTAAATATGATAGTAGGGATAGCAAGTTATTCGGTGATATTGACAAAGAAATTCAAGAAAATGACGGTTTTGGTCAGAATGAGGCAGCAAAAACGGTTGATATTGACAAAACAAGCCAAAATAAAGCAGAAAATCATAATGAAGTACCAAGAAGATACCCGAAAGTAGCTTTAGAAGATGACAACTTGGGATTATTGTTGCCAAATATTGTAAAAAATAAGGAAAAACCAATAAAAACGCGGCAAAAGTTGCCTCCAAAACATCAAAAATCGCTTCAAAAACGGTCGAAAATGCCAAAACCCAGTCAAAATTTGATGTCACAGAATGGGCAAGAATCAGAGAGTAAAGTTACAGTAACTTGGACACCCCCAGATTATGCTGTAAAATCTCCAGATGCTTTCAAATATTGTTTGTTGGTCAACGACCATCAAAATGAATATGCAATGTGCGAACACTTTAATGTTGACATTGATTACATTCATTGTGTACATGGTAATGCGTCGGACATGACGCTGAAAACATTGGAGTAAGTTTTGGTTTACTTAAAATTTGAGTTTGGATAAAAATTTTACTAAAAAATAAGATTGAAAGGCTAAACTATCAATATATACCTTATGTATAAGATAAGATGATTTCAGGCCAAACAAGAAACACTACCTAACGCTTTTCTTGATTAATCAAAGAACAAAAGGAAAAACAGCTTATATGACTCAAGAGATTACTATTAAAGGCAAAGTCAAAAAAGAAACTCCTTTATTAGGACAAGAAGCACTGGTAAGCACCTATGACAATATAATACTATGTAAACATTTTTTAAATAACAATCAATTTTATATAATTTAAAATAAAATTTCTTTTAGGATATGACCCTATTTGACTCAGCCTTGTCATCACACACTCTACCACTACCCAAAGGGTCGTATGTTAACCATACCTATATACCTAACAAGTCATCGGATTCAAATGAGGTAAGTTGAAAAAATCATTGCTTTTACTGTACAAAAATACAAAAGCTAATGTTAAAAATACTATTTAAGATCTATTTTTATTTTTATGTCTTCGTTTTTAGATAGTTCTACTAATAAACTCATGTAATGGGTACATTTACACTGAAGTGCTAAGAAACGACTCTTTAATATACAAATCTGCCAGTTTTATTGGATTTAAACGGTAAGAAGGATATGAAAATTACTCTACAAGACTTTTTGCCTTACATTTTAAAGTTTTTTATATTCAACGAAATGTCACGGAAATTATTGGAAAAATGAACGAAGTGTCACAAAGTTATTGAAATGCGGAAAACGTTATTTTTAATGGAACTGCTTTTAAATAACACAAAATAAACTTTTTAGTAGTTTTCAGCAACGATTGACTTGTTTTTTTAAACTAGAACGAAATGTCACAAAAGTTATTGGAAATCTTAAAATCTTATTTTCACTTTTTTTAGATTTGTGATCAAAACCAATAATACAGACGTGTTAAAAATTAATGTAATAAACGACGACAATGTGCAAATACGATATTGGATATGGGTTTCGTATAATGAAGACAATTCGCCATTTCCATCATTACCTTTCGACCGAAGCATTCGACTGGTCGAAAGGCAGTGCATTTCGGTCAAACTGGAATGGCTAAGGGCTAATGATGATGAAAACACACGGTATTGTGTTCATATCAAGGTTGGTTGTAAATGGCATTGTTTTGAATTTTTTAATTCTAAAAGTTGGTTTAAATTCTTAAAAAATAGGTAAAATTTAGAAAAATGTCGAGTTTGATTTGTTTAAAAATTCCTTTTTATTTAGATTTTGACTTTTTTAGAAAACTGAAAATTCTCTATTATTTAAATTAAGAAAATCTAAAATTGATCAACTGTAAACAAAGTTATTGCATTTTTATGAAAGCCACTTAAAATTCCTGAAAATGGTCAAAAATTATTTAAAAAACTCATTTTTAAAAATTTTTAAATAGTTTAGAAACATTTTTTAACTTTTCTAACCCTGCAAAGCCTGGTCTATCATATAAAAAAGAAAAATCAAAATTTGACCAACTGTAAACAAAGTTATTGCACTTTTTAGGAGAGCCGTAACGACTACCTGACAGATATTATAAACGAGCCGTCTCAAATGTGTTGGTCCCAAATGCCAGCCGGTCGAAAAGTGCTGTGTGTGACACCAAAAGACGCAGATTTATCTGATCTACATACTCCTGGATTTTTGGATCTCCAAACTACAGTAGACTCGTTGAAGAGTGCTACTATCTACAGGTTTGACTTGTCGGTTTTGAAAATCGGTCAGCCTGACGCACAGCCTTTGCCGTATCGGCCAATCTTTGTGCGAACGTTGAAGGATTGTTAGTTGATAGTAATGTTAATATATTGTAATTTTGTATATACATTCGGTTTTGATTGCATTACATTGCAACTGAAGCTCATGTAAATATAATACTGTTTAGTATCTAGTTATATTATGTATAAGTATCTATCTAGTTGTATATAAGTATTTTAATGTTGTTTGTATAGCCTAATATACGTGTTTTGAAAGTAGTAAATAATTACAACGAAATAAAATGTCAATTTTATATAAATCAATAACGAAATGCTAATTTCGATAAAAACCAATAGCGAAATGTCAACTTTAGTAAAAGCCAATAACAAAATGTTACTTTTGGTAAAAACCAATAACAAAATGTCAAAATTTCAAAAAATTGATAAGAAATTGCCACCTGTCAAAAACACAAAATTTTCTCGTATCGTATTTCACAAAGTTCAATTTTTAAGTAGTAAAACTTTATTGTATATGTTCAATACAATAACATATGTACAGTTTCGTGTACTACAAGGTAATAAAAAATATTAAGAAGATAGTTTTTGTTATCTTAGATTGAGCTGTAAATTCATATGTCAAAAATGCATTCAAAGTGTCATTGATATGGAATCTGAAGAGAGCAATGATATGTGTAATGTCAACTTATAGGCATATAGGTATAGGGATACCTATAATAGGTATAGGTATACCGATAACCCCAAAGATTTAATAGATAAGAGTCAAAAGATATGAAATGCATTATAGTAACTTTAGTACGTGTATTTATGTACTCAAAAAGTATAACTAGACTTATCAGTATTTTGAAAAACCATATTTATACCTAAAACTATATGATAGACTTGAATATCTACATCAATATGTATAAGTTTCAAAACAAGAGTAAAGACTACAGTAAACATGCAAATACCTATAGAAAATACAATGTAAAGCAGTTTGTTTTTGTATCAAATAATCGAATTTCAAAAAATTTCAATTTAAATTATTGAAGTCCTTTATTAGGTTGTTCAAATAAGTTTGCGCCCCTTTCCAAGCTAATTTTAAGGGTCAGGTAGCGCAGAATTTTTTGAACAATTTCATAATTTTAAATTTTGAAATGCTCAAATTCCGAAAAATTTTTTAACTTTAAAATTTTTAAAATCTAACCATTTAGCCCATGCTGACTTTAGCCTGCAGCCCAGGCACATTGATTGGCTGAACGGTGTTCGATCGATGCTTGGATGGCTCTCGAGAGAACTCATTGCCAGTCCATGGGGCCGGATCAGCTGAGCCCATAATACAGAAGATACAATTTGATATGAACAGTATCACTGACATAGTCAAGAACACGATTCGCCATTGTTCTGGAGTGTTCTCCTTGGCTATACCATCAACCAGGAATGGCACAATCAACATTGTTATGGTAATACCTAAAAAGTCAAAAGTAAGTTTATAAATTATAATTTAACGTTTTTTTGAATAATATTTTTATAATTTATATACAAAAGAAAAATAATTCTTAAGGTTTGCGAAATGTCAGAAAAATTATTGGAAAAGATACGAAATGTCACAAAACTTATTGATGACAAAAGTTTGTCAAAAAATAAATCAAAATAACCTTAATATAAACAAAACTTTAAAATTTTTTAGTCTTTAATTTTCCTTGATTTTGTAACGAAATGTCACAAAAGTTATCGGAAAGTTTTAAAATTATCGTTCATGTTTAAAATTGCTGCAAAATGAATTTGACCTTTACGTTTACACCCTCAGGCAAAAAAAGTCCGTTTCCAACTTACCAAGAGAAATATTACCAGTAACGAAATGACTGTATTGTTTTGAAACCAATGGCCCTGCCTTGAAGAATCCCCCAGTTGTGAAGCCAAGAGCTCCAGCAGCCACCCCGAAGATGAACAAGCATGCTGTAGGTATACTAGTAGGGAAGAAGGCCAAAACCGTCAAGAAGACAGCACTTCCAAAGAAGGCGATCGAGTTGTAAGTTCGAAGTTTGTTCGTTTCTGATAAGCATTTGATCTTATCAGAAGAGAATCCGGCCAAAAGTTTGAGTAGGAACTGAGCCAATGGCGCTACAGCACTTGAGATACCACTACTGTGTACGGGGAAGTGTAGCACAGCATTCATGTAGGTGGGAGAGTAGAGGAACATCATATTGACACACATGAAGTTACCCAAAGCAGCTAGCCAGACTGCCCAAACTGATGGCGTGGTTAGGATTTCTTTGTACGGAATGGCGCGTTGTTCTTTCTTCGACATTTCTGTTTTGCCTACTGCGATTTTGCCAAGCTCAACTTGGCCTACGAAGGGATGTTTTCCTGAAAATTGAATTTAAAGTTAACATATGTGATTAATATACATTACAGAGTATGAAAAGGCAGAGCAAAGGCAGTGCCAAACAGACCCCATATCCTCTTCCTTACCCACACTATCTACCCTTCTTTACCCATGCCTGTCTATCTTTATATGCAAATTAGACTTACTAGGACTATTCCGATAGAAAGTACCAAACAGTATGAACATGAAAGTGCTGAAGATCGCGTGGAAATAGAACACGCTAGGCCACTTCCATGGACTGGTACACAACGCTCCACTAATTGGCATAGTCAAGGCGGGTGACAACTGAACATAAGCCACAAGAACCGAGACAAACAATCCATTTTGTTTGTAGTATGTCCATTTGAAGGTAAAGGCTCCAATCACCGGGAAGTTACAAGCAAACGCCACTCCTTGCAAGATACGCGCTCCCAACGTGTAGTAAAAGCCGTTTACTATGCAGTAAGGAAGGGCGGCAGTGGCGGCGGCTGAAAGGAGGCCAAGGAAGGTGAAGATGGTGCGAGTGCCGAATCGACTGACCTGAAATTTAAAATTATTTTTAAAATTTCAAAAAAAACTAAAATTTTTTTTATTTTTAAAGTTTTCTTAAAATTTTCAAAAAAAAAATTTTTTAGTGGTTCTTCCTTACCAAATTAACAATAACAAAGTTGGCGACCAAAGCACTGGCCGCAACGGCCGACGTTAGGTAACTCTTTTCCCGACCGGTAAATATCGTGGCTCTCGAAGCGAAATCTGTCGCATTTGAAGTAGAATTGTCATGTTCACCAAAACAAATGACCGCGAAGTTAAAAGCCAAGATATTTGACCAAACACTAGCCAAACACAATAGTACCATTATCATTATCAAGAATCTGGTACGAGTTTTGAAGACTTTGGTACAGCCGAGAGTGAAATCACCTTCTTCACGGTGGCGGCGGAGGGAGGCCTAAAATTAAGTGAAATTAGACCAAAACAAGATTTTACTAAAATGACGTAAGGTTTTCGTGGCTTATATTTAGTTTTGTTTTTAAATTTTCGAATTCCCGCTACTTTCGAAAGCTTGGCATTGTGTTGCAAGCTTTTATAATGACTTTTTGAACTGTTTTAAATCAAAAAATAATCAAAAATACTACTAAAACGTTTTTTTATATAATTTTAACCCTCACTTTCAAACAATTTCAAATTCTCGCCATTTTTGCATTTCTTGGCATTTTGTTACAAGCCCTGTTCTGTGACACAAATGTCAAGCATTTAGTAAAAAACGTACCGAGATAGCTTGAGTAATCGACCGAACTGATCCTAAAGCCGAAGATTGGCCGCTTCCACGTCGTTTGCCATTTTTAGCTGGCTCTGGGTTCAGATCCACATTGGTTTCCACCGTGTTCTCTGACGACGTCGATGAAGCTTTGCCCATCTTTGCCTGAAAAGGAGGTGTTTGTTGTATTTTACAAAAAAATGACAAAAATTTTTTTACACGTGAGAAATGGCCATGTTTGTCAAAAAACAAAAGAAAAAAATTTTACAGCAAAAACTTTCTTTACAAAAAAAATAAACTGCTATAAAAATGTTATAATAGAGCTTAGCTTAGCCTGGACTAGTGTTTTGCCGGTCCAGACCGTCCAAAACAACAAAACAAAAACTTTCAGTCCGGACCGAAAAAAGTCTTATCCGGACCGGTTCGGCAAAACACTAGAATGGACATAATTAAATATTATAAATACAAGGATACATATTATAGTCAACAAGGTTAAAAGTATAAAACTGTGAAAATTTTTGGTTTAATGATAAGAACATGTGCTTACCAATATAAGTTTCATGACTCAAAAATTTTATTTTATTTTTCTATACTCTAAACCAAATTTTTGACAACTAGCCCAACAAAACCCCATCCTACCCAATACTAACCCAACTTACCTCAACTTATTTTACCCTACCTCACCGTACCCCGTCATACCTTATCCTACTCTATACTACCCCACCCTACCCTACCTTGCCCTACCCAAAAATTTAAAAATGACTTTACTGTAATATATTCGATTAGAATTACTTGTCAGAAAATATATTGTAACTATGCTTTCCGGTAACATTACATTGTGACTATACCTTTGGGAAAAGCATTGTGAAAGCTGTTACAACAAATTCATCTTTAAGTTCTAACCGAAAGAAGAGACTTTCTTGTACAGAGAACACCCGTTATCTTGTTATAGACTAACTTTATTACATACAACAAAGAATTCTAAAAAAATCAAAAATCAACTTTAAAAAACTAAAAGTAGCAATTTTAAGACGTGAATACACTTTTACAGCAAGTTCATTGTTGATTAAAATTCCATAAAGTTTAAAGCGCAAAGTTGTAAACGGTCAAACGCAAAAAGAATATAACTGAGAGCTGTGAGACCCATCAATAACCGTTACTTTTTTATCAACCATGGTATTACACTTGTTTCTTAGCCAAAGCAATAGGTTTTGATTGAAAGACTTTGTTCAATAAATAAAAATTTTTCCATCCCCAAAAAATTTTTACCACCCCCAAATTTTTTTCCTGGAAAAGGGAGAAGAGGAGGAAGGGTCTCTCCCCTCCACTCTACTTCCTTTAGCCCATGTCCTACCTGGTCGTGCAATCAAGCAAGTGTGACTAAACGACCAGCCTTCTGCCAACCCTTGCTAAATAAGATGTAGGTTCCTTTTTCAAGTCTAATAAACCAAACTGATCTCTGTCAATCTCAAAGGTCACAAGCCGTGTTTTACATTAAGAAAAAATGACTTGAAGAAACAAGAAATTTGCATAAAGCCATCAGATCTTTGGTTTAGCGCGCTCTCTGTCACTGATCTCGTATCTGTTTTTAACACACTATTTCTCAATTTTACTTGATACGATTTGATGCGCATTGTAAAAAGCTACAAAAATGGCATTTGGCATAGACTGGTAGACAAACAATAACACAGAATTAAAAAATTTTGAAGTAAGGTATGATAAGGTACAGCGTGATTGGGCAAAAAGTTAGGTTTCATGGATAGGGTAGAAAAAAGCGGGGTAGAGAGAAGCAGAATAGGGTAAGGCATAGTAAGGTAGTGTAAAATAGGGTACAATATAATACAATAAGTTAGAGCAAGATAAGGTAGAATAGGACAAGGTAACGTGATGATATGGTAGACTAGAGTAGGAAAAAGTAGGATAGGAAAAATTTCATCTAATACTCCTACCTTCTTTACTGGTACTGATACTTTTTTCTGCTCGCTTCTTCTAAAATGCCCTGCGCTATGAAGTACGGCCTCTTTACTACCTTCCCCTTAGTTTCATAAAACCAGTATCTTTTACTAAATCCCAACCAAACATACCTAATTACACCTGTAACTCAAATCCAACTGTAAACCAACCATACCGATCCCGACGAATTTACCCCACCCAGCGCATCATCAAAAGTTTAAGTTTAGATAAGAAATAATTTGTAATTCATCATCGTGTCGTATTTCCGAGACCGCCATTCGTTTTTTTCGACGTTTCACGCAAGAGTCGGCGGATATCCATGACGTTTGTTATGGTGCGCATTGAACAATAAGAAAGTTTGTCATAGTGTTACGGGAGTTATTAGTTTTGTCTTCAATGTTGCTTACTAAACAAGGTTGTAGAGCTACATCAAAGTGATTATATAAGCTTATTACACAAGGTTTGTACACTTAATATTAGGTTGTTCACTTAATTCTGTCCTCTTTCTCGAAGCTAAGCACAGAATTATGTGAACGACTTAATTAATTCTATAATAGTATTTAAGGAACAGAAGCAGTACGACAAAAGTTGTGTTACAAAGAAAGTACCCTACCTGCCCCGCTCAGAATCGACTCAAAATTTTTATATGAATTCCTTATACCACAATAGTACCAATAAAAAATTTTAGCTGGCGCTTTTGAATTTTAACTTTCAAATATTTGGGTTGTCGCCAGTTTGGCAAATTTGGCATTGTGTTTCAAGCACTTTTTTTACTTTCCAGCTAAGCTACACTTACAAATTTAAAAATTTAGGTTCATTTAAAGGTTTTCTACTAGTATATCAAAGAAAATTGCCTAAAAGTCAAAAAATGGCAAAGTTATAAGCTTGAAACACAATGCCAATTCCGCGATGAAATCAAAAAATAATTTTTTTGTTAATTCCCAGACATCGGTTTTCTCAAGAATGGCTGCAAACTTAGTATTTTTCATAAAACTTTACATTTATTATATCAACTTATAATAGAAAAGTTTAAACTAACCCTGAGCGTTGCCGGTCAACGCTTTATTTTTGTAAACACACTACAGTAAATTTACATCTACAGTAACCCAAATAACTCAAAAATCCTTCAAAACAACCTCCTCAGACTCGAAAACCTCACCCTTTCTTCCCTCCTCTCCTCTGATCTCCGGAACGTTGACCAGAACCCCGTTCACAGTCCACCAAACATGCCTTTTATAGTCCGCCACGGCGGAGAACGTCGGCGAACTGAAAGTTCACAATTCTCGGCAGTAAATAAAAACCCAAAAAATGGAAATGTCATCAGCACTCAATGTCATCCCAACCAAAACACGACCGCGGTCTTTGAGTTACCATCGACCTGTCACTTTACTGTTCCATTTATTTTGTTTGACATTGCAGCTTTTTGTAATTCTTTCTTAATACCCACGGTTATGGAATACGGTAACAACATATAAGAGAACATATTGAAATTTGAAATCAGTTTTGAAGTAAAAGAAGAGAGGTATATCACGTGTATGGTATATACGTAACAATATTAATAATTCGGTCGGTAAGGGTGAAGAGTTGACACATTTTCTGCCATAACTTGTTTGAAACATCAATTTAAACCCTAAAATTTCTTGCCATTTTAATTATTTGTCAACAAACCCCAAAAATTTCAAATCAAAAAACTTTAAGTACAAGAAATTACAGTAGTTTTACCGTACGCACCCCAACATTAAAGACTTCACACTGAAAAAAAATTAATTTTGTAAAATAAAATTTACAAATAAAAAACCAAAATTAAGAACAAGCAGCCCTCACATCATCGTAAAATTTTATCTTGTCAATTTGTTTTTGAACTTCCACAAATGAAAGATGATAAGCCGGAAAGATGAAAGTTTTCTGACATTTTAATAATATCATTGATAACATGTCATCGAGCAAAGTTAGCTTTTTATTTACAAGCTTATTAAAAAGCTTGAATTAAAAATTGATGTTGATAAGGTATTTTTAAACTTAAAAGTTACAATTTTGAATTTTTATGTAAATCATTGAATATGGTTTATAACTATTTTCACCTTTAAGTTTTTATTTTACAAAAATTTTAAAAAAATTAAAAAAACAAACGAAAAAGCATACAATATTTATAAAATTACATTGAAATTGCCTACAATATTCAAATCATTTATAAATGTTTGAAACCAAAAACATGTACAAAAGAATTTGGTCCCACCACGAAAACAAACACAAGCCAAAGACAACGTGGCTTTCCGCAAAAATAAAAAAAAACCCGCCAGCTGGAAGTAAAAGGTGGAATAATCGGGTCGGAGGCTAAAACTAAACCAAAGTTTCAGAAGTTTTATTGATATCTACGTGATTAACATATCTTTTTTGTATTTCTCGTGAATTTCCGATTTTTAGATATAAATTTATAGGTAACAAACGGATAAATGTTATAATGTGCTTTTTGGATAATTTTGAGTTTTTTGATGTCGTGTACTTACTTTTATGTAATTTGAGCATCTTTTCAATATGAATTATTGAATTTATTTAATGTTGGTATTAAAAAGTATTAATTATATTGTTTTAGGTAACATGTATAATCCGGGTCAACAACAGAACTATCCTCCGGGTTATGGCCAACCTCAGGGCAACTTTGGAGGACCACCTGCACCACAACCTCAATATGGAGCTCCGACTGCACCACAGCCTCAATATGGAGCACCTGGAGCCCCACAAAGCCAGTTTGGTGCACCTGGAGCTTCTCAAGGACAATTTGGTGCATCTGGAGCCCCACAAAGCCAGATTGGTGCACCTGGAGCTTCTCAAGGACAATTTGGCGCACCTGGAGCTTCTCAAGGACAATATAGTCCGACTGGAGTCCCACCAGCGCCGTTTGGTGCACCTGGAGCTTCTCCAGTTCCGTTTGGAGCACCAACAGCACCGCAAGGACAATATGGCGCACCAGCACCACAAACATTTATGCCTGGATCTCCTGTAGCTGGAGCACCACCTCAAGCACCAATTGGCTTTGCTCCACCACCGCTTCACCGTTCTTCAGCACCAGGATGGAACGATCCACCAAGTACCGTGACTAATGCTCACAAAAACCGACTTCATAACATGAAACGACCTTTGGATCCTACAATTACTGTAAGCGTTTTTTTTTGTTTTTTTTTGAATTTTAGGTGATAATTAAGGAAAAAGAAGGCAGTATTGGTGTGATATTCGGATCGAAAACTTATTTTATTGTGAGTTTGGGTAATAAAACTTGTTTTTTTTTTCAGAATCCAAGTTATGGTGGAGCTTACGGCGGCTACGCGCAACAACAATATGGCCAAGGTGGTTATGGACAACAGCCCGGCCTTCAACAACAAAACTCTTTTGATCAATATCAACAAGATTACGGTCAACAACAACAATATCAGGTGCGGAATTGAAATCTTTTATGTTTAGGCTTTGGTTTAATATTCATTATGGCATTTGCATAAAAATAATTTTAAATTTTGTTTTTTATGCAAATTTCCTTTACTTTTTGACCTTTTACTTTGCAGCCAGCTGCGGCGCCTTATGGTCAACAAATGGGCCAAGTTTCTGGCCAACAGGCGCCTGCTCAACCTTTTGCGGGTCAAATCTCTCCGAATGTCGGGTATCAACAACAACAGGTATCTCCACCACAGCCTGGAGCACCTGGTTTCGGTGGTCAACAGTCTGGTACACCTGGTTATGGTACTCAACAGCCTGGAGCATTTAGTCAACAAGGATTTGGAGGCCAACCTGGTACACAAACACCAGCTGGACAACCTGGAGCACCTGGGTATGGCGCTCAACCGGCTATTACACCAGGATTTGGGGGTCAACAGCCTGGTACACTTGGATTTGGGGGCCAACAGACTGGATATCCTAATCAAAATGTAGCTGCTGGTTCTCAACCTTCAGCTGGACAAGTTGGTGCACCTGGAGTACCACAAGCTCAAGGACAAACTGACACTGCTGGAGCACAACAGAATTCGCAACCTCTCGGATTCGCTAATCAAAACTCAGCACAAACTAGCACACCTTCAGTACCACGACAAACTCAAGGTCAACCTGGTGCACCACAGCAACCATCTCAAGCACCAACTTCAGCACCAGCCGAAGCCAACTTGCTGGACACATTAGCTCAATCATATTCGACTCCACAAAGCCAGGCGCCAACCTCTGGACTACAACAAAGTCAACCAGGCTATCCAGTTGGAACTCCAGCTGGTTATCCATATGGAACACTTGATACGAATCAGCCTGGAGCAGTAAGTCAGCCAGCACAAGCACCACAAGCCCAATTACCAACTAGCTATCCAAACGTATCGGCTGTACCTCCACTATCGCAGCTAGAACCTTCAAACATTCCTAGTGTACCAGCAGTACCATCGGGTCAAAGTCAGCAGTTTGGACAGAATCAATTCGCCCAAAGTCAACAGTATGGCCAAGGACAAAACGGGCAATTCGGACAAAATAATCCAACAGCACCACTAAGTGCACCATCAGCCCTACCCCAATCGTACACACCAGCCGCCAACACGCCTGCTCCCACACCTGCCTGCGGACTGCCCCAGCCGGCTTATCCCCAAACCTCAGCCCCACAACAGTACCAGCAGCCCTACTCGCAGTTCCAGCCTATCCAACCCGGCTTATATCCGCAACAAACGCAGCGATTGTAATATTTGATGGGTCTTTGAGTTTTGAAGTAGATAATTTATATATGAAATTTTATGTTGGTGATAAGATTTCTGCCTATTTTTTGAAATTTTTTTGGTTGAAATGAAACGAAAATGGCAATTTTTTGAAACGGAAACCTTGGAACATTGTTGTAGTACTGTAATCTTTGTAAACTTATCTACAGAAAGAGTCAAATCTTGTGATTTTTAATTTAATAAATCAATATTTATGAAATTTTAAAATTTTGAGAAGATTTTTTTTAATTTTTGAAGTTTTTGATGTCTTAGATAACAAAAAGTAACTTTTTATATTTTTAAAGATTTCTATAATAAACTGACAAGCCTTTGATATTATAGGTATTAAAATGATGTTTTGACAAATTTTTGATATTTTAGGTAACAAAATGACATTTTTCGAAATTTTCAAAATTTTAAGGTGTGTCAAGACCAAAAAGTATAAAAATGACGTTTTATTGACAATTTTAAAAGTGATGTTTCATACCTAAAAGTCAGAAGTTTTGTTTTTTCGTTTTGACTGTCATCACTTGTATACAAATACAAAAAAGATAAGGTTTTGTAGTTGATGTTGGATGTCACAACAAGATATCCTTGCACTTCCGCTTTAAGTTACATTGTGTATGTAGTTTACGTTTACTAATTGTTTTGAAAATGACAGATTTTTGGTTTCATTGTTAAAGATGACAATTCTAAGACTGTCGGTCCAGATTTGAGCAGAAAGGGGCTAAACTTTTAGGCTATGTTCAGGGCGGGCCAGGGCAAGGTATAACGGAGGCAGGATAAAGGCTGATCTAAGGGAGTGATGGTCAGGGGATAACTGTGTAGAGTACAGTAGTGTAACTGTTGGAAATTGAGGTAAGAGCCCTATTTATGAATGGTACGTATTTGTGGTATAATAGGTTAGAGCAGGGTTATCTAGAGTATATTTTGTTAGGGTAAGGCACGGTGTAACAGTAGGATATTGGCGTAGAACTACACTTTTTTCAATACAAGGATATTTGATAGTTATTTAAAATGCTGAAAGATGTGGTATGTAAGGTAAGTCAGGGTAAATTAAGGTATGGTTTGATAGGATACGTTAATATCTATAAGATAAGGGTACGATAAGGTAGTGTAGTAATTTAAATTAAATAGGTATTACTAGCCTAAAATCTGTGTGCAAAGTAAACAAGAGTCTTACCTAATTACCGAAATGTTTTTTTCGAATATATAATTTAGCAACGGCATTTTGTATGTAGTCGGGATGCTATAGACTTTTGTTTTGACTGGTTTTTACATAAAATAAGCAGGTAACGTTGAGGAACGTCACTAAACTTATATTTTGCATGGTTGTCTTGTAATCTTCGAGTATAGTCCGTGTTGGGCGGCGGTCGAGTATTGAAGAGGGAGCAATTATTTTTTAAAATAATTTATGAAATGTAGGCTTTTTAGTCGTGTTAACAATCAAATGCATAAAGCAATGTCAGACTCATCTAAAACCTTTCAAATGATTTACTTGGCCATTGAGTTGACTGTATACTTTATATCTATTATATTCTGCACTATAGTCATATACTTTGCATTGTATCGCACTACCAACAAAACTGTCAAAGTTTACACTCAAATGTTGGTTATGACAGCTACGGTTGACTTATATTTTAGTATTTTAAATCTGCTTTCTTGGCCGGTAAGTGGAAATTTTGGGTGATTATGCGGCTGCGTAGAGCAACGCCTATAATAGTAGAGTAGGGAAATGTACATCACGTATAGTAAAGTAAAGCAGTAGAGCACGGTAAGATAAACTGATAGGGCCGAGCAGGCTACAGTTTAGTAAGGTAGGGTAGGGTACGGTAGGGTAGGGTAGCTTAAGCTACAGTTAATAACTTTTGGCTTTTAAATGTCATGAACTTACAGTAACCTATGTATAAATTTTCAGGAATTCTACGTTCAAGACAGCTTAGTATTTGTCTATATGGCTTCCCCTTTACTCAGACCATTTCAATCATTATCAACATTAATGGTACTTCTGCAAGTAGTACTAACTTTTCTCTCCATAGTAATCCTTCCACTACAGTATGCTTACCGTTACAGTGTAATAACAAACAGACGGTTTACTAGCCAAAAACTATTACTTGCCTTTACCGTAGCTCTGATTGAACCTATATTACACTCAATATTATGTTACTATACCTTCGCTACACACAGTCGAAAATACGACGAGAGTTTTGTGACAGATCCATTGGTACAATCTCTCAATTATGTACCGTTCTATCATGTGGTAGATTGTAATAACTATCTTGTTTTGGGTATACATGCAGTTAATTGCACCATAATGACTGGCGGAAGTTGTGCCATAGTCTGTGTTTTACATAGCAAAACGAAGAAGGCATTTTCTGAGATGGAGAACAAGGTTTCGAGACAAACAAAGGCTGCTCAACAACAAGTGCAACGAATTGTTTTTATACAGGTATGTCGCGGGAGTTGGGGCAGGTAATTTCAGAGCCGGCGGTATAATTTTGTTTTGGGAGGAGAATGAAAAACTTGACAAAAAAAAATTTACGTTTGGTGTCGGTGTTCTTTACACCAATTTTAAAAATTTTTGTTTCAGGCCCTCTTCCCAATGCTTGTACTAATCGTCCCCATGGCAGTATTACCTATTGTTGCCATGTTTAAGATCAATAACTCTTTGTTTGGCAAGTTTGAATCCCTCACCAAAACTTCACCTTTGTTCAATTCGATTACAGTAATTTTATGTATTCCATCGTATCGACGAATCTTTCTCAGAGTTTTGAAGAATCGACCAGTACCGACAAGTGTCATCGATTCGTATATTTCTCACCGTACTATTTAAAATTTAAAATGCATTTTATATATTTAAGAGCTATAAACTTAAAAGTTACAATTTTGAGTTTTTAAATCATATGTTTCATAACTATTTTCACTTTTAAGTGCTTATTTTATGCCAATTTAAAAAAAAACTTTGAAAAAACAAACAAAAAATTATAAAATCTTTATAAAATTACATTAAAATTATGTACGATATTCAAATTATTCTATAAATTTTTAAAATCACATAACGTATACAATAAACATCGGCACCACCGCGAAAACAAACACAAGCCAAAGACAACGTGGCTTTCCGCTCAAATAATAAAAAATCGCCAGCTGAAAGTAAAATGTGGAATAATGGGTCGGAGGCTAAAACTAAACAAAAGTTTTAGGAATTTTTATTGATATCTACGTGGTTAACATATATTTTATGTATTTCTGGTGAATTTCGGATTTTTAGGTGCTCGTTTATTTCGATGGAAAGAAGCGAAACTTAAGCCAACTGAGGTTGAATATCAAGAATGGAAACAGTTTCAACGAGAAATCAACGAGATTTGGAAGTTGGACCATCGAGTAAGTTTAATTGTCTGATCTTTTTTGTTGTCATGTATAAGTGGATGATGAAGATAAAAAAGTTCGTGAGCTAGAATAAATTTATAGGTAACAAATGGATATAGGTTACAATGTGCTTTCTGGATAATTGTGAGGTTTTTGATGTCGTGTACTTACTTTTATGTAATTTTCAGTAACTTTTTAAGACGGAATATTGAATTTTCTAAATTTTGGTATAAAAAATATTAATTCATATTTTTTAGATAATATGTATAAGCTTCACCGTTCTTCAGCACCAGGATGGAACGATCCACCAATTACCATTACTAGTTCTCACAAGAACCGACTTCTTAACATGAAGCGATCTTTGGATCCTATAATTACTGTAAGCTTTTTCTGTTTTTGTTGAATTTTAGGTAATAATCAAGGAAAAAGAAGGCAGGATTGGTGTAATATTCGGATCGAAAACCTATTTTATTGTGAGTTTGGGTAATAAAACTTGCTTTTTCCGAATCCTAGTTATGGTGGAGCTTACGGTGGATATGCTCAACAACAATACGGACAAGGTGGTTATGGCCAACAGCCTGGTCTTCAACAACAAAACTCGTTTGAGCAATATCAACAAGGTTATGGCCAACAACAACAATTTCAGGTGCGGTATTGAAATCTTTTATGTTTAGACTTATTTATTATTATATTTATGGCATTTGCATCAAAATAAATTAAAATTTTGTTTTTTATGCTAACTTCCTTTACTTTTTGACCTTTTAACTTTTCAGCCAGCTGCGGCCTTATGGCCAACAAATAAGTCCAGGACAAAACGGGCAATTTGGACAAAATAACTCAACAGCACCACTAAGTGCACCATCAGCCCTACCCCAATCGTACACAACAGCCGCCAACACGCCTGCTCCCACCCCTGCCTGCGGACTGCCCCAGCCGGCCTATTCCCAAACCTCAGCCGCACAACAGTACCAACAGCCCTACTCGCAGTTCCAGCCCATCCAACCCGGCTTATATCCACAACAAACGCAGCAAAGTAGATAATTTATATATGACATTTTATGTTGGTGTTAAGGTTTCTGCCTATTTTTTGAAACGGGAACCTTGGAACGTTGTTGTAGTACTGTAATCTTTGTAAACTTATCGATAGAAAGAGTCAAATCTTGTGATAAATAAATATTTATGAATTTTAAGTTTTTTAGGTAACAAAATGTTATTTTCTGACAAGTATTGGATATTTTAGGTAATGAAAGATATTTTTTGAAACTTTTTTAAGGTACGTCAAGGCCAAATACTAAAAAGACGTTTTATTGACAATTTTAAAAGGGATGTTTCTTCATACCTAAAAGTCAGAATTTTTGTTGTTTTTTCGTTTCGACTGTCATCACTTGTAGTGATAAATACAACTACAAAAAAGATAGGTTTTGTAGTTGATGTTGGATGTCACAACAAGATATTTTTACTCTGAGGGGGTGCTAAAGGATAGGACAGGGTAAAGCTAAGTAAAATTAAATTTTATAATTACTTTGCCAAACATATTAGCTATAATATAATAAAACTTCAATTGCAACAACATTGACTGATCTTCTGCTGTTCGCTAAAGCTAAACAGTGGAGATAAGAAGAAGTACCCGATGATATGGCCAACTGCCACTGATGCAGCAATCGGAGTATTGTATGTCATGGTAATCATCATTAAAGAGAGTCCAAGGAATTCTTGAACAGCGTGCAAGATAGCTTGACATTGGTGAGATCTGGTCATTAAAGTTTTGATAGTAAATCTGAAAAAAAGTTTTTTAGTAAATGGGTAAAGAGAATTACTATGTAAAAGAATATTTACTATAGATAACTTTCTGTCTATCAATGCAAAAAGTCTTGTCGTTAAAGTAAAAGGTATTGCGTCTATAGAAGCGACAAGACTTTTAGCACTCTACAAGTTATGGACAAGGTTTCTAAGGGCACCGAAATCAGCTTCAGCTGCAGAACAACTGCGGCTTTATAGCTGGTGCCGAAGTGGGAATTTGTAAATATTCGGAGCCAAAAAAGCTTACGGTTTGAAAGTTAAAGTAGTTTTAGGTTCACATTGACATTCAGCTGAGTAAAGAGTACCATAGTCTGGAGGGTTTTCGTTTCCTTGGCATTGGTATACCTAAACTCAAAAAATTTATTTTATGATTTTTATATATGCTTCTAAAGTCTCTTATTTTTTGAATAAAATTTATAATGTCATAGTAAGTCAACATGAATATTAATAAATACAAAAAAATTAGTTTTTAAGTGGGAAAAATGAGTCTATTGGCAAAAAATAAGAATCTGACATTATCTTGAACCTCTTCCGACCTATACAAAGCCATTCTGATTGTCCTCAGACCTTCGTACACAATGCCCAGCGTCACAACGGCAACACATGATAGTAAGTACTCTAAAAAATGTTAAATAAGCAAAAAAATTTTCAAATTGAACTTGGCCTCTCTGTGTTAGTTTAAAATTTTTTAAAATTTTTATATCAATACTACACCAAAGTCAACTTTTAAGCACCGATATTGACAAGGAAGATTGTTATGCCTACCTGTCATGTTGGTTGGCATCCATTCCTTGATAAGGATGTACTCCATTATCCGGTAGTGAAATGTCATTATCATCATCATCATGATTGCTGTTAAAGCTTGTTCTTTAATTTAAAAACTAATTTTACAGTACGATCGTATGTAGTAAAGTATTTTTATGTTGCCAACATGTAAAATTTTCAATCAAGGTAATTATAGATATTTTTATTAATTAAACTTTAACAATTTGTACGACATAAGAAACTAATTATGAGTAGAATGACCAATCAGAACAGCCTCACTGCTAGACTGTCCTGTTGGTCTAGCACCAAAAATAAAGTAGCCAACACCAGCTCCAACAGCTATGGCTAGTCCAAGCCAAATTGAAAATGTCATGAATACTAACATGAGCAAGTAACTGAGTACAATTTGAATACTGAATAGTACGGTGTGTAAAAAGTGAAACGGACTAAACAATCGTAGGCAAAATGGTGTGTTTGGGGCTCTGAAAATTTGCATATATTTAATTTTTTTTGGCTTTAGGTTTAAAAATTTTTAAGACATAAAAGCCTTAGTCCTAGCTCTAGCTTTAGCTCTAACTCTAGCTCTAGGCCTGGCTTCAGCTCCAGTTATATCTGTAGCTCTTGATCTTGCTTGTACTCTTACTTTAATTATAACTCTAGCCTTACTGCTATTCTATCAACTAAGATACTACGATGTATGTTTTAAACTTGGTATAAATTTCAATTTTTTAAAATTTTAATTTGTTTTTTGACATTTTTCTTCGAAATCTATTTAGAATATGATTTGTTTAAAAAATTGTTTTCCATCTCCACAATATATAATAGTTTACAAAAAAAGCAAAAGAGCAAAACATATACTTTATATCTGACTAACCATTTATAAATATTTTGACCGTATCCTCTATTTTTGTAATAAACATTCGACCAGTTGCTTTCTCTGTTTTTTGTTTATAAAATTGAAAAACAAAAAAGTGTTGGCTATATCGAATAGCAAAGCACAGTGGGTACTATATAACAAATTGCTAATTTGGGGAATAGAGGTAGGGGGGATGATATAAAAATTTTTTAGTAAATTTGTTTTTATGTAAATTAGGACTGGGGAGGGGGAAGGAGAACTTTTACGAAGAAAGGAAGGGGGAAGGGGGGGGGGAGGGAAAAAAATAAAAAAAAATTTTTAAAGTTTTTTCCACTTCACCTAAAAGAAATACCAAAATGAAAAATCCTTACATTTTGTCTTGGTGTCGTTGTTCAATCACAATTCTCAAGTACTTTATGAATTCCAGAAATACTGCTGCTACAAAGATTATTGCACATGTACCTACCATATCTGAAAAAATACAGGACTTCAATTCATAAATACACATGTTACAGTAGCTTTTTTTCTAAAGCTACTGCTTTTGCCCTGCCTTTGCCCTGCCTTTGCCCTGCTTTTGCCCTGCCTTTGCCCTGTTTTTGCCTTGCCTTTGTCCTGCCTTTGTCCTCCCTTAACCCTGTCTTTGCCCTGCCTTTGCCCTGCCCTTGCCCTGCTTTTGCTTTGCCTAGCCCTTGCCCTACTTTTGCCCTGCCTTTGCCAAAATACAAGCTAGTAATGGTTTTTCTCTTACCAATAGTACTGTTGACCTTCCAGAAGTTGAACAACACAGTGTCGTCCACTTTGGTATGAAAGTACATCCACATCATTTTGCCAACTTCTAGTTCTTGTTAGTTCGTTTATAAGGTTATCAAATTCAGATTAGAAAACTTTTTTTTAGGTAATATCTTCAAAACTTCAAAAAACTTTTAATATAAATAAAGCTTTTTATGTCAACAGCTATTGTTGTCTATTTTAGCGTTTAGAAATCGATGTTTCAATCAACTTTAGCAATGACCTTTCAGTAAACTTTAATAGTAAACTGTTTAGTAAATAATCTTTCAAAATTCCAAAACAATGTAAACGTAATAATTAGATTTTCAAGAATTTGAAACCAAAAATTAATGCAAATCAGACGGAATTCGCATTTATTTTATCAACAAATGACCGCTGATAAGACTTTTTGTCAAAGGAAAGCTTTTTCTTCAACTTTCTCTTTTACCTGTGTAAAGTAAAAAAGAAAATTTACTGTGAAATCACTGTAATATTTTGTTGGCAAATTTGTTTCTTGATGCTTTTCATGTTTTGTTATCTTATAGTAGGTTTTGTCTCGTATGCTGTTTACTTTTGCTTTATTATAACTTATATATATGTCATTGAAAGTAAAATTTATAAGAAGATCTATCCCCGAGCCATAGCCCCAAGTCCTAGCCCCGAGCCCTAACCCCGAGCCCTAGTCCCGAGCCCTAGCCCAGATCCCTATTCCAGAGCCCTAGTCCCAAGCACTAGCATCTGGTCGTGGACCTGGACCTGGAATTGGACCTGGACCTTGGCCTGGACCTGGACCTGGACCTGGACCTGGACCTTGACCTTGACCTTGACCTTGACCTTGACCTTGACCTTGACCTTGACCTTGACCTTGACCTTGACCTTGACCTTGACCTTGACCTTGACCTTGACCTTGACCTGGACCTGAACCTGGACCTGGAATTGGACCTGGACCTTGGCCTGGACCTGGACCTGGTCTTTTTTTACCAAGACGGACTATCTTTCTTATCTTAATCCTAGCCCCAGCCCAAACGTTAAGCTCTACAATGAGATGATGCATATAAATCAGAGGTGAACCAGACATCCTTATCAAAAACATTTTTTTTTTAAATTCTGATTGTTGTTTGTCCCAAACTCATAGTGATATCACTATCCGGAACACTGTCTTTGACCAAAACAACAACAATCATATAAACTTTATACCTAAACAATCAAGTATAACATCAGCCTATCAAGAACACAGTTGTCCAGAAGCTTCCATGGCCATAAATTCAAAAATGGCTTTGATTAGGAATGGCAAAACATTCGGGTGATCAACAAAACAATGTTGAAAAGAATGGAAACCAGCTGTCTGATCTCTGATCGGCGCTGCGGAGAAAGCCGGCTGGCTCAACGTGGTCTTTGAATTAAATTTTGTTTGGAATTGCAAACGACTAATTCTGGAAGAGACTTTGGGGCAAAAACAATCGTGATTAATATGTAGATCTTCGTTCTGTGATTAATATTGTTTTTGGTGATTTATTGGCTTCTAAAGTTTCATTTTTTGGGCAAAAATGGTAGAGACTGTACTTTTGTACTGTATTTTCATTTTTTTTAAATGTCAAAGTGCCTCAAGCGTATTGCTTTTAAAAATTGAAAAACAAGCCTAAAATTACTTTTTTTTAAATTAACAGAGAAGATACCCGCCAACACACACAAATCTTACAATGAAAGTACCCCCACCTGCACCACGCAGAAACAGCTTAATATTTTTATATGAATTCACCAATAGTATCAATAAAAAATTTTAGTTGGCGCTTTTGAGTTTTAAATTTGAAATATTTGGGTTGTCAACAATTTGGCAAATTTGGCATTGTCTTTCAAGCACTTTTTTTGATTTTCCAGACATTCTACGCTTATAAATTTTAAAATATAGGTCTTTTTAAAGGTGTTCTACTAGTATATAAAAGAAAAATAACAAAAAGTCAAAAAATGGCAAAGTTATAAACATGAAACACAATGCCAATTTGGCGGAAAATTCAAAACGTATTTTGAATCTCGATTTTCTTGAAATTTCCTGTAAAGGTCAATTTAATACTTTGCGGAAGACCTTATATTAACATTATCTTTCTATATAAAAAGTTTGAATTCACTCAGACCAGGGCCGGCCGGGTATTTTCATTGTAAGCCAGATTTCAACAGTTTCAAATCAGATTTTAAAATTTCAATAAAAGTCATTCTAAAAATAGCAGGAACTACGTTAAGACCTGAATTTTCATTACAACAAAACCAAATTAATTTTTTTTTCGAAAAATCTTTTAATTTCTTATCAAAACACACGTGTTTCAACAGCTGTAAACATTGTTATCACAATCAACAGCTCACATTGACCTTTTCGAATTGTTCAAACTATTCAAAAACAATTCAAAACGCCAATTGTAAACAGCTTTATCAGCCTGAAAAGTTATGGGCAGGTAAACAAAAAAGGTCTAGAATGTCATCATGGTTGAGGCTGGCGGTAGGAACAGTTGATTTTAATGGCGGTTGGTGATTAGGAATGAATAGGAGGGGGTTTCCCCAAGTTTTTTTGAAAAAAATTGAATTTGGTTGATATTACCTTATAGTTACTAATTAAAAATAAAAAACATCGTATTTTACAATTATTAAATACAAAAGTTGTCATCAAAACCCTACCCTACCCTACCCTACCCTACTCCATCTTTCTCCATTCTACTCCCTACTCCACTCTACCCCACTCTACTCCTCCCTACTCCACCTTGCTCCAGCCTAACCCAACATACTCTACCCTAACTTTACTTTACTAAAACTGATTTACATTCCCATAGTAATGCACTTTATGTTGCCTTACATCCAAATCTGTCTATCCTCTTCAAAACTACATATACTATCAAATAAATTACTTGTACTATTAAGCACAACCTTTCTTTACGTATAACATTATATTATCCTACTCATATAACCAAAATAATCATCTAATCATTCTCTTTTCACTATTCTAATCAGCCTAACCAACCATCTTGTTTTACATTCCGTATGTTTATTCCTGTCCACATTAACCTTCTCGAATATTCCTTGGTGCAAAAAATAACTCATTAGCTACAAACGGCGGATCATCACCAAAGATCTGTTGATAAACATTAAACAACATGCATTATACTATCATTTGGCCTAAACATTTGTCAGTTTGGCCCTTGTGTGTTTACTGTTTATTGGCGGGTAAGGGACCAGAGATCTCTCTCAGCCCCTAAAATTTGTTTCGAAAGTTACTTTGAAAAAGCGAGGCGAGAGAGCACGCGCTGAGGGGAGGGTTGTTTACGCTCTCCACAACACAATAACATAACCAAAAAACGTATAAATAAGCGGGCGGAATGGACGGAGTCGACCATTCTGCTCGGGCACGGCGAAGGCACGGAGACGGTTTTTGATGCTTTGTTGGAGAGGTTGTTGAAATAATATAGTACTGAAGGCTTGTACTGGGATGGTAGTGCTAGAAACATTTATTGAACCGGGGGATCTGGAGATATATATTTCAGAGGGGTATACTCGTAGCTTAGGATGGCAAGTTAGTACTAAAGTTATTACTAGAGGCTTGGTTTGAATGGAAGAATAGCACCGGAGTTTGTACTGGGCAGATAATGCTAGAGATACTTATTGAATACGTTTATGATTCTCGTGGCTTGGATGGGAAGGTAATACTAAGGAGTTCTACATACCTAGAAGTTAGTACCATAGACTTTTGAATGGGACGGAGATAGTACTAGAGGCTTGTACTGGGAATACAGTACAAGATCCTTGTACTGAATAGATGTACAGTAATAGAGACTTAGACTGAGAATACTATACTAGAGGATAGTACTGCATATATAGTACTATAGGCTTTTGTTTGGAATGTAGTAATAGAGGCTTGCCCTAGTAATATAGTACTAGATTTTTGTGTTTGGAATATGGACCTGACGCATTTTTTTCTCCACACAAAATTATATTTTAATCACAGTACTGTGCACGATACTCAAAAAAATAGTATCATACTCAATAGCCCTTAAAAGTTAAATAAAAGTGCATAATGCTATCCTTTTATACTCAAAATGCTAACGGTAACGATTGTTAATGATACTTATTACCCATTTTTAACTATTCGAGACAAAACCTTGTCCGCCGACTTTCGCAGAATCTTTCGAAAACAAATTTCGAAATATTTTGTTTTTGTTTTTCTGCTCAATAATCTGTTGATATATTATTCATATCTGTTTACGAGCACATTTCTATAAATACCACAGGGTTTTAGTCGTTTTTTGACAAGTCTTTCGGATGTTTTCACTTGTTTTTGTTATTTTGGGTAGCAAAATATTGTTTTAGGCATTAAATTGAAGAGGTTTTGGGATTTTTAAACAATAAACACATTTTATGCTTGTTTAGGTAACAAATTTAAATTTTTAAGGGTTGTAAGTGTCTGTTTGTCTGCTTTTTAGATATAATTTTATTTTATATTAGGCTATTTCGCGCGTTTGTTTTATTTTAGGTAACAATTTTTTTAATTTAATTATTATTTTTTTTTCAGAAAGTATTAAACGATGAAACTATATACGATTCTACTGTGTTTGTTAATTGTTTTTGCCTCCGCCATCAGTATTGTAAGTTTCTGTTAATTTCCAAACCCTTCTAACCAATCTCCTATATTACAGTATGCTGATGAGACGGTTGGTGACAAGTTAAAGTCGGGAGTTGAATCGATCTCAGAATCCGCGAAGAATGCCAAGGAATCGGCCAAGGAGAAGATGGAGCGTGTTCGTCGTAGTGTTGAAGGCGCCAAGGACGAAGCGGCCGATGCTGTTGAAAGTGGCAAAGACAAGGCCCGCGAAGGCTACGAATCCGCTAAGGACAAGGCCGGAAGCACTTATGACGCTGCCAAGGACAAGGCTGGAAGTGCCTACGATGCCACCAAGGACAAGGTCAAACAGGGTGCTGATGCTGCCAGTAAGTTTTGTGGTTTTGTCTTCCCTTTGTGATAGGATTGGACTAGGCAATAGTATGTATAGCTACATAGTATGTGAAGATTGGGAACTGTAATATAAAGAGTGGAAATAACATGTTGTAATAGGTGTAGTAGATTGTAGAATAGGTAGAAATGAGTGCTGTGTGTTTGTTTTTTCTATATTTTGTGTGGAACGTTTTTTTAGGAAAAATGTCGTCAAATGACATATTTTCTAGAAAACAGAAACCTAAGGGCTTTAATATGTGATTCTTTACCTAAGACTTTCTTATTATCGTTTCTTTGTATCGTAAAACAATGTCGTATGTTGTGTGTTGTCCCAGTAAAACCGTAAAAGTCATTCTGTAAAAGAGATTACTGTGGCTGTGTTTAGAGGAATGTTACAAGGACAATTGTCCTGACGTGCCGCACAGTCGCAAACAGTTGGCAGACGACTTGTCCTACGAATCTCGGATGGGATTTACACATTCGGAAGAGTATCTCGAACATCTACGTAAATTTTTCGTGTTTTGAATGTGAAATTTGTGTTTTTGGGAGCAAAGTCAGCTTAAGTTTAGTGTTAATAGTTAAAGAAATCGTTAAGAAGGACTGTAATTAGCTAAAAATTGAGCTAAGAAGGGCAATATTAGCTAAAAGTTGAGGTTTATTTAATTTTTTTTTGATTGAACGAGGTAAAAATCAGGAATCTTGAGGCCACAAAAGAAAAAATTATTAGGTTGTTTTATACCTAAAAAGGCACAAAACATACCTATAAGAGGACATAACTTGGAGTATAGAAGCTTTCAAGATCTATAGCTTAAGAAAAACAAGGTTAACGTAAGCATGAGAGCAATATATGTTAAGATAAAGGTTTTAAAACCCAAAAATTAAGTAGTTTGTAAAATACGTTTTCAATTATGTTCAAATTTTTAGAGGAAAAGCTCGGCGAAGCCAAGGAAGAATCCAAGGGCATCGGAGAATCAATCGCTGATAAGGCTGGATCTATCAGTAAGTTTTGGAAGAAATTATATTTTTAAATTTTATAATAATAATAAAATTGAATGATAAAAATTAAATTTTACAAACTTTTAAATCAATTTTTTTAGAAGACTCCGTCGTCGGCACCTTGAAAGACGCCGGAAGCAAAGTCGGTGAATTCGCTGCCAACGTCAAGGACTCTGTAGTCGGTGGAGCTGAAGACGCCAAAGACTCGGCTAAGGAAACCGGCCAAGCCGCCAAGGAAAAGGCTTCAAATGCCGCCGGTTCAGTCAAGTCTGGAGCCAGTGATGCCGCCGAATCCGTGAAATCTGGAGCCAGCGACGCCGCTGACTACGTCAAGGACAAAGCTGGCCAAGCCAAGGACTACGTTGGAGAGAAGTTCGATTCGGCCAAGGACAAGGTCGGAGACAAGGCTGAAGGCATGAACGATGCTATGAGAGTACGCAGAAGCGGTGTTGGAGACGCATGGGAATCCACCAAGGACAAGGCCGGAAACGCTGCTGACTCTATCAAGTCTGGAGCCAATGACGCCGCTGATTCGGTCAAGAGCTCGGCCAACGATGCCGCCGATTATGCCAGCGACAAGTACAACGCCGCCAAGGACAAGGTTGCTGAAGCCACCAGAGACAAGAGAAACATTGGAGAAGACATTAAGGAAAAAGCCCAATCAGCTGGTGAATCAGTAAGCGATGCCGCCTCTTCTGCTGGTGACGCCGTTGGAGAAAAGGCTAGTCAAGCTAAGGAGAAGATTCACGAAGCTGCCAGAGATAAGAGAGACGTCGGCGAAGACATCAAGGACAAGGCTCAATCTGCCGGTGAATCCATTTCAAACGCTGCCTCAAGCGCTGGTGATACCGTTGGAGAGAAGGCTAACCAAGCCAAGGAGAAGATCCGCGAAGCCACCAGAGACAAAAGAAACGTCGGCGAAGACATCAAGAACAAGGCCGAATCCGCTGGTGAATCCGTAAGCGATGCTGCATCTTCTGCTGGTGACGCTGTTGGAGACAAGGCCAACCAAGCCAAGGACAAGATTCATGAAGCCACCAAGGACAAGAGAGATGTTGGTGGCGACATGAAGGATACCTGGGAGAAGACTAAGGAAAAGGCTAGCGACGCTGCTGATGCCACCAAGGAAAAGGCCGGCCAATTGAAGGACTCGGTTCAGGAAAGAATCCGTCGCGTCAGAGAATCGGGTAAAGTCGGTAAGTAAAGATTTTCGTATCTTTGGCTAGGTTAAGATATTTTAAAAAGATTTCAATATTTTTTGGAAAAAAATAAAAATTCTTAGGCTATGACCAAGTTTTTGGGCTATCGAAAGGATTTTTGGTCTAAATTATGATGGTTTTCTTGATGATTAGGTAACATATTAAAGTTTAAAATAGTTTTTTAAGCTTTTTAAAGTTAAACTATTTTTTAAAAACGCTTCAATTTATGTTGACTTGTGTTCGTACTGTCATCGTCATTCTAAAATCAGGCTTGCGATGCCTTTTCATGTGTCTTATATTACCCTTTCGTTTCTAAAATCTTACTTTCTCAAGCTAAAAATGGCTGTTTTGTCTTTTAAAAATTAAATTTCTTCAAGCTTAAAGTTTTTGTCTTGGTTAGCTGGCTTAGGCTTAGTCTGTTAAGGTTTTAGATGGTCTAAACTAGGCTTTGTCTTGGCTTGAGATTGAGTAAACCAGCTAAAAAATGGTTTTTTACCGTTCTAAAAGCTTTAAAGTCCGGTTTATTTGGCTCAATAAGTTTTTGCTGTTGCGATAAGTCCACGAAAGCTTGTTCAAAGTGCATTTTATCCTCTGACAGTACATTTTTTGTTTTTACCCTTTGGCAGTTTAGTTAAATTAACCCAAAACGCTAACTTTCAGTATTGTAGACGATTTTTCAAAATTTTTTCGAAAATTAAAATTTTAAAAAGTAGAAAAACTTAACGCGTTTATTAGCACTGACCTAATTGTAGACGAGGAATGTGACCCGAGCACGGACAGTTACTACTGTATCGGGCACGTGATGCACAACATTAAGCGTCGCGCGACGGACGCTGTCACGCATCTTTACGGTTTTATCGAAGACCCTGATCTCGCTATTTAAATTATTATTTGTTTTTTCTCGTTTTTGTGTATATATTGTGTTCATTTTTAAATCTCGATAAACTTTTATTTTCTTGTTCGTACGTTGTGTTTGTGTCGTTTTGATTTTGAAAAATTTGAATTTTTTAAAGTTCTCGGGCATTTTTTTTAAAAGTTTTAGTTTGATATCGGTATTGATTGTCTTCTCTTGAAAATTTGAATAGAAAATTGTCATATCTTGTCCGAAAACTTTTGAATTTTCAAAAAAAAAAGAATTGCCATAGAATTAAAAATTTTTATGCTAAAACTGGCTTTTTGGGCTTGAGGACTTTAAAGTAGATAAAAAAAAGGTTAAACTAACCATAAGTTTTAAATTTTTTCAATCTTAATCAACTTTTCATCTACACTACCTTAAAGTTCATTTTATTATAAAGATCTTCACTCGCTTTGACAAAAATTGACAATATTTCCCGTATTGTCCTCCAAAGATAACAATTCTTCAATAGCAATAAGACACTTTGATCCTCTCTCACCTTCCATCCTTATTCACCTTCCAATTTCAGGCCAAGGAGCCAGTGAAGTGAAAGAAGGAGCCGGCAAAGTTGTCTCCGGAGTTGGCGAAGGTGTTGCCGAAGGAGCCACGAATGTAGCCGGCGGAGTTGCTGGTGCTGCCGGAGCCGCAAAGGACGGTGTTGTTAACGTAGCCACTGGCGCCTACGAACACGCTGCTGATGCTGCTGGTGCTGTCAAGGATGGTGCTGTGAATGTGGCCGAAGGAGCGGCTGACAAGGCCAAGCAGGGCAAAGACTCTGTAGGAAAGGGAGTTGAGAACCTGGGCAAGTCCATCCAGAGCGATGACAGCCAGTAAATGGATATGACTGTTTGACATTAATGATGTTAATATGGTCTTGAATCGTCTTACATTGTTACATCTTTTCTAATTTCTTAAGATATTACTGTATTTTGTTGTAGAATGCCATTCTGGCCAAATAACGGTCACTTCCTCTTGCTATAGCTTGTTTCAGACGTTTTGAATCTAAATTTGTATCTTTTTGTGCAATTGTATACTCAGTATTACCTAAAACGTTTCAAAATTCAAAAACACTGAAACAAGCTTCTCAATACCCAGATCACACCACTCATACCGCTCAGTACTATCCAATAGTACGCTGTAAATTACTTTAATATAATATCCCAAGCAATAGTAGATATTGTGCAATTGTTATCACATACTTTAGTCGTATTGTTAGCTTTAACGAGTCTATTAAAGCATTTAATAGTATTCAACTTGCCATCTACAGTATCTCGTGCTCCATTTACAATGTCATCGTATCTTACCGTGCTGATGACGTTATTTCCATAATGTACAGAAATATTGAATTTTGTAATAAATGATAACTTTAATTTTAAGTTGGAGGTTTTTACTGGGGTTATAGGTATAACTGTAGTATAGTAAGATAAAGCGGGGGCACTGAATTGAAACATGGTGGTAAAAGAAAGTTTTTAGAACTTCAAATATTACCTTTAAGTAATACATATATAAAAATTCGGTACCTTTAAACCTGCAGACAATGATAAAAATACGTAAAAGTCTCTATAAAAGGCCCCTTAATTCACATGTTGAACTTTGTACCTTCTGTAAAACGTCTATTGCGCGCGCATATCGATGATACTAAATTTTTCTGCATCAAAATTGTCTACCGATGATGACCTTCCGATTTTATGATACTGAAAAAATCATTTGAGTTCGAAACATCGTACAACTAGGTTGTCTAGGTTGCTTTTAATATTTGCTATAAAATGGAGTTCACCAAGATTCTGAACGAAGTCGACATTGAAGTTGACCAGGTATGTTTAATATCTTGGAACCGTTTATAAAAATATTTTATTATTACAACTAGAGCTTTTTAGCTAGATTTCTTTATCAATAAAATTTGACAATGTAAGCTAATGCTTCCTCTGTGTCTTCTAAAATTTAACCTGCGATTAGCAACTGGATCGGTGCTGGCTCTGGAGCTCTGCCTATAATAATAAATAATTTTTTTAATTAAAATACAAATATCTTCCAGAAATAAGTTTAAAAAAGTAGTTGAATTATTCTTACATAATCCCTTTCGATTGTTCATTGTTATGTTTTTAGGAAAATGATTTTGCACAAAAATTAAAAGAGATGCAAGAAGAAGTAAACAAAATAAAGCATCTCCACAAGATGCCAAGTGTATCACCGCCGCTCGTCGCCTACCCAAACGGCCAAACCGCCTTATCATTGGAGGAGAAGCAGGCCTGCGATGCCAAATCAGTCTTCGTAGGCAACGTTGACTACAGCGCCACTCCGCAGTCGTTAGAACGACACTTCCAAAATTGTGGCAAAATCGAGAGGGTAACAATCTTGTCGGACAAGTTTAGAGGCACGCCTAAAGGGCTAGCCTACATTGAGTTTGCTGAATTGACCGGAAAAGGAAAAGCATTGGCCCTGGACAAGAGTTTCTACTTAGGAAGGCAACTCAAAGTTACCGAAAAGAGGACGAATAAGCCAGGTATTGGCAATGCTACCCGACTAACACGCGGCATGGTCAAAGGTAATACTGTACCTAGAGGAGCTTTTGGTACAGGACGACAAGGAGAAGGCCCAGTAAAAACAATTGTTAAATACGTGTACCCTAACAGAGGTCGTAGAGGACCTCGTCGAGGATGCGGCTATAAACCTTTCTAATATTTGTGACGTATGTACACATGTTTTGTATTTAACCTTAAATTATATAACTTGTTTTATCACAGCAATACTGTTATTAATAAATTATGAAATTAAAAACTGTATGGTAGATGTCCTTTATTATTTTTGTTAGTACTCAAGTTTACAACAAAATAAAAAAAAATGTATTATCTAAAAGTGCTTTACAAATGAAAGTTTTTAAGATCTAATGGCCGTTCCTCTTTTTGTTCTCATCGTTTTCACCTTCTTCTTTAGGTTTCAATGTAAACGAAGCTCGTATTTTACGGCCTTCAAGTGGTTGAATATTTCTTACATTACTTTTTATAATTGATCGTAGGACTTCCATCTGAAATTTAGTGTTCAAATTTTTAGATTTTGTACCTAATTTTTGTTAAAATGTAAAGGATATTTTCATTTTTGTCTCGTTTCTTCAGTAACAACCGTACTCCCATAGCTTAAAAAACTAAAATCATCTTATTTGATTACTTTTTTGCGTGCATTGATTATTGTAAAGATTAGAATAACAAGACCTTGTTGTTGGTTTAACACGGAAGGTGAACAATAAATTGTAGTCAACTACACGTAAGGCTATACCTTTAAGATTAATAAACAAAGCGTTCTGTCGTGTAATTGCGTGTCGTCGTCACGTTTAATTACAAAAAATCGAAATTTCATTGAAAAAGGGCAATAAATAAGTTTAAATTGTGGTAAACGTAGTTGGTTTATAAAAGTTTTAGTACTATTAAAAAGTTTAGTACTATATAGCTTCATTATTATATGTAATATAAGCTAAGACTAAAGTTATAGTACTGCGCATCAAATATGTTTCAAAAATTCAAATAACCTACTTGAGCATGGCCAATATGTACGTGTCGGCGAAGTATGGTCCAAATGACGCATTCGTCGTGCGGCGGTGTGGTCAGAGATCCATGATAAGTGTAGAAAAAGTGTTTTTCCGGCATCAAAAGATTCAAATCGAAATTTGGGTTTACTTTAGCTTTTTTATCACTACTTCGTTGAGCAAAACGAATAGCATCTATCAAGGGTTCGAAAGCTAGGTTTTCATTTCCGTGCTCCTAAACTCGGTTTTTGAAATTTTAAAATGAAGTTATTGGTTTTGTTTTAAATGATGTTACAGTACAAAGCTTTGTTGTTGTTACAGTAGTGAAAATTGATAATGTTTGGCAATTTATATTAATCTTGCCAATATTGATGTGGAAAGTTTTTTTACTGTTTCAAAACTCACATGCAAAAATATGGCCAAGACGGTCATACCATCAGCGTGTTTGAAGGCGTTTTCCGAGGTACCGTAGCTTGTGTTCCAGAAGACACAATGAATCTAAAGTCAGTGTTGAGATTTTCAACCAAAAACCATGTATTGTTTGTGATATGCATTATTCATAAGACAAAAGTACGTGAGAAAAGGATTCTTTTGGTACTGAAAGTTGGCTTTTCGACCGGTGTTTTTGCAGCGCAATCTTTGGATTTGTTACATTGGTCTTATCGATAAATGTATATTGACATAGGTGTGTGTAAAGAAAGTTTTTCAATTTAGACATAGATGAACATGAATGGTCTATCCCTTTATACGATTCCTTTATAAATATGATCCGTGGGACCTATTTGTTCGGGGCGATCTACTCGTTCAGGCAGACCTATTAGCCGCAAAGGCGTAAAACATGTCATATTATGGTATTGTCAGGGACGTCGTTTGGGGGGGGGGTGGTTCGGGGTGAGTCCACCCCCCCCAGAGAAAAACCGTAGCGACGTCCCTGGGTATTGTGTAGTGTACTTTGCAACTTACTTCACCGGAATAAGGTTTTCCGTTCAGAAAATGCTCACTTCCGCACCGTTTGTTCTCTCCCCAATGGGCGTGGAACTGTGCCAGCCGATAGTCATTACCATAAGGCAAATGGGTACCAGCTATCGTCGATTTGGCGCCGTTTTTCATCCACACATTGAAACCGCGTGGTGTTACCTAAAAATTGAATTTTCGCATGGACGTTGGATTTTTAAACAATTTGGAAAATTGTAAAATCCATCTCCTAAAATGAAAATTTTTTTTATTTTTTTAAGCCGAAGTCGGCCTTGCCTCGAATTTTAAATCATCAAGAATATTTCAGAAAAACTTATAAAGGGCGTATTTTACCTACCTCAACAGTGTCAGCATCCCCAATATCATAACTAATCTTTAGTTTCGAACTCTTCAACGTTGGGTCGTGTATGACAGCAGATGTGACAATGTCAATGGGGCTTTGTTGATGACCGTCTAAGTCTGCAATTAGTTCCCCAATTATAAGATTAAACTAACTTTTTAACGTCATTTTGAAGGTTTATGGCTAGAAGATGAATTTATTTATCAGTGAGGTAACTCTGGGATCAAAATGGACTAGATAATGTTAAGGTAGATAAAGATGGACTAGGTGATAATATTGATAGATATCACCTAGCTAATATTAGTAATATAAGTTAATAGACAAAGTGGGAATTTGATAGTATTATAGTAATGAAATGCAACTATAGCTGACTATGTTTCACACTATGTAATTACTCCTACTTTTGTGTCAGTACAAAATGTTTTATTCTAAAGCGTCATGAATAACTTTAGACAATTACAATAATGTAGTAGAAAGTTACAGCGGTAGAAAGTACATATGCCTTAAGAAAATGCCAAAATATATATAGAGAAAATGTGTATAATATATGCAAAGTATTGCACTAGTATGTTCGTAGAAAATGTTATACTAGCATAAACATGACTAGCATAAAAATATAGGGCTTAAAATATCATACTTCTAAGTTAGTTTAGTAGTTTTAACATATGTATATTGTACAACTACAATGCAGCTCAAACATATACAGCTCAATGCCCTCAATTATAGTATAAAAGTTTTAATAGAGTTTACATTGACAAATACGAGTGCAGAAGACAAGTTGGTAATTAGTTATTATAATCCTCGATTAACAGCATACATTGTAACTTTAACAGAGCCCCGCCCATTTTTAATTGTCCATCTTTAATGAAAACCGTGTAACACCAATGTATTTGGCTTGTTATATTAAGTTTTTCAAATAATTCTGTGCCCTTCTCAACGCAAATTTTCAAAGTTAGGGGACTCCGAATTATTTGAACAACCTAATAGATGTAATGTTGGTTTACTTGCAGTTCTACTTTTGGTCATATTGGTATAGTTAAATTTCTATTTTTGCAATATTGGTTCACTTACCTTGCTCACGTTGTTTCTTATTCACCATCCTTTACATTTGATATTTAAGCGTTTGTAGGAAAGTAGGAAGATAAAATGGCAAAAATTTGTAGCAAAAGTAGAAAGGTATATAAGTTGTAAGTTCGGTATAATTAGAAAATATTATACTCTAGATATCTTAGAATAAAAACCTTTCGCCAGTCGATAAACTCCAAAATAAGTAGGTAAAACAAAAAGAATCAATCTCTTTGGTACCGTTTGTTACAATGAAGATGTTAGGCAAAATACTGTTTACCTATAAATATTAAAGTTGGCACGTGTTCACGTTCAAAACATAAATTACTCTGGAAAAACACAAATTATTAGCGTTTATAGTACGACAATATTTGATGCCCTAAAAGAGCACTGTAAACAACTTGTGACATAAAATTAAAAATTTCACGCTTTTAAAATGTTGAGACCAGAAGGGATCGTTTCATAGCTTGAACGTAGGACAGGGTATCAAAGAAAATCACTTCTTAAACGTAGGTCAGGGTATTAAAAATATCATGGCTTGAAGAAAGGGCAGAAAAATTAAAAAAATTTTTTACCTACGTCAACAAAACAAAAAATGAATAAACAATAACTCCAAAATTTCAAAAACTACCAATATTTTTATGTATGTCAATCCATCAAAAAGAAACGACCAAAAAAGCTTTGAATACTGTCAAAGAACAAAAGTATTACCTACACAAGTAACGAAAAAAATGTATGCAACGCCCTCTTAACTACTAATCCTATTACATTAAGTACTAGTTGCATACAAACATAAGTAAAGGTTATAATACTCTTTTTTGCAGTTTTTTCTTACTTCAATTATCTAAAGATTCGTTCAAATGTTCAAATGGGACCAATTAATGTGGGTACTAATAGAAAATAGTATGAGAATGAGTGGTACTAAAAAAAGCGGGTGTTATACTACTGAGAGCCATAATAAAGAGGTTTCTCTGTATATTATCAATAAAATGTCAAAAAAAAGTTCTGTCGTTAATTTACATTGTCTTTCACGGTAAAAAGCGACAAGACTTTTTTGCCTCTTTAATATTATCAGTACATACTTATATATACTATGTAATTCTAATTTAGCACCCAAAATCACAATTGTAGGTCCCACCTACTTGTACAACTTACAATTGTCAGAACCAATTTTTTTAAATATGTCAAGTTCAAAAGCCTCGAGGACAAAGGAAAAACCCAAGAACAAGAATATTTAATAAACAAATTACATATGAAATGGCATATTTAATTATAGCACTTATTGCTTCGAAGAAGAGTATGACGAACAATTAAGTGTCATTCTGTTGCTTTTTTGATTAATACTTTGAAAAGTGTCATAAAATTTTGATGCAAAAATTGAATATTCTAAAATTAATATGTTAGGAGATAAAAATTTTAAATTAGGAAGGGTGGGGAGAGAGGTAAAGGGCAAAAAAATACAAAAAAAAATTTTTTGAAAGTGAAAGTGCGTTTTGGTCATCTATTAGGTTGTACAAATAATTCTGTGCCCCTCTCTCAAAGCAAATTATCAGAATTAAGAGCACAGAATTATTTGAACAGCCTAATAAAAAATGTTTTAAATTAAAAAAATTTTTTTGGCCTCATCTCCATGCCCTCCCAAACGAAAATTACCCGCCCTATATTAAAAAAGCCTGTATTTCAACAAACTTTTTTAAATTTAACTATAATACCTACTATAGTACTTTTTATAGCCCTATAGTACTAAAAAACTGACGAAACAATGTACGCCACAGCTAATTTTATCAAAAAACTGAACCTCTTCCTCCTCCTCTAAAACAATACCCATTCCCACAAAAGACGAAAGAACATGCTAAACGAACTTTAAAAAACCCTATTTTTTCGAATATTCGAAAAAATGCCCAAACCTCTTTGCACAAAACATTCAGACAATTATAATACATGAATGGCCTGAATTTCATTCCTTCAGGGCCTAAAACGAGTGGGCCAGAAGAATCGTTTTTCATTCCCAAAGCCAATAATATTTGTCGACATGAGACGGCACATCACAACTAATGAATTCATTTCCATGACATTACATATACATTCACTGAAACGTTCGCTTTTTTAGAAATTTATTGAAATTTTTAAATTTTTGAAAAATGGTCAAAGATGGTACCATTAACCTTTATGGGCTTGTTTAATGGGCTTATATTTTTACTTTAAAAATTATAAAATTAGGTTTGACAAAAGAAAATCAAACGTTTTGCATCGGCACTAATTTTAGGTATAAAATCAAGAATTTTAATATGTTACCTAATTTATTAAAATAAACATAAAACATAACTAAAACTACTCTCTATCGCTCAACTATTTGACGTACCTAAATCCTCAACAACTACCAGTTAAAAAGACAGTTTTCGAACGTCTTTAACGGATTAGCAAGATTTACAAAGACCTAAAGGCGTAAATATTGAAATATAAATATTGATGTACTTTCGAATTCAGGCGATTATGCGGCCAATAAACTTTAGTACCTTCCGGACATGAGACTCTTATAAGTTTTAAGCTATGTGGAAACCAGAACCCTAGAAATTAAAAAGATGTTGTACAATAAAACAATAAATTATATGATTTACATCACGGTTTTAAAGTAAAATTGAGAGTTTAACACCAAAAAATAAAACCAAAATTAAAAAAATAAAAGATAAACTATATTTAATCAAACTAAAAGTTGATAAAAAACGAATGATTACCTTTACAACGTTCAGTTTTAAGTTAAAACTTAATTTACACTTTCAAAACTTATTCTACACTTGTTTACATTTACACTTATCCATCAATTTGGTCCCATCACGAAAACAAACAATACTAGGGCAAAATTTTCAATTTTCTGTCGGCCAAAACTTTCGCAACTTTATTTACCTGGAAATAACTTGTAAAAAACATTTTTTTTTTACTTGTCGCTACTAACTGATGATCAATGAATCAACCAAGATATTTCTCCAATTTTACCCAAAGAACAAGAAAGGTTGCATCGATTATTGGACACGAAATCCGCAATGGAAAAGTCTACTACGACGTTATGTTGTACGGCGGATTGGTGCCAACCAGTGCTCCAATTGACCATTTGATGGTATGTTATTTTCTTTGTTTTTTTGGGTTTTAGGTAGAATTGAAATTTTTTGGGATATTCGTGGATTGGATAACATAATTTTTGGTTTAGGAGAGGGAATTTCAAGTTGTAACGCTGTTTGCTAGCTGGTCAATCTTCTAGTTTTATTTTTGAGAACATATTTGACGTGTTCATGTTGATTTTGAAGTTTTGAAAGTTGTTTTTTGTTTGGTTTGCGTGGGTTTTTGTTATGGATAATATAATTTTTGTTACAAATTAATTCGTTTGATGGTTAGCACGTTTTGGATAGTTTACTTAGTATTTTGAAGCGAACATTGTACTTGTTTTGTTGGTTTAAAACAATTTTTGATTGATTTTCTTAAGATTGTTCAATAGACTTCATGGATAAAATAATTTCTCGATGAAATGAAAGATTTTGTTCTCAGAAAGGTTCTTATTCTTTGTCAAAAGTTTTAGAAATTAAACAGAGTTGATGTTAAAGGTATGGATTGGCAATGTATATTTAAAAATTGCGAACATTAATTTAAGGACTTGCGCCAAGGATAATATGGGAAAATATAAAATTAGGTAATATTTGACTTTTTTTTGTATTATGCTGTGGTGGTTTTACGTTTTATTATTTTATCTTTATTTTGATTTGAAGGTGTTAGATAACAAACCATCGAAAAAACGTTTTAGAACTGTGACAAGTTGCTGCAAGAGTATTATGACAAAGTTATCAAGTCAATCAACGACGGGCAGTCTGTGAACACGTTTAAAGGATCTACGACGTAAGTTTTTTGTATTTTTCAGTTATTATTTGTTGTAAAAATAGTTTTATATTGGGTAAAAGGATATTACATGTATTGTCTAAAAATAAATCATTTTTGAAGTTTTCACTGGTTTTTTAAAAATAAAGATATAAATCTTTAACAATATTCTTATCAATTTATTGCAGAAGCCCCCAACGCAGATGTCATACGAGGTCAGGAGCATTGAAAAACGACAAGCAAATTGAAATTTGGATACAGAATGTTAATGAATATTCTGCCACCTTGAAGGACTATGCCTTCAACTTGAACGTGGACGGTCTTCAAAAGTTGAGAGCGGCTTTGGTAGCAGCAACAAAACAAGTAGATTTGAATTTGAGAGCTATTGATGGTATCGGTTGGGATGTGAGTTTTATTTACTTGGTGCTGCATGCTGTGCTTTGAAGATTTTAGGTAACAAATAATTGAAAAAAATATTATCAAAATTAAAAGTACGTTTTTTTTTAAATTTAACAGCCGAATTTAGGCAAGGGTGTCCTTACTTTTTCTTTTTTTCAGAAGAAATCTGAAGGTACTCTCTTTGGTGGCACTTAGAAGCTTGATTATTAATATATACTTTTCAGGCCCTGAACCGTTGCGTAAATTCAACAATGATGTCAAATGTTCATCTGGACTCTACAGTGGATTCCGAAGACCAAGAACATCCTCAGGATATTAATCCTGCTCTGTGGCGCTTTTTCGAAAAAGGAAAAACCAAACAAGGAAGAGTCTGTGTCAGATGCCTGTACTGTTCTAAAATATACACTGGGCCTTGTATCGGCACATCAGGGAAAAATCACGCACAGCGAGTTCACGGTATTCGAACGGACGATCTCGACAAGCTTGGTTTTATCGACGAAGTTAAAAAGTTCGGAATGGATGCGAACTTTAACTTTGAGGCCGCGTGGAAGGTAAGAGAAGATAAATTTTTATATGTTAATTTAGGCAAGGTATGAACAATATGATGTTCAACATCACAAATTTTAATAAAAAATGATTTAGCGAAAGTCCGAGGCTCCAGAAAACCCGCCTGTAGCGAAGAAACAAAGGAAGTCTTGCTTGGATGTGCCAGAATCTACACTTGATGATATTCTAGAGTGCTTACGAGCTGCGGAACGTGAAACGTCCGAATCAGCATCAACTTCTTCTGCTCCGCAAGCTGCGAACTTAGTGAATGAGGCAGAAGATGAGGATATTCAAGTCGAGGCAGCGTTCGTTAACGATGGAAACAATCAAACTGTGAGAGTTTTTTGAATCATACTAAAGAGGATTTACTTTACTAATTAATTAGTAGGTGTTAATTACAGTGACAAGTCTTTTGTTGCTTATACTTAGAGGTTACTTTATTTATCTTTGATGTACTACTTTTTAGGTTTAATTTTTGTTTTATATAAAGTGACTTTAAGTTAAAGTTTTTAACATATTTCAGGAAGCATTTGACAAGTACTTTGGTGATGGAGTGGACGAAGAAGACAGCTTTTTGGTAAGTTTTATGGGTTTAGTTTCTATTTTTGTATGACTCCTTTCTTAGTTAACGAGAGTTTGCTCTTGTTATATTAGTTTACTTAAAATAAATATTGTTTTTCTGTACAAAAGCCTAATAAGCTTAATTTGTTTTAATTTCATTTTCTAACATTTTTTAATGTTACAGTTATCCAACATCGAGATGGACTTTGGAAACGATTTATTGGATAAGCTTCAGCTGAAAGTCGAGCCAAGCGACACTTTACCCGTGGAATGCGAAGTAATTTTGCACTAATGATGGGTATATTTCTTTATTTTTTTGTATATATTAACCCGTTGAACCATATATTCATAATCTTGTTCTAATTTTTTAATTCATGTGTAGTAAATCTTTCATTTGTTGTTGATTTTTGTATTTTATTTTTTTTTTTCAAAATGTTATAACTTTATGTTTTTTATGTTATTGTTGATATTTGTTTGCATGACTCTTTGTTAATCGGGTTTATGGATATATTTGTGTACAATGTTGTTGATTTTTTTGTTTTATGAGTAAAAGTGTACTTGTTAAATACTTTAAGGGTTAGAAATTTTTTTTTGTTATATGAACTTGTTTATTAACATTTTTTATTTACAATTTATGTTATGTACATGGTGGAAACTCTGTTTGTAATGTTTTATATAATTTTTTAATATTATCATAGGTAAGAGTCAGTTATACACAAAAACACAGAAGAAGTAAAATATAGATAAAAGTCAACAATCAAGCCTAAAAATTTCAAAATATTACCTAAAATCAAGCTGAATTTTCATTTTTGTTGTCTTTACTAGAAAATGGCCAAGAGTTTCTATAAAACTTGGCATAAACGAAATATACCCCTAAACATAGTCCATGCATAACCAGGAACACGATAAAGTACTCGATTCCAATTCGATTGCCTTCAAGCGGAGATTGAATCAAATGATACGACCGATATAATACTAGAAAGGCGAATAATTTCAAAACAATCACAATTGGACTGGCATATAAGGCTACTGTAATATGAGTGGTATTGAGATCCTCGTCTGATAATAGAGTTTTGTACACGTAGATTTGAATTGAGTAGGCGATTATTGAGAGGATCTGGAAGGCGAGTTCTTTAGAAATTAGATTTTAATTTTTTTAGATATAGTTTCTGAAGCTTTGCTAAAGGTGCTGTAGTTTTCGGAAAAGGCTATTCTTAATTTTTTTTATTTCTATTTACACAACACTTTAAAGAATAAGATGGTCAACTTACATCACTGACTATAGCCGGTATGATAAAGTGTTTGAATTGGCCCAAGATGCCAAAGTACAATGAGCCGTAGGTAATCAAGCAGCATCCAGGAAAGACGATTAACATGTATTCCTTCGTTATTATGGCCACGAAAATGAAGTAAGCCCTAAAAGCACTATATTATACTCATTTTTCTACACAACACATTATACAGATGTTACTAGGGTCGAACGGTAGGATTTTTTATTAAAAACCTCCGCTATAGACCAATTTTGGCCTGTTGTTACTAGGTGTTACACTATTAAGTTTTTTTAAATAATTCTGTGCTTCACAACCCTGAAAATGTGATTTGAAAATGAGCTCAGAATTTTTTGAACAACCTAATAAATAAAGGTATAACATATCTTTAACTTACTGCACCCAAACGCTGAAGAAATGGGCTACTAATGATATAAAACGACTGTATTTTCCATATAAGATAAGGTTAGGAGTAGAACTAGCTGGATGCAAGTCCCATGGTATATCAAAGTGAACTCTCATTTTATCGCAACTTTTTAGTTTTATAAAGTAAACTGGCTACATAGCTTGCTTACCATAGCTATGCATAGGTTAGATAGCCAAAATGTTAATTTAGTTGACTTGTTATACGTACTGAAAGTTAAAAAATTGAGCTTTTTGAAGTCTGTTACTAAATGTAGATAAGTAAGATATTAAAATAGTAGAAGAGATGTTAATATCAAATAAAAGTAGACTCCAAACTCACTAAAACACAATGATAATTGAGCTGGAACATGCACAAACAACTTGGGAAATGATTCACAAACCATTAAAATACATTTTTGTCGCTTTGTTTCTTATCATATATCAATTTGATGAACATACCAAACCTTATTTTTGCAATTTTTATCTATTTTACGTAGCTTTGAGCAAATATACATGAGATTTTTATATTTAAAAAGATTTTTATGTTTCAATAACTATATTTAGGACTACAAATTGATAGGTAAAGTGATAGCAAATTAATATACTTATCAATATACCTAAAGTGTATTTCTTTGACATTTATCTAAATTAATATATATTTCTTTATTTGTCGAGATAAACACAACAAACTTTACATATTAAGCTAGTTTATAGTTTAAAACATAACAACAAACATCAATATTATGGTATGTCGTGACATACTTATTAATATTATTAATATACTAATATAAACTCTCTTTACAACCTTGTTTTATCGTCCAATTCCCCATTGAATTCAGCCATTAGTTTCCAATCATCTTCATCATCATCCTCATCTTCCAATGATTCCATATTGGGCTCATTTCCAAAGTGAGCATACTCATAGAAATAAGCTGCTAACAGAATGAAGATGCCTATGACTACAGTCATAAATCCGGCATAGAAAAAGGCGGCGGTAGCAGTGTCATCAAATGGGTCTATGGCCGTGATTATGACGATTAGAAGATCACCGAGACAGCTGGTTAGAAGGAAGAGAGCTCCTGAAGATGGGGGTGTAAAGAAAGTTTTTGAATTTACTCTACCCTTCCATAAACTAAAATAGCCTAGCTTAATCTATTCTACCACGCCTTATCTTACCCTGCGCTATCCCACTCTACAATTCCACCATACCCTCCCCAACCGTACCATACCCCCTAATTTACCCTATAAAACAACCTTCCCTACCCAACCCTACCCTACAATACTTTAGCCTAATATTACACTTACCAACCACGGACTTCATAGAAACCGCAGCTTCAGTGTAAGAAAACTCGTTTCCAGTGATGGAAAACATAATTTCGGCCGCGGTGATTACCACGATTTGCGGCACTTGCCACAAAATTGAGATTTTATTGTCGGAAACAGACTGGAACATGGCCGCGACTGGACTAGAATGTTGCCCAGTCAACGACATCAAATATACTCCGCCTTGAGTCTCCTTGACGTATTCTACTCCAGTGTCAGTTAGGGTGAGGTTCTCTTTTGGCAAGGTTTGATGACCTACCGACTTGGGAGTTTCGTTCATATAGTACAGGTGCCATCTGCAGGTAAAGGTAACGTTTATATGAATTATATTAGGAATTTTAAGTACGGGATCTGCTATATTTTTTTTGTATATTGCGTCAAATGGCGCAGAACTAAGTGAACGGACTAATGTTGTTCTACAAGACCCAACTTACGTCCCCGTCCTCACAGCCGTGGGAACAAATACTGTGGCTACAGAATCCTTAGCCACACCATTTTTAGTGTAATATGGGTATTTGCCGTCAATGTCAGTAGCATCACCGTCATTATAGTCGACTTGGTAGTAGTAAAAATCTTCAGATATTGTAGGATCACATGGATACCTTGTGTCATTGTCCTCTTTCACACGACATACGGCGATGTTCTTCGTAAAATTAGCTTCTGATGTGGCTATGATAACACTAAAATACAAAAATTTTAAAAGTAATACAGTGTGGTATGTGTACCACAATAAAAACTTAAAATTTTGATCAATAATTTCATAGCTATGTACTGTATCAATTATAATATATGTATAATATAACATAAACACTGCCAAAATAGGCCTCCAAACACCTACGACAAGCTATGTTCTCCAGTGCCTTGCTGAGGCTTTTCGGCCGACGTAGTACTGTAAAACACCCCATGATCACTAAGATGAATATACCCAACAGAAGGCGCTTTCTTATCCACAGCAACCACATCTACTTCAATATGATCAGGCAGTACGTCAGTTACACAACCACTGCCATTATATTTGAAATTAAACGTTGTCATACCAGCCTCAACGTTAAACAACCGTACACTTTCTACCGTATTCTCCATGGCTGAGTATGGATCCACAACTACTGTAGTGTTAAGGTCGTCTTTAACCCAAGCAGTTACCGTACACTCGGGAATGTTGTTGAATACTGTAACGTAGTTGAAGCCTTTGTGTGGTATGATAGGCAGGGTGGTCTGGAAACGAAATTTTAGCACAAATGGGGAGGAGGGGGAAGAATAAATATAAATAGAATGGATGAGGTAAATAACGGAAGAAGGGGTAAATATTGACAAAAAGTAGAGTATAAAAAGTAAGCTTATATGAAGGAACGGGGGTAAAGGAAAAGAGTCAGTATCCAAGAGAACAAGGTACAGATGAAAATCCTTACATTAACTTTCAATTGAACAAAGCCAGAGATGACAAATGCCAAAGCAGCCAACATTCCACCAGTACCCATCTTCCGTAAAGGCCTGTAAATTTTTGCAAAACTTAGATCTTAACATACGCCGAAACTCCTGTGTAACAAATAGCATTAAAGTGTTAAATGTGTTCGTTACACAAAAGTTTCGGTATAAGTCGTAGTAGTTGTACCTCTTAGTACTCAACAAGACCATTTTCTTAAATTCGTAGCATTTAAAACTCACGTCACTTTGACAACTTTCTCAGTCAACGGATACACGACAGCTGAGAAGATAGGAATCATGACCAGAATCAAAATGGCATTCAAAGTTTGCATTTGATCTGGCAAAAGGTCTATGCCCCACCACAAACGACAGTCCATTTGAATGGCCTAGAAACACGAATAATTAAATAAACTTTTAAATTTTTAATTGATTACATATTGCCAGTTTTAAACTGATTTTAGTTCATTTTAGGACAGCAATCCAAAATTTTTTTGATTAATTGTAAGCTTAAGGTAGACAACGGGCCAACCCTACTTTTTCGGCCGTATGCAAACTTAAGGCCCGGCTCGTTTCCAATCTTTTCAAGACCGGCCCGCTCCCTTTCTTATCCCTAGGCTATGCCATAACTATATTAGTAATTAAACATAAACTTTACAAACCTACCTGAATAGTCCAAACGGAGCCCTGTTGATCGTATAACGTCCAAAACACGATCAGTGGTAAGAACATAACCGATACATTAAGTAGAGTCTTCACATCATTTACAAACTTCTTTTCTGCACAAGCTGTTGGATCTTGAAGACGTTTCTTCAATTTCAAACATTTAATTGAAGTTCTACATTCATGACCAGTCAAGGCGTATTCTAACCAATGTGGACGGGATTCTTTGGCCCTTGTCTTGTTTTTCAGGGCTTTCTGAAGTTAGCTTTAATAAATTACATAGGCAATAATATTTCCAGGTTTAAGGTTTCAGTTAATAAAACTATAAAATTTAAAACATAAGTATATAACTTAATATATTAGGTAATAAAATTTCAAAATTCAAGACTTTAGATAATAAGAATTAAAAATTTAATACTTTTGGTAATAAACTTTTGAAAGTTAAGCTACTTACCAATATACAAACTGAGGTATCTTTAAGAACATTGGTACCGCTTTGTCCACGGCGATACCAAGGACTTCCCAGAAGAAACACAACTAAAAGTTAAATTTTAAAAGTAAATAAGAAAAAAAAATTTAAAAGGCTGTTCAAATATTTAAAGTTTTTTGAACAACCTTATACCAAGGTTTTTTTAAATATAAAATTATGCCTACCAGTAGCAACAATCATCAAAACGGCCGGAATGCCAAAAGCCATAGGATAACATGTGTCTTGGCCCAAACAAGGTGTAGCTGAAAATTTTTTTAAATTTAAAATAGCTTTTGACGTCTTAAAAATGAGTACTGTTAAGTAAAGCATTAAACTACTATAGTGTAAAACGTAAACACCATACCAACCTCTAAAGATAGGAGCCACAAAAGTCGAGATCATTGATCCAGCATTAATAGAAAAGTAAAATACTGAGAAGAATAGTGAGGTCATGGTAACCTGATGCTTATCAAATTGGTCTCCTCCGAACGGCGATACACATGGTTTGATACCACCAGTACCAACAGCAATAACAAAGAGACCAAACAGGTCCAAATAAGGATGGAGTTGCCATTTTTGGTCGTACACTGAAGCCCAAGCAAGGAGTATCTGGCCAAGAGTGTAGACTATCGACACTGATATGATTGTTCTGAATGGCATTAATTGTTTAGACTTTTTTTAAAATTTAAATACATTTTGGGAAAAAAAATATTTTTCTGGTTAAGCCTTTTTTGAGACAGCAAGATACTGTAAGCTAACAAAACGGTATATAGACAAAAAACTAACTCACTTAAACTTCCCAATGTAAGAATCAGCCAAAATCGACCCAAAAAGAGGTGTAAAATAGCAGGAAGCAGTGAAAATGGTAAAGAAAATGGTCGATTGGTTCTCGTTATACTTTAAAACGTTCAACAGGTACAGTGTCAGTACAGTACGCATACCATAGAAGGAGAAACGTTCACAGAACTCATTGCCAATAATGCAAAAAGTGTGAATTGGCCATAGTCTAGCCATTTCCGACCAAGATTTAGCCTCGACCAGCTCGGTGCGCTCATCTTTGTTCCCTTCTGAAAGGGTACGTACAAGAATTTAAAAAGAAATGGAATTGATTTTTTTTCATTTTTAACTAAAAATAAATAAAATTAAAATCCTTTACCTTCGACCATTTCTTATGGCTCCTGGGAATGAATTAATTAAAATTTTCCCAAAATCCATTTGCTTTATGTTCCAAGTGATAAGTACAACAATCGAAGAGCTTCGCGGTAGCTGATAAGAGACCAAACCCATTTTCTGAAATATCATCATTTATGAAAAAAATGACATTAAAAAGTTCTTTGAATTGAAAAACCGTTAGTTCAAAAGTTTAACTGTAATGTATGTATTATATAAGGTTATGATTTGAACATTGTAATTTTAAACAGACTAGACTAAAGATTTATTAACAATAATGGGTTTAAAGTGACACGAGTAGAACATAAAATCAAAATATGTTATAGTAAAAGAAGTCCTTATCCCGTGCACTCATGTGTTTTCCATGCCTTTAGAAAATTTCGGCGTCATTGTGAGAAAACTGATAATAAGGGTCGACATGAGTGTCGTCAGTCTTGGAAATATCAAACCAATCATCATGATGGGTCTACTCAATAAATGTACTCTACTCTACCTTAACCTACCCTACCCTACCTTGCTTGCCTCTTTCTTGCCTTGCCTCGCCCTACCATATCCTACCCTACGCTATGCTAACCTGCTTCGCTCGCCTTGCCCTGCCCAGTGTTGTCTAGCCCTGTCCAACCCTCCTACCCTTATCCTAAGTTGCATTAAACTTGAACTTTTATTTGATTTGAAAAGTAATGCCAAGAAAATTGTTTTTGACAAATTTAAAATTAGTATATCACTCTTACTTATCACCACTCATACTTATTAGTACGCACTTTTGTTTTCTCAAGCCACTTAGAGTTTGTTTTCCGGATGAAATCAAAAAATATGAGTGATTGATCCACTTTACACAAAGTGAGGGTGGATTTGTTGTTTACGGGTTGTGGTCTCTTCGTCTCCCCCCGTCTTCCTTAAGCATCTGCGGTCAGTTCGGACATTCTTTTGGGCTCGAGATTTGCGGCAAAAATGAGCGCCGCAACGCCGCCCGAGGATCCCTTGTCCATCCAACAAATCATCTCACGGTGAGTTCTTGTTACCTAAAATGATAGTTTTGATGTCATGTCGTATATAATAACAAAATTACTAAAGCTACTAATACTATATATAAAGTACTAAAAAATCCTCTTTCTTCACTTTGCTTTTCCCGTCTTTTTCAATAAAAAATGCCACTAACAACGGTGAATAGCAGTCCAATCACAAAATCAAGATTCAAATTGCCAGATGACAGCGTATTTAATTAAAATAATAGTTAAAAATACATTAACAGACCTTTAATAATTATTTGAACACATGACAAATGTAGGTATTAAGTTGAGTTTGTCCTTTCCGCAAATCTTTGACCATCTAAAACAATATCACAAAACCCCAAGCTATATCTCAATAAATATCCGGTCGTTTTTCTTGATTTTAGCACCAAATTAATCCTTATTCTATTCTTGATGTAACTAAAGAATCCATTTGGTATCAATAACAAAGTGTCAAAGTCAAATGATTTTATTTTCTTTTTTATTTATTTATTTGTTGCGGAATGCCAACGATTTTATCTCATTTTTATTGTTGTTTCTTGAGTTTGGACAGCCGAGACGTTAGTCCAAGCCATGATGGACTAGTCTATAAAGTATTGATGGTTTTTACTTTAAAATGCGATTTTTTTCTTTATTTTTTAAGTTTTTGATATTATAGTTAATAATTGTTTACTTATAGCTTTTAAAAATGATTTAATTAATTTTTTAGGTATGAAAACGCAGAAGAAGAATTTCTTCGAGAGTTGGAATCAATGCGACAAGGTGCCAACACGGATACTTCTGATGAATTCGCAGAAGACAGTCCTGTTTTAGGTAATGCTAACGTAACAGATGCAACAGTATAAGTTTCTGTTTCGTATTTTGCCATTCCTTATCATTTTTAAAACAAAAAATTAAACGTTTTAAAATTAAAAAACAGCTCAAAATCTAAACTTTTGCAAAGAGTTGAGGTTAAAAGTTTAGAATTGACGTTGCTTTCACCACTCTGTTTGATGAATTACTATTGATATTGACTCATCTTTTTTATGTTAGGACAAAACAAGGGTCAGTTTGGCCAGATGGACATGTTTTTTGTCCAATTCAGTGCCATTACATAGAGCGATTTGTTGGCTCGAATCGATATAAATCTTGTCAAAACTGCTTCTGGCACTTTATAAATTTATAAGATGGAGTTGAGTTTTTAGAGAGTTTCAATTTGAAATGTTTTGGCTAGGGTGATGTTTTGAGGGGGATAGTTTTGATTTTTTAGAGCAAAATTAAAATTTTCAGGATTTTATGATATTTACGCTTTTTGTTACCTAAAAAGTTAAAAAATTGAGTTTTGTTAACTAAATAAATTGAAGAAGGATGTTTCTTATCTAAGAGACTTAAAAAATAATTTTTTATTACCTGAAAATTGTTATTTACGTTTTCCTCGAATACGAAATCTTAAAAACTTGCTTTACAAACCAAAAGTTGCCTAAGTTAATATAATTTTTCATTTTAGGTACCCTATGCAGTCTGGCCAGTGAAGTCCGCGAACTCCGTCGTCAGAACCGCCGTCTCCGCCGAAAACTTGACGATACTCCTCCAACCCCTCTAAAACGGCCATCACGACCCAACTCTTCTGTAGTTCATCGTATGAGCCAACTGTTCGACGGTAGGCAACTTCTGAAAGGCTTGATGTCAAGCTCATCAAGCACAACAAGTTTAAAGAAGCCTCCAACGATGCAGGCTGAGATCCGTACTGGAGCACGAGAACGAATGAGTACACCGCCAAAGATTGATCATCTGGTTGTTAGTTCGTACTCGACTGATCTGTCTTCTGATACTGGATCTTCAAGTAATCATCGGCGGAAAGCTCCGCCTTTGGTTTTGCCGGAAATTTCGGATTCGGAAAATGATTATCAACAGGTAGATAACTATTTTTGAAATATTTTTATTGATTACTTGTTTATTTTTTGGTATTTTTTGACAAGCACGTATTTTACAAAAAATTTTAAATTTTCAGGCGAAAGAAGGTTACCCGATTGATGATAATTGCCTGTCACCATGTTATCCAAGACGTTCAATGGTTCGTCGAGCTGATAGAGGCTCGATTAGTGAAAATACAAGTCCATCAAGTGTCTCAGCTTCATCTTCTGTTGATCACTGTGATATTATGAGTATGTTTCAATTTTTATTTTCCAATTTTTTTTAAAAATAACTTTACTATCAAACACTGGTTTTTAACGATTTCAATCCATTTTTTGTTGATTTTTAATATTAAAGGGTAATAAATAATGTATTTCATGCCATTTCAGCATCAAGTAGGAGCAGTTTTCTGGAATTGATAGGCCTGAAACGACGTACTCCTTCTCGGCCCGAGGCTATGCCTACAGGCAAAACACCAGCTCATAACAAGAAGCGGAAAAGAAAAATTAGTGAGAGCGACGCTCATTTGGCCAATAATAATGGTAAGTTTAACGTTTTTGAGTATATTATGCTGAAAAAATCAGCATAACAACAAATTTTAAAAAAAATTATGGTTTTTTGTTGTGATTGATGTAGGATATGGGTTACGAACGGTTAAAAATTAAATAGATTAAAAAATATTTTTTTTTTCAATTTTGAAACTTGGCAAGCCTTGAAAAGGCTGGTTTTTCTAAAAATAAACGACTCTTTTGTTCAGACTTCTTTTTTCGAAACAAAAGTGCATTCAAATCAGCATAAATCTTTTCAAAAATAAAACATCAGTCTGAAAAATGAATCTCTCAACAAAATCAAGGAAAGCTGTATTTTTTAAACCTTTTTTCAGACAAACGAGCCACCTCCAACCTGTTGGCCGTCGCAACAAACAGCGAAGGCGCGTTGGCTCCAGGCCAGCACGATTGGCCCAGCGGTCGGCCCGATTCTCGGCAACAAGTGTCAACCTCGCTTCGAAATGTTTCCAATCTGCTGCCGGCGGTAAGAGGGCCTTTGAAATGCGAGAACGGGCGAAATTTAATCGGGAAAAGTTGGGGAAAGATTGTTATAGGTGGGATTAAGTGGATATAGAGGAGGGGAATGGGTAACAGACGGTTGTAGTTTAGCAATATTTGATGGAAATACTTATAAGAATAAAACAAAAAAGACATAATAGGTAATAAAAATGAAAAAAAAATTCTATAGATGTGACTAAGTGGGTATGGAGAGATGAATGGGTAACAGACAGTCTTATGAGAGTAATATTCAAGAATTAATTTTGAAAATATTTAAATCTAAAGACCAAAAAGAGCAAATAATGACAAAAAAAAAGAAAAAACTTGTACTATTGAAAACGAAAGTGATTTGAACGCTCGGAAAATGTCAGAAGTGAACGGCCGATGATCGATAAGCAGGAAGTACTTAACAGATCTATATTTCTCAAAAACGAAAAGTTATTTCGAAAATGTTAAAAATCAACAAAAGTTAACAAATAACATAGTACTCAACAATAATGCACCTTATAAATAACTTGTTTTGAAATTTCATAGCTAACAGATAAAAATAGATTTGGACGAGTGATTTTGACCTATCCGTTCCCTATCTCTATCCTTATTTTTACTACCACGCTTACTTCAAAATTTACCTCTATCTCTAATAATGCTCCTACTCTTACCTCTATCCTTACCTTTACTCCAACCCTTACTTCTTCTCTTAACTCTACTTCTACTCTTATCCCTACTCCTACCCTTGCTTTTAGCTCTATTGCTACTTCTAAACTTATCTCTACCCTTATCTCTATTCTTATTTTTACTCCTACCCTTAACTCTACCATTACTTCTGCCTTGATCTCAACCCCTACCCTTATTCATGGCTCTACTTCTATTCTTATTTCTACCCCTACCTCTACTTCTACTACCCATAACCCTACTCTTATCCTTACCTATCTGTACCCCGAGATAGGTAATCTTACTTCTAACTCTAATCCTACTTCTAACCTTTCCTCTACCCCTATCTCTATCCGTATTCCTACTTCTATCTCTACCCCTATTTTACCCCTACCTTTATTTCTACCCTTACTTCTATATCTACTCTATCCTTACTTCTACCTCTAAAAATACTCTTAACCTCACTTTTACTTTTTTATTTTTACTCCTAATCCTGCCCCTTTCCTTACTTCTACTGTTGTCTTTACTTCTACTCGCTCTTTACCTCTTCCCTAATTTCACCCCTGCTTCACATATACATCGGCTTCTTCTTTACCCTAGCTCTTACCACAAAGTAATGATGTTTTGATTAAGCTTACTTCCAAAAACCCAACCAGTGACGTTGTTTTTTCTCGGAACCCCCCTCATCTTGACTTGAAGTCCGGTTAACACAAGTCTCATTGATCCGGCGAAATTGATGATATGTATCAAGGTGATAGGACACGAAAATGTGTCAAACGAAAAGCAAAAAACACTTTTTCACAGGTTTCTCTGAGTCCTGACGGTGTTCATAAAAAATGTTGGCTCTCGAGGACTAATGGGGCTTTCAACGTGTTCCAATCGGTTTTTATGTCTTTAATGTTTTAAGAGTTTTTTCGATATTAACTTGGGTTTATGTTGGTTGGGGTGGGTTAAGGTTTTTTGGTGGGTAGGGGTTTATGGGGGTAGTTAAATGAATTTTTGAGAGAAGGGGTTACCAGCCCAAATTTGAACGGACATTATGGGGTAATGGTATGTCGTACCATTACTACTACATCTTATAGTTCAAAAACGTCAATTTTTGTGTTTTTTCAGCACAGTGCATCAGTGCCAAAGTTTGAAGAAGCTGAATTTGGAGTCAAATTGAGGAGAAAGGTCAGGCCAAAAAGTTTTGCTCATAATTTATCGCCAAGTGACTTGAACTTGCCTCGATCGAGGCTTGGAAAGAAGATCAACAGCAGTAGGAGTATTGCTAGCCGAGGTGGGTTTTGGTCATCTAAACTAACTTTTTAAGCTTATTTTACTGTTAGGCTTATTTAATCTTAACTATTGTTATAGTCAACCTCAGCCTCTTAGATTTATCTATATAATACTAAGTTTTTCGTTAGTAAAACTGATTTTAAATGGCGAATTAAGGTCTAAATTACTATTCTTGAGGTCTTAATTATCACTTCTTATAAAAGCTACCTGATATTTTACTTGAAAAACTATAATTCTAGCTCTTTTCTTAACTTAAAATTAAAAAAAAATATTATTAGCTTCCGAAGACACGAATAACTCCACATACAACGTAGCTGACGAAGAATTCCAACTACTTCAAGATGAAAACAGCTTTCTTCAGCACGAGATCCAAGTGCTGAAGACGAGGAATACTCAGCTAATTGATCAACTTCGTGACAAATCCATGCAACTTTCGAAGAACGAACACATTTTTGAGGTCAAAGTGAGTGATCGATTTTTTGACACCTTTTGAAGGTTGATTTAGAGGGTTATCAACATATTCTTCTATATTTTTTAGAGCTTGAGCTCTCTAAAACAAAATTTTATGTTTTAAAAATACTTTTTTTTTAATTTTTAATTTCGGCAAAATATATTTTAATGTAATTTTATTAAATTGTAGTTAGACAACTTCAAAAAGAAGGAGAAAATGAATGAAGCCTTGGACAAAGTTTTCTTGAAAGAAAAGGTTGGCCAAATCAACGAAAAATCAGTGATGGAAATTGAAAATAAACTAAAAGAACTTGAGAATGAACTTCAACAAGCCAAGAATGATGCTTTGAAAAGTCAGCAGCTTGTAAGTCAACTACTGTGACATTTTGTGAATGAAAAAGTATTAGGTTATTCAAATAATTCTATGCTCTTTCTCATTGCAAATTTTGGGGTTATAGGCCCAGAATTATTTAAACAATCTAATATAAATTTTGGTCTTTTTTAAAAAATATGTTTATAAAGACAACTTTCAGGCTATAAACTCAACGTTCCGTGAACAAACGGCGTATCAGAACTGTCTCGAACAAGTTGAGCGACTGCAACGTGAAAACTTTTCTTTGTTACAGTCAAAGGGATATGGTAAGCCAAATCTATGGAATTTTAAAATATTTTTTGAAATTTTGAAGTATTAGGATGTTCAAATAATTCTTTTCTTCCTAACTCCGAAAATTTACTTTGAGGGGGACACAGTATTTTTAACAATCTAATAGCTTTTTGTTTTCTAAAAAGTTTAAAAAATAGATTTTTGTTGCCTAAAAAATTAAAAATTAATTAATTTTATTTAATTTTTTTTGTACTATGAATATTTGATATTAATCAAAACGAAATTTTCAGAATTAGGTATAAATGAACGTCACATCAGAGAACGATTGGAAGAACTGCCAAGATACGACGCTTTGTACGCTTTTACTATGAGGATTGTGCATAGGGTGGGGTTTTTGATATTGTTATGTCAAAATTGATAAAAAAAAGGATGTTTTGGCTATTTTACTACTGTCTTTTAGCCAGACTTATCTTATTTTACAATTTTTTTATTTTTACTTTTTTGAAGCCTGCTTTTTAATTTTTATTAAAATTCAGTTAGGACATCTCCGCAACATGTTGATAGACAAGTCCAATAAACTTATTCACGCCGAACTCGAGTTAATGCATCAACAATCTGCCTTACTAGTAGCTCATGCCCAGATCGAGAGACTAAAGTTGGAACGCAGTAGAAGTGTGAGAAGACCAGTCTCATTTCATGGTGATGATCTGTTGTCAAGGCTTAACAAACCTAAACTCAATGTGTTTTTGCCGTTCAAACTGCATGGTAGTCGGGTGGAACAACAAAGGAAGAGCAAGAACAATAACCATACGTTGAAGGAGTTGGCTGATGACGATGGAATTGAGGCTGATTTCTTGAAATTCTTTGATATGAGCAAGTGTAAGTTATATTTTCTTTGGTCAACTTTGTAGAAAGTCTATGCTTGTTTTAGGCAGAGAAGAAGGTTCATGTTAAGGACGTTTAAGTTAGTTATGATAAGAGTTAGAATACAGTTAAATTTGAGTTTAAAAATGAAAAAACTCAAAACTTAGGTACAAAATAATGTTTTTAGACCCCCTGAAGAACGATACTCCACCATCGCCTCGAGTTGAGCGAAAAATCATTCCCCAGCGAAACAACGGGCCCATTGAGAACGTCATTGTATATAGAAATGGTCGTGGAACTGTGTCGCCAAGTGAGTGTTTCAACCCCATTAATGATTAACTACGAAATATAGAAAAATACCGAAATTGTGTTACCTAAATTTTTTTAAAATTTTTATATTCAAATCAATTTTTTGTAAAATACGCCGTGGATGGCCTGATGAGAAAAAAATTTTAGTGGGATCTCCAGTTCTAGCCGAAAGAAAGCGCATAGCCAACGGCAACGCCTCTCCGTTAGTCCGCCGAAGCGAAAAGACTCCAGAATCCGGTCGGAATGTCCGTCGACCCTGTAGTCTAGTCGAAGCCAAAGATCATAACAAAACAGGCGAGATAAAGCGATTGGCAGATGAAATGAGTCGAATTAAGCCTGATGAGACTGTCCCAAGTCTGATCACCAACTCTCCGATCATGAGGTTTTCTGGCCGACAAGGGCATGTTAGGGAAATCGTGTCATCACTGCAGGATATTAGTAATATACCCGGGAGAAGTCCGTCTACTACGCCGATTATGGTGAGGAAAGTGCCGATTTTGGGGTCGCCAAAGTCAGCGGAGAGGAAAATCATCAGACAACAGTCTTGCAACTCTCCTAATGGGTCTAGTAAGTTTTGGCTTTAATTTGGGTAGATTTTGAAAATTTAACTCTTCCTGAAAGTCTTCATATTCAAACATAAGCCTAGCTTCATTTTTAAGCCAAAAAACCATCTTTCAGGCTATGACAACCAACCTCTGTACGACTGTCCTCCTCGAGGATCAGGCGAGTCCTCAGACTATAATTCCAACGATCGGCCGCTGCAAAGTTGTCTAAAAAGGAATGGATCTGATCGTAGAAATCAAAATTTAGGACTGCCAAAACAAACACATCATCACCATCATCATCACATCACCTCCAAACTGCCTCAACCCTTCAATTTACCCAGCACACCCTTAAGCAACGGACAAAAGAAGCCTAGTGCTGTGTTGGTAGGTTGAGTTTTGAAAAAGTTTTAAATTTTGAAACTTAAAAAAATTTTTTAATTTAAAAGCGCAAAATAGCAAAATTTACATTTTTTTTTGATTTTCCGAAATTAGAAACTACCCTTTTTCAGCGCCGAAACTCCCCCGTCCTCCAGAACGACCAACGTCCCACAGCGGCCCAAAACCGTTGGACGGCCCAACGAATGCGTCAAAGTGCCAGTGAATCTCCACGTGCCATACCAAGATTCCAACACAATCACACAAATCTAAACCAAACGATCAGAGAAGAAGACGAACGATCCAATTCGTTGGAGCGATCAGATCAACCACCAAGTTCAAGCAGCTGTGGTCCGGTCAGTCGGCTGCCTAAGCCTGGAAGTCAGGGAATCAAGAAACCTCAGAATTGGTTTAGTCGAATTGTCAATGGAAAGAAATGAGATTGTATAAAGGTTTGGGAATAAATTTATTTTGAATATTTCCTTAGGCTTGGAATTTAAGGGGGGGGGGTAAAATAAGTTTTTTTTATTTTGGGGTAGATTTTTTTTTCAAAAATTGAAATTTAAAGATAGAAATTGATGATCTTTTCCACTTTAAACTGCACTGTCCTGACCCCCAAAATGATATGCAGCATGATAAAACTATCTACCACTCCCCTACTCAACTATACTACTCCCAAACATCATTCCCGGCCATCTTTTGATCTTGCGAGTCAATCTTAATAGCTCCTAATTCCATTTGAGCATCGTGCACAAAATAAAAAGGACCTTAAGCCTCATCAAAGTTTCGCTTCATGAAAAAAACATTATTATCTATCTATTCGTATTTCAAGTTGCGCATAACAAATGAGAGCATTGCTTCCTTGAATAAAACGACACTCGGTTTTTTTTGCTTAAGGAAATTTGGCGAGAAATGAGAGAGAAGAGCCGCTTACAACACACTTTTTCTGCGGTTGGGCCGCGAATTTTCATAATTCCCCTCTGGCTGGACCAAATAACCCACGGCATACGCGAAATTTGCATAATTTGGATTTTTTGAACCGCTGTGTCCAAGGCAACTATACCTGAATTTGCGACGGGAGTGGGGTCGTTTTTTGCGCTTTTTGCAAAATTTTGAAGTTAACTTTAAAAGTTTTTTTGGTGGTTTGGGATGGCTACAGAAAGGCTATGCAAAGAGCCAAAAATTAATTTGCCCTCTCTCACCTTCTCCCAAAAAATTTTTTTTTGAGAAAATTTGAGCTTCCCCCCCCTGTTGACTTTTTTTTTGAAAATTCTTTTTTTATTTTTTCAGTTTAAAACTGCTTTGCTTATAGCCTATACCAACTTTTTTTGAAAACAGTCTGGACTAAAAACCCCATTTTACATCAAAATTTAAATTCCAGTCCAAAACACTTTATTCCCCCTAATTTTATCTCCAGAACAAGCAGCGAATCAGCCGGTTGGCATGAATAACCCGCCTTTAATTTATCTCGATTCTTCCAGTCCAGCAGAAGCGCGGCCTAGCCTTAATTCGCAACCTCTTTCCGTTTTAAGTGGCCAATTAGTGTTTCTGTGGCAGTTCCGGTCGAAAATCAGCACTTGTGCCATTCTTTTTGTCGAGATTCTCGGAGATTTCGGCGGGCCCTACTTCATAAAACTTTTTTGGGTGTGCTTTTTGGGTTTGGCTGGTTTTTGGGCTTAATTTTAAACGGGTTTTGATGAAGGCTTTAATCTCGAATTTTGAGTTTTTGAAGTTTAGGCTTAAATTTTTTGTTTTGGGCTTTTTTGGCTTAATTTTCTTTTTTAAAATATATTTTTTAGGTTTTATTTGTATTTTAAAAGACTAATTTGAACATTTAGTTTTATGCCTTGTAAGCCTAACTTTACATTTTTAAGAATTTTAGGCTTAAATTTTAATTTTTCCAATTTTAGGTTTAAATTTTTATTTTAAATTTAACTCTTTGTATTTATTTTGTATTTCAAAAGACTTTTTATTACATGTACAACTTGAAATTTTATTTTTAAGCGTTTTAAGTCTAGGCTTACATTTTAAGGCTTAATCTCACACTTTTAAGAATTTAAGCCTAAATTTAAAATTTTTTCAGGTTTTAGGTATAATTTTATAAAAATTCTAGCCATCTATTGTGAAAATCATAAACAACGTGCCCCTAAAGAGCCTCAACCAAGTCCTGAAAACCTACTTCATAAAAGTCCTTTAGGCATTCTTTAAGAATTTTGCCGCAGGTTTTCCGGTTCGAGTTTTTATACGCTTTTGGGCCGAATAAACGCCTTTCTTGTGGACACTGACTTTCGGCTCTATAACATTTTATGCGAGGTGAAACCCAGTTATTTTAGAGAAATATCCGTGTTGTGGGTACATGAAGTCTACAATTTCGTATGAAAAATGGGCTTATAAATTTGTCTTGATTCTGCAGCTAGTTCAGGAAGGGGGGGGGGGTGGTGTTTTTGTCTTAGGAAAACAAGAGGGGCGGAAAAAATTTTAAAAAAATGTTCTTTTAAAAATTATTGAAGAAGGGACTTTGTTCAAGGTTTGTTTCAAATTTATTGTTTTTTACTAGCAATATCAAGCAAGGGTATGCATTTTTTTTGAATTTCTACTGTTTATAGACTCAGATTTGAAATCAGTATAATGGCGAATATTTTGTTGGTAAACAAAGCCTGTTTTTCCATTAACTCATTCATCTCTCTTACTTCTTTTTATATACTATAATATAACTTTTTTTAGGCTACGTAGGGTTTAATTGGGGTGCTAGAAAAGTGTTGTCGTTAATTTATAAGACTTTGCGTTCAAAAAAAACTTTTTCTGATGTCTTACAACTTTATAGGGTAGGGCAGAGTAAATTAAGTAGGAAAGGAATAGATAGGCTAGGGCAAAAGTAGGGCAGGGCAATTTAAAACATGACAGAGCTGGTCGGATGAGAAGGGTAGGGAAAACTAAAGTGGGACAAAGTAAGACAAAGTAGGAAAAGGTAGGGTAGGGTAGGGTAGGGTAGGGTAGGGTAGGGTAGGGTAGGGTAGGGTAGGGTAGGGTAGGGTAGGGTAGTGTAGGGTAGGGTATGTTAAGGTAATTTTAATAATTTATTTTTTGTTGTTCAATACGTGCTATATAGTACCAAACTATATGTTCTCTTACTTTTTCAAAACTTTCTGGCCAATCTTTTAAAAATTGATTTATATAAATCTTTTGAAGTCAAAACGAATCCCTTTTAGCAATAAAACCATCTTCCCTTCAAGTCAAGACATTCTCCATAAGCAAACTTGGCTAACCGCATTTAGTGACTTGAAACGGCGCGTCGAGAGACATTTTTTGTTGAATTTTCTTTCTTCAAGGATTATCAAATTTGGTGTTTCAGTGCCATTCATTTCGAGTCGAAGGAGTTGTGTATGCAAATTTGATGGTTGATTATGCACGAAGTAATTAAAGGGCTTAGGCTTGTGCCGGATGGGCCACGACCATTCCACGCGACGTCATCATAAGTGTAGCGAGCGTAGCCTGCCCACGGTCCACATCATGAACAGGTGGGTTATTTGATAAGACAAAATTCGGGCAAGGCAATTTAAGGCAGGACAGAAGTGGATAAGTTAAAAAAGGTAGGGCAGATTAATTTCAAACAAGACAGGGGTGCATATGATTGTACTGTAGAATAGAGGATAGGGTAGAATAAAGGTAGAGCAAGATAAGATAAGTTAAAACAAAGGTAAGGCAGGTTAATTTAAAGTAGAAAAGGAGTGGATAGAATAAGAAAAAGGTAGGGCTGGCAAGTTAGGGGAGAAAAGAGGTTGATAGGATAAGCATAAGACAGGGAATGGTAAGTTGAGGTAGTACAGGAGTGTGCAGAGCAGGTCAGTAAAGGAGTAAGGTATTGGTAGGCAGGGTAGAATAATAAAACGTCTGATTTTTTTTAATTCATGAAAAACGTTAGACATACCCTTAAAATGCATATGGAATAAAGCGCCGTAAAATGTTTACATTAGGTATTAAAAAGCCGGCAAAATCTGTAAAACGCCGGTTGCCGCTTTCGACCTTATGCCTTTAAACTCGCGCTACTGGGAATTTGTTTTGAGTTTTGAAAATGGGCTTTGTACTATCTTGTCCTAACTTATTCTAAAGACTTTTTATTAAAAGTTATGCTTTTTGTTATCTAAACTAATATTTTTACTTAAATTTATTTTTGTTACCTAAATTTACATTTTTTTAAATTTAAGCCAGCCGGCTTTTTTAAGCGTTAACTCTAAAAGACCAGCAGAAACACGCCTCACGCCCGTTTCCAAACCCAAACTATATAAAGGGTCAGAAGTGACAATGGTTTCTTTTCTATATGAATTAAGAAAGGGATTGGGTTGCCGTATTCAGAACGGTGGGAAAGAATGGCACAAAACTCTTTGGCCACATATCCGTTTTGCTCTCGCTTTTTTCGAATTCAGCCGCCGACGGACTTCTTCGGCCTTCCTTACCTGGTCAGGTGCGAGGAATGGCCACTTTTTGTTTTACATGCGCTCTCAGTTTCCTCCCCTTCACCCCTCAGGTGCAAGTGTTTTAATTTGGCCGAAAGCTTTGGCCATGTTTGGAGGATTATTAAAAATTGGGGGAACTTTGGTCGATGGGATGTTGTTTTGATTTTTTTGAATTTTGAAGAAAAAATTTTTTATTATAGTGTCTTTTTTTAAATTAAGAGCTACAGGAGTAAATGAAGTGGTAATTTTAGCCGGGGATTTAAAGGTATCTTGTGGGACAGCAATTTTGTTATAGAGAAGTTTGCTATACAGAAGTTCCACTGTATAGTTTTTTAAAAATATATTTCTGTTTTATTATAAGAAGCTTCAGGAGCCGGCTTTTTATGTTAACTATTAGGTTGCTCACATAATTCTGCGCCTTGTACTTTACAAATTTGCTTTGAGAAGGGGCGCAGAACTAAGTGAACAACCTAATATAATGTACTATAATTATATATTAAGGGCAGGGTAGGATCTATAACGTATTATACTATAGTTATATTAATAACTATTTAAAAACTTTTTCTTCTTCGGTCGTTCTTGCTCATCAAATAAGGTTCTTACGACTAAAAAATTGAATAATTGATTTTTTTGCTATATCATCACGTTTTTGATAACGAGATTGTTAAAATTTTAAAAGCTCTACATAGACCTTTAATAAATTTTTTTTTGTTTTAATCTTTTTGGCATTGTGGTTTATTTTTAGTCATAAATTTTATTTTTTTATAAAAAAGAGGCTTTGAAACCCAGAAAACAGCCCTAATAAGTAGTGTGTGCTGAAAGCTGCTTTTCTTCTCTATATATTTTTTGAATTTCTTTATATGTTACAAAGACCTTCTGGCATAAATTTTAATTTTTTAAAATTGGACGTTTAAGCCTATTTCTATATTAACATACCGATATTTAGGTGATATTTGTATTGGGCCGGTTATTTTAGTTTGAGGAGGGTAAACTTTTAAATTTTTCTTTTTATTTCAAATTTTTGAACTTAAAAAAATTTTTATTCAACTTTTATTTTAACCTCTAAAATTAAAAGCGCATTTATAGTAAGATACAAAATTTATAATGAAAAGCTCTAAAATCAGTCCAGCGATTAATTGCAAGCTCAAAAAGGCTCTGACGTTTCTTCAATGGGAATTTGATTTTGGAAGCTCTTTTGGTTGATAAAGGCCGAAAGATGAGGAGCGAAAGTCCGAAGCAAAGCCAGGGGTTTTGTGGTTTCCAAGGGAACACAGATATTATGAGTTTGTTATCAATGTCTTTTGCTGTGGAACTACAAAGATTTACTGTTTTTGCAGGAAAATATATTTTTGGATTTTAGATTTAAAGTTTTAGGCTAAAAATACAGTAAACTCCTTTATAACGATTTATTCTATAACAAAACTTCTGTATAACATTCAAAAGTTATCCCAAGCAGTTACGATTTTAAAAATATTTTTTTGCCATTTCGGACCTTACTTTGATATAGAAATTTTAATTTTTATAAAATTTGATACCTTTTTTAAATTTTTTTGACTTTTTCTATGCCGCGACAACTTTGAAATACGAAAACTCAAAAATATGTTGTTTTAGATAACTGGTGGGAGTTGTGGCCGCGGGCTGGCCTCCCAACACCCGCCCTTCGTTTATGCAGTTTTGGGAGAGACTGCTCAAAAGACGGTAATCATCATTATATTAGGCTTTAAAGTTTAAAATTTTCTTAATTTTCTAAATTTAAAAATACTTAGAATTAGAAAATTTAAATTTTTTAATTTTCAAAAAGTTTTTTCTTAAATAGTTAGCGGTGATTATTTTTAAGGAACTGGCTGTATCTATCATTATATTAACTACACCTCTCGTATGTTACTTTAGTTTAGTAACTAGGAAATGCACTTTAACAGAAAATGTCACCAATGCAATTAAAAAGCCACGCCCTTTTCTAAAATTAGTTATATACTTTCAATTATAAATGTATTTTTAACACTTGCATGCTTAAATTTAATTCTTTGTTTGCCTAGACATGGTATATTAAAGCTGTGGGCAGTAGTATAGCATAATACTATAGAGGAAACAACAGATTTGTTATTTCTGGATCAAGAACTTAGATTTAGGATAAGATTTCAATTTTATCAAGTGATGACAATCATTCTAAAGCTTTACAGTCAGCTTTTTTATATTTGTTAGGTCTTACAATTAGAAAAAAAGTTTTAAAAATACGGTAGTCAGTCATGCTTTAAAAAGAAAAATAGGCTTAAAGGTTTAAATTGAGGTTTTTAAGGGTCTACCTTGTTCTACTATATCCTGTCATAAAATAAATAATCGCTGATATCCCTTCCAAATTCGAAGACATTGTACAGCAAAGCGTGTAAACATCGATAAGAAGATGCCGTAGTTAATTAGATGCCGATTAGAGCGGCGCCGGCTTTGGATAAGGGACACAAACAAAAAAAAAACAAAAGCCGCGAAATATAAAGGCAGATTGTCGAGACGTTTTACAGATGGCCAAAGGCAAACAAGGTTTTTTGAAGGCATGGCTAGTCTTACTAGGAGGTGTAATTGGTTTTGGCTTTTTACCTTGCTTAAGCAATTTGGTATTATATTGTAGTAGGTACAGGGCTAGGTGAACATATTTTTTATGAGTAGGCAGTATAAAATGAAATGAAAAATGTAAAATACGTCGTACAAACCTTCGTTGAAAAAAAAACGTGTATGATAAGCTAAAGCTATGCCAAACCATTTTTCAATGATTCTCAAAAAAATTAAAAAACCGATTACCCCAGGCTATTTTAAAGCCTGAAGGCTTTGTCAAAACGACCCGCAGCCCCCTCCCAATACCAGGGCCGATGTCTTAACTATTGGCGCAATCCATCTTCGGAAAGTGACAGGTCTTATGCCAAATTCATCGTCGGCAGATTTCGCGCGACATGCCCCGCACTATTTGTCCCCGCTGGCAGTGTTCTTCTTTGGCTATTTTTTGAAAATTTTGATGGTTGAGGGGCTGATCGGATTTTTTTTTATTTTGAGGGTTGGAAAGGGGGGGGGGTTAAATTTTGATGATAGAGGGAAGGGGGATTTTTAAAAATTTTTAGCTAGAGACATGAAAGAGGGTAAAGTGCCTTTCTAGGGCCTAGAAATAGTAAGGAAGGGTAGATCTTAAAAAGGGTATGGATGGTTTTAGAAACTGAAAAATATAAGCTCCAGCGGTAAAGTTTGGAAAATGGGAAAATTTTTTGCTTTTACAAGTCGGCGTACAAAACTGTTCAAATTTTTTCGAAAAATTTTTATTTCTTTTTTTACTTTTTTCTTCCCCCCCCTACGATTTTTTTTCAACTTTATAATGCTACGATAAGATAAACTTTAAAAAATCTTGTTTATATTACGTTTTTATTAAAGCAATGCATTACATGCCTTTTCTGATGTCCTGTGCCGTATTTATTCTTGGGCGTTGGGACTTGTCTCCCGCCCTCCGGGGACCCTTAGGGGACACCATATGAAGCGTCGAATCAGTGCGCCATTGAAACAAAAGACAATGACATTTGAATGTCGTTTTGTTCCACCGGCTTTAAATTTCTTTTCCTAACATGACAAACTTTTTTGAATTTTTGTCTTTTTTAGTTTTTTAACTTAAAATTTTAGATTTTTTAAAAAAATTTAAATTAAAAATTTTTAAAAACAATTTTTTAATTTTTTCGAAACTTTTTAACTAAAAATTTTAATATTTTTAAAAAGTCAAAATTTATGCCATTTTAAAAGTCAGTTTCGAATTTCTTTGTGTTTCAAGACCTGTGGCGAATTTGGCCCCAATACATAATTAATGAAGCCTGCTTTTGTTTCAAGTGGTTCGCGTAGGGTAGTTACGCCAATTTGCAAGCAAATAATGACGCCGGGAATTATGTTCATATGCAAAATTTGTTAGGCCGTTTGTCAAGTCTTTTGAATTTAAAAAAACTGAAAAGTTACAATGACTTTTTTTTATTTTGTGGGTGTAGTACAATACAGTATAGTATGAAATAGCAATCTAATATGGTTTAGTATCGTTTGCCCTATCTTTATGCCCCCTACCCTACCCTACCCTACCCTACCCTACCCTACCCTACCCTACCCTACCCTACCCTACCCTACCCTACCCTACCCTACCCTACCCTACCCTACCCTACCCTACCCTATCCTATCCTACCCTACCCTACTCTATCCTACCCTACCCTATCCTCCCCTACCGTGATCTACTCCGCTCTACTGTATCCTACTTTACCTTATTATACCGTATGGTACCGTGCTTTACTTTTGCAATCCTATTCTATCTTTACCTTATTTAGAATTATTATTTTTATACTGCCTTACTCTACTCTATTCTATTTTCACGTACCTTTTCTTAATTTTCCTACCCTATCATACCGTACCGTTCATTAATTTTTCCTACCTTACTCTATCCGTACCTTATACTACCTTACCCTAGTTGCCCTGCCCTACTCTACGTACACTATGTTTCTCTATCCTACTTTTCTTTATCCCTAGCTTTCAAAATTTAAAACGGTTTTTTAATGTGTAAGATGACTTTTGATCAAAAAGATGACATTTTATTTAACTCCCAGACCTACTTTTTTAGACATTTAGGACATCTTTTTATACTTGACATTAAAAAGAATTGTTTTACATTCAAAAAGATATTTTTTATTTATAATTTACATTTAAGTCTCTTTCCCCCCTCCCCTCCCTTCCCTCCCCTACCGGAGTACTTGAATCAAACACGGGCTTTATTTTTCTTGTATATTTTTACATACATTTTAAAAAATTTAAATATAGATATAGAAGACCCATAAATTCAAAAGCTGTCTGTTCTCCTAGAAACGAACACCCATAATTTTGAAAGAACTCATTTTGTACGAGAGATTTTCGGTTGTAAAGTACTGGCATAGTATGTAATTTGGGGATATTATAGTAGAGCAAAGTATAGTAAGGGAGAAGAAATATTTTTTTAAATTGACATTGTGAGGCCATAGGTAGGACTGGGTTTCAGATGGTAAAAAGGTAAAAATAGGCTTTATTTTTTACAAAGTGCTATTTAGTACGTTCGTACTAATAAGTATTATTGATTGAAACGATACTGCACTAAAAGCTAGGTTAAAGATAGCTCTTTTAATAATTTTTTAATTTTAAAAACTTTTTTAAACATGCGTTACTCTAATATCATCTTATTTCAGCCCGTTCCGAGGACTGCGGCGAGCATCGTCAGGCTCATCCAACTCATTAAACGTCGCGTCCTACCCCTACCCTCGCACCCACACCACTCTCGTCGTGCCGGGCTCGGTCGTTCTTCAGCGTGATCGACCCTCCTTAGACTCTCCAACCTCGCCCTCAGGCACTGCCACTCCACGCCCATTCCATCGGCCACCCCTGAACCGGGCTATACCACCAATCCCGGAAAGCCGTTCCAACGAGTCCATTATCTCACAGGCTAGCCAACTTCACAGGCATAGTATCTCGGACAGTTCTGTGGGTTGTTCTAGCAGGGAACAGGCTCAAGGCGTACCTACAACATTGGCTAGTGCGGTTTCGGTGATTGATAACTCGGTGGTGATCGAAAATAAAATGGCACAGAATCTGGGTGCTAAACATGCTACTAACTATTCAAGTAGGTTTGGCAGTTTAGATTTGTATTTTTTAATTCTTGTCGTTTTTTAACGAATATTTACACGTAAAAAAGCGACAAGACTTTTTTAGACCCTATAGAATTTTTCTTATTATAGCCTTATCTCTTAAAACCTCAAAACTATCGAAATTTAGGTCAAGGAGGTCTCACCCAATCTCAATCAACCACCCGTATGGCCCCACCAACCCCCGTTACTATAGCCCAACCCACCACCAGCTTTATTGCTCGGTCTACCTCAATCACCGTGAAATCATCTAAACCCACATCATTGGCCAAGTCGATGTCGGTGGAATCAAAACCGTCTTTCGAACAGAACGCTCAACTCCATAACAGTATATCAACCCCAATCATTTCGAAAAAAGTCACAGCTGTGATTGTTACTTCAAAGACCGCCTCGAGCCCAATTGATCCGCCGGCTTCGTCCGCGTACTCTGGAGCTCCACCGAAAAGTACGAGGGTGGTGGCTAAAAAAAAGTGAGTTTGTAAGATGTAAAAATAAAAAATTAGCTGTTTTATCAAAAAAATTGAAAAAAGAAATTATCGACCGGTCGATTTTTTAATTTAAAAAAGTTATTTTTGAACAAAAAATCAATTTAAAAATACCTTTAAAAACCGAAAAACAAAATTTTCAAAAAATTTGTCGACAAGTCGAAAAAAAATCAATAGTTTCAAAAACTTTTTGAAAGCCAAAAGCAACATTTCCCAAGGTCGGAAACACATTTCTATGACCAAAGAATAGCCCAAAAACCTTTGCCAAACTTGAAATTAGCCAAAGACAAGAGAATAATCAACTTTTTGCAGACAAACCCGGCTATGTCAGCAGGAACCGCCCAAAAGCCCGCTTTTGTCCATGGCACACAACGTTCGAAGCCGTCTGAACAAGTTGGGGAATCGGCTGGGGCGAGGCTCGTCGAGATCACCCATCAGATCAAGTTATAGCATGGTTAGGTGAGTGTTTATTGATGTTTTATTAGTTTGTTCAAATAATTCTGTGCTCAAAAACGATTATAGTCATTTTAATCAAAACTTGTTACCTAATTTCCATTTTCAGCATGCGTCGCGACAAATCCGACCTAAACCAAGAGCAGTCTGTGAACGAACGTCTGGCCAAGTCCTCATCCATGAATTGTCCCAACCGGCCAGATTTTATCCCGCCTCCTCCGCCGACCTCTTCGCCGCCAGCTGATGATGAACTAGAGCCAGAGGATGTGAAGATAGTCAGTCCTGTTTATGTATCAAATGTTCAGTCTAATATACCGCGAAGATTACCTACTACGACATTGATACAGTCACCAATAGGAGGACGATATTATCGGAGGTTGGATGTTGAGGATCTGCCTTCGGAAGAAGGTCCAATTCCAGCCATTGATTCTACGGAAGTTATCAAGACTCCTGACGAAAATGTGCCTCCGGCTATTTTGTTAAGGAAGGAGGATGAACTTCAGGTAAGCCTTGGCATTTTTGAATTTTTTTTTACTAAAAATGGTTTTTTAATAATTTTAGGTAACAAAAATTCTTTTTTCAGTTAAAAAGCTAATTTTTTGAAATTATAAGTAACAAAACTCATTTTTATACCTAAAACATCATTATTTTTAATTTGAGGTAACAAAGTTCATTCATTTGTAATGTTAGGTAATAAAATCTTTTTTTTTAATTTAGGTAACTAAAACCAATTTTTTCCCAAACTTAATTGACTTTAGTGATTTCAGGAGCTTCCTCTACCAAATGCGCCTCAGGTCACGTTCAAAGAACTGCCCAAAACCGAATACAATTCCAATTCATTACCTCGAAAAACGAAAGCCACAGCTCATGTGATAGTCCGCCAGCCTAGTGAACCAGCTTATCAAACTCATAAGAGGTCCAAGTCGAAGGATTCGTTTATGATGCCAAAGAAGAAGGAAAAGCCGGAGAAAGGGGCCGAAAGTGTCAAGACTACACGAAGTCTGAAGATCACGTATCGTGGAGATGACTTCACTCCGGTTATGAAGAGGGCCAATCATAAGAAGAGTAACTCTGGTGAGTTGGGGGAATGAATTAAAGTTTTGAGGCACTTTTCATTGAGTTTGTTATAGTTATCGTCTTTTTTGTTATCCACCTTATTAATTTTTATACTGTTGTATATTAAAATAAGCAAAAATCTTTATTTTGTTACCTAAAAATTACAAAAATTTTAATTTTTCTTTTTTTGTACATTATTATCATTTTTTCACTTTAAAAAATTTAAAACCCAGCTAAAATCAATTCATTTAATGTTGTAAATCGCCGGATATCACGTATTTTACACAATATATGCACCAACCTAAACTAACCACTTTTATTCTAGCTGGACTCAAAGTTTTGGGCCAGGCCAGAAAACTTGTGTCTCTAGCCGTTCTTAAGTTTAACTGTAAGCCTAAACCACTTTTTTCGTTGCACTTTTTGACTATTATTTGAAATTTAAGAATTTTTTTTAATTTTATTGATCGCACTATGCAGTCAATAGTTTTCAAAGCTTTGGCATTTAGAAATTGAGTTGTCGTATTTTAGTTGAAATTTCCAAGTTGATCCACTCAAGTGATCCAAAGCCAAGTACTTCGAGGATTCAGCCAAGTGCTACTGCTGGTAGAATTGATGAAATGAAGCTTCATAAACGGTCGTTTATTCCAAAAAGGTAAGCCATGTTTGAAAAAATTTTATAATTGAGTTACAATTGGTATTTAAATTTTTATAAAGTTTGGGTGTACGGCTAGGCAATGTTTTATTTTTTTATTTTAAACTAACTTTTGATTAAAATTATCTATTTTTCAATTTTTATTGTTATTTTGTAGTCATTTTTTGATTACCTTTAACTTTTTTGAACGTTTTCCAATTTTTAAACGTTTGAACTGCCTAAAACATCATTTTTCAATACTGACAGTCATATAATCGTCAAAATTTCCAGTACGATCCGTTGGGGCCACTCGAAGGGCCGAAAAGCGCCGCTGGCACAATGGGAGTCGTCGAGAGTTAAGGACTCTCCAGCCACTGAACTAGCCCCAAGCTCATTCGGGTCCAAGCTTAAAAGTCCGAGCAAAGTGAGACGAATCGCTTTTTGGAAATTCCGAACGAAAAGCGAGGAAGCCGCTTCTGAAGCTGAGAAGGATACTGATACTGGAGAGCACGGTCAAACAGTGCTTTCTGAGCACGGTAAAACTGTATCTTCTGAGTACGGTCAAACTGTAGCTTCCCAACACGCTCAAACTGGAGCTTCTGTGAAATCAAACCACGGTAGACACGCTTCAGATGTAGGCCAAGCTCCAAAGACTCCAAAAGTTGCCAGAATCTATACGACGGTCAGAAAGTCTTCTACAGAACCAGAAGCCGTTTGTACGTTGGAAAAGACTTCAGAAGCTCAAGCGCTACCATGGGCAGCTTCATTAGAGCCTGAAGAAGAAGATAGAAGGAAACCGATTGAAACAGAGACAGTTAGGACAGTCACTACAGCTAGGATTATTACGAGGCAGATTAATAGTGATGAAGATGAAAACGGCAATGTTACTGGGGGTCAGGAGCGAGGTAAGAAAAAGTTTTGTTTGAATGGGGGGGGGGGGGAGTAAAAAGAAATAGTATTTTGGGGGTAGATATAATTTGTTTTGGGTGTGGGTTTTTGGCTGGGGAATTTAAAGAGGGGTAGCAAAAAAAATTTTTTTTTGGGGTGGACGTCAAATTATTTTTTTAATTAAGAATGTCACTACTTTTAATTAAAAAGGCTTGAAATGTCATCAATTAATTATGAATATTATTTATGAAGCCAGTACTTCTTATGTACTAAAGACTATAAAACATCATGTAGTATCTACCTTTTGCTAGTTCTGTCTGTAAAGATCAATCTATACAAATATAAACCTTACTAGGCTTTTATGTTTATCTACTGCAATATCATCTATAGCTTATCTACAAATTCTGTCATTTACTACTTATCTTATATTTATCTACTGCAATATCATCTGTAGCCCATCTACAGCCTCTGCCATATACTACTCATCTCATGTCTATCAACTCCAATATCCTCTATGTATAGCCCATTTACAGCACCAGTCATCTAGATCTTCAGTCACCAATATCTCCTTACCCCATCAATCATGCGCATGACATTTCGCTTCATCTGCCTCGAGATCATTTGCTTGTTTTGGTTCGGCCCAATTCTCTTGGCCTTACTTTAAGAGGCCAAATTACCGCGAGCCGCCGAAATTAAATTCTTTTTCGGAAGAGTGCGTAAAATCTGTCACTACGACATTCCCAACTTCTTTTGGCCTGCTTTAAGGGCCGGGGAGTGGCATACTTTAAGGGCTGGGGAGTGGCCATATGGCGAAAAATTTTGGATGATTTAAGATGTTCAGGAAATTTTTATGGAGAATTTTAAAATTTATCTGTTTTGATCTTGTAGTAGAGCTTTCAGAGCATTTATCTGATTTAATTTTGTAGTAGAGCTACTTGTAAAAATTTTTAAAAATTTCAAATTTGCACTTTTAAATAAACGGCCTAAAACGTGATTTTTAAGTCATTCAACCCCCAATTTTTAGTTTTTAAGCCAATTTAAACAATGTTTAAGTCTATAAACAAAATGCCTAAGCTAGTCAAATTGAAAAGACCAAATTTAGGAGCAAAAAATGTGTTTTAACTTTTCTTTTTTGCCAAAATTCATTTAAGAAAGGCCGAGCTCCCCATGGAAAACTTACTCCGGCGTTTATTTTACTCGTCTTCAAACTTTCAAGCCGGCTTTGTTGTATTTTAGGCTTGGGATGGGAATTTCAGTATACTAGGATATTTTTTACTTTTTTTTCATTTTGGAATTCGAAAAATTTAGTTTTTTTTTAATTTCTGTTCATAGAGAAAGCTAGATCTTGAACCTTTTTGAGCTAAAATCAAGTACTGATAACATAATCTCTAAATCTTTCAGACCGCAGCCGTCTGGCACTAAGCGAGCTCTTGGCTAGTCCACTGACAGTCCGAAGACCTCAAGAGAAACAGTTCAGGAGAGCATTACAAGCCAAACAGAAGAGTGGGCTCATCGACGACGAAATTGAGTAGGTTTTTGACTGTTTTATGCCATATTTTGTAATCAGTTATTCAAATTTGGTCAAAATTGACTTTTATATAAACTTGTGGGCCTGATACTTTAACGTGGGTTTTAAAATTTTTGTACAAAATTCAAAATGATTAGATGTCTCTGACCCACTATAACTATAGAAGTACAAAAATCAGTTTAATCGTTCAGCTAGCTAATTAATCGACCACCCGGCTAAAAATCACTTTATGTTATGAAATCAGCTAAAAATCGATTTTCAGTGACCAGCCTATGCTCATAAGTACGGAGCTCTCACTGATCGACGAACATAGTGAAGGTACACCATTAAGTCAGAGTGCATTTCCGGAGTGGCCGAAAGATCAGAATCGTAACGTCACGACAACAATCATCAGTAGCGAGCCCATCATGACGTTGGAAAAAGATCGTGATGGCAATTTTGTTCAGGCAATGTAAGATTATTGAAGTTGGTGCTAAATTGCACGTCAAATTAGAAAAGTCGTGCTAAAGTGGGGTACTAAACAGCACGTATTACTGATAAGCTTTTCTTTTATTGTAAGCCATATTAGGTCAGGTTTGTAGGTCTAGACTTAAACGAAAAAAGGACAGGTTTTCTAGGTCATATTAAGTTAGATTTGACTATAGGAAGCTAAATAGGTAACAACTTGTTAGAAATTTTCAATTTTTTACAGTTTTATTGTTCCCATATCAACAAAATAGAATAGCGGTCTAAAATAATTAGCTAAACTTAACTTCAAAGCCACGACAATTATTTCTAAAGCCATGAAAATTCTCCTTAAAGCCATAACAAACCATTGTAATAGACCAGAACCCCTCACCAGCTCATAAAACATGAAAAAGTAGATCATGGATTCGCTCAGCTTTTAGCTGTTTCGAAAAGACCATGGTTTGGGAGTAAACAATTGCGCGGAAGGAAGTGAAACATACTAAAACTTTTTTTATACTTGATTTTATTCCCCACTCGATTGAAACGACATTTTTACGCTAAAAAAGGGGGATAGCGAGTGGAATATTGGCTAGAACCAAGTGGAATATTAGCTAGAGTCGCTGGGATTCGGGCTGAAATTGGCTTGAGATCAAGGTTGTTTGAATACAAGCTTGATGATCTAACTTTATTCGACCATAACTTCGGATGAACCAACTTTATTTGAATATATCCTTGGATGGACTAACTTTATTTAACTATAACTTTAGATGGACTAAATTGATTTAGCTAAAACTCATGTTATAGCTAGAAAAATAGCTGGAGAATCTATCTAATATATTCATATTAGCCTAAAGATTGTTGTCTTTACCTAAAAAATTAAAAAAGCGGCCCCTAAAGATGGCTGGCTGCTTCTTTTTAAGCTATCTAATCAAAATTTTAAGGTATTTCTTTGAATTTTAGGTATTTTTTGGCTTATTAAGATAATTTTTAATCTTTTTTTCGATTAAAATAACTTAGAATAAGTAGAATAAACTAAGTTAATAAGTAGCATAATTTACGTTGACATAACTTGATTACTTTGCCTTTTTAGAACTAGATCAGAGCAATCTCCGCCGATGCGAAGCGATCTTACAGCTCAATACAAGCCTCCAAACACGACTGAACTTCACCATAAGGATCATGATCATGCTGCCATAGAGAAAGTGATTGAAGGTCTTTCACAACAACTCACTAAAATACGGGAATATGCCATTGAGGTATGTTTGTTGCATTAAATGGCTATATAATCATCTATTACGTCTTTTCTTCAATTATTTAAATTTGAAGAGATTTTTGAAACGACGGAAACCTGTATCGTATTTTACATTAATATTAACCTTATGAACTTTTAGGACGAAGACGAAATGCAAAAACTTCGAACCGAAAACAATTCCTTAAAGGAAGAGTTGGAAATCAAGGATCGGGTAATCAACTTGTTGATGAACAAACTCAACGTGCCTGCCGAACACTTGGTCTCACGCTCGTAATAAGTCTATATTTTTTTAACAAGGCTATCTTGTGTCATCTAAATATAGGCTCATTACACTGCTAAAATGTCTGTTTATTGTCTTACTATCAGGTAGATATATTAATTCTTCGACCAACTAATTTTTGAAGTAATGGATCAAACTACTATAATGTTGTTGATACTCTTCTTGACAAAAAAGCCTTTCAGCTTTGAATCTATTGTTCCTAACTTGATACGAAGAAATTACCTTCACTATAACATAATCTCAGGCCAGACATAAATGAAATTTTTGAACTTATTTTTAATGTTTCTAAATTTCAACATTTGGTCAGAATGATAAAAAAAACAAAATTGTGATTCACCGAGTGCAATGTCTCTTCCTCAAGATCTCAAAATTCTCTTAATAAATAGATTTATGTATACTTTACAATAAAATTTAACATCATTTTGTTTTTTTTCTTTATCATAATATAAAAATTATTAAAACTAAAATTAACGATCAACCTAATACAATATCAAAGTGATAATAAATAACTTTATGTACATTTTATACAAAAAAAACTAAAAATAAATCTAACATTACCTCATTTCTCTATTCCGCCTTGACTTTCAAAGCAGAGCTTCTACAAGGATAATATAACAAAATTGGTACGATAAAATGTGCCAAAAAGAATGGCAGTAATCCAGCAAATCCAAATGCTTCCACTAACAAAGCTACTGGTCTTCCAGCGATCAGTGAGCCTCCTGAAACATTAAATTTAGTCTTTTAAAACTTAAAACTAAACTTGACTTTAAAAATTTAAATAATTTCAATTTAATGTCATCTATAATCTTGTTCAGCCAATAACTATATGTTTAGGTATTAAACTATTGTGTATAATGACAGTTTAGATACCAAACATAATATAATTTACTTACCGTTACATATAAAAGATATGACAGCATTGGCAGTGCCTGTAATTTCACGTGGAGCCATGTCAGTTGATACAATACCCCATACATTAATATTGCCGTATACCAATGCTCCTACAGCAAAGCCGAAGAAGGTTGTCATCTAAAAATAACAAAGATAAATCATGATTTAATCTTAACACTACAATTAACATCAGCGTAAACTTTATAAAATATAACAAATAATCAAACTAGACCTACTCCCGTGCAGAACAACATGGCAGTTGATACAATCAACAAAACACAGCAATTGAGCCCAACTATAATCCTAGACTGGTCACGACCATACTTTTTGTATAACATCTGAACTATCAAACCCGATAACAGTCCACCAAATATCCCTCCAACGTCAAACGCAGTCAAAAATGTCTTCAGATCAAAATCAGGATTCTTTGAAGTGTCTCTGATGAATATGGGTGTCCAGCTCTCAGCTATAGTCCTAATTTCTACAGCAATCAGTATAAACATTGACACAATCCATATAGTTCGATCTGTCAGCAGGAAGATCAGCAATGACTTTGGTTTAGACTTTTCTGGCTTCTTTTTCGATTCATGAGGAGTTCCAGGTATAGTTGAACTTAAGGATAATGCAAGGTACGCTGCAAATCCAACTCCAATCGTTCCTAAAAAATAAACATTGGATTTTATATATAAAAAAAATCTAATAATTATATTTAAATAATATTTACCATAAAGTTGAACAGCATCTCGCCACGGCCTTCTCAATGTCCATGGTGCTACAAATCCAGCAAAATTGTTCGTACATCCCATAATACAGAACAACGTTGAGAAATTGTCAGATGAAAAATTCTAAATAAGTTGATTAGCCTATATTCTTCCATATTATCACAAACACGAGTCAGAATAATCATAAAATTAAACTTTACAACCAAATCTCACCGCAACACCAAGCACAATATAAAGAAGTCAGTTCTTACCACTTTAACTAGCTTTATAGCAGCAATCCATGCTCCACCTTGTAAAAACATGTTCACAGACACCCATAGTATCAATTCCGTAAACGTTGTAGCCTTCGACAGCGCCAAAACTGTTAAAGAGACCAAGAAAACTGACAACGCCAACAATCGCTCAGGTTTAATTTTGTCGTTTAAAGATCCCAATATCAGCTTTCCCAGAGCATAAGTAAACGTCGACACTAATATCAACGTACCTAAAAAATAAAACCTTAACATAAAGCTAACTTACCATAATCTTTCTTTGTAAATTGAATAGTTTCCTCTATTTCCGTGGAAAACAAAAAGAAAAGTCGTCTAAAGTATACACAAGAGCTATAAGATAGAAACAGTGACGTAAAGACAATAAAATAGTAAAATTTAGAAAGCATTCGGGTCGTTGTTTACAAGAAGTTCATTTGTTTAGAAGAACAACATCTGAAAAATATAATAATTGTAAAATCAGACATGACGCACTTTTTTTTTGTGTCAAGTTTTTCTTTTTATATTTATTTTCACATATTCTTCATTGCTATTTTAACATTTTGTTATAGTTTAGATTTAATATTGTTACATTTATCAAATTTATGGCTTCTACTGAAAATTCGATACCTTCTACTACTACATCTTCTGAAGAACGACTGTCAGAAGCCTTGAAGGGCAAACCAACAGGAGAAAATGATGGAGATGAAGTTGTGAAGCCAGAAGGAATGTCAAAACGGCAGATGAAGAAACAGAAGAAGCTGGAAATGAAGTTGGAGAGGCGGAAAGAGCTAAGGGTACTGGAAAAACAAAGAAAGAAGGAGAAGCGACAAGCCATGAGAGAGCAAGGATTAGGAGACTTGTTGAAGAAGAAAAAATACTACAGTATGGCTGGATCTTCATGTAAGCAACGCATTGTGGTCGACATGGCTTATGAGGACGTAGGTTTTTTAGAATTAGGTATTTCTATTGGTTTTGGACGGCATTTTTTAAGTTCGTGAAGTCAAAGTGGTGGATAGCACTCTCTTTCATAGCATTAGCCTTCGATCTTGGTTATTTAACTCAAGTAATATATTTTCAGCTGATGACGACCAATCTTATTCGAAACACAATAGCACAATTGAGCTTCTGCTACAGTGCGAATCGTCATAGTGAAAATCCAGCCCAGTTCTATATAGCCAATGTCACTGGTGAAACACGAACTTTGTTTGACAATTTACGAGGAACTGCGAATTGGGATGTAAATGTGCATAATGAAACTGTAGAAGACCTGTTTAAGCCTTCTGAGGTTGTTTACCTGACTTCAGATTCGGAAAACACTTTGGAGACGCTAAGTGAAGATGATGTTTATGTTATTGGTGGATTGTTGGATCATAACAGGTATCCAGAGGCTAGTTTGAAGCGAGCTCAAGCCAAAGGATGGAGGCATGCTAAATTACCAATTGGGGAGTTTATCAAGATGAATACCCGAAAGGTAGGAAGAGCTTTTTTGAAGGGGGGCTAAAGCCTATCTATGCCGTGAAACGTTACCATTTTTAAAGTTTTATTACATAAATTTCTTATAACTTCATGCTGATCTCTTAAATTTCAGGTTTTAACAATAAATCAAGTCTACGAGATTCTTCTTCAGTACCTAGAGCACAAAAACTGGGAAGAAGCCTTCTTTAAAGTCATTCCGAAGAGGAAAGGAGCTCAGAAGATTGAAGATGAAAATGATCAAGCTACAGCAGGGATTCTTGAAGCAGATGGTACAGAAGAGGTCCATGGTACAGAAGACACAGATACTGTAACACAAGAAACAGTGAGAAAGTAAAAAAAATTCAAAATTTGTTACTTTAAGTTGTTGATTTGATAATTATACTGATAAAACATCGTGTTTGAAATAAAAAATCTGTTTATGTAAACAATTTTGTAAAATCAACAAAAATTAATACAAGAAACAATATAAATTCAAAGCAATCGACATAATATTATACAAAGCATCACTCCTCTTCTTCCTCCTGCTTCAATTTCCTTTGAATCTTCTCCAAAAGCACGTCCATCTGAGCTCCCAACTTGGGCTGACCTTTCTTTGTTTTCATCTTCAATGCCTTGTTCATCTTCTTCCTTAACGTCAAATATTCTTCATGTTTCTGTTCTCTTTTCTCTCGTTCTTGTTTCTTCTCTTCTGATGCTGCCTTTCGTTCATCTTGAATCTTCTGATAGGCCAATTCTGCTCGTTTGTACGCATTTATATATGGTTTTCGTTCTGGAGCTTCTGTCTGAAAGAAAAGTTGTTGTTTTAGATAATACTGAATATTCAATTGCTAATTCCTAAACTACAGTAAAAAATAGGTACATTGCTCAATAAACGTTCTTTTTCATCAACTCTTTCTTTTCACCTAAAAACCAACCAACAAACAAAAATATTACCTTTTGTTCTTCCGAATTGTGAGGTTTGAATCGTCGTTTAGGTTGAAACTTTGATCCAGAAGGTTTATTATAAGGCCTAGAATGAGGCTTTACCATTTTTGCCCGTTTTCCAGTTGAATCTAACTGGTTTTGCCAATAAATTCACAAAATTTTCTAGAAAAATATTTTTATTATTTTATGGCTGCGCCCACTATCAAGTGGAAAAACTTGCACGCTGCGGGAGCCATTTTATACGAGGGAACGTTAGCTGTACAAAAACGTGCATATATTGTTCTTCAAAGAATAAAAATGTGTTTAAAGATTAATAATTTAATTTTTGGAATTTATAATAAATTTAAATATTTTAATGTTTTAAAATTTTTTAAAAATTATGTTTTTTTCATTTATTGCCGAAAATGATAATAAATGATAATGAAGCGGCAAATTTTGCAACCACAAACAACCAAAAATGACGGCTCACATCGCTCTAATATCATTGTGAATCACTTGCGAGGAACGAAACTCGTAGCATGTTTGTTTAACCCTCACAACGTCTAATCTTTTTCCTTGGAAATTTTTGGTTTCCACGGTTTTAAAACCGTATTTTTGTACTTTTATTTCAATGTGATGGACAAAACAACAGCGCTTATTCATATTTTGTTAGTTTATTCTATTGGGCTTACTGTTATTATATTTGCCGCAAATTTTGTTAATGACATAAGTTATATCGGACTGGGCAAGACTAGTCACAATATTAATGATAGTGTAAGTTTGAAAGGTTATTTTTTGAACCATTTTTAGAAAATTTTTAAATGAAAACAGTAATTTTTTAAATATAATTGTACTAAAAACTAATTTCAATTTCACTTTTTTTTCCTTTTTTGAACTTCAAATTTTACAAAATTTTAAATTTCATGTAATTTTTCAAAATGTTGATCTAAATTTCAATATAAGTTTATAAATATGATCTTTTTAGAACACGTTCCTTCTGCTTCTGGAAATATTCACTAACTTAGTATCGTTTTACTACGTTTTCAAGCATTTATACTTCTTTTTTCTTTTCATCGAAACTTAAATTAACTCAACCTACTAATACACGACTAGCTTTTGGTAAGTTTTTGTCATTTTTTTACTGATTTTAGGTATATTTTCTATCAAAAACGCGTAAACGTGACCAAGACTAAGCAGGCAGCTTTGGCCTAGAAAGTATACATAACTTTTTGCTAAAGGGAAGATGAACAAAAATATATTTTATTATTTTATTTTCAGCCGTAGGCCGTGTGTTATACCCGTTATTCTCCTCATTATTGTTCTTCCTAAACTCTGGACCTTATTCTCATTACTATGATGTGTACAACAACTTGACGAGGTATGGTACATGGTTTTTGTTATTATTTTGTACACAATTGAGTCCAGCATTAGTATTCGCTTATGGATGGCGTGATTGGAGGGAAAGAGTAAATGGAAGAGCACGGTGATGACTTACAACCATATTGGTTCACTATGTATAGCTTTTCGTGTGGATGTTTGTTTCCGCGAACTCAAAGATCGAATGTCATCCCTCAGGGTGCCATAGCATTTTTTTAAATTTTTGTACAAAATTTTATATTAAAAAACCTTTTTATAAACTATGTTCATACAATACTTTCAATGGTAAATATATTTACGTATTGTTGTTCAAATAATTCTATGCCCTTTCTCAAAGCGGCGAATTTTCAAAGTTATAGGGCACAGAATTAGTTGAACAACCTAATATTTATGTCGACTAAGCTCAGGAGTATTCTTATTTTACATTAACTATAATGTGACATTCAGACTCTTTGGTACATGACAATAACTAAAATGGGACAAATCATGTGTTATGTAATTTCAAAACATTTCTTATCAGAATAAACTTAAATCACTGGTTTATCATCTTTAATTGCTCTAAACAGTTAAACGTTTTCGAGTGATAAAAACACAATTTTTAATAAAAATTTATTTATTACTGGTTACTGACTGAAGATTTTAATCTGGCCATATAATATATTATAACATTGTATCTTGAAAACACACAGTTTTAAGCTGAAAACCATAAATTGGAAACTTTCTGGTATTTTGTAACATTTGGTAATAACCATTCTAAAAGGTTTTGATATCATACTGCTATAATGGCTGTTCTTAACAAAGAAAGCAAAAAAAAGATCTTGCTATCTTACACTATATATCATGCTGTGCTGGCCGTGTTGGCGTTTGGTCTAAACTTTGTTAGACAAGTTGCCAGGAACTTTAAGGTTGAAGAAGAATGTGTAGGTTTTTTACTTACTTTGTTATACTAAAGCTTTCTTTGTGGACATTTTTATATCGAAATGGTGTGTTAGGTTCTATATTGCATTGTAGTTTTGTAATAATGAAGTATTTATTATAAAACACGAGCTATAACAAAAGTATGATTGTTCATATAAGCCTCCCTAACCTTAAAAATTTGCTTTCAGGGTGCCATACTGTTCTATTTGCAAATACTAACAAATATTATTGCTTCGTGTTACGCCCTTTTGTACCTATATCATTATATAAAACAAAACTACGACTTTTTGACTAGTAAACCTGTCTACCGTCATTTTAGTGGTAAGTTTTTTAGGACTAATTTTTTTAGTATTATATTATAGATATGAGGACTGGGTTCAGGAGTTACACTGTTAATGAAATGGAATAATTTTCAGTATTTAAAATTTAAAACTAATATTTTAGTTGTGGTTGTGTTCATTGCCACTTTATCAACCTCAATTACCTTATTTTGCCTACAAAAACCTTTTATGACAAAAATTGCTGTATGGGTGGGTCTAATAGCTCTAGCTCAAATAACCGTTGTCATTTCTTTCTTTTTAAAACTTTTGTACAATGAATAAACATTTGAAATTAAGGATAGTACTCTGGTGTGTATTATATTTATTTTGCAATAAAAAACAAGAAAACTTTATTGAAATTTAAATAAATTGAATTATTGGACTATCTAAACTTTTTTACTTTTTGAGCCTGATTCAAGCTATTGCTCATGTAGGTGTGCCTTTTTTGATAACGATGGAAAAAAGTTTAAAAAAAGTCATTCTTATTGTTAATTGAAGTCTAAAGTCTAATACCTTTTATAAGTTTATAAACGTATAGATTACTACTATATTATGTATTATAATAGCTAGAGTATTACATTAACTAGGCTATTTCTATATTACTTGTTAGGTAAACTAATATTATAACACTAATTAGTTTTTTCTTTTTCTGTAGCTTTTACAAATTGTAAAATGTATGAAAAGACAAAACAAAATATAGTTTTGAGTTTACTGATATACAATGTTTTACTTGCTGTAACTATCGCTGCTTTGAATTTTGTCAATCAAGTGTCTATAGATCTTGCAATTTATGAAGAAAATGTAAGTTTTTATAATTTTTTTAAATTTTTAAAATAATTTTAAACATTTCTCTCTGACTACGGCCTTCACTAGATTAGTACGCACACTTAAACGTGTAAGAACGTATTGTAAAACAATTTCAGAGGGTCTTTCTGATAACCCTACAAGCAGCTGTAACAATTATTGTCATTTTTTACTCTTTTTTTACGGTTACTTTTACACAACAATCGTCAAGTTTGTTCCGCCTTCGTTTTCAACCGTTTTTGCAGGTAAGCTGGTATGTCATGACATTTAAGGCTTACAAGGAAGGTACCAAATGTAAAACGCTTTAAATTTTAACAAGGATTTTATCATTTTTTGTATAATAACAAAATTTCAGTTTATGCTTACAGCGCTGCAACACTGATCGGATCAATAATATTGTTCATATACAGCAATCGATTGGAAGATGAAGATAGATTCTTATTCAAATTTTCTGTTTGGATGTTTTTGGCGTTTCTTACTAACATTTCGTCGATTATTGTAATTACTTGTCGTTTAATAGTACAAGATTAAATAGTTTTATTCATGAATCGATGAGAAAGATGCGTGAGTATATGTAAAATTTTTGAGCTGATCTTGAGTGGGGCATCTCAGAGTTGCAGTAAGGCATTCTTATTGTTGATAAGTTGTGATAAAGTTAAATTACATTTTAAAGTTTATGAAACGTAGTTAAAAGCTACAATAAATATTTATTGTACATGCGATAGCGAGTTATTGAACCTGAGAATCTCAAAACGAGAAAAAATGTTTTAAGTTACATAAAGCAATATATACATTAATGAAATCAGTTGAATCAAATATGTAATAACTGATTACATTCAAGATGCGTATAGTTTTCATAAGTGTTCGAAAAGGAATGGCATGTCCGTGAGATCAGTTGTCTTTCGAGCTGGAGGTGCGTTGTCTTCGACCGTTCGCCGTCCAGTTATTTACCAACTTTCGCGTATGTCCACCGACGTTGGGTTGCTTGAGGTCGTGCTGAAAAGGAAACACTCAACACCATTCGGATCAACAGTTCGACGTATGTCAGGATAGAGAGTATGAGATTGACTGGTGAAAAAGGTGAATCAGTCATGTCGGTTGGAGTTACCAATCGACTGGTCGATTTAGTTGTGAGTTTTTCTTCGGAAAAAGTATCACTTTTGAGTTCAGAAATAGAATCATTGATAATTTCAAAAGTATTCTCAATAGGTAGGTTTGAAACAGTATCATGGGTTATGTCAGAAAGTGTGCTTTGAGAAATGGTTTCACTGGTCGGTTCTGAGGCTTGAGAGCCGTCTGAATGATTGACCGTTGATTCTTTGACTAAAGTAGTCAATGAACCGGCTAAAACCGGTTGGCTCGGTACCTATAGATCTCTACATTAGAATCTATGCAGCGAATACGACCTTAGGCTTATTTAATTTGTTGCACAATGCAACAGCTTTAACGTGTTTATTATTACAGGTACTTAACAATGCCATATATTAACTCTAGTAGCTCTTCATAAAATTAATTTTTAACTATTCAACTCTGTACTAAATGGCCATTTTTTGCTATAATCGCTGTAAATTATACTGTGCCTCTGGGTGTTAAGTTTACTACTATATACACCCTACCTTTGGCTTAATCTTACCGTACAAAGAACTCTACTTGCAGCTATAACTTGGTTCAAAATATAATTTAAAAATACTACAAAAACATTAAAAATAGCTTACCATTTCAGCCTTAGTACGATTCTTTCCGGTACCACTCAACTTGAACTCTTTGCCGTGCTCAAACTCATTGGCCAAGATCTCAGCATTGTTGGCAACCATTTTGAATCAACCTTGAAGATAAAAGAATAGACAGATGTTCTGTTATAGTAAAATCAGATACTATTTATTTATGTGATCTTGAAATCATGAGTTCTCCCCCACCTTTATATATGCCCATCCCTCGTTCGCCCCGCCTCATGACCTTTTACCAGACTTTTGTTTCTTCAGTTTCTCGAATTTTCTCCGAATTTCGAAAAAAACCTCCCGTTAAAGTGCAGTTTCTCCTGTTTTCTAGAAATGTCTATGCGGGTTGCTTTGTCTCTTCGATTTGAGGCTTCTGTGAGTCTTTCTGAAACATCCATAGCAATAGTTTTTTGTTGGAAAATGCACGAGACGGATGGAAATAGGGGGAACATCAGCTGAACCACATGAGTCGCCTCACAGCCTTGTGTCCAGACATAAAGGCTTGTTTACTTGTTTATAAACGATGAAGTAAAGTTGAATGAAAAAGTGAGGTTACTGTAATAATAAGCTTTTAAAAGCTTTTTAAAGTAAAAGCTTTATACAATAAAAAAATTTTTTAAAAAAAGTAAAAATTGTCATGCTTGATGTTTTTCGGGGAAAAAATTTGAAAAAACAAATAACCAGCAGTATAAAAGTTCGAAAAAATTTTTTAATTAGGATTGTCTGCCCAGCACTGGTCAAACCAGAAATACAGTACAACTCATGTACACCGATTCTCTCAAGAGTTTTAAATTTGTTTGTCATAAAGGAGTTTCGGTGTACAGAAGTTTAAAATGCCTTGTTCAGTAATAGACGAAATTTTTAACGTTGCTCGTTGTACAGAATTTTCGGTATAGAAGAATTCGCTATACAGGAGTTACATTGTATCGAGAGTTTTACATTCAAACCCTACTTTACCTGAAGCAGCTCTATCTTTATATTACGTTGTTCATATAATTCTGTGCCCTCTAACCCTAGAAATTCGCTTTGAGACAAGGCACAGAATTATTTGAACAATCTAATGTTTCATTTTTCAAATTTTTATTTTTTATCGAAATTACAATGTGTGTTGTTAAAAGTCTAAAACTGTAAAAAAGTAATCCCTACAAACTATTATTTATATAGTATTTTTTGTGTTATAAAACTGTACTTTTACGGTTTAAAAAAACTAAACCAAAAAATAAAAAAAAACTTATTAATATTCATTTTGCTCGTGACATTGAACGGCTGCAATAACATGATGAAATGCACGCGGAAAAAAATAACTAAAAATGACCTTGATTACAGGGTGTCCCAAGATTTTTGCGGAAAAGTAAAAGCTTGTTTCTCGAAAAGTACCAGTCCAAATTGGACGATTCTTTTTTTAGTACACTTGAAATTGCGGGCGGATTTGGTATTGGTACTTCGTTTTTTGATATTCGGCGGATGGTCGGCGGAGGCCGGCGGAGGCTACTTTTTTGCTTTGACCAATCCAAAACCTTCATTTTTTGGTTCCTATGTCACCTGCTGATTCGTCAAAACGCTTTCCAATCAAAACATGTCTTTCCCTGCATCGGCGGACGACCGGCGGAGAAAAACGGCGAAGGCCATAACTCCGCTCAAACTCAATATTTTTTCACCGGACAAAGAATGGAAATGTTATTTTAAGCTTTTTAATACATTTAATCAAGTTTACAGTTCAAAAAATTTCATCGGCGGACGATCGGCGGAGAAAATCGGCGAAGGCCGTATCTTGGTCAATTTTTAATAGTTTTTCTTCGGAAAAAAGTTGTTGGTACCCTAAGGTCCTTCTCTACCAAACAAATTTAAAAATTTTTAAATTTTTAAAACTTTTTTTTAAAAAATATTATTTTTTTTATTTTTTTATTTAACTTTTTAAAACTATTCCGATATTTTTTATAAAAAGTTTATTAACAATAACCTATATAACAACAACGCTAACTAATGAGATTGTTCATCGTTGGTTGCTGGGTAACTCCTTTCCACACTTTGACCACCAACATCAAGACACCGTCGCAATCGCTTCGGATAGTTGCGCAAAGCTGCGCGACACATTTCCACTGAAATCTCCGCAACCACATCGCGAACTTTTTGCTTTAGTTCGCGTAACGACGCGACTTGAACACTGTATACTTTTGCCTTCACGTAACCCCAAAGGAAAAAATCCATTGGGGTTAGATCGGGCGAGTTTGCCGGCCAAACGAACGGAGGAGGAGCGCCGCGACTATCCCGACCCATCCAGCGACCCGGCAGATGGGTGTTCAAAAACTCGCGCACAACTAAGCTATGATGAGGCGGAGCCCCATCATGCATGTACACCAAAGTAGCTAAAAAGATATAAATTAGTATTTTGCTTGTTTTTCGTACCTGAATTTGGCCACTGTAGAAGCTGTGGCAACACATCTTGCTCTAACAGCTCCAAATAACGTGCCCCGTTAATGTTTTCATCAATGAAAAAAGGCCCCACAACCCCGTTCCACCCGATGGCTGCCCACACATTCGTTTTGGGAGAATGCAGCGGCTCTGATACACACCAGTGAAGATTCTCTTTAGCCCACCACCTTGAATTTTGACAATTTAAGCGGCCATGGATATGAAACGTGGATTCATCGCTAAAAACTAGCTCTTCCAAAAACGCCTCGTTGTTTTGCAGCTGCTCAAGCATAACATTTGAATGCGATAAACGTTGTACTATGTGCCTTGGCAAGATTTCTTGCACTTTTTGAAGTTTGTATGGGTGGTACCCATCTTCGCGCAATTTCCGACTACATGTACTCTTCGAAGGTATACCCTCAAAACGGCTCAATTCTCTTACAGATATTCGCGGATTGTCGGCAATAGCATCCCCAATTCTAGCAACAACTTCAGGAGTGGCAACAAAGCTAAAGAAATGTTATTTTGTTAGTTGTGCTTACTTTGTTTTCACTTTTTTCTTTTCTGAGGCAGTGGCGACGACTACGAAACTCGATAACCCAGCGTTTAATAGAATCTGCTGATGGACAGGGTGTACGAGGGCTACGGGGGTGATACACGGCCATGTACTTTCTACGAACGCTTTCAGGACTTTCCCCTAACTTAAAATACCATTCAACACATTCACTCTTAACATCAGCACCCCAAACCATTTTTTCTTGATCAAAGAGTTTTAAAAAATAAAAATAATACCAAGTCAGAATAGTTTCAACTATGTTTTTATGGTTTTATTTGAAAAATATATGATCTCTGTCGATGGAAAGTAATCTTAACTATTTTTTAAAAAATTCACTAATTTCTGAATTCGTAACAGTTAGGTAGAGAAGGACCTTAGGGTACCAGCAACTTTTTTCCGAAGAAAAACTATTAAAAATTGACCAAGATACGGCCTTTGCCGATTTTCTCCGCCGATCGTCCGCCGGTGAAATTTTTTGAGTTTTAAACGTAATTGAAATGATTAAAAAGCTTAAAAGAACATTTTTACTTGTTTCCCGAAGAAAAACTATTAAAAATTGACCAAGATACGGCCTTCGCCGATTTTCTCCGCCGATCGTCCGCCGATGAAATTTTTTGAACTGTAAACTTGATTAAATGTATTAAAAAGCTTAAAATAACATTTCCATTTTTTGTCCGGTGAAAAAATATTGAGTTTGAGCGGAGTTATGGCCTTCGCCGTTTTTCTCCGCCGGTCGTCCGCCGATGCAGGGAAAGACATGTTTTGATTGGAAAGCGTTTTGACGAATCAGCAGGTGACATAGGAACCAAAAAATGAAGGTTTTGGATTGGTCAAAGCAAAAAAGTAGCCTCCGCCGGCCTCCGCCGACCATCCGCCGAATATCAAAAAACGAAGTACCAATACCAAATCCGCCCGCAATTTCAAGTGTACTAAAAAAAGAATCGTCCAATTTGGACTGGTACTTTTCGAGAAACAAGCTTTTACTTTTCCGCAAAAATCTTGGGACACCCTGTACATGAAAAAGTGTTATTTTTGACTACTTGTTTACTTCCTAAAATATTTTAAATTACTTTGCATAACGGTCTGTTGAGCTTGAAATGGTAAACATTATTATAAAAGATAAATAGAGACCATTGAAGACTAAAAACGATATTAAAGTGGTGGTATTCTATACTTAACTTACAGTAAGTTAAGGTCAGGCAAAAACAGTTATCGGTTTGAAATAGTAGAGTACAGAACGGAATACTTAGCTAAATCAGCGTTAAAGGCATGGAGTAAGATAAAGCAAGATACTATAAGTTTTTCGTCCAACTTTAGACGACAATATCACATAAAAACTGCAAAATGTAGATATATTTAAAGCGTATTCCCTTGTCCACTTTCCTAGTTCATAAAAAAGAAGAGCGCGCAAAATGGCTGAATAGCGCAGTGGTAGAGCCTTGGCTTTCCTAGTAAAAGCTCTCCGGTTCTACTGAAGTCAATGAAGATATAAGTTGCACATTTCTTCTGAAGTCGTTTGATGACAAAACCAGACGATCGATTCTGAGACTCATTTTTAGGTAACAAAGAGAAAAGAGCGAATCATTTTTGCCTATAGAGGTATTAAAATGGCATTAAAATTAAAAAAAAATATCTAAAGAATCTGGGTCCTGTATACCTATTAAAACCTAAAAGTTAATAAAAAATGCCGAAAATGCTAATCATAAAATAGCTATAAAATTTTATCGAAAACTTTATTTTTTAACAAAAACATTAACAATCAAAAAACAACAAAATCTTCATGTTAATCTTAATCACTGTCCTCTTCCATTTCTTCAAAGTTTCTGGCTTCTTCATTGTTCTGTGCCTTCTTTCCAGCTCTGATGGCGGCCTTCTGAGTGCTTTGTAGACGTAGTCGTCTACGAATCAGATTCGGGCTCACGTACTCGGTATTTTCGTACAAAACTGGACCTTCGAAAGAGCCTCCAAAGATTTTGATCACTTCTAATGTCATTCGGGGTCCTGAAAATTATTTTACATATACATGAGAATGGTAATTATAACACCTATTATCATTAAAAAACACTGATTTTGCCAAAATTGATTGTTTAAAGGTTAAAAATCTGATATTAGGCTAATACTTCGGCTATATTAGCATTCTTCAATAAAAAAAATTAATCCCTTACCAACTTCCTGAAGTTGTTCACCTTCTCCAACGATCTGGAAGTTTCTGAACCAAATATGGCCATCCTTTGACACGGAAAAGTTGAAGACGTGATCAATGAATGGCTTACTTTTTGGCAAATACTGCGGAGTTTTGAATGTCTGAAAAGATACAATTATAAAACTAGGACTAATTCAGAAATTAAAAGACATGATTCTTAAAACACTAAGACCCTTTAAAATTAAGTAGAATAAAATATCATAAATATTAACTTACATGTTTGAAAAGCTCCTTGATCAGCTGCAAATGAGGTTCTGAGTCGAACTTTGGATCAAATGACAAAATTGGCCGTGATCCTTTCAAGCAATTTCCAGTCATCTTCAGCTCGTGCATCGTATGAATATTACGCACCAAAAACTTACACGATGCACCTCCATTAACATCAGCTACCCACAAATAAGAATCGCGTCGTTTTCGGTTCTCAAAGTACAGACATCTTGTACAACTGTCCAACTCGGCCATCTCGTTCAGATCAGCCAATTTGCACTTCTTTTCGAATTTGGCCTCTTTTCTCACATGTGGCAACAACTTTCTAAAGTCCTTCATCAAGTGTCGTGTTCTTGACATTACTCCTCGTGAACATAACAGAAGTACACGGTCTTTGTCTGTGCATACCGGCTTTTGAGTGGTCATTGTTGTAACGGAATGTACCTAAAATACAAAAAACAGTATTAACAAAAAAAGCAAAAACAAACTAATAAAAACTATATTAAATCAATATTTGAACGATTTAACGTCTTTTACCATCACATTCACATATATTAACAGATTTATTACAACAAAATAATTATCAAAGCAAAATACAACAATAAAAACTTAATTTCAAATCTATCTAAACCAAATGTAACCAATACTACTAAGCCTAAATAGATTTGAAACAAGTTTAAAGCTTTCTAATCCTCATCTTCATCACTGTCTTCTTCTTCGCTTTCGTCCTGATTCAACCAGTCGACAAGTTCCTTCATCTTGTCCGACTTCAAGGCATTGTCGTTTGGTAGTTGTTCGAACCATGAAGTAACTAGTTGATCAGTCAACAAGTCGGCATCATTATACAAAAATAAGATAAAGTTTGGAGCATACTTGGTCCATTCTGGGTTCAAAAAGCAGTGATCTTCAATGGCGTGAAGAAGTTGAGCTTTTGAGGCTGTGGGACGATAGTAGTTGGCCCATACCAAGCTCCAGGTAGTAAATGCCTGAAAATGTGTCATTAATGTTAAAAATGACAAAAAATAATAATTTTTCAACTAAATCAATATTTTTTGATATCCAACTTAAAATTTTGATTGATGACATAGCAGAAAAAATCAAAAATAAAGTAAACCCACCTCCTTCATGTCCTTTAAAGTAGGTCCAAAAGTTGGCATACTCATGAAAGCCAAAAATACGTGTTTAGCCACATCATCCATGCCAATGTTATAAGCCAACTTTGAACTGTTAATCTCAAGAATAACCTTTCTTTGTTGTGCTTCCGAGTCGGGTTCATCCGACTCTAATACCGACTTCATGGAATCCTTGACTTCAGCGTCAAACCGTTCCAACGCTGCTCCACTCGTCTCGTATAGAACGTCGATGACTTGCTGAAAATGTAGGTGATGAGATAAAAACGTAAAACAAAAATCGTTAACATTAAATCTTGATAATTTAACTGTTTAATTGTTCAAATAATTCTGTGCCCCTTCTCAAAACAAATTTTAGAAGTTAGAAGGCCCACAATTACTTGAACAACGTAATATGTACACAAAGTTCAGACTCATTCGTATTACAAGGCTTGTATAAACCTTCACTGACAAAACGATAATAATCTCTAAAACATCCCAATGTTAATGTCCTCATACCAAATATACAATCAATCCAATTAAACCTACCGCAGACTTCGAAGTAGCGCCAGTAGCCGTCGATCCTGAATTATGCTTCTTCCTCTTCACCAATGGTGACTTAGTGCCATGAATTGAAGTTTGTGATTGTGATGGATCAGTGTGCGGCCAAACCGTATAATTCTCTGGAGATGAGTCGTTGGCATCGTGATAGGATATCCTCCGTTGCCTTAGCGATTCTGACGACCTGCTACGGCGATGGTTCGCCCAAATACTAGAAAGCTTCTTTGGCTTTTGTTCTGACTTCAACTCCCAGAAGTAGTTGTCACCGTCGTCTTCGTAGTTCCAGAAGTACAAGTCTAAAAAATTTTTTGTAAAATTAAAATTATGTTACAAAAATTCAAATTTCGATTTTGCTTACTTAATCTGTACTTAAAAACAAAAGTTAACATAGATAACACTTCTTCAATATTAATATAGATACATACTTTGCTTTTTGGTTGTTTTATAATCAGGATGAGCTGGTGCATCACATTTTAGAATCACAGAGTGTTTATTGATTACAACTTTAGCCGGAATGGTAACCTAAATTCGTAATTTACTTCACAAAAACAATATTTTCAAAAAAAAACAAAAAATTAAAATAAGGGGGGAAACTTTGAAACCGATTGACTATGTTATAACTAGTACTACATGTTACTATTGTTAGTTGTTGTTTTAGTTATATTTTTTGTTAAAGTAAATATTTGATTAAAAAACCTGGTAACACCACTTTTCACGCACCCTGTAGTAAGACAATTTTTATATATAAACCTTACATCATTTCCAATAACAACATTCTCTTTGATAGTGACATTGTCTCCAATTTTAACGTTGTCCCCAATTATGGCTTTTCTGACTACTGAATTGTCGCCAATTTTTAAGTTGTTGCCTACTACAACTTCAGATATGCGACTTTTGTTGCCTAAAAGTTCATTTTTACATAAAATTAAATTCAAAATATAAGCTAAAGGTAAAATACGAGAATTTATGTGCATATGTAAAATCCTAACTCTAAACTTTCAATAACAAAATGCTAAACCTTACCAATAACAACATTATCCCCGAAAAAACATCCATTGACTCTAGCTTCTGGATGAACTTCAAACTTTCCTCCAAAAACACAATTCGTTGAATTAACTGGACTTCTGGCTTTAGCAGACACAAAAACATTGTTTTCGCGAGCTTGGAGAGTTAAAACTTTTAGCGAGTCACAAGAAGCCGGATGAAGATTCAGCAACGAGGTTGGATGAAACTTGCCGTGTTGGAAAGCCCATAAGCATTCCAATATTGAGTCGTAATCACTGAAAAATTAATAAACAAATAACAGATAACGTTAAGTAAATGAATAGGTAGATATAGCACCTCGAGGTTAAAGCATTGTAAAGAAAACACAATATACATCATATAAGCCTTACCTTCCAAATTGTGCCAACACATCTTTCTCCAAAATGTCCAAGAAGATGTTTTGACACAAAATTTCCTCATGAATCAGAATCCCTCTAATCAAAGTATCCAAACTGCTAAAGTCAAAGTTGTCAGAGAACGAAGCGATGATCTCCGGACCACAAAGATATATTCCACATGGTCTGAGATCACATCTCACTTGATGTTCAGCAGAGAAGTTGCGTTTCGTCAGCCTTAATTCAGTCGCTTCTTCAGCTGAGTTATAAATCAACAATTGTTGAGTCTCCTTGTCAATCAAGTATGGATACTGGGTCTTCTTGGATTCTTTGACCAATATCTGCATCACATTGTTGCGGTTCTTCTTTCGAAGTTGTCTAAAAGTAAACGATAAATTTTAATTGATAATAAAATTACACAGATATAAGATATATCTGTATTTTTCAAATAATAATTGTCTTAAAATTTTGTAGAATTACCTAAACTTAACTACATTGCTAACCAAAGTGGACGAACAGAAGGTCGGGATCTGGTCGATCAAAATGAACTCTTTCGTTATCAAATGACGTTTGTCAATTTCTCTCATAATATCACCAACACTGTTGCATCGTTCACAAAGTACCATCTCCAATGACACTCGCGTTTCCCATTTTCTAAATTATGTTTTTTTAATTAAACATAAAGTAAACTAGTCCAATATCATTAAATGTTTAAAAATAGCTTTTAAAACTTAAAAATAACTATTAAAAGTAAATTATAAGAAAACTCTTGTCTTTTCTAGTTATTAATCCACGATTTTCAAGTGAAATTTTCGTTAAATTAAACGTATAACAACATACTTCTTAATCAAATCAGCCGTCTTCTCGTCCAAAGTTGATGAAGCCACAAAAACATTGGCATAGAGTCTTGATACCCATTCCAAGACCAAATCAATCAATCGTTGCCCACCGACGTCAAGCAAAGCCTAAAAACAGAAAATTGTCGCCAAATAAAAAAACTTACCAAGGGTTTTTCATGTACTAAAGGCACTAAACGACTATTAAAGGTATCAGCTACAATTAAGACACTAATAGGCTCTTCTTTAGCCTCCTTTATCTGATCTATAATTGTCATTTTGATAACAAAACAGGTTATAAACTAAATTTATGATGCAAAAATTATTTGGGACTTTAGGAATAAACTTGACTCAATTTCAAGTGCGTCAAGTTTAACTAGAGAAACGCTTGACTCACTGTTGTAGTGAAAACTTGACACATGTAGAAATAAAAATAAATTTTCGCATTTAAATGCTAGATTTATAGGTTTTCTTTATATTTATCCATTAGCTTTTTTTAGCTTTCTACTTATACTCCTGAAATACCTCAATGAGAGCTTCATCTCGAGTTGGACACAGTGCAACACCAACAGAATCTAGGCAGCGGCATGAACGTGGAGTTGCAGTAAACGCTCTGTTCATCGACCATGCCTTCGTCAAAATCATGAGGCAAGCTGTAGCTGCCATCTTTCTACAGAACAAGATTGAATGTGCTACGACCTCAGCTTTAGATGTGCTGGGCAATTTGGCTGCGATGCGTAAGTTTTACTTTTGTTATCAATGTTTTGTGTTTAGATATGAACGAGATTTGTCGGAAGACAAGGCTGTTGTTGGAGAACTCAGGGCGGTCGAAAGTTACTGCTCATGATGTTGAGATGGCTTGCAGGGATTTGGAGATATTTATTGGAGATTTATGTGATTATATTCAAAGGTTTTTGTTTGATTCAAATTATCCATATATACCTGAACGTAAGTTATTGTAAATCAACGTTTACTTGTTTTTTCTGTATTTTCTTTGGTTTAATATTGTTTTTGAGTACATTTTAATTGATAGAAGAGCAATATCAAACTTTTGAATTAAATATTTAGAAAAAGCTTCAGACTGTCTTCTTATACCTTCTTTATTTCGAGTTAAATTTCAGCACGAACGATAGTGAAGAGGGCTCCAGAAGTTGCAATGCATATTGGTGATGCACCTGCAAGGCCATCTCATATTCCTTCATTCTTACCTCCATTTCCAGATCCTCACACTTATATTAGAACACCCGTAAGTCGTTTTATGATCTTTTACAACATATTTTTGTAAAAGCACTTTTTGGCTAATGTTTTGTAAAAGCGACTTCTCTATTTAAACTAGCATTGAAATTTGGTAATACAGTGGAACTCTTGTATAATATAACGAACTCCTCTATACCGAAATAATTAATAACGAACAAATTTTGAATCTCTTTCTACTGTAATAGCATTTTAGGTTAAAGTTACGACCATTTTTATGATATGTTTTAGATTAACATTGAGCCAGACATTAGCTACGTGCGGCACAGGGAGTTGTGTGCGAAAAACAAACGTGACACTGATTACACATTAATAACATATTTCACGACGAGACATCCAACCGTATCGTTGTTTAGGAAGTATGAGGAAGATGTCAGAGCTGCGGCAAGAGATGAGGTGGGTCTTTAGGTTTTTGTTTTTGGAAGTGAATTTCTTCCAACACCTCTGATAGGCAATCTTATGAAATAAGTGTTATTTCTAAAAGTATTGAATTTGCAGTTGAGACGTCGAGAAGAACGCCGAAAAGAACGCATAGAAGCTCGAGTGTTAGCATTAAGACGACAGCGTTTGGAAAGAGACCTGTCATTGGTTCAAGCATCGAATCTGCCAGAGGACTTTCTAGAAGAAGATCATGGAAACCAAGAAACTAACAATTATGACATTGTAGAAGAGCGGAATCTGATTGAAGATGAAATAAGGTTAGAAGAACTCACTGAAACACAAGAAACAGAAAACTCTCTGGTTAGGAGAAAGCTACGACCGGCTTTTCAGAGTAAGTAGTGTTAGGGTTATGTCATCGGGGTAACTCTAGTTTTGGGTGGGGTATTTTTAACTGGGGGGGGGGTGAAAAAGTCTGCCTTTTCTTCACCTACTGGCAAGATGTTATGCGCAAAACAAAAAAAATATAATTTTTCAGTTTTCCTGCCCTTTAAAGACGATCGTCCATATTTGAACGCTCTTTTGCCCTTCGATTATGGTGAGAATAAAGAAAAAGACAAGAACTTTATGTTGAACATAGACAAGAAAGTACCCAGCATTCAGGATGGTACAACCTTAATGGAAGAGCAGGTTTTAGTTCACAAAAGTTCAAAAAAGGCTAAAAAGAAGTCGGAAACTCAATATGAATAGACTGTACAGACTTATGTTGTTAATTTTTAAACTGTTAAATAAAATATTAATTTATGATCCTGCTTCTACTTTGGCTGTTTATACGAATTTATTATTTTTGATACCTAAAAGATCAATATTTTGCCACTTTTACTACCTAAAATTTGTATATTTTATCAGTTTTTACTTTATTTATTATAATATTGTGCCAAATGCGCTAATACTTTATTAAAGCTGTTCAGACAATACTCTGAAGTGGTACTACTTCAGCACCAGTTGGAGTAGTTCGACACTCGAAGGTGAACTTTCCAATCTCAACTTGGCTGCCGATTGGAATAAAGTCATCGCCATTCCGGAAACAACCAGTGAATTCAGTCTTACCATCAACACAACGCTTCAAAAAGTTTCCAGAACGCCATTCTTGTTCATCATCATGGTTCTCACATGCGTTGGCTGGTCTTTTAGGTACATTGTCTTCTAAAGGTTGAATTTTGATGCCGGTACTGGTCGATTGGCATTGGTAAGTGAAGCCAGATACCTTTTTCTGTTCATTTACTGGGATAAAGACATCTTCCTTTTGGCATCCTAACCATTGGGTTTTGCCTTGTTGGCATGAGGCTTTGAAGGAGCCGACGGTCCATTCTTCTCCTGAAAGGGATGGTAATATAACTTTTATAATAATACGAATCTAAAAAGAAGTAAACGTTATGCAGTGCAACTTCTGTAATTGCATAACGACCAAAAAACTAAGGCAAATACATAAATCTTCTTACCTTCCTTATGATCCTTACAGCCATTAACTTTATCGGTCGATTTTGGCTGACTGTTGGCGGCAGTTGGTAAAAAGGCTTCAAATCCAGGTGGAGCTACGCCAGGTGGTCCAGCCTTTTCAGCTTTTTCTGATTTTGATGTTTTGTCTTCGTTATGACTGTTCAAACCAGCATCAGATCCTTTTGTCTTCTTGTCCAAAGGATAGATTCTAATGCCATTCTCATTAGCTTCACATTTGAATGTAAACTTATTCATGGTACCAGTAGAGCCAGCAGCAATATAAGTACGATCCGAAGTATAACAACCAACATATTGCAAGATGTTCTTAACACAGCTTAACCTAAAGTTTCCTTCGTCCCATTCCACGCCTTCGCTTCGGCCTTCACACTTGGGACTAGCTTTGGCAGTTTGGGTAACAGATCGTTTGAAGACGCGAGTTGGTGGTGCAGCTGGAGCATCGTTCCATTTTTTCATGTCTTCGACTTCAGCTGTGCCACTGCCATCATTGTGGACTTCACATAGTTGACCATCAACCGTGGCACCAAGTGGGTGACGTTCTCCAGCTTTGTTCAGACATCCAATCGTTTTGACAGTCCAGCCCATCTCTTTGTGCTCACATTTTTGAACAAATTCGATGAATTTTCCTTTTTTTACCTAAAGTTTTAAATTTAATGAAATTTATATAATATAATCAATTTTTAAAATTTTGTTTTATATAAAATACAAAAAATTTTTTAAATTTTCAAAAAATGATTTTAAACTTATAAAACCCACAAACTCCTCCTGATCCTTCCTCTTCACGTTGTCGACTTCACACCCATATACCACAGTAAAAACCAACAGTAATTTAAAAAGCATGTTCATTGTAATTGAGACTGCTTATCAAATACAATGATTAAATAAATGTTCATGACCTTCAAAACTGACCAACACCTCTGGCTTTTAAACCAGTTTTGCAAAATCAGTTGTAAAAGTAACGCCCATAATTAATGGCGTTGTAAAAACAGTGCAAATAAATTTTAATGAAATAGTGCAAATTTTATTTTACTTTGTTTTTAAATAAAATTTTGAAAAAATACAGCAAACATATCGATAAAAGTTTTTAAACAGTACTCCTGTATAACGAACAACTTTTAAATCACCGGCTAACACTACGCAATGGATTTACAACTCCTGTATAACGAACTCTTGTATAACCGTTCATAACGAACGACGTTCACATTCCGGAGCGATTTGTTAAACAGCAGTTCTACTGTATTCGCTATTAAGCACACCAAAGGGGCTGGACCTAATAAAAATTAATGTTCGGCACGATCTGTTTACTATGCCTATAATCAGGGCCGGAGCTACCTGTGCCGATTTTTTGCGAACTTTTGTTTCTAAAGATCCACAGGAGACCACGTTCAACTTCTTTCGAAATTTTTTTTCTGGGGTGGGTACCTATAGTTAAAGATTTAAAAGTTGTGTGTGATATATAAATTCCGCTATTTCGTCATACAGATTTTGGTTATATCGTAGCTTTTTCATTTAAATTTAGTTTTTCTACATAAACCACGCTCTTATACATACTTACACAAAACTCACATTGTACGTTATAATAAATAATTTAATATTTAGGTCAGTAATAGCATCTGCTTCTTTTATTTATAGTAAATTAACAAGAGTTTGTAAAGCAATATGGTTACACCCATTCTTTTGTATTGTAAAGTTTGAATCATCAAATAAATTTAAACCCACATTACAGTCAATAGATTAAAAAAAACACGTGAACTCACAAATACTTGGAAGTAAAACATTATTATTGACATCATCAAAGACAAGTCAATAATTTCTTATTTACTACGTTATGAAGGATGCCTTAACTTTATAAGTTTTGATACTTTTTTTTTAATTTTTAAATAATTTTACATTTTTTTAAGTTTTAAAATACAAATTTGTCAACTCTTCAATTCAACGTTTACAGGACAATTACAAGCTGTTTGACTTGTAATATGTTGTGTTGTACAAAGTGAAAGTAAGCTTGAGTTGGAAGGGTAAATGACCCGTTTCCAAATTTGATTGCCTAGCTAGTCAAGGTCGCATCTTTTTTGCGAAAAGCTTGTCATAGACGACAAATAAATAAAAATGAGTAATATTATTTGTCTTACTATGCTTGAGTTTACGTGAACTTTTCAAAAAACATCGTATTTATTGAGGGTCTTTAAGTTTTATTTTTTTAGACTTAAAAATATTGTTTTATTAGAAGAAAGTAGGGTAGATATAGCGCATAGGCTAGCGAGAGAAAGATAAAGGTAGTGTTAAAGCAAGACAAGGGTAAAGCTACAGTAGCGCAGGTGTAAGATAGGTTAGAGTAAGGTAGATGCCGGTAAGATAGAGTATTGAGCAAAGTAAAGCAGGGTAGCCTAGAGCAGGATAAAGCAAGGTTGGGTAGGGTAGGGTATGGTAGAGTAGGGTAGGGTAGGGTAGGGTAGGGTAGGGTAGGGTAGGGTAGGGTAGAGTAGGGTAGGGTAGGGTAGGGTAGGGTAGGGTAGGGTAGGGTAGGGTAGGGTAGGGTAGGGTAGGGTAGGGTAGGGTAGGGTAGGGTAGGGTAAGATAGGGTAAGATAGCCTAGTTATACTCAGCTCACCTTACCCATCAGCTGGTTATGTGACAAACAGGAGTATTTCCTCCTCATTAATTTCTGTTTTTCGCCAGTTTTCGTCGTTGAACGACCATTCTTTTCTCCATCGATGAGTCGGCATCGCGCTCTTAACAGCGAGTAAAAGAGTAATTTTTTCCCCAAAAGGGTTTTGAACATATACTTTTCAGACCAGTTTTCCAAGTCTTGACGAGTTGAATTGAGAGAATTTCAACTCTTGAGAAATTTTTCGAAATGGACTAAAAAGTCGGTGACTCGCTACGGAATTTTTTATACGATTTGAGAGTTTCATGATTATTTTCCTTCAGAAGTTTGTTGTTGTAATTGATTTTGGTTTAGTTTTTTCAACGTTTGTTTGTTTGTCAATTGTTTTGGCGTTTAGTTAGGGGTGGTGTTTCTCATAGTTTAAAATATTAAAAATTTACAATTTGCAACAAATTTAAAAAATAGATAGCATTTGAACTAGCCCAGTTTTGTGGTGAATAAGCAGACGGTATTTTTTGTAATCAGTCCGAATTGGCATGGCCTCATTAAGGAATTAGTTTTATAAGATTGTTCAAATAATTCTAAGCCCGCTTTCAAAGCAAATTTTACGGTTTGGGGGCTCAGAATAATATGAACAACTTATAGCTTTTTTTCTGTTTAAAAACTTACAGTATTCTAATTCTAATACCTACTTCTTAGTACATAAAACTTATGTTTCCTTTATTTTAACTATAACTCATTCAAAATTGACCCTTTCAAAACTTCCTCAACGCAACTTCAGCTTTTATGATTACGTTTTCATTATCCCGAATCCAACGTGATTCCGCTAACGTTGGCGTGAGTAATGACACTTTTTCTTGACGCCATTGCGAGTTATGACACTTAAAATACTTGAGAGTTACTTTTTTGATTGCTGAGTGGTTGGGTGCAATTTTTAACTGACAGTGATTGAAAAACTTTATTATATGGATGCAGTCGGGTAGGGTAGGGTAAGGTAGAGTAAAGGTAAATTAAGGTAGGGTGTGGTAGTTAGGATAAGGTAGTCTATGGTAGAGTAGCGAAAGTTTGCTAAACTAGGTTAGGAGTGGAGTACGAGATTTTTTGTTACTCAATGTGTCTTTTCTCTAACTTAAATCTTTAACTTGTACGTTGAATCACATATATTATGCCATTCCTTAACCGCACTATCACCAACTGAAGACGCCTCTGTGAACGCCATTCAAGAAACATTTACTTTATCATTTCCGAAGCGGCGATCGTTTTTTTTTCACAATTTCGAATTTCAAACCAAGACAATGCACGTCAGTTGGATTGATGAGTCGACGCGTTCGATTCTCGTTCATCGTTTCGTCGGTCGATTTTGATAGTATTTCGATGGAGTTCTTGTTCAGTTTGATGGGGGTTTTGTTGTGGGGTTTTTTCCAAGATTTCAAACCTTGTTTTGAGGTTTTGTAGACAATTCATTAAGGAAGGGGCTGTTTTTGGTTGTCAATTTTGTTGATTTTGACCTAGTTTTGGGTTTTGTAGAGGAAGGTGGCTTTAAACTTACCTGTGATTAATAAAGATCATTTTAAGCTTATATGATTAAATGAAAAACAACAGAAATCCCTTCTTTTTTGTTCATGTGAAAACTTACATATTAGAAAAATGACTTGTTTACTAAACGACAGTTACTTATAAATCTAATAAATAAAGTTAACTATAAAATTTTTTGTTTTGTCATTTTGCTTTTTTCACGCAAAAAATTAAATTAACTCTTAATAGCTATGTAATTGAAACGAAGCTCTAATATAAAGTTAGTAACTTCTTTACTTTTACAATTACTCTTTTCAACTTTATTTACAATTACTGACTTACAACCTCAAAATTGCCCGCTTTGTGCTTATAAATCAGTGTTTAAAAATGATTTTAAACTATTTTTGGTATCTTTTATAATGTTTTCAATAGTACTTTATATTGGTCGGCGAACTTAATCTACCACCCGGTCATTTGAAAGTTTCTTATTCGATTAAACTGAACTTTGGCATACGACATCTAAGTGAACTTCTAAGGTTATCTTTGTAATATGAAATGTTTTTTAAAATATTTTATTTGTGATCTGACGACTTTCTTAGTAGGTTTTGTAAATTTAGGTCAAACAAATGCAGTTTTGAATCCTCTTTTTTAAAACAATTTTTTTTTGAAGAAGAATCAGTGTTAACACTGATTAAACAAGCGGAAATTGCGCAACTTGAAACGATTAACCCAAAAAGTAATTGACTAATCTTTATACTCTAAACTTACTGCTCTTCCGTTAATTAGCTAGTACTTCAGGTATTTTTAATTAGTGTTACATACTATACTGTTGATTACTGTTTCACTTGTCGTCAAGAAGTTTTTTTTGTATTTTTATTTTAAAATAATAACCCTTTGGCATTATTATAATGTTTTAAAGTTTAAACAGTTTTATAAAACTTTAGTCTTTTATCACTAAAACGCGTCTCCTTCTACTGTAGACTTCTTGTATAACAATATATCACAATACGCGGCTATGGCTATGGCTCTAGGTCTATAACGCGTAAATGACAGTAATTTCTAACTCCAACCAAAGTCGAAAAATTACAGTAACCCTCCATTTCAGCCCTATAGCATCACAAGTGCCTTTCCAATGCATAAACGCCGAAAGCGATGAGGTTTAAACAGTGCCCAGCCTCGTTTCTCTACCTCTTTCTCTTCACATTGATCTCAACTGTTTGTAATTATGCTCACTCCAAAGTCACCGACTGCCAATTACTGCCACATTCCGACTTTCTCGACGCCCAATACCTAGACAGGGCATGTAGACATAGGAGTATGTGGTTGAAGGAACGCGGAGATTCTGATGGAAATCTGGATAGGAAATTGACTAGTAAGATTTTTATTGGTATCACCAGTGGCAAGAGAGTAATTTTGGTCTGGGGGGATAAGGCGGATTAAAAAAATTATTGCCGGGGGTGGAGTTTTTCAAATTTTTGAGAAACTTAATAGAAGAACCAACTTTTTTTTTAATAAATAGGTATATAGGATATAAATAGTCAATGACTCGCTACTGATTATTTTCAGATAATCAGTTACAGTACTTTAAGCAGCTTCAACGTGACCCAGCGTTAGATCAGGAAAACCGTGAGCAGCTGCGCCGATTGGCAGCTAAAACTCATGTAAGTTAACATAAACTTTTTTAAATGATTTTAGAACTTTAAAACTTTAAAATTTGGCAAGAAATCTTAAATAATACGCCGCATAAACTAAAACAACACATCTCATACGCCTAAAAATTTATTTACAGGCCCTCCCAGCCGCCTACCGGCGACGCGAAGCCCGAAGAGTACCATTTAATCGTGGTACTAAGGCGATTCGAAAAGAAATCAGGATGTTTTCAGATCAAGAGAAAACTGATCTGTTCCGAGCCATGAATCAGCTTAAACACAAGTACATAGATAACACTTCCATTTGGGATCTGCACACTCTTATACATTACCCAGATAGTGCTCCTGGTGCTCATTGGGGACCAGCTTTCTTACCATGGCACAGGGAGTTTCTACGACAGTTTGAACAAGCCCTAAGGGAACAAGTTCCTGGCGTTTCGCTGCCTTATTGGGATTCTACACTTGATGAGGGTAGGATGAAGTTATTATATAATACTTAGAAATAAGAAAACTAAAATTTTAATTTTTTTAAATTTAGAAATTTTAATTTTTAAAAATTTTAAAAATCACAATAATATGGTCTTTTAGGCCTACCAGACCCAAGCGATAGTATTTTATGGACTGAAGAGCTTCTTGGAAATGGAAACGGCTACGTAAAGACCGGACCGTTTCAAGATTGGGATACTAATGTTCTAATGCCGTTATCTCCGGTTCCAGTCAAAAAATTGTACAGGTAAATTAATTTTTGATATTCTTTTGCATACTCTATTTCATGTCATTAATCTAAGATAGGAGTTAATATAGTAAAAAAACTTTGTTGCCTTTTTTCAAATTTGCGTATAACATATCGCCGCAGCCTGCGAGAAAACCTAAAAGTAAAAAAAAAATTTTGTAGATCGACCGGTGGCCGTCCCCAAGACCGTCTCTTATCACCAAATGATGTAGATTGGATAACAAGTCGGAAAAACTACTCAGATCTCACGTTTTGCCACGACAAAACCTTCGAGTCCATGCATGGGTTGTCTCATGTTTGGGTTGGTGGATTCATGTTCGTGATCCGAGTATCACCAAACGATCCTGCATTCTATATGCACCATTCATTTGTGGATTACATGTGGGAACAAATGCGACAAAACCATCAGACACGGCATCAAAGAGAACATGATTGGGCAAAGGTAAGACATTTTGATGTTGAAACAGTGAAAACTTTAGTAAAAAACAGGTTATTTCGGTGCCAAATGGTACTAAAATATAGCGTAGAAGAAATCGTAAACAACAATATAGTAAAATACTTTTTCTTTTATTTTACCGATAATATTACATCAATTTCAGAAGATCTGCGACTCCAAACACTCCTACACAGGCCAGATGAAGCCTTTCAGTTTGCAGAACAAAGATGGATTATCGAACGATTACACTGATTTTTGGTATGAATATCAACCAGTTAGACATTGTACTAGAGGACAGCCTTATTGTGACAGTAAATATTACTTCTGCGACGAGGTTTCCTGGAAATGCAGGTCGAAAATTCAACTGGGAGGAAATTGCACGGGATTTGTGGGTACTGGAATATGTTTCAATTCGGTTTGCATTCAAGTAAGGCTTAATTTTTGATGACACTTTTCAAAAACCTTGTTAATATTCTTACCTTACTTTTAAAATCAATTCAAGTTATATCCCAAGCAGCTAAAGTCAAAAAATATCCTTTTTTTGATATTGTACTAGATCTCCATAACATTGATGGTTTATTTTCCAGAATACTTGTCGATTACCAGCGACTGATGGAAATGGCTTTGAGAGAAGAGAAAGAAGACCAAGTGGAGTAGTTTGGGCTAAAACATTAATGTTAACAGACGGAGATGAACCTCTAGTGTCACCGGTTGCTCATATTACTCTTCTTGATGAAAGCGGAGGAACAGAGACCACAATATTCCAAGAAAGAACGTTACAGTATCCCGAAATGCCTGGTATTATGTATTTACCATTACCTCATCCACGAGAAGGCGTTGGTTATAATGTGTCATTGGATGCTAGAGATCACTATGGTCGATACTGCCAGAGTTATTGTTATAATGCTACGATTGACAAACATCAAGTGAGTTCTTATAAGTATTTTAGATTTTTAGGCATTTTTGTGCCCTCAGGTCATTTTTAATAAATTTTCTGTTCTGGTTTAGACAAATGACTGAGTAACGACAAATTTTGATACTCGACTAGACCAATCTAAAACAATATCCAAAAAACATAATTTTTAGGTATGCCAACCTAAACTAACCATCAAAAATCGGTTCGAAAAAGATGCCGCGAACATATCTTACACTCATTCATTCAATTCTCGGCGGTTCTTGGACCTAGACTTGAGTGTACATCCAGCTGAGTGGAAGATAGCACCACCGTACATGGTTTTCGCATGCCACAGAAAGGTACCCAACGGGGATGCTATAAAAGCCTTGGCAGATACTGTAAAACCACCACAAGAAACTACAGAGTACATTTGGTTCAGAGTAAATGTGTTGAAAAAGAGTGGCAGCACGATTAATTTGGACGACGCTGAGGTAAGTGTAATATCTGAATGTCTCATGAATTTTCTTTGTTTTTAACTGTAAAATAGACAAATCATATTGATAGTGGTACTAAAAATACAGAAAGACTTTTAAAAACTCTTGGCTTACATGTTGAGCAACATTGAAATTACTAATTTGCTGTTTTAGATCGAAGTACAAGACATGGACGACCCAACTGACATCTGGATATCTTCGATACGAAGAGCTCGCTCAGCATACGACCAAAGTGTGGTATTTGTACGAGCACGCAACCCAAGAATATTCAGAAAAGGTGTTGGAGTTCAGATTTCGATACGAAGCGACAATAAGCGGGTCATGTGCGAGGCCAAGTGTAATGTGGTAAGTGTAACATTACATTTTTGGAAATTTAGACATAAAATTGACTGTAAACAACAAGATTAAAATAACATTGAACCCTACACTTATAATGTTTTACAACGAACGGTAAAATGCCAAGTTTTGAAGAAAAAAGGCAAATTGTGGTTGGCCGCAGCCGTTGTGCAGGCTGCGGTAACAGTTTATACGCAGAATCTTTGTCTTGCCTTTAGGGGTGAGAAAAGGGCCGGGCCGGGCCCACTTTTCAGGCTCGGCCCAGGCCCGGGGCCCAACGTCTAGGCTCGGCCCGTTTTCATTTTTATCACAGGCCGGCCCGGCCCGGTCAGAAAATTTCTAGGCCCGGCCCGTTTTAAAAAATTTTAAAAATTTTAAAACTTACAAACGGAAACTTGGCTTTGCATTGTTTTTTCAGATCATTTATTGATCATGGTATCCAATAAAATCAAAAAACACAAAAGGGGATTGAAATAAAAAATTTTAAAAAATTAAAAAATTTTTTTTTCGGGCCCGGGCCCACTTTTTTAGGCCCGGCCCTCAAAGCCGGCCCGTTTCTCACCCCTACTTGCCTTTTGGCATTGAAGATTAGTCAAAGTGGGCTTGTTTCAAACAAATTATGCTTCTTTTTAAAGTCAAATTCTAAACCTGTTTTTTCCATTTTATCTTTGCCATATTACCCTTCCTGTTTAATATAACTCCTGTTTCAGGGCGCAGAACGACAGATCGACAACTGTCCATCGACCGTGTTCTTGCACGAACGGCCCAACAAGTCTGAAGAAAAGGTATTCGCTTCGGATCCCACCTTCCTACAGCTATTAGGATGGAAAATGTCGGGTCATCCAGCTGATTGGTCGCTTCGAATGGCATATTTATCGTTTTATTGTTAATATCGCGTTTAGTTCACAAGCATAGGTGTTATATAATGGTCTCTTGTTGGTTTAGTGTACAAATAAATCGAATTCTATTGTTGGGATGGGAAAAGAATAGATTTTAGTTCAATTTAGGTATTAAATGCTTAAAAAATGGTTTCGAACTATATTGTAGTAGATGTTTATGGTATACTTTACAAAAAATAACAAATGAAACATAAAATAAAGTAAAATATATTTTCTGTTGATTTTTAATTGTACTGTAGTTTATTTTGACTATGATTTTGTAGATTTTTTTGTGGTTCAACTGACCCATTTGGTATTACACGTTATATCGTTGTAGGTTCATAGAGAGAGACCTAAATATCTGGTAGAGAATAGATATGAGATTGTCGTAGATATGAATGTTAAGAATCCATATTATCATCGGTTTTTGAATATTTAACTATTAACAGTATTAGCATTCGCATTGTAGCCCAATTCATCTGCTTCGTCGTCTTCTGTAGCCAGATTCATGAGTTGAGAATCCGAAATCTGAGGTTTGGACATCCAGAAACAGTCACGGTCGACTGGTAGAAAGACGCCCATTAAGGAGAACGACTCTTCGTACGTAGCACAGTACGATTTGATGTCGTACATTAGCGACATCAATCGGGCATTTCGAATTGGACCATGAGCTTCACCATGAGTCTTGACTAAATGACGATGGAACTCGAGGTAAAGAGTGTCACGGGCGTTGGCAGCTTCATCGTTGATCAGGTTTAGACGTTCGACTAAAATTTTGTTGGTTTAAGCATTAAAAATTGATTTTAAAATGCAGTTTTTGATAATTTTTGCAAAGTTTTTGTCTAACATAATAACTTAAGTCCATTTCTTTGGAGTATTTGAAAATTATATCTTACTATTTTATCCAAAAATAAAAAAACTATTTTTAGAAGTAATTTAGGTAATAACTTGTCGAAACTTACTGTTTTCCCAAACCAAAGCGGCCGATAACATTGACATTTCGGTGAAATTTGGCTTAACATAGCGAAACCTATTGATCACCGTGCTCCCAACCTCCCATAACGGTTTCAAAACACTGTAACGTATATGTAATAGACTTATTTTACTTTAATTGTTATTTTAAAAGAATCAAACTATGAAAAAGAAAAAAAAAGTTTTTTCTAATTTTTTGAAAACACCACCCATAGCTCATTAATTTTTATACAATTTTTATATATCTTACTGTTTGGTCCTATTGTAGTCCTTTTTCATAAAGCCCACAAACTCGTCAGTACGACAGTAAAAGCCAGGGAATATGGCCATATGTTTGTCGGTAAATTCGGGGAAGAACCGGCTGGTTAGACATAATTTGTAAGTCGATGAAATCTCCAGCAAAGTCGATTTTAAAATTTGGGCCTGAAAGTTCAAAATTAATTTTTTAGGCTTATTTTATAGAACTCAATTAAGGTTTTAGTACTTCAAATTGACAATAGTTTTCTTTGTTTAATTTTTCGTTTACCGGCCGAAAACAACGGGTTGCAACTATTGATTCAATGGAAAAATATAATTTTATCCTTTTCGGAGGGAAATTATCTATTTTTTGATGAAACATTGTGCGGTATTTTACTAAAATGGACAAGAAATAGATAAATTATGATTTTATGTTTTAGCTTAATCTTTTCTCTTGCGTTTTATACCTATTTATTGCCTAATAATATCTTAGATTTCAATATTTTGACTGAAATACTGAATAACTTACTCGTTCAGGCACGCCAAACCTCGGAATATTGGCCATAAGCTCCGTAATCACTCTGCAAACCAATCTCAATGTCCTGTTTTCCATAATCGAGTACAATGGCATATTGATGTAGACATAATCACTGTCCATCTTCACCTCCGATCCTTTACAGATGCTTGACAAACAACATTGTCGATCTTCGAAACGTTGAAAGACTTGAACAGCTTTGGCCAGAATAGGAGATACATTTGGATCAATACCTACGGCACTGGAAGAATATTGAGGATCACATGCTGGCTTCAAGCCTACAACAGCATCGACGAAGAAGTCGTCAATGAGTTCGTTCTCCATGGCCGTGAACATCTGGAGACCACTGCCAAGATTAAAGGTTGGTTGGACTGAGTTTGGGGCTGTGTTAAGGTCGGTAGAGGAGTTTACTGAGGGTGGTGAATATGTTGAGGAGTTGCTGAGATGACTGAACATACGATGGCTGGTTTCCGGTTCTATGGTTGGGATTTGGAAAGTATGGGGCATGGTAAGGTTAGTATTACTTGGCGTAGTGTTTGGAATATTATTATGTTGTGATAAGATGCTGTTTGGTATGTTAACATTGGGTAGTAAATTTGAGTGTGATACGTTAGCACTTGTAGCTATTATATTGTTTGCTCCATGGCTATTAGCAGCCAGGATACTGTTTGGAATGTGAGTACTGTTAGCTAGCATGCAGCTAGGTATTCGTGTACCATTGGGAAACATGTTGTTGGCCATGTCAAGCCTATTGTTGATGCCGCAGTGTGGTATGTTGTAGGATAGGTTGTGGTGAAGTTGTGATAGCATTAGGGTGCTTGTTGACGGCGATATACTTGGCATGGTACTTGAAGATGGTTGTATATTATTTGAAATGGCATGAGTAGATGGCTGTATACTACATGGCATGGTAGGAATAGATGACATAGTAGCATCACTTTGTGAATTGTTTTGTGTAGAGTCGTATTTAGCTTCATGTGGTTCATTTTTTACAGTAATTATTGTGTTTTGATATGTTTTAGGTGGTAAATTGTCTTTGTAGGCTTGTGTGATATTGTTGAGGCTAGTGTTCGTTGTAGTAGATGTATCAATATTGTAGGTAGAATTAGCTACAGTACTATTTGATTGATACTGTGAATTCATATCAGTATTACTTAAAAGTATACCGGCTGAGCTTGGTATTGTATTTGAAAAAGCATACGACAGGTCAGTACTAATACTACTTGTACTACTAGGGTTGGTAAGCTTAGTTACTGTATGACCGCCATTATTAAGACTACTATGTTTGTTACTATTAACATTACCATGGTTGTTACCTTCATAAGCTTTACCATCTTCATATATACCAGTATGTGCAGTAGACGTTGTAGGCAAGTCATCACCAGCTTTTACTATGGAAAGATGACTGTCATCTTCAATGTCGTCTTTGGGGTAGCCATTACATTGTATTACTAATGAGTTACCGACCATACGAAGGCCTAGGCTTCTACACATCTTCATGCGACAGCCACGACAGCCGTTGCGGTTACCTGAAAAGTAAAGTATGTACAATATTTTAATCTTTAGGTTCTGGGATAGGTTAATATCTAGAATTTTATGTCTTTTAGATATACGCATTGCATTGTAAGGCATATATAGTATTGTAGGTAACATTAGATGTTCTATATGTACATGTGTAGTTTTGTATGTGACTTTGTATGCTTAAAATGTATAGTTAACAAGATTAAAAGTTATGCAATTTGTATATGCTCTGTTTTAACTTGTAACCTTCTACACAACTTTTATCTACAGGCTTTTAAAGCTACTACAATATACTTTGTACATATAATAGCAACATAACTACTTCTATATTTTATTATTGAAAATGTGTATTGTAGTGTTACATGTTATAACTATATCCTACATTTTTGATAACATGTACTAATTACTGTATTTCTCAAGGTAATAAGTGTAATTACTGTATTTCTTAAAGTATTATATGTGTAATATTCATCTATGTTATAACATACGTATTACTTATATTAATAGGTTGTTCGAATAATTCTGTGCTCCGTATCAATGCAAATTTTTGTGGTTAGGGTTAGGGGTGAGAAAAGGGCCGCGCCCACTTTTTAGGCCCAGGCCCGGGGCCCAAAGTCGAGGCCCGGCCCGTTTTCATTTTTATCTCAGGCCGGCCCGGCCCGGTCAGAAAATTTCTAGGCCCGGCCCGGCCCGTTTTAAAAAATTTTAAAACTTAAAAAATAAACGGAAATTTGGCTTTGCATTGTTCTTTTAGATCATTTATGTATCATGGTACCCAATAAAATCAAAAAACATCAACGGGGATTAAAATAAAAATTTTCGGCCCCGGGCCCAATTTTCAAGCCCGGTCCGTTTCAATTTTAACTCAAGGCCGGCCCGATCGTAGCGCCGGGCCGGGCCTAGACGGCCCGTTTCTCACCCCTAGTTAGAGGGCACAGAATAGTATGAACAACCTCATAAATGGCTCATTAGGAAGACTGTCAGTAATACGTGACTCACTAAGAAGACTGTCAGTTACTGAGTACAAATTCATTTTAAAAATATACAACGTATACATCTTAATCTCAAGGTCAAAAAACAAATGTCATTTTGTCTAGAAACCTTACAAAGTGTGATAATACATCACCACAAACGTATACACAGATGAATGTGGCCATACGGTAAATCTTATGTACGTATGTAAGCTTTTTTGTTTTAAATACATTACATTGAACATAGCATGTTAACTTAGGTGTATTTATAGATATAAACGTAGACATGCTAATGTTAGGGCAAAGTCGTACGTTAAAATGCCGTACAGTAAAACATCTTTAGTATGACCATCGATAGCATAGCACGCTCTTTATAATGACAGAGGTTCGACTGTATATGATTAGAAATAGTTATTTTAAGCCATGATGTTATGTAGTATAATAATATACTTATATAAGGTATAATAACATACCATATATGTAAATGTACATTACAATTACTACTTTAACCATAAACATTACTTTTGTTAAAACTATGATGTATATCATGCTATATAGGATATAAAAAGTATTTATAAATTATGTTTATAAATCTCTAAACTCGTGTTTATAAGATTTTACAAGAGATAATACTGTAATTATAAAAAGAATGTATCAATTAAGATAACTAGGTAACAAAATGTTTTAACTTCATGCTTTACACTTTAATTCCAAAGTAAAAGCTAAGTTTTTTTACATATTATAAATACATAAAACCCAGTTTTATCAGCCGAGAGTCACACAGTAATTAAGAGTATAAGAATTGCATACATAATACTATAATGAACACTTGATACGATCATACTTACCCACTTGTAAGTCGCAATTACCATTCTTTCGACAGAAAATACGGTCTTTGTTTCGGAAGTTCCTGAATTTAAGTACAATGTAATGTAGTAGGTATTATAATTCAATGTAATAGGTATCTTATAATATAGATAGTACAATATCAGCTGCGAAAATTTGCTGTGAGAGTGGGCACAAAATTATTTGAACAGCTTTGTCGTTTATATAAAAGGTTAATATACAAAAAGTATGTACAATTAGTGCCTTGATATGTCGTAAAAAGCCTTACCTACGATAAAAAATGGAACAAGCTCCACATACGAAGGCTTTGTAGCCAATACTCTGGGTTACCGTGCCACAAATCTGGCAAGGCTGACGCTTGGCCCGTAAGTCCATTGGCTAAAAGTGGTAGTGTTAGTACTATAATAAATCAATTTTTAGGTATTTTTCAAAATGAATTGACTCGAAAACGTAAAAAATATTGCTACTGTGAACTATTTATATTAGGTTGTCCGGAAAGTTCTGCAATATTTGAGTAGGTAAACTTTGAAAAATCAGGAAAAATTTATTTCTTGACGGAAAGAAAAAATTCTTTTTTTGTTTGTTTGTTTGTTACCTCAATTATTCAAAAAGGTAAGTTACATAACTTAATTTCATTTTTTTGTATTGTTTTAGGTATTAGAAAAAAATGGAGAAATCTCGCCTGCGCGTGATTATATGGAATGAATTCAAACGCGGAAATACTGCGGCAGAAACCTTCAGAATCATAAACGAAAATGAGGGTAAGAATGTTGTGAGTTATTCTACGGTGACCAGATGGTTCGCAAAGTTTCGTGTGGACGATGAGAAGCTTGAAGACAAACCACGTGCAGGAAGACCCAGCAAACTTGACAAAGATGCCCTGAGGCGCAAGATTGAAGATGACCCACATATTACAATCCGGGAGTTAGAAGAGTTACTAAACTGTGGAAAAAGTACAATTGGTGATCATTTGAAGGCAATGGGTATGGTCAAAAAGTTGGACAAAAGGGTGCCTCACAATTTGACTGATCTGCAAAAAGCCAAGAGACGATGTGCTTCCGAAAAGCTTCTGCAACGCTGCAAAAACGAAGAATTCTTGGATCGAATTGTAACCATTGACGAGAAGTGGATCTCGTTTAACAATACTAGAAGATCTACAAGTTGGTGTAAGCGTGGAGAAGCTCCTAAGCACGTTCCGAAGCCAGAATTGCACGAAAAGAAGCTTATGGTGACTGTCTGGTGGTGTAGCTCTGGAGTGATCCAGTACGATTTCATGAAACCTGGCCAAAGTGTTACGGCCGACACCTACTGTGCCCAGATTGACAAACTGCGACACAATCTTCCAACAATGGTCAGAAGGAGGGGTCCGATCATTCTGCAGGATAACGCACGGCCCCATGCTGCAAAGAAGACCGTGGCAAGATTCAGGGAACTGGGATACGAAGTCTTGGAGCACCCTCCTTATTCTCCAGACTTGGCTCCAACGGACTTTCACCTTTTTAAACACTTGTCTTCGTTTCTTAATGGAAGAATCTTCAAAACTCCAGACGATGCCAAGAATGCCTTCAAGAACTTCATCAACTCCAGAAACCCGGAATTCTACAATCGTGGAATAAAAAAGCTTGTAAATCGTTGGCAAGACTGTATTGATTCAGACGGTAATTACTTTGATTGATTGTAGTTGTTAATTATATTGTTATTATTGTTAGTTCAAAAGTGAATAAATATTGCAGAACTTTCCGGACAACCTAATATTACAATAAAAAATAAAAGCATATTACGAAAGTCTACAGTATTAAAACTCCTGTTTAATAAACATGAATTAAATATTAAAATATGTGGTAAACGATGGCTTTACACAGTCATTATTAAAGTAACATGTAATCACGCACGTTGTGTGTCGAGGTAAAGTAAACGGAAACTATAAAAGTGTATGCGTATGTAAAATATCAAAGTGTTGAAAGAGAAATGGCATAAAATTGTATTTTGGGCAGAAAAGGAGTGATAAAACGGGGTAGAACGGAATTTTAGGTATTAAAAACAATTTATACGCCAATGTTTTTAAGATTACGGTAGTATGGGTTAATGTTACCGTCTTTTCTGACGAACGGAGAATTGGATTAGGGAGGGGATAAGCGGAGGTGGAAGAAATTTTTTAAAGGTGAAGGGTAGGGAGTGGTAGGTAAGATAACTTGTAGTACCCTGACTGTACTACTACTAGTAATTTTTTATAACCTTGTTATAAGCTGCAACAACTTTATTCAGCAACAAAAGCAACAATAGTTCAAATTGAAGATCAAATGACAAAGTAATTGACCTTCATCTACGTAACACAGATAATATAAAACTGCAGCACTATATATTAACTTTTTATTTTCGTACAGACCAATAAATAAGAACCATTATATGTTGCAAAAAATTAAAAAAAGTAAATTGAAATCAGGTCGTCTCGTAGCTTCTAATTTTTAAAAAACTAAAATGACTTTTGATATCAAACACGACGTATATGATGACTTAAAACCTTATCGCTAGAGACGTAAACGTATATGTTATTGATAGGAATCTTTTTGGCATAGCAAAAAAACGACATCTTGTTAGTAACGTTGTAAAGGGTTTGTAGAAGAATATTAAACTACTGTAATATAATATCAGTTAAAGAACGTCAAGCCCAGGACACTCAGTAAGAACTAAAGTATGAATTCTAATCTGAACAAGCTACTATGCTTTTATGAAAATGTCAGCTCATTGTTAGAGATTTAAAACAATATCCTTTAATTGGTCTTTCTCTACTTTATATTAGTCTAGCTTACTCTATTACTAATCTAGTCTGCCAAAACTTTTTAATACATCAAAAAACTTTGGGGACTAATTCTTTACTTTGATATTTTCCTTTATAACCAATTGGTGGGGCATAGGTAGGTTTAGGCTAATGGTTACAAGTTTACAGAAGAGTCGGATAAAGTATGGTACAATAAGGTAAAATAGCATAAGGCACGGTATGGTAAGGTAAGTTACAGTAGGTAGGTATGGTATGATGGTATGGTATGGTATGGTATGGTAGGGTAGGGTAGGGTAGGGTGGATAATGTAGAGTAAAGTACGGTAACGTAATGTAAATTAGGGTAGAATAAGTTACGATATAATTTTACTGTACCACCGTACATCTGACATAGAACAGAAAGGTATGTAAAGAATGTTATGAAAAATGTAAAAACGTGACAAACACTATAATAAAAACAAATTACATAGTTCTTTTTTTACTCTTAATTTTATGCCAAGTCTGAAATAATAAGCATTTATGAAAGTGAGGTTCCTTATTGATACTATGTGGTCATATGTGTTACTACCGGTAACAGTACATTATTTACTTCACAGTAAGAAAACACTAGTGATTATAAAGATGTCATTTACTCTATACTACTAAGTAGTTCAATTAATTACGTGCTCCATCTCAAAGCGAAAATTCGGGGTTAATGGGCACAGAATTATGTGAACAACCTGATATAACAGTAAAATTTCTGACTATTTTTAAAAAGATTTTACGTTTACAAACGTCATTGTGAAAAGCTTACACATTATTTTGGCACACAAACGTATGTGTTGGTATTTCTGCCGTATCATAATAAATCATAAGGTAAAGCTTAGCAAAAACAATTTATCAGAAATTCGAAGGAATAAAAAGAAAGCAAACAGTGAAGAATATTTAAAAACAAACATGCTCTAAACAGTTAAAACATGGTGATAATCAACGATATACATTGTAAAGAATATTAACATAGTAAATACAGTACTTTTACTATGTAAAACTATCCAAAAATTACCTAAAAATTCGAAAAAACCGGCTAGTAATTAGAATTCCGCTTAACTTTTGATTAAATTTAAACGACGCAAAAGGTTTCAAAGGTGTTTCACACACTTCCACCCCTTCCACAACACTCTCGACGCTCTCGACCCCCAGGCTCTCCCTTAATAAGTCATGTACGCACCAACGAAACAAATAAATAGTTTGTTTTCGAATGGAAAAATACTCAAAATTGTAAAAGTTTAATTATAATCCAGGGAATAGGAAGGGTTAGGGAAAGGAAGACGCTGTGAGGAATTATTATGCTAACCTATACTATAATATAACGTATTGAATTCGTTGTAGTTTAACCTTATTTTAGAAGGGTTAAGAGACTTGCATTTTAGAAAATAAAGTTTGTTTTAAATGTATATTAATACTTTGTAAAAACCACAAAATTTTTTTAAAGTGTTCATCATGACCGGCAGGGCAGGGTAAAAAATAACAGGAAATGCTAACGCCAGAGCTAAAGCTAAGGTATGATCTAAGATTAGGGTTAGCGTTAGGAGTAGAGTTAGGGCTAGTTCTTTCGGATAAGACCAACTCGAAGGGTAAGGCTAAGTCTAAAGTTAAGGTTAAGGCTTAGGCTAAAGTTAAAGCTAAAGTTAAAGTTAAGGCTAAAGCTCAGACTAATGCTAAGACTAATGCTAAGGCTAAAGCTAAGGCTAAAGCTAAAGCTAAGGTTAAAGCTTAGGCTTTGAGCTAGGGCTCTGGGCTAACAAGGAAAGTACCCGACCTGCCCCGCTCTGGTTGACTTCAAACTTTTTATATAGGAAGAACATGTAAATATAAGATCTTCAGCAAAGTACTAAATCGCGCTTTCCAGGAAATCTCGAGATAATCGAGATTAAAAAATGACATTTTGAATTTCCCGCCAACTTGGCATTGTGTTTCAAGCTTGTAACTTTGTCATTTTTTGACTTTTAATAATTTTTCTTTAATATACTAGTAGAAAACCTTTAAATGACCCTACATTTTTAAAGTTGTAAGCGTATCTTGTCTGGAAAGTCGAAAAAAGTACTTGAAACACAATGCCAAATTTGCCAAATTGGTGGGAAACCCAAATAATATAAAGTTAAAACTCAAAAGCCCGAGCTAAAATTTTTTATGGGTACTATTGGTGGTACAAAGAATTCATAGAAAAATTTTGAGCCGATTCTGAGCGGGGCAGGTAGGGTACTTACCTTGTAAGAGCAAAACGTACTGCTTTTAAAATTAAAAGCCCAGCCCAACTCTCAATATCACAAGACTACGTGACTTATAAAATTATTGTACCAACGAGAGAAGTCAATAAGCAGATTGCACTATCCGAAGCCATTGAAACAGTAAAATGTATCGAAAAACAGCAAACGTACTAATTGAAATGGTACGTTCTTGGAATTTGAAAAAACAAACGTAAATTTATGAAAAGTGAATCCGATTAAGGCAGAATTGGACGTTTTGACATATTATGTTGTGTTTGGTCGGAAAAGCGTATCTGCCGAGAGGAAGTAGAGACCAAAAAGCGGTCGAATGATAAGAAACTTTCTACGAATTGAGGAAATAAACTCGGAGTAAACACCGGTGAAGTGTTGTTGCAATTGTATTGTTATGAAAAGCGTGTTTTTTATTTGCCAGACAGTTCCAAGTGATCAAAATATAACCCTTGAATTATATACTTTTAATTTGTACCTTGGACGAAAACCTTAAATTCTTGTCCACGAAAAATCTCTCATAATTTTGTGCGTTCTCTAATTTTTCTCTAATGCCGACGGCAATCAGACAAAAAAAAGGAATCACATAAAACTATGAGAATTTTTTCGTGGACGAGAATTTAAGGTTTTCGTCCAAGGTACAAATTAAAAGTATATAATTCAAGGGTTATATGACAATTGCAATAAACACATTTACTAATTTAAGGCTTTAAATACACATTGAATTAATGTTAGAGTAAAACAGAATAGAGTAACGTAAAATAAGGTAAAATACAACAAAACTAAACTAAGGCTACGACAAGATTAGGGTAAAGCTAGGCCAAGAAGAGTAAGACAAATTGGTAAAGTGAGGTAAGGTAGGGAAAAGTAGAATAAGGTAAGGTAAGGTTAAGATAGGGTTAGACAGGGCAAGGTTGAGTAGGGTAGAGTAAGATGAGGTAGTGCAGGATACACTTGCTGTGTGCAGGTTGATAAAATGTCGCACGTGCCTCCAACCATGGTCAGAAGGAGATGTCTTATACTTTCAAGACAAAGCGCAACCCATTTGTAAAGAAGACCATAGCAGAGTTTAGTGAGTTGGGCTAGAATTCTTGGATCATCCTCTACATTTGCGAGACTAAGTTTCTTACATAATAGGTTGCTATTATTTAATTGTATAAAAATTATTGAGCTATTAAACTCCAAATCAGATTAACTTTTTTTTCCCAACAGCAACAACTAATACATTTCTAAACTTAAAAAAATTATTGCTTTTCAAATCGCCTAATAAAGTTCCAATTTCAAAATCAAAATTTATTATGCAAATTGATCATATTCAAAATGAGATTATCGTCCAATTCTCCATTTACAGGCGCCATAACAGCGTCCGAAATGGCCGATATCTCTTCCACCGCTTGTTTGTAAGTTATGATTAGGTTTTTGACAGAGTTTGAAAATGTTGTTAAGCAAAGGAAACGGTCGGCGGTACTGTAATTTATCTCGAAGTATCTCCAAAACTCCATTGACAAATTGTGAGCGAACATCGATGCGGATTCTGATGGTTCTACTGAAATTTTTGAATTTTAAAAATGATTTTTTGATAAACTTTTCGTTTTTTTAAGCAAAATGTCAAAAAAGTTACTAATTTTTCTTATTTGAAAAAGTCGATAACGAAATGTCAATAAATTATTGATTTTTAGCAATTTCAAAAAATCAATAACAAAATGTCAAAAATTTTATGAGCTGAAAATCTTTTGTACATTTTCAAATATTTAAAAAGTTTACAAAATGTCAAAAAAAATTATTGATTTTTCAGATTTCAAAAAAACGATGACGAAATGTCAAAAAACTTAAAAGTGTGAAAAGTAAGTTTGAGTAAAAGTACTAAAAACTTACAGTAACCGAAGATCGTTTGACCAAGAAGATACGATATCTCAACAGGGTGTAACTGCATTTTCCTGGCTTCATCTACCAAACAGTACAAGTTGTTGATGAACAAGTGTAACGTGTTACAAACGTGGTGGTAATATGGCTAAAAATATATACTTGAAATTTTGATAATATCATATGTTTTTTTTATTTATAAATTTATTTTTGAAAAGCAAAAAAAAATTTCTTTACTGCGTATATATTGAAATTTCTCTAACCTTAAAAACTACAGTAATCCAACCAAAAATTGTCAAAACCTACCGTGTCCACCACATCAACAAAGTAGTTCTCCAGATCAGTCAGATCACTATAATATCCACTAAATAATGACAGTTCACTTGACTTTACTGGATATTGTCGTATCGTCTGTATGATCTTGTGGTAAAATGACATTTCATACATTACTTCTTTCACAATTTGCACCGTCGTGTGTTGTGTCGTCGAAAATTGACTGAGAAACCCAGTTATTAAATTGGCCGATAATTTTAAAATCTTTGGTTCCAGCTCTTTGAATTGAACATGATCCATGTACATCAGGTCGGTTACTGTGTAATCAAAAATTTCTGATTTTTGCTGATAAGAAGAGATAAACTTCTGTTGGTCATCGAACTGGCGGAACAGGTTTGTCATTTTTCTAAAATAAATTTTTTTAAAAATATTTTTTTTAGTTTTACGACTTTTTTGACACTTCGTTATTAGTTTTTTTCAAAAATCAATAAAAAGTGTGACATTTTGTTAAAAAGTAAATTTACATAATAATTAACAAAAAAAAAACGAACTAGAAAATATTTTCTAAATTTGACATTTCGTTATTGCTTTTTTTCAAAATCGATAAAAATGTGACATTTCGTCAAAAAACCAAAATTTTAAAAATAATTTTAAAGCCAAAATAAGCTATACCCTAAAACACTATTTAAATCCAAACTCACTTCAAAGTAGGCAGTTCAACAGCTTTATAATTCAAAAACTGTAGGTATTCATCAACCACACTTGGTTCATCAAAAATCGACGACGATGCGCTACTGTACCCACTACTGCTACAACCAGAACTGCTAGAAGAAGCTGGTGAACAAATGAACTGTGTTTGTTCAACATTCACATCAAGTTCACTGTCTAATGGTACAACTTCAAGCTTCTCTTCTGGAATGTCATCAACTGGCATTCCATTGGCCTGGACTACCAGGTTCTTGCCCCACATTCGAAGACCTAGACTACGACAAGCACTTAGGCGACATCGTAAGCAGAATCGACGTGGACCTGACTTCAGGTTACAGCTTTCGTCTCGGAAACGACATTGAGCTCGAGGGTAGGAGCGGAAGTTTCTGGAAATATTTGGATATTATACTTGGTTTGGGCATTGGTTTGCAGATAATTTTTTAAGGTTCTAGTTAAGTTAGGCTTACAAATTAAAAAAACATTTGAGAAAATAAGTCTTGCCGGTCAGGTACATTTCTGACTGATAAGATGAGCCAAAATTAAGTTAAATGTGATTTACGACTGTCTAACCCGTCAACAACAAAAGTCTCAACTTTACACTAGTACACGAGCATTATTTGGCATGATTTATATACTATTGTAAAGTCCATAAAAAATTGTTTAAGAGACTTGCTTTACAGTTTTTGCTACTGCTTTAAATAGCCTGATATCAAACGTTTAACAACATTAATCATTAGTTTGTATAAAAAGTAATGAGCTAAACGTCTTATAGATATGGAGTTCGATAGCTCATTACTTTTTATACAAAGTAGTTTGGGATTGTATTAGCGACGAGCGTTATGGTGTAAAATTTAAAATATCGAAAATTTAAAAAATTTAAAAAAGTTTAAAATTTTTAAAAATTTCAAAAAATTTAAATTTAAAAACAATTACGACTAGTGGTAAAATTAAGAAACCATAAAATTTAATGTATATTACAAGCTACACTTCCTCCGCCAAGCGCTGAAAAGTAGCTCATTCTTTTTTATACAACTTATTATTCATGATAATTTTTACTTTTTTGGCACCCTTGACCACAAACTAAAAATGACTCATCTCACAACTCCAAACTACAAACAAAAATAAAGCGTAGTATAATCTCTAATCCAATTACCTTCTGTAGAACATGGTGCAGGCACAACACACGTAGAGCTTGTAGAAGTAGGCACGTGTTAGACGACCACAAACCGCGCAATCCGATTGTTCGTCGGAGCGAAATGAACGAGGCGAACGACGCTTCAGTTTGCCCATTTTTGATTAATTTTTCGAATTTCAAATCCAATTATATTAAGGTTTGAGTTTGTTGCAATCAGCTGCAAATTGTACTTTTAAATTTGGATTGAAAATTCAGAATAGTACATCGATTCACGTAATGTTACTTGCACTCTGAATACTGTTATGATTTTTTTATAAGAGACGTAGAAAGTTAAAAATTGGTACAAACTGGGACAATGACTGTACTTATGTTGGGTATAATATAATACTGAGCATGTCACAAAAATTTAAAAATTTTTATGATTAAAAAAACCCAAATAATGCAGAGCTTAACTTTTATGTTAAATTTTAAAATTTTATAACTTTTTTAAAACGGCAGGGCTTATCTAGGCCTATTTTTTTTTATCGAACTAGGCCGACCTGAGAAAAAGTAAAGACAAGTCTAGCTTAACCACCGAACCCCATGCCTAGACATAGAGAACGGGCCGGGCTTGAGTAAAATTCAGGGCGGGCAGGGTTTGAAAATCAAGGCCTGGCTTGAAAAACCCGGCCTGTTTGCAAGTAAAAGTTTTGGGTCGTGTTGGGCCGACTTTGAGAAAAACTTAAAAACATCGGGCCAAGCCTAACACCCAGGCCTGGCTCGTTCCCCATGTCTATCCGTGCCGGGCCGAGTTTCAGAAGTTGGTCCGGCCCGTTTGTCACTTCTACCCTAGCCTTTCTTTTCCTACCCCTACCCTATTCTAGAAAAACCTTTTGTCATAAGTTATTGTAATATTATTATTTTACTCTCTCCAACCCACGCAACAAACTTATTTTTTATTATTTAACATAACATTCTTTTAAAGTTGTCAAAAACCTTTAAAAATTTTAAACTATTCTTTACAAGTTTGTTATAGTAAAAAAGTCCATCTTCAATTTTTCCACAAAAGACCACCCGGCTTACCATTCATCTACGTACAATCCTCCCCAAAATACTCCACACAATTTCGATGAATCTATCATAAGTTGTAAATAAGACTACCTAATTCATTTCGGGTTGTAACATTCCCAACAACAGAAGTGCATTAACAAAACACTGTAACGGGCGAGAAGCGGCGGATCAGTCGATTGTTTTTTTACAACACTGTTACTGCGCACAGTAAAAAAGGTATGAACACGAGAGTAAAGTATGGTCCGAAATTGTAAATATGCTACTACGTGACAATCCATAAATCAAAGTTTTGAACTTTTTGGTAGCCAAAAAAATTGTTAATGGCTTTTAAAGTTACACTGGATGTTGCAGTCGGTTTAACAACCAGTTTTTACGTATATTAGGCTACATGTTTGCTAACGTTAAGACCAGAACTAAGACTAGCACGAACATTAAGATTAAGGATCACACTAGTACTAAATCAATGGCTAAGCCTAAGACAATGACAAGGACTAAGAACAAGGTTGAGTCTTTGAGTAGGGCTAAGTCTAGTAATAAGCCACAGTTTAGTCTAGTATTAAAGCTAAGGCCAAGGCTAAGGCTAAACCTAAGGTTAAGGACTTAAGGCCATGGCTAAACCTAAGGCTAAGGGCTTAAGGCTAAGGCTAAACCTAAGGCTAAGAACAAAGGCAAGGGCGATAGCTAGTGCTGTAGCTTCTTCCCACTCCCCTCCTTTTAACAATTTTCTAGCCAGCTAAAAATGCAATTATAAATAAACTTCTACTTGATCTTCCCTACAACACTGTCTTTCTCTTGAAAAAAACCCTTTAAAAACAACACAATACTAAAAAGTAACTCAGTATTTATACTGTTCCCAACTCAACCTTAAATCATCATCGAGATGTTTGAACCCACGCATACTAAACGGCTTAAGCCACTGAACCCAAAACGCGATTACTGTAGCATCCTTTAAACTCGAGGTTTCAAAAAGTTCAACTGCACCGTCATAACAGTTTTCGAACAAAGTAAAAAATTACAAAAATGCTAAGACTTTAGTGTAAAAGCAATGCTAAAACAATGTACTCCACCCTCTTTTTCGAGGGTCGTGAGGGGTCGTTTCCGGTGTTCTGATTCTATCGTCACAAAAAAGGTTGACGATCTTTTTTTTGCTTTGTGTCTGGCTACTGTTCTTTGACGTTTTCTATGTGATCTATGACATTATGGGTGAAAAACAAAGTGACAAGCTATGTTAAACATCAATTGGTTTGTACAAAGTACTACCTTGATAAAAAGATACTATTTATCACCAAAATTCAATTTTTCAGATTAAAAATGAAATTCTGTGAAATTTCAAACCCTAAAGCGCTAACTTTTTTAAAATTTAGAATTTGTTTTTTTTTTCATTTTTCCCTAGTTCTCTCCCTTTTTCTCTGCTGTCTCCCTTTCTCAACACTCTTTCCAACACATTTCTCGCCCTCAAGTCTGGACTGTCACGGGAATGACGCTTACTGTAACGATATAATCTTTGACAACAGACAAAGCGAGAGAATGTTTCATAAAATTTCAAGACGCGCGTCAACAATCCCAACAACATGATTCAAAGTGACAGGCTTAACAGCGAGAATCAACAATCGCTGAGATAGTAACATGAACTTGAGCTTCTGAAGAAGTTGTTATTACTAGGTTTGGTAAAAAATAATGCGCTAGGTCTAATAGAGGATTAAGAGTTCAGTAGCTCATTTATTTCTATACAAAACAGTTAAGAACAGTACTAAGAACGTGAGTTACTTTGAAAAACTTAAAATTTAAAAAAATTTCAAAAATTAGAAAAATTAAAAAATAATAAGCTGCTGTAAGTAAAGACCATGAAAATTGATGCTTATTACAAGTTACACCCTCTAGACCTAAGAAGAGGCCCACTCTGCTTAACCTTGGCCCGGTCTAATCAGCAGCAAAAGAGCCAGGCCCAAACCAAAGAGGCGGGCTGTTTAAGGCACGCAACATGGCCTAGGTTAGATCTCGCAACGAAATACTTGAATTTCCAAAAAAATTAGACTCTTCTCAAAAATCAACCCTACCCCCCCCCCCCCCCCCTCTTTGCCTGCCAACATTTCTGTCATTCTTATCAATAGACAATCTAAACACGCTGTAAAATACGAAAATGTAACATAACTCTCTCACGGTAAGCTGAACTAATACCTTCTTCAGACAAAAACCAAATTTACAGTGTAAAAAACTAAATTGTTTTCGAGCAGTAATTCCTTAAAACAACGTAAAATAAAATTGAATGTTTGAAAAAGGCGCAAGAAATTAGTTTACAAGCCTAAAAAATTAAAAAATTCGTTAAAATTAAAAATCGCAACGAATTAGTTTACAATCAGTTTTATGGTGCATTAGTAGTATTAGGTTGTTCAAATAATTTTAAGTCCTCTAACTTTTAAAATTTTGTTTGAGAGAAAGCGCAGAATTATTTGAACAACAAGATAATATGTTTACAATAAAATTTTTACCTTTAAAAATTAAAAATTAATCAAAATCAAAATTTTAACATTAATCAAAAAATTTTTTATAAAATTTAAAAAAAACTTCAAGTCAAAGATCGAAGAGTCAAAATAAATTGAAAAAGTCAAAATTGCACGAAATGTTTTGTCACTTTTCTTGTTTAGCTCTTCCGATTGTACGCCCAAATGTTACAACGGACTAAGCCCGCGGAAGCTAACAGGATTAGCGAACTGTTAAAGTTACAACCTTGTTTTCAAATTACTTCTTTGTTTCGAAAGTTGGGAAGTTTTGATAGGATGTTTGGAGAGTTCAAAAAGTTGCATTTGATAAGGAAGCAAAAAGGAAGCAGGTACTGTAGGCTTAAGCAGAGTAAGGAGGAAGGGCAAGCCTTAGGCATGAAAGAAGTATAGGGAAGAAATTAAGGCAACGCAGGACAAAGGCAGGACATAGGCAGGGCAAAAAGCAAGGAGCAAAAGCAGGACAAAGGCAAGGCAAAGGCAGGGCAAAGGCAGAGCAAAGTCAAGGCAAAGGCAGGGCAAAGGCAGGGCAATGACAGGGCAAAGGCAGGGCAAAGGCAGGGCAAAGGCAGGGCAAAGGCAGGGCAAAGGCAGGGCAAAGGCAGGGCAAAAGCAGGGCAAATGATCAAATTCGAATGTTGCATTCCGTCCGCGAAAAACAAAGTTTGTTTAACAGTCGCAAAAAACAGAGGAAAAGGAAGTTTTTACATTTTTTGATGACCACACAATATGATCTTTATCTTCCTTAACTGTTGAATAAAAGTAATCACTCATAAGTCGAACAACTGTAAACCTGGTAGAGTACAGTTTGCACAAGCTGAAAACCAGAATCTGTCATTTTACAACAGTAACGACGTATAAAGTTAAAGTACAATTCTTGAAACATACGATTCTTTGAATTTTTGGGTGATCAAAAAGTTCAAAACCAAAGTTTAATATATTCGGAAAATAATAGTTACTCATAGTGTAAGAATGCAGGATAAAGCAGGGCAGGACAGCGCAGGGCAGGGCAAAGGCAGGGCAAAGCAGAGTTTTTTCTGTTTCTTTACTCTCACGCCAAGGTATAATAAATTGCCTAGCAATGTTTATACACCACAAGTTGAAAATTTTTTAAAACTTATTATTAAAAATGAAATAAAAAACAACCCCAGTATTTACCATTCATTTCTGATCTCTAAATTTAAATCCGCCTTTAAATCAAAATAACAAACAAATTTTACAACAGATCTCTGAGCTGTCCACTAAATTTTCCCGTAACCAAAATTCAAAATTCAGATCTATTTCAAAGTACAGATCTTTAAAGATGAAAGCTTTTCAATCAACTGTTATTTCAAATGAAGTAAAAAATTGTACTTTTACAAAACGACCACCGGAGTCGATGGTTTTTGCCTACTCTTTAATTAGTCATACTGCAAAAATTACCGGTTTTATTACTGTAGTTCTAGACCAAAGAGAAAGAATGTCAAAAATGTTGGCAAAGGAACTTTCCGCGGTTTCTTGATGTTAATGAATTTTCTAGAATAGTGGTTACAAGCCTAAAATTAAATAATTGCACATGTTTTTATAGTAAAATAGTCTTACAAAATGCAAAATTTTATAAAATATAAAAAAGTGCAATTAGTGTAATATAATCTTAAATCTCAGAGTCTAAAGGCACTAAAATACTTTATGAACTAGACTTGTAAAAGGGCCGAGATGGGCACAAATTTTTAGACTGGCTCCTTTCAAATGTGGTTTGGTCTTTTTCTCGTGAGCACTTTTACCTACTCGCTGAAAATTTTTTGTTCGTTTAAGCTTTGAGTTTAATATTAAAGTAGACTAAACGTTTTTTTAGTTTTGCCAAAGAAAAATTTTTAAAAATTAGGCGTTTTTTTCCGAAAAATAATCAAAAAATTAAAAAATTAGTCTTTCAATCCCCAGCCAAGAAGCACGCGACCCAAATCACAGAATTTTCTCACAAAGACAAAATCCAAATCTTCTGGCCAAACCCAAAATTCAAAGAAAGACGGCCGCTGGCCATCGACTTCCCACCTCCCAACCCCCTTCGGCAATGTTGTTATTGCGAAAAGTAGGGTGGATAATACAGTAAATTGCAAAAGTCAGACTGATTTGTTGTTCGTAGTGGGCTGCAAGTATATAAAATGGCCTTAGGCTTTCGTTGTAACAATGCAAATTCATAAACAGACTTGTTATTGCAATTTGTTGTTGCATTCCGATTGAGTGGACAGAGATCAGTTTTTAAATTATAAAATGCTTTTTTTCACTTGAATTGTTTCAATTTTACGAAAATGGGTAGGGTAAGAAGAAGTGATTGGTTTAAGGTGAAGGACGTGATCTTTGAAATTTACAACTTTTTAAAAAAGTCTTAAATAAAGTTTTGACATTTATAAAAATTGCTTTTAGTATAAGAAATAGCAAAGCAAAAGGCAAAGGCAAGGCAAAGGCATGGCAAAGGCAGGGCAAAGGCAGGGCAAAGGCAGAGCAAAGGCAGGGCAAAGGCAGGGCAAAGGCAGGGCAAAGGCAGGGAAAAGGCAGGGCGAAGGCAGGGCAAAGGCAGGGCAAAGGCAGGGCAAAGGCAGGGCAAAGGCAGGGCAAAAGCAGGACAGCGCAGGCCGCATGAATTTAAATTTTTTTTTAAAATTTATTATTAAAAAATTTTTTGAAAAAGAATTGATAAGCCTTGCTGTTGAAACTTAGAAAAAAATTGTGCCTTGCCCGGTAGACATAATCATCAGTTAAAACAAGTTAGAGTAGAAGATGGCATTTCTTACTTAAATTTTTTTTCTTATTTGAAAAATTTCTTCAGACTTTTTCCTTCTTTAAAACTCCTAGAAATGCTACTGTAACTTGTACTTCGAACCTTAAAAATTTCAAATATTTTTTTTGTTTTCACGCTAATTTTCCCGAGTTTGTCGTTAATAAGTAACGACAAGACGATTGTCTCATTTCAAAGTTCTCGAATTTAAAAGTTGATCCGAACAGTCTGAGTTGTAACAAACTGAAAAAAGTAGTCGACCAATGCGTCGCAATTACAGTGAAAAAAGCGAAATTCGATGTGACAGCCATTATGGAATTTGTTTTTGAATTTGTTCAAATAATAAACTGATCGGCAACGTCATTTCCTTTGATCTGGGAGAAGATGGCTTTGTAGACAATGTTATCCATGAAAAGTGCTTATCTTTGATAAGAAAAAGAAAACATTGCCTTGCCTTGCCTTGCCTTGTTTTGCCTTGCCTTGCCTTTCCTTACATTACCTTTTCTTGTCTTGTCTAGCCTCACAGTGTCCTGCTGTGCATTGTCTTGTCTTGTCTTGTCCTATATTTGCCTGACCTTCTCATTTTCTGTGACTCTCTACCGTGTCTTGTCCAAAAAAGCTTTTAGTGATACAGTATAACTTTTTTTTCGAAATAATTTTTAATAAAAATCTTAAATTTTCTTAATTTCAAAAAACAAAATTTCATCATTAATCTCATAACTTTGTTCAATGATCATTTCAAAATATTCATCTTGTTTGTTACAATGAATGGATTTATTTAGATTTGAGTGGAAAGAAACGAGACACGTGTTCTCTTCGTGACACCAACAGAACACAATAGACAAAGTACAATATTAATTTTTATTTATTGCTTATTGAGAGGGTTTGTATATATAGAAAAGAAGGCAGAGTAATTCAAAATAGCAATATAACACCAAAATAAAAATCATTTTAAAAATTAAAATTTTTATATATAACCTTGAGGTGAAATTTAAAACTATTATTTAAAAAAAATATATTAAATTCCTTGTTTTGGCAACATAAGTAATAGTAGATTACTTTACAGTAAAAATTAGTTATTAATAGCAGAGTAATGTACAGTAAGAAATAGTTTACAAGGCAGACGTAGCATTAATAAACTTTGTCAGATCTTCTTTAGAAAGCCTCACAATCCGTCGTTCTTCAAGGTTTTTGGATTCGGATAGAAATAAGTCAATCATACCATGACAGTCAATGTACTTGGCTATAAAGCTCTGAAATTGTAAAATACGTATACAAAAAAATTTTGAGTTTTTAAAATTTTTAAAATTTTTGTTACCGTATATAAACTTTTTAATTTAAAAAACATTTAAGAAATTTTTTTTGTTTGTTGTTCACCCTTCCACTGGCTCAAAAAAATATCATGCTCGTAAAATTTTTTATGGGCTTTGTTGAACTTATTCCAACATTCACCTAAACCAAGTTTTTCCAAAAAATTACCTTGCCTCTACCTCCACAGCAATTTTTTATACAAGTAAAAAATCTCTCCTTTTTCTAAAACAACCCCTACGGCTCACTAAAGATTATAATGTACAGCAACTTACATGAAAATGCCCGCAAAAGATCATAAGCCTTTGAAAACGACAGTTGGCTGGCTCCAGGTACTCTCTTGTTTTCAAAAATACCATAACTTCTTGTTGTAAATCACAAGAAAATTGATTAAAATTCATTTTTGGGTACAAATCTGCAGCCAATTTTAACAATCCTTGTATTGCCAAAAAGCACATTCAACTGGATGTAGGTTTAGAAACTTGGCTTCTTCCAAACATGGTGTATATGAAGAATAGATGTCGGCGTGGAAGCGACGCATCACTATATCTACTTTCTGAAATTTTTAGTTTGTAAAGGGATAAAAAAAGTTTTAAAATTAATTTTTTTTTAAATTTAAAATTAAAAAAAAATATTCTAGCCAACCCACCTCATTCCAAACGTCAGCCAAGTAAGCGTCCAGATCGTTCAAATCACTATAATAGCCAGTAAACGGTGACGACAACGACTGACCCATCTCCGGAAACTGTCTCACAGTACACAAGACCTTGTGCATCAACGACAAATTGACAGACGCATTCTGTATAACATTAACTTTGTCATTGACATCCATGTTTGGCTGGATATTATCCATGAGATTATTGAGAACAGAGCAGGAGATTCGAATTACTTTGGATTCAAGCTTTTCATATTGAATTCTATCGCAGTAGATAAGGTCTTCAGCTGGACAAGTGTGATCGAAAAGTTCCGAGCCTCGTTGCATTGTCGAGAGGAACTTTTGTTGGTCGTCTAGTTGGCGGAAGGCTTGGGTTATCATTCTGAAATTTTAATTTTTAGCTTTTTTGAAATTTAAAATTTTTTTTTGTATTTTAAGTATTTTCAAGTTTCTTTAGGCTACTTTATGGCTATTCTACAATACAAAATCTTATGTTTTAATATTTAAATTTTAAAAAATAAGAAATTTTTTAAAATTTGAAAAATAACTAACCTTATCAATGGTAGGTCAATAACAGGCAGCTCCAAAAAATCCAAATCTCTATCAGATTCATCACTTCTAATCACCGTACTACCCAACAATTGCAAATTGGGTGCAGATTCAACATGACTTAAGCTACAACTCTCAGCTGTTTGACAACTGATCTTCCTTTCATTCAAGTGCAAGTTCTTTGCAAACTGAAGCTGCAGGTTTGAACTAGAACCACTGCTACTATATGTGCTACCATAACAAAGCCTGCTGTCTCGCACACTACCACAATACCCACTTGAGCTGTTATGATACCCACTGTCGTATCCACTGCTTGTTGAAGGTAATGACATGAGCTCAAGAGCTTCGTTTTGAGTTAGTTCTTGAGATTGTTTTGGGTTTTGATGGGTTTCTTGATGTTTTGTAAGGCTTTGATGCTCAGTAGTTTCGATACCAAATTGAAAAAGACCTTCTGAGCTTTGTTGGTCAGTTTGATCACTATATAGTTCAACATACTGGTTATTGCCAAGCTCAAAATAGACTGTTCCAGATGAGCTGACGTCAGATAAGGAAGCCAAGCTCAATTTAGCTCTACTTCTATAGGTATGGTAGTTTTCTAGTCCAAGTTTAGACATTTCTGAAGATTTTCGCCTTGGTGTGTCATGGTTAATATCTTCAGAATCTGTAGAAAGCCGCTTATGGCCTTTTGTTTTAAAATCATAAGATTTATTGGCTTCAAAGCTCCTTTTCCTGTTGTTTGATAATTCTGAAGTCATGCCACTGTTTTTTCGATGATTCGTACCTTCACTGTGACTAGCATAAGCTACAGAAGCAGTAGCATACACTCCACTTGTTTCATAACCTTCAGAATCCTCAAAACCTCCTCCATCACCCTCACAACCCCTCCTTCCCTCCATCTCCTCCAACTGTTCCTCAGCAATGTCATCAGCTGGCAAACCATTCGTCTGTACCACCAGATTCTTGCCCAACATTCTCAGCCCCAAAGCCCTGCAGGCATTTAGTCGGCAATACAAACAAAATCTTCGAGGCCCATTCGACAAATCACAGTTACTGCCTCCAGATCGACATTGAGATCGAGGAAAGGCTCGGAAGTTTCGTCGATAAAACATTGTACAAGCACAACATACGTAGAGTTTGTGGAAGTAGGCTCGAGTCGGTCGCCCACAGACTTGACAGTCACAGTGACTGGCCTTGCGTTCTGGTTTGGCTAACCGTTTTGGCATTTTTAGCTGAAAATATTGAGGTTGAAATCAAAAAGTTTAAAAATCATGAACAATATAGGTATAGTACAGATAAAAGTCAGCTTCGTTTTACACTTTTCGCAAATCCAATCTTTCGTTGCGGGACCTAAGCTAATTCCCTGTAGAATGGGCACTTTTAGGTCCTTTTCTAAATCAATTCCCCAACAAAACCTTATCAAAATCAGTCAAAAAAGTTGCAAAAAACTACTGTCCGCCAACATAGACAAATGGTTTTATAACTTTTTCATGCGCGTGAGTAGCATTAATCAAAATGTTTCGAATTGTTTCACAAAATTAGCACGACGAAAACCCCACGAACAGCCCGAAAATAACATTGGTTGATAAAAAAGAACGTTGAGAAAACAAATTGTAATTGAAACGTTAGTTTCACGTTGAGAAAAGTGATTGTTTCAGTCATAAATGGCTTGGATAAGTTGAAAAAGCTGAAGTTTCAAAGAAATTTTTTTGAAAATAGTGGTTGTAGGTAACAAATTTTTAAAAATTAGTTATTTTAGGTAACAAAATTTACAAAATTGGTCATTTTTAGGTAACAAAATTGAAAAAATGGTATTTTTTAAATAACGAAAATTTAAAATTAGTAATTTCAGGTAACAAAATGTAATTTTAGGTAACAAAATTACAGAAATTATTAATTTGAGTTATCATAATTTTGAAAACTTGTATTTTTAGGTAACAAACTCTCAAAAAATAGTAATTTTATGTGACAAAATCTCAAAAACATATAATTTTAGGTAATAAAATGTATTTGTCACAATTCAGCAATCATATCAGCCCATTTTACAATACATAGTAACTAAAAAATGTCATAAAACAACTCTTTGAACACTATAACCCTATACTAACCTCACCCTCCAGTCTTAAAACCAAAAATGAAGTCATTATCAATCGAACGTCTGTATAAATCGAAAAAAAAACTTTAAAAATGGCAATTAAACACTGTATCGTGTTATCAACAAGCGATTGTAAAAGCTACAGTGAAAAATACTGATAAGGAGTGCAAAAACAATACCATTAACACTGAAAGGGCAGGGAATAAAAGTACGACTTCAGATTGTTTGTTTTAATAAAAAGTTTCGATAAAAATGTTTTTTATAGGTTCGTAGATAATGATAAGTTGCTAAAAAGATAGGGGATGGTTTGGGTTTTAAAGGTTTGAAAAAACGTCTGACTTTATTAAAGTTACTGTAAGATTTTTTGGCTGGAATTAAATATTTTTTAAAAAAAATAGTATTCGACAAGAAAAGTACCCCATGTGCCGCACTTTAATCAGCTCAAAATTTTTATATGAATTCTTCGCACCACCAATAGTACCTACAAAAAATTTTAGCTCGCGCTTTTGTTTTAAAGTTTAAATATTTCAGTTTTCCGCCAATTTGACAACTTTGGCATTGTGTTTCAAGCGGTCTTTTGACCTTCCAGACTAGTTGCCCTTACAAATTTAAAAAGTATAGGTTCATTTATAAGTATTCTACTAGTATATCAAAGGAAAACAATTAAAAATCAAAAAATAGCAAGGTGTTAAGCTTGAAACACAATGCCAATTTGGCGGGGAATTACACATAGTAAAAGCAATTTTTTGATCGCGATGTTTCGTCGAAATTTACTGAAAAGCGCGACTTATTACCTTGTAAAATATCAAAATAAAAATAATTAGTAACGCTTTATTCAATTTGGTTGTTCAAATAATTCTGTGCTTCTTTTACATCAACTTTTCAGGAATAGGGAGCACAGAGTTATTTGAGCAATCTAGTAGTACATAACCGATAGCTTAGAGTTCCTTGAAAATTTAAAACCAAAAAGTTCAAAAAGATCTAGAAAAGCAGTATTCTTCTGACTACCGTAATATCAGGCTCTCCCTTGCATCACACTTATAAATGAAAACGAAATTACAATCAACAACTAATCCCTTAGCAATTACATTTAAAGTAGCAATCCGGCTGATATTCGCAACATTTCTGCTTATTAATCAAAACAAAAGTTATTTACTGGTGTTCTCCGTACTCTCACTTATACTTTGATCACTTACAGCTTCAGATGTGAAGGAAAACAATCTTTTCGAGCCTTTTTTTCGTCGGAACGCTTGTTAAGATAACGTTTAATTGGCAGTTGAATATCTTTCGATGTTCACAAGACCCTGAATTGTTGTTTTGCAAGTGGTTGTAAAGGAGTCGGTGTTGCAATTAATGCCAACTGAACATCACATGCAACATAATTAATATTTTCGTCGGCGGCTGACGAAAGTTTAACGACGGTTAATTGCTAGAAAAGCTACTGTGGTAGAAGAAAAGTTTAACAAATAGGAATAGTACCTAGGCTTTAGACCTATTCCTTGCTTTGTTGCCAACCTATACTTGGCAACAAAGCAAGGAATTTTATATTGTCATGCTTCATCTATGCCTTGCTGTGCTGCTTAATGAATTTGGTTTTGCGCTGCCTTTGCCTTGCCTTTTCCCTGCCTTTGTCCTGCTTTTTCCCTGCCTTTTTCCTGACTTTGCGCATATCAAAAGGTGTTGCGCTGTGCCTAAAGCTGCGTGTACAATCATCACAAAGCGTACATTGCGCCGTGCTCTGCTCAACACTAACCCCTTGGCTTCGCTTGACAGCACTAGCTTATAGCCCTTCAAAACGATTAAGAAATGATTAATAAAGTGATAAAGAAAACCGCAAAATCAAAATCAAGTTAACAAAAGTATCAAACAAGCCTGCTTTACAGTAGCAAGAAATAGCTAATTTATGAAGTGTCATATCTAAATTGTGAACAGATAAGAGGCGATAAAACATAGATCATAACAACTTGAAGTTGTTTCTTAAAAGTTCATAGTTTATACTTTTTTATTTGACATTTCATCTTTTTTTTCAATGTTAAATGTAAAGAAATAACAGTTTTAAAAAATTTACAGTTACAATATTTTAAATCAAAGTACAGTAAGACCAATTCATAGAAATAAATTTGTTTTTTTGTAAACACATTTATATTACTTTAAAAAACCATAAAATAAAAAAAATTGCAAAATTTTAAAAAGTATTTTCTATTGTATAACATGATCAGTGATATATACATTGGCTATAAAATAACAAGTAATACCGACGTTTTTCAAATTTTAAACTAACTTTTTATTACTTTATTGCTTGCAGACGCCCTTTTATGTCTAGTGTTACAATCGGAAAGGTAAACATATTAAAACAAATTACAAATTATCAGTAATTGTTTTTCTTCGTTTTAAATTTTAAAACTTATTGGTTATGTTTTGCAGTTTTAAAAGAAGTCTTTAGGTTTTTCAAAACTTTTAAAATAAGGTAACATCAGTGTGAAATTTGGATTTTAGGCTTACATGTGTTAGTTTGGCCTCTTTCAACTTTACTTTGGTTTACTCTGCCTCTTATATAAATTCATTAAAATGAAACTCAAAGCAGCTTGTATTGTATAAATTAGATGCCTGAAATCACCAACCAACATCTGCCCGCCCGGCCTTTTTTAAATTTGCTTTGTCTCCGTTTCATATCTAGTTTACAATACTTCAAATATATAAGAAAGCGCTTTGTTCATTATCTTATATCTATATTATCACAAATCGTAGACATGACAGTCTTAATTAATATAGTATTATAGCCTTAAAAAGACCATTTGCAACCACAAGGACTAACAACCTTAAGAAGACCATTTGCAACCATGAGGACCAAACAACATGACAGCTTCGTTGAAGTAAAAGTTGTGATCAAGAACAGAGATAGGTGACTTAACACTGTTGCTACACTTTGGATCTTCTTCGCCTTTACAAACAATAAACCTGTCACTTTTTCCCATATTATTTGGGTACCAAATTTCATTCAAATGATGTTTATATTGAGCAAAAAACACCGGCGGAACATGTGGTACTAAATCATGTTTGTGAGTGATTCTGAAAGTGGTTGGGATCTGAAATATGAAAAAAACATTAAGAATTTTTTTTGTATTTAGTAGTTCAAAGTTATCATTTTCATGTAGTACTATAATATATAGTTCTTAGTTGGATATAGTAAAATATATTATATTAATAGTAAGACTTAGTATTATAAAAAGTCTTACATATTTTGAATAAGACATAGCAAATTCAACGTCTCCAGTTCTTGGCTGACCAAAAGTGACAAGAATAACTTTAGAAAATGACAACTTATATTCAGCCATAATTTGAGTAGCTGCAATTGAAGCAATCGCTCCTCCAAAAGAATGGCCTGTTACCTAAAAATATATTTTTTTAATTTAAATTTTTTAAAAAAATTTTAAAAACTAATAAAAGTTTGTTTTAAAACTAATGCCAGCGAGGATATTTAAGTTTAGAAAAAAGGTGAGGATGAGAAATGAGCCGAGTAGGCCCAGCTATGTTTATGATCAAGCCGAATAAGCCTTGAGCTTAAGTTGAAACAAATCGGCGTAAAAATTGGGCTTGTTTCGAAGACTGGGTTTGAACAGTAAGCCCAAAAAATATTTTTTTAAATGTTTTGTAAAGGGGAGCTTTTTCAGCCATTTTTAACATTACCTACCCAAACACTATAATCAGGATACTCTTCCAATGCCTTCTTGAACAACTTGTTCAATCCATTCTCCCATAATTGGGCATGAACATCGTAGAAGTAGCCAGCTACACGACCTTCCAGTGGAGCTTTATGCTTATTAAGGAAGGCAATATTGCCAATTTGAGTGATCAATTGTATAAAGTTGTTTGTTCCACGAAAACTCAAAATAATAGCCTTATCAGCGGGAGAAACAGCTACATAGGCAGCACACATGGTTGTATTGAGTTGGTCTTGGCATTTTACGTGGATCATGCCTATCAGCTGAAGGGTGTGGGTTATGTATTAGTATAAATCAAACGTTATTAGTAGTTTTTGCACAGGTTTTTCTTTTTAGGGTGTTCAAATAATTTTGTGTTCTACCTCACTACAAACTTTTAAGGTCAGTGAGCACAGAATTACTTGAACAACCTATTAATAGTAAAGTCACGTAAAGCAACCTTTTGTTACATATATTATCTTACATGTAATGTCTTACCTTAGCGTCATCAAACCGATTATCCAAACAATCTTGTGGATTATCACTGTAGGCAGCAGAAGCCAACGGAAACATCTTGTTCCTGGCAAAGTCATCTGAATATTTTATCGCAGCTACATTTTCAGAACCTGAATGATCTTTTGTAGTGTTTACAGAGCTTGTAGGTATAGCTTTAGCTTTAAAATTTAAAGGGATGCTGTATGAAAAATTGGTAATTAGTAGTGCTGATAAGAATAAGCTGAGTAGTGAAGCTAAAGTCATATTGTATGAACTTCAATGTAAGTTTTAGAACAATAAAAGTAAGAAAAGATAAGATATTGCTTTTTTCTAAAAGGTTCGGTTTAGTATTAGAAGGCTAAAGCTAAGTGCTATAAAGCTACAAGTTAGTATAATACTATAACCCTACAGTTTAGTACTATAACTCTACGGTTTAGTACTATAAGATCACAGCTTAGTACTAAAGTAGTAACCAACTATATAGTAGAGCTTAGGTTACAGTACCTAGTTCTAAAGCTGGATGCCTTTGAACAACAAAAACTAGTAACTTCTAATAAGCAACAACTATTTAAATGCCTTTTTTCAACAATAACCAACTAAATACCTTCGGTCTTAATCCAGCATCAACAACCAAAACAACGATAAGCACAATACACCCACACGTTTTATCAATTTTCAGCTTGTAATTCACCTTTTGACGTCTAACTAGACAATGAAAGCTACAAAACTTAAAACTTTTCATGATAAAACAAATAAATTAACGTGAGATGTTAACAAAGAAAAGGTGAGGCTACAGATTAGCAGTATTATATGGTTATCAAAGGGTAAAGTATATTAAAAATTTTCAAAAACTATAGAGAGATACAAGTGTTCAAGATTGAAGCTACTTCCGCTGATAATTTTCTGGCATTAACAAAGATCACATCGCAAAAATAACAGTGAACTAGACCTAAAAAAACCACTAGACCTTGTCCAAAGCAAATTAGAAAAGAGCCAGCTCTTGTGGGCTCCAAAGCCACAGCCTAAACCAAGGTCCTAAGGGCCCAGCTTAAGCCCCGCTACAAAAGATTTGAATTGCAGAAGGTGTAAAATGAATTGGTCTACAGTACTCTTCAAGTTTTTCAAATGTACGAGCCTTCAACCAAAGTAAAGTTAGTTTATTCACAGATTGATCAAATTTACATTTTCATCTAGTACATATGTATATTTACTTTTTGACTTGGAAGTGTTTGTAGGGTTCGTACGAAGCTTCTTCGCCTGGCAAGAACACGTCTGGTCGGATTTTGGCTCCTGAAACAAAAAAAATTCTAATGTTAAATACCTAAACTTTACAAATATACCAAAAAACATAATCAACTTCCCAATCAAACCTTTAATTATATTATAAATGTACACCCAACAACCTTACCTTTAACACAAGCGTACTGTTCAAAGTCAGTAATGCCTTCTTCTCTCAGAATCTGCTCGTCGATCGCAAAGTTTCCCGTATATTCTCTCGAGTTCCTCTTCAACAACGCATACGCAGCGTCAGCCACAATCTCCGGAGTTCTGGAGCCACTCGAGTCGTTACCTCCACTCAACAAAGCGATCGCCGCTGTCCAGATTCCAGTTTGAGGCCAGAGAGCGTTGACCGCGATCCCATCTTCTCGGAACTCTTCGTGCATTCCCAGCACGCACAGGGACATTCCGTACTTGGCCATTGTGTAGGCTGAAACGGGCATTTTTATTGTGATTCAGAATCAAGGTGAAAAAATTTTTTCGTAACTTTATACCTAAAAATGTTAAAATATAAGATTGAAATTTAAACGATCAAAAAGTATACAAAATTTTTAAATTCTACAAAAGTTATGCTCCATATATTGTAACATACCAACATGAGGAGCAAACCAGTTCTTGTGCATGGCCAAAGGTGGACTCAGGTTCATGATATGTGGATTCTCAGCCCTTTTCAGATATGGAATACATGTTTTCGACCTAAAATGAGTCATCAGTTATAGAGTACGCCACAGTTGATAGTAATCATTATACAGTAATTTTTTTTATAGAGTACAATATAAAAACATAAAATCTGTCATAGTTTCCTTTCTCAAACCTAAATACTTATGTCAACCTACATACAATACCCTACCCTGCCCTATTCTACCCTCCCTTATTGTATCTTAGCCTGCCGTGCCCTATCTTACCCTACACTACACTGCCCTACCGTGCATTAATCTACCCTCTCCAGCCTTATCCAACTTCACAATCATACAGTAAAAGACCAAACCTACAATAAAAATGTCCCCCTAGTGTTGACACCATGCATCAGATCGTATCTCTTCATCTGGGTATCCACGGTCCTTGTGATTGAAATGGCACTAGCATTGTTTATACAGACATCGATACCTCCAAATTTGTCCACCGTATCCTGAATCGCCTTTTGTACACTTTCTTCTTCACGAATGTCACAATGACAAGCTAGACCTTTTCCTCCGGCCTGAAAATGTTATACAGATAAATGAGTTAGTGTAATGTTGATACTGTACGTTTTGCAAAATTATACTGGACATACTGTTTTAAGTTGAAAAAATAGTACTGTAAAAAAATATAAAAAGAAAAGTAGTTTTTAAAATAATTTTTAAATTAAAAAATTCATTTAGTTACCTTCTCAACATCTTCAGCAGCAGAATAAATAGTACCAGGCAGTTTAGGGTGAGGCTTGGTAGTCTTGGCCAGGATAGCAATGTTAGCTCCATCTTTTGCCAATTTCAATGCGATAGCCTTGCCAATTCCTCTCGTCGCTCCCGAAATTACCACTGTTTTACCGGCGAATGCTCTGAAAATACAGTACTTTTAGGTGAATTGATACTTGTTTTCTGTAACAAACTTTGAAGCATGCCAAGAGTACTGTAACACATGTTTTTAAGTTACAGTAGAACCTCAGCATAAAGCAATATAATATACATCAGGTTGTTCAAATAATTCTGAGCCCCGACATTGAAAATTTATTTTGAGAGAGGCACAAAATTATTTGAAAAACCTTATAATTATACAAAAAAGTTTAAACGTACTGTATTTTTTTACCATAAATTTTAAATTTTAAAAATTTTATGTAACAAAATACAATTTCGATATACTTTTAAAAATTAATGAGTTTTGTGTCATTTCGAACCAATGTGAGGCATAAACACTGTAAACTAACTTAACTTCAAAGTTCTTAATTCAAGAAACTACACCTAAAGCTTGAAGTTTCAAAAAACACTTCCTCAAATTTCCCCAAATTTAATACCTAAAACCAGTTACAAACCTATAAAAAAGGTAACTTACCCCGTGTTGATCATGTTGCGGAAATGAAACGCAAAAAAAGGTCAAATAAGTTATCTGTTCGACCAGATGAGACTGATTAGAGATGGCAAAAATAAGAACGAATTCGAGAGAAAAAGAGCGCTTTTTTTCAAAAAAAGCGAAACATTTGTATTTTGAACTTTTGCTGTTGGTAAACAAGAGAAAAGTGGACGGGAAAGAACGTTGATAACACTGGATTGTTGCTTTTCAATGTAAGTTTATAATTTTTACTTTTAGAAACTTTAAAGACAGATTTTTTGAATTGAATTTCAAGGTTATTATGGCCAAGAAGGCCGCTTTTTGAAGTTCTCGCCTAAACTCTGTCTAACAAGGAAAGCGTCAAAAGGTGTTCCTAACGCCCAGACATGTGATATAGCTCAAAAAAATTCTATGGTCGTCCTGATTAAGGATCCGTTTTCAAAAGTTGCTAAATTTTTGTTTCGACCGAGTTATGGTCGTTTAAAGTTTGCGCTGATTCCCTGTTAAATTCCCGAAAAGGCCATGAAGAGAAACGAAAAAGTGAGTGTAACCGAGTGGCCGTGGATAAAGCGTTATCCTTCGGAAATGCTGCCGCAGGTTCGAACCTGAGTGCGTGCAAACACTTTTGCAATTTTATTTTGCATTTGAAAACTGTACCAAGTGTACCATTAACAAAATAAAATTGTTGTTTTCTATCAAAAGTTGTATTTTATTGAATATTATGTTATAATATAGTTGATTAACTGTTTTTTAAAAAACTTAAACCCATTTACCACTTCAAGGAAAATTTGGCAACAAAAGGGGACATTAATACTATGAACTTAATATTAACGGCTTACTGTGGCAAAGTCCACACGTTGGGTCTACTACCTCTTGAAAAACATACCTTGTAAGGTATAATAAATCCAAATACGTCATATTGAATTTGTCTAAGCATTTTTATAGCGTTTTACCTAGGTTTTGTTATATTTCTTATTAGTTATTAAAAAAAATTCTTTAGTGTAGCTTCCTTGAAGTGGTAGATAGGCTCAAGTTTAAAAAAAACAGTTAATCAATTATATTATAACATAATATTCAATAAAATACAACTTTTGATAGAAAACAACAATTTTATTTTGTTAATGGTACACTTGGTACAGTTTTCAAATTTCATTTCATTTCATTTATTCCTCATTTCAAAGTTACAACTGGTGACAAAAGATAACAGTAATCAGGTAATATACAGGGTGTCCCAAGATTTTTGCGGAAAAGTAAAAGCTTGTTTCTCGAAAAGTACCAGTCCAAATTGGACGATTCTTTTTTTAGTACACTTGAAATTGCGGGCGGATTTGGTATTGGTACTTCGTTTTTTGATATTCGGCGGATGGTCGGCGGAGGCTACTTTTTTTGCTTTGACCAATCCAAAACCTTCATTTTTTGGTTCCTATGTCACTTGCTGATTCGTCAAAACGCTTTCCAATCAAAACATGTCTTTCCCTGCATCGGCGGACGACCGGCGGAGAAAAACGGCGAAGGCCATAACTCCGCTCAAACTCAATATTTTTTCACCGGACAAAAAATGGAAATGTTATTTTAAGCTTTTTAATACATTTAATCAAGTTTACAGTTCAAAAAATTTCATCGGCGGACGATCGGCGGAGAAAATCGGCGAAGGCCGTATCTTGGTCAATTTTTAATAGTTTTTCTTCGGGAAACAAGTAAAAATGTTCTTTTAAGCTTTTTAATCATTTCAATTACGTTTAAAACTCAAAAAATTTCACCGGCGGACGATCGGCGGAGAAAATCGGCAAAGGCCGTATCTTGGTCAATTTTTAATAGTTTTTCTTCGGAAAAAAGTTGCTGGTACCCTAAGGTCCTTCTCTACCTAACTGTTACGAATTCAGAAATTAGTGAATTTTTTAAAAAATAGTTAAGATTACTTTCCATCGACAGAGATCATATATTTTTCAAATAAAACCATAAAAACATAGTTGAAACTATTCTGACTTGGTATTATTTTTATTTTTTTAAAACTCTTTGATCAAGAAAAAATGGTTTGGGGTGCTGATGTTAAGAGTGAATGTGTTGAATGGTATTTTAAGTTAGGGGAAAGTCCTGAAAGCGTTCGTAGAAAGTACATGGCCGTGTATCACCCCCGTAGCCCTCGTACACCCTGTCCATCAGCAGATTCTATTAAACGCTGGGTTATCGAGTTTCGTAGTCGTCGCCACTGCCTCAGAAAAGAAAAAGTGAAAACAAAGTAAGCACAACTAACAAAATAACATTTCTTTAGCTTTGTTGCCACTCCTGAAGTTGTTGCTAGAATTGGGGATGCTATTGCCGACAATCCGCGAATATCTGTAAGAGAATTGAGCCGTTTTGAGGGTATACCTTCGAAGAGTACATGTAGTCGGAAATTGCGCGAAGATGGGTACCACCCATACAAACTTCAAAAAGTGCAAGAAATCTTGCCAAGGCACATAGTACAACGTTTATCGCATTCAAATGTTATGCTTGAGCAGCTGCAAAACAACGAGGCGTTTTTGGAAGAGCTAGTTTTTAGCGATGAATCCACGTTTCATATCCATGGCCGCTTAAATTGTCAAAATTCAAGGTGGTGGGCTAAAGAGAATCTTCACTGGTGTGTATCAGAGCCGCTGCATTCTCCCAAAACGAATGTGTGGGCAGCCATCGGGTGGAACGGGGTTGTGGGGCCTTTTTTCATTGATGAAAACATTAACGGGGCACGTTATTTGGAGCTGTTAGAGCAAGATGTGTTGCCACAGCTTCTACAGTGGCCAAATTCAGGTACGAAAAACAAGCAAAATACTAATTTATATCTTTTTAGCTACTTTGGTGTACATGCATGATGGGGCTCCGCCTCATCATAGCTTAGTTGTGCGCGAGTTTTTGAACACCCATCTGCCGGGTCGCTGGATGGGTCGGGATAGTCGCGGCGCTCCTCCTCCGTTCGTTTGGCCGGCAAACTCGCCCGATCTAACCCCAATGGATTTTTTCCCTTTGGGGTTACGTGAAGGCAAAAGTATACAGTGTTCAAGTCGCGTCGTTACGCGAACTAAAGCAAAAAGTTCGCGATGTGGTTGCGGAGATTTCAGTGGAAATGTGTCGCGCAGCTTTGCGCAACTATCCGAAGCGATTGCGACGGTGTCTTGATGTTGGTGGTCAAAGTGTGGAAAGGAGTTACCCAGCAACCAACGATGAACAATCTCATTAGTTAGCGTTGTTGTTATATAGGTTATTGTTAATAAACTTTTTATAAAAAATATCGGAATAGTTTTAAAAAGTTAAATAAAAAAATAAAAAAAATAATATTTTTAAAAAAAAGTTTTAAAAATTTAAAAATTTTTAAATTTGTTTGGTAGAGAAGGACCTTAGGGTACCAACAACTTTTTTCCGAAGAAAAACTATTAAAAATTGACCAAGATACGGCCTTCGCCGATTTTCTCCGCCGATCGTCCGCCGATGAAATTTTTTGAACTGTAAACTTGATTAAATGTATTAAAAAGCTTAAAATAACATTTCCATTCTTTGTCCGGTGAAAAAATATTGAGTTTGAGCGGAGTTATGGCCTTCGCCGTTTTTCTCCGCCGGTCGTCCGCCGATGCAGGGAAAGACATGTTTTGATTGGAAAGCGTTTTGACGAATCAGCAGGTGACATAGGAACCAAAAAATGAAGGTTTTGGACTGGTACTTTTCGAGAAACAAGCTTTTACTTTTCCGCAAAAATCTTGGGACACCCTGTACAATCAAATCATGTTTACATCCCTGTCTCCGAGGTATTGATCTCTCCAGTTGCCAATGGAGGTAACCAAGGCAGTGTTCCATTCACTTCCGTGTCCGCACCCATTCAGCCAGTCTTTTCCACACAACTCCACGAACTCGTCCTCCCATCTCATTCTAGGTCGTCCAACTCTTCTTCTTCCTTCAGGATTCCAGTTTAGCACATTCCAGTCCACCGTTCATTTCCTGCTCTTGCGATTTTCGCCGCCATCTTCCATTTTAGTGTGATTGCCGCTTCCACCACATCTTTCAGTTTAGTCCGAGCCCTGATTTGTCTGCTTCTCACTTCATCCCGTAGTGTCAGTCCCAACATCGCTCGCTCCATTCTTCTTTGACACCGTTCGAGTTTCCATTTGTCCGCCAGCCTCAGTGCCCAACTCTCAGCTCCATAAGTCATCGCCTAGTACACACATGTTGAAGTACTTTCTTTTGATCCATACCTCCGTCTTTCTACTGGTCAGGAGATCATATTCCGCCCTGAAAGCGGCCCAGGCTGCCTGAATTCGCTTCTGAACTTCAATGTCCGTTCTCCTCGGCATTTCGCAGTGTTGTCCAAGGTATTTGTACCAGCTTGTCTTCTGAATTGCTTCACCATTCACCTGCAGTGCACCATCCACCTCTCCCATCCACATTGTCTTCTGTTTGTTGATCACCAAACCGATCTTCGCACATTCTTCAGTCACTCCGTCCAACATACGTTGCATCTCCACCATATCTTTAGCCACTAGTACAATGTCATCCGCATAACATAACTTGCTTATCCAGGTATGGCCAATTCTCAGCCCATAACCGCTCCAATCCAACTTCTCCATAGCATATTGTACCGTTAGGACAAATAGCAATGGTGATAGTGTATCACCTTGCTTTATGCCCTTCCAGGTCTTGAAATGTCCTTCTGCTGAACCAATCCTGACCACCGTACTGCCAACTCCGTACATGCATTTGACCATCTCAATAGTGCTGCCATCCACTCCATAACTTTGCAGTGCCTCCCAGATCATAATTCTCTTCAGGGAGTCAAAAGCCTTCATAAAATTCACGAAAGTGACCACCAAATTCATCTTAAACTCATGCGTCTTTTGGTACAACAGATTCAGTGTCACCAAATGATTTGCTGCCGAGTACCCTCTTCTGAAAGCAGCTTGGTCGGGCTTCAGTTTCCCTTCTTTCTGGGTTTCCACTCTTCTCCGTGCAATTCTGGACAGAATTTTGTACATAGTAGTGGCCATGCTGATCGGCCGGTGGTTGTTAATGTCCATCACGTCTCCCTTGTTCAAAATCAATACCAGACTTGAAGTAGCCATCCTTTCGTCCAATAACTTGGCCACCAACATCCTGTTGAGTATCCTTGCAATCAGATCAGGACTCATTCTCGCTATTTCCTTGATCACCATAGCTCTGGTTCCATCTACTCCAACGTTCCAGCCTCCCTTGGGCTTCATAATCGTCTCCTTCACTTCCTCCACAGAGACCTGGTCAATCACAATGCTTGGATCTTCAGTGAGTATTGGGCCACAATACAAATCCTCGTATAGTCTTCTGAAGTGATCCACGATCGTCCCAACAGCTTCGGCCGATGTGCTTGTACTGCCTCCGCCTTCTTTGTGCAGCCGAATCCCAATGCTTTTGACCACCGACTTCTCACTCCTTCCTGCTCTTAATCTACCATTCCGGATCGCCCTGCCTATGACCTCCAATTTCCACCATCTCAAATCATTCTCAATCATCTTCCTTGTCGTCCTGTCAATGCTCTTCATTTCCTCTTCTCCGATTCCACCCTCATTGTAAAGGATCCTCTTTGCATAACTAATTCTCATCCATTCAATCGTTACTGGTCCAAATTTAGCTGAGACTTCCTTGGAGATAGCGCATTCGTTGTAGATTACTTTCTGCTCATCCACCAAGGCTTCAAAATCATCAATCCTGTACAGGTCTTGTCTCTTGTTCGCTAGCACCAGTCTGAGCTTCCTTCTGTCCCCGACCATAATATTATTCACCCTTCTGGTTCGTCTGACCTTTGCCATAATCTCCAGAATGGCCAATACCAACTTATGATCACTGAATCCCATCACCATAGCTCTCACATCCCTTATCCATCCACGATCTTCTGATAGAAACATGTCAATCATGACTTTGGTCGGGTTCCTCGCTCCAGCCAACTTCCATGTCCACCTTCTACCCATTCTCTTCTTGAAGCAGGTGTTCAAAACCCACAGGTTCTGTTCCACGGCAAAGTCCATGAGTAGTTGACCATTTCTATTCCTGGCACCATATCCATATTGCCCCAGCTTCTCCGCGTCATCCTGCTTTAATCCAAAATTTCCATTCCAGTCGCCCGCCAGTAGTATTTTCTTTGTTCTACCACCATCCATCTTCACCAACTGAATCAGATCCGTACCCTTGTCGATGAACTGGTTGTATTCTTCAACTGTTCTGCCAGAATGCGGGTCATAGGCTACTACCAAGCTAATTCTTCTTTGTCCAACTTCCAGCTCCATTTCCATGATTCTTTCATCGTAGAATCGTAGAATCGCGTGCCAATAATTTTTTGAAGTGGTAAATGGGTTTAAGTTTTTTAAAAAACAGTTAATCAACTATGTTATAACATAATATTCAATAAAATACAACTTTTGATAGAAAACAACAATTTTATTTTGTTAATGGTACACTTGGTACAGTTTTCAAATGCAAAATAAAATTGCAAAAGTGTTTGCACACACTCAGGTTCGAACCTGCGGCAGCATTTCCGAAGGATAACGCTTTATCCACGGCCACTCGGTTACACTCACTTTTTCGTTTCTCTTCATGGCCTTTTCGGGAATTTAACAGGGAATCAGCGCAAACTTTAAACGACCATAACTCGGTCGAAACAAAAATTTAGCAACTTTTGAAACAACTTTTATGTCATAGTAAACAATTTGATGTTGTTTTGAATAATAATTAGGGTCAAAAAGGCTTATTTGTTTAAGAATTACCTAAAATCCTTTCAAGAAGGTTGTTTTGTTTTTCAGTGTAACTTCCTTATAGAATTAGGTACGAACTTGAAACTTTGTGCGATTGTAGCTTATTTAGTTGGCTTTCTCACGTATCTGTACACTTTTGGAAATTTAAAAGTTTCGCAAAGTTACAGTAGTTACACCTTAAACAGTACCGGTGCTGCAGGACCCTTCAGTGTTCCAAATTTTTTCTGAACCCTTAAACTAAAAGTAAACTAAAAAATCTTTTATAGAGTAACAAGATATATATACTCTGTTAAATTCATATTGATATTACGTAGTTTTAAAAATGGCAAAGGTCCAAAAAGTTTGAAGTCGGCTGGAAGGTACACATTTTTTGTGTTTTGTAAATAACACGAAACAACAATTTTTGTAATTTGTCATTTTGTAGAGGTATGGAAGTAATGTAATCGCATAATTCATTTATTGGATCATTTATGTAAGCCACGCTATGGTACAAAATAATGCCTAGGAAAGCCTACGACATTAAGACCAACAGGAAGCGAATACGTTAACATATAGTATTAGGTTGTTAAAATAATTCTGTGCTTTGGAACCATGCAAATTTGCTTTCAAAGAGGGCGCAGGATTATTTGAAGAACCTAATATTATATGATATGTTAACATATTTGGCATCCTGTGAATGACAATATTCAATCATTACTATACTGATTAGAGATGGCCAAATAAGATACTTATGTTCTACGAAACAGTACTAGGAACATAAATAGTGATACTATTACTGTTTGATTGTGTCGGTTTAAGTCGATAGAGTATGTTTAGTATGAAGTAGCGGTATGGTCGTATTTGGTAGATTAGTACAGTATAATTACAAGCGGAATGTAGACATACGATAGTGCCTGGTAGCATAAGGTAGAACGTTGACATTTTTGGATGAAGTACTGTTGTCAGCTTACGATTACTAAAGCTGGGGTAAATAGGAAGAAGGCTACTAGTAATTGGGCTCTGATTGAGTTGAACAACATTAGCTAAAATACGATTATTTTAATTTTATCAGATTCGTTACCGTGTTTTACAAAACTCAAGCTATATAGTGAGCACTTTAGGTAGTGCATGTAATACTAGCTAGTACCCAACAAACTACTGTAGCTACTATGATGATATAATGATTACTCTAAATAGGGTTACAATTTACTATAAAAAGACGATACTGTAACCCATTACAGTATCCTCTTTTAATTATGACATAGTTTATAAAGAAACCTAACTTTACCTGCAAGTTATAGGTAGTTTTGCTGATAATATGTCCGGAATTCATAAAACGGTTCAAATTGAACAGCAATATTGATATTGTGATACCTAAAGTGAACGCAACAGCTGTTATTATAAAGTATACAGTAAACGACTTGTAGTTGCTGCTGAAACATAATAACGAAGATTCTTTGTTGTACCACTCTATTAAGTGTGGTTGGTGCATATGTTCTTCTCTCGTGGTCAAATTCGTTGTGAATATATAGTAAAGTGGGCCCTGAAAGATTACTGTAAGATGAAAGATCAAGACTGTCTTTTAAATGGTTTGAAAGTGTTCTGTGGCTAGGCTTGTCAACGGCCAGGCTCAATTTTTCAGCCCGGTCATATACCCTAGTTTCAAAAACTCTCGGGGCCTTCATTTAGGCTCGGCCTGGCTAAATATTATTTCTAGCGAATTGCAGTAGTGTTCAGCGTCAGCGTAGCTTAATGCTAGGTGTTGTGAAACTGTGACTAAAAAAATACTGATGAAGCTTGTGTTTAAACTTCATAATTTAAGCAGAAAGTTAAGCTTAAACATTAAAAAAGGATCTTTGTATTGACTATTTACACCTGTTAAATACAATTTCGATACAATAGTATAACAAAATGTAGTAAAATTTTAAACTTTTCTTTAATTAACTGTAAAATACCGTTTAAGGTTTAAAGTTGTACTTAGTTTGACGCAGTCTGTGTGCGAGATATAAAATCTTGTTTTTCTTAATTGTGAATACTTATGATGTCTCATATACTACTCTTATAAGGTAAAAAAACAAAAAGTAAACAACATACTAAGATGAAGGCCTGAACTACGAGGAACACTAGAACGTCAATAACATGTTTACGAGCTACAATGTGATATCTTCTGTATTCGTGCGGTAGAGCCTGAAAAGGTGGTAAATTTTAAAAATGAAAAAATATATCAAGGCGAAGGCTCTGTTCTGCCTTTGCCCTGCTTTTGCCCTACCCTGCCCTCTTCAAACATAGATTAACGTAGCCTACCTGAAAATACTGATAAGCAATTGCCTGATACAAAGCAAAAAGCTTGCCAACAGAAAGAAATACACTAGCAATTAAAGTCCAAAATTCGACGTTTTGACTGGTATGTCTGAAGATACCAGCGCTGTACGTACACCTTTCATCCAAAAGATTTATTGGAATCCACAGACATATGATAAGATCAGATAGGTAGTTCCAGAAGATTTCGTTTAGTAGGTAGTACTTGTAAGTCTCGATTCCTAAAAAATAGTTTCAATTTGAAGTTGTAATCAATTGTTATTATGATACGGGGAAGGGGAATCAATTTTTTTTTCTGTCTATGAAAGGCTAGTTGATTAAAATTAAAAAAAACCATATGAAGAGGTGATCAACTTAAATTTAAAAAGGTGATCAACTTAATTTTAAAAATTTTTTAAGATGTTTCAATTTAAAAAACTTACCTTTAGCTGAAGCCTTAAATATAGTAACCAACGTTACTACAGTAAAAGCGGTTGATATGGCTAGAACACCGTGTGACACATAACAGTGGTATTTTACCATCCTGTCCAAGTCCTCCATGACTTGAAACGGCTTAGCAGTATTACTATAGTAATATGATACAAAAAAGTATGACAAGTACGACCAAAGTAGTGTAACTTTATTAGAAATAAGAGCACGCGAAGGCGTAACGAATGTTGATACAATGGTAAAATTTGACAAAAATTTGTAGTACTTGACAAACGAAAATATGAGATGTTGTAGCTACTTTATTACAATCCTCTTTGTAATTAGTTTACGGGTTTTGAAATTAAAAAAAACTGTATCTGGTATTAGAAGTGTAGTTAGTACGAGTATGAAATATAGGGTTTGAGAGGAATTTGTAGAAGATGGGTATAAATTGTAGTACAATCTTATTTGTTATATATATAAGTACTGGTACTTACTTTTATTCTTAATACTATTGCTAATTAAGAATAGAAGTAAGTTGTTAAAGGGTTTAATTTTTTTTAATTTTGAAGTACACAAACCATTGAGAATATCTTAAAATTGGAAAAAGATATGTGGTTGAAGAACTTGTTATACATATTATCTGTGCTTTTGATAAATGTCGACAAATATCGATATCTAGGTATTGATCGGCTATCAAAAAAAATTTGAGTATCGAAAGCCCTGTTTATTTTTGTTTGACTTCTTAAACTTAACTAGCTATTATCACATGTATAGTTTTATAGTTGATGTTGCGATTGTATAAATCAGTGCAATTCAGAGAGTTGCCCTCTTCTTTTGTATCTTTTAAGCAAGTTATCATTTTGAATTAATGTCATTACTTCTATTATTTTAAAGTTTATTATTGTACAAGTTATTGAAGGATATGAAAAGATGTGCTTTTTAGTAAACGTCGTCTTCTAGGTAAAGATTTTTTACACTTCCTATATATTGTAGTATATTTTGTACAACTTTAAAGCCTTGTTTGAGGGTTCCTTATTGGTTTGTTGTTGTTTGATTCAGGGCGACATTAGTTAGAAAGTCAGAGAAAAGGTGTCGGCAAAGACATCGCTACTGATTTTTTTCTGGAAGGAGGGAGCAAAACCAATTTCTTTTAATTTAAAGGTTATTATATTTGTGGACAAATATATGTGTAGCTAAAATATGTTTGTCGTCAATTTTGAGATTGCTTTTTATAGCTATATAATAATTTACTATAACATCTGTTTTACCTAGTTGTATTTTATTATAATGTTATATTTCACAATAACATAATATCGCCTTGTCCACTTTGCGGTCTAGAAACAACTGTGAGGACAAGGAATGTTTGCTTGCACTCAAGAAGCGTGGGATCAATTTCCTACGACGTGGTGAACAACATACGGTGCGTAAACTATGTATATTCATAATAATGGTTCGAATACATCTTATAAAACTTGAAGATTCCAAGCCTTAGATGAACATATTAAAAGATATCTACTTTGACAACAAGTATATCGTCATTTATTGTACAGAAACTTGGCGTAATATTTACATAAAACTCGAAGAACCCGAAAACTCGCTGAACTGTGTTGACAATACAATATTACAATATTATCTTATATAATATGTATAAAGACATGTATTAAACCTTGAAAGACTACAACGACTAACTTAAAACATGTAAAAGACTATTAATTGTCTATGAAAATAAAAATTAAAAAAAGTAAAACACGAAAATTATATAAAATGCAACAGTTTAAACAATAATAATAACAAAACCTTAAAACGTACGTAGCTAAAATCTTAAAATAACATGTAATCAAAACAGTAAGCAAAGTTGAGCGAGAAGTAACAACAATAAGTTTAAATAAAGTAGTTAGGCCTATCGTCCAGCGTATGCGCCGCTGGCAAATCCAAGTCAACTCCGGCCGCGGACGGCGCGTAGGAACGGTACATTGATGTGTTGTATACTGTGGCTGAAAATTTATTGTTAAGTAGATATGAGGGCATACGTTTTGACATATTTCTTATCATCACTATAGAACTTTACTGATGGATTTCAAAGTGACATTATAAAGTACGGTAGAATAGGGTAAGGTAGGGTAGGGTAAGGTAGGGTAGGGTAGGGTAGGGTAGGGTAGGGTAGGTTAGGGTAGGGTAGGGTAGGGTAGGGTAGGGTAGGGTAGGGTAGGGTAGGGTAGGGTAGGGTAGGGTAGGGTAGGGTAGGGTAGGGTAGGGTAGGGTAGGGTAGGGTAGGGTAGGGTAGGGTAAGATGATGTTCCACACTTTCCCAACCTTTACCCATGTAATCAGATCCGAGCACAGTAAAATAACAGAACACTATCAACTTGATCTGATCGGATTAATTTTCGCACGCGTTTGTCATGAACAACATCAAAAGCACTTACATGACATGATACGCTGTTCATCCTCGATTTCGTGATCCTTTTGTTTCTTGTGGCGATGGCTCATACCGTAGCGGATCAAAGCCATTAAGCAAATACTAATCAACAGGATGGTCATGATAATAGCTGAAATTAATAAATTAAGGTTGTTTTTTGCATATGACATGTAGCTATATTATAATACAGTTTAGAAGTTGTTAGTTTCAACATTACAAGCTTAACTACCCCACCTACCCAAAATAATCCACCCGACCAGTGACAACGCGGTACCAGTCAAAGGTAGTGGATTATCGCTGATCGGACAAAAGTCAATAGCTCTGAGCGGTGTTCCTTCAGGTGGACAGTTGTTCACGGAGCTCATACAAGCTGCTACACAGCCCGGCTTGTCAATGTCAATATCCAAGTTGTCACGCAGTAGCTGGCGGAACCATTCCAGTCTAGAGTCACATAGCCAAGGATTGGCACAGGCATAGATGACCCGTCGATCATTGGGAACCGGTTGGAAAGAACCATCGAAGGTGTCCAATGGCATCGTTTGGAGCTGGTTGTAACTGAAATTTTGTTTTTTGTTATAAGAATCGGCTAAAATAAAAAATAAAAAAAATAAAAAATAATGATTTTCAAAAAAATTTTAAAAAATTGCTAACATGTTCAAATAAAAAAAATTGCAAAATTAAAAAAAGTTTAAAATTTAAGCAAATAAATACCAATAAATTTAAAGAAAAAACGTAATCAAGACCGTATTTTACCTTATATCCAAATGCCTCAAGCTTGGCAAGTTGGCGAATCCCATAGGCTCAACAGAGTCAATCCTGTTACCTTGTAGATCAATCGAATATAAGTCATTCAAGCCTTGGAACATGTCGGCTCGGATACTGAAACTATTTTTTTGATTCTATATTTTTTTAAATTTCAATTTAAATTTAATACTATTTTTCAAAAAATTAAAAAAATTACTTAAAATTTTAACTTTACTTATAAAAGTTTGTACAAATTAGCCTGAAGGCAACGACAAATAAAATTTTTGATGTCTACATAAAATATTAAAGCATAGTGAAACCTCTTTAATATGGCCCTCGATAGAATTACACTCCCTTTATAATAACAGTTTTTGCACGCCCTTTATAATAGAGCTTCTATCGTAAAATACCTGAGTAGTGTAATGTCCTGATTATAAGGACAGGTTTGGACAAGTCCGTTTAGTGTCGTACTTTTCACTGTAGTTTTAATGAACTTGAGAAAAAGTAGTAAAAACTTTAAAATCTTTAAAAGCCTTACGTGGTAAGCCTGTTTTTGTTCATAATGATAGCTTGGATGAGCGGTGTCCGTTGGAATGCACCTTGTTCTATCGTATCAACGGCTGCTTCACTCATTTCTAAGCGAATTAAATTTGGTGTGTGCTGAAATTTTAATTAAAAAGTTGTAAAATACGACCTCTTGCATTTCTATTATTTTACAAATTACATTATCTACACATAGCTTTATCTTGATTATTTTAAAAACTTTAAAAAATGAAAACTTAAAATAAGGTGAAAGTCTACTTCAAGAACTTTTTCAAAGCTTTAAAAAATTTGAATAATTGAACTATAGACAAAAAAATTGAGGTCTTCAGAAGAAAATTTTAAAACTTCGAAACCCATTTAAAAACTCACAATAAAAGCATTGGCAGGAATGACAGAGATCGGTGTTTCGCCAATGCCAAGTGTTCTTAATTGGTTGATATACCTGAACATCTCCGGCTGCCAAGCAGGAAATTTGTTTCCGGTCAGATATAGGTATTGAAGACTTGGAACACCTTGAAAAGCTTGAGGAATTATCACGGTAATGCCGTTGAACTCCAGAGAAAGCGATGTTAACATCGGGAAATCTAGGGCTCCGACTGGGACTTCATTGATCTGGAAATTGAAGATTTTTTTTTAAATTTAAAATTTGAAGGTAATGGTTTTAAGTTATTATGATTTAAAATATTAAACTTTTTTTTTAATTTAGGCAGTTTTTACCTTTACTAGCTTTAATTCCTTATTTTATAATAGATAACTTACTTGATTCAAACCCAAGTTCAAGTTGGTCAACGAGTTCTTCTGATTCACCAAAGCAGCACTAGGTATCTGTGTCAAAGCATTTGTTTCAAAACTCAATTCTTGCAGACTCTTCAACGGCCTCAGCACAGTACCATCCCCAAGAGCGCTGTCAGTCAATCTATTGCCAGCCAATTCCAGCTTCAATAAAATGTCTTTGCTGTCGAAATTCGTAAAGCTATTGGCATTTAAACCTGTGATTCGATTTCGATTCAGATACAATTTTCTCAAATTTCTCAAATGTCTAATGCCAGTTTCTGGTACACCTCCCAAGTGGTTGTCTGTTAGATCCAGCTCCACCAAGGAGTCTAAGAGGGCACCATTGAAGGCTTCATCGTGGATTGAGTTCAAGGTGTTTCGATTCAAAACGAGGCGTAAAATCAAAAACCCATCGAAAGCGTTTGCCGGTAGCGAAGAGATGGCTGTGTCAACAATGGTAAGTGAGTCAATCTGCAAAGTTCATAAAAGGGTAGGTATAACATAGTAATAATCGAAAAAAAGCCTTGTAGGCTGTTTAAAATGATTTTTTAAATCTACAGGTCATTTTAACTAAATTGTTTAAAAAATTTTTAATATGGTGACATAAAAGGCCTTATATTATGATTTTTAAATTAAATTTTAAAAATGAATGAAAATCAAAAAATTTGAATAAATAGCAAAAAAAGTTTATTTTAATATTAAAAAAATTAAAATATCTTACCGGAGTTCCTTTAGCAGCTTGAATAGCGGCCAATGCATTACCCAAACTACCAGCATTTTCACAAATTATAGCCACTGGCTCATAAATTGATGGCGCACAATGACATGGTGCTTGAACTGGCGGACAATCAGCTTTGATTTTAGATATGAATATTAAAAGTATTAATAATGTCGACCAGTCTTTGAGGATTGGCATAGCTTAAAAAGTTGAGAGTTTTAAAACTTTTGAAATCAAAAAAAAATTAATTTTGAAATGCAATATTTAATATGCTTAAGCTTAAAGTAAAATAATTTTAAAGTAAGCAAAGCTGCTTTTAGGAGGCAAAGTTAAGACGAAGGCAGGGCAAAGGCAGGGCAAAGGCAGGGCAAAGGCAGGGCAAAGGCAGGGCAAAGGCAGGGCAAAGGCAGGGCAAAGGCAGGACAAAGGCAGGGCAAAGGCAGGGCAAAGGCAGGGCAGAGGCAGGGCAAAGACAGAGCAAAAGGGCAATGAAAAAAAAGAAAAAAATTTAAAATAATTAAAAATGAAACGTTTAGACGCCTTTAATCAAAACTTGTTTAAATAAAACATATATTAACAAATAATGATAACATGCACCGCATTTTTAGTAGTACTGAAAATTTCACAACTACTTGATGTTAAATGGTCTACTTTTTCAATAAACTTGAAAAGTTTAAAAACATAATAATTAGTACGACGACTACATTACAAAAACCATTACAAAACCTCCCGCCGCAACTCCTGTCCTTATCCCAAACCTTGTCCCTTCCCTCAATTCTATACAACCCACACACAAACAAAAATAGCCGCGGATCCACGCGTCTGAACCCTGCAGAACAGTATCAATCCCCGCTTGTAATACAATCAATTGATTGTATTCGAGTAATATTTTCGGAAAGAGGAAAAAACCCCCTTCCCCGACTGTATGTTGTTTGTCAGGTCGAGGCGTGGTCGCGCATCGCGCAAAATCGTTTTTTTTTTTCGTCCGCCTCGAGGCCAATTCGTAAGATTTTCTGACCGAGGACTCTCGAGAACAAAAAACTGGACAACGGATATACGACAATACAAAAACTAAATATTGAGAAGGGACAGGAGAGGTTGGAGAGTGGGAGGGGGGAGAAAGGGAATGTTTGCTTTGGTAATCGCATAATCATAATTTTCGTAATCTCCAATTAAAAAAGAGGTTAACTGTGAAAGGCTAGTGACCAAGAGGAAAGGTTAGTAAAAAAAGGTAGTTTAAAATAATAACTTTATAAAGAATGCCTATTCAAAAAAATGTTGATGAATTTAAAACTTTTATCTGGTATAATTAATTTTTAAAAAATTTTACAAGATATTAGCTGTAACAAACGAAAAAAATTCTTCTGTTTTAACCTTTTCTGCTTTAGTTTTTCTTGCCTTGCCTTGCTTTGCTTTGCCCTGACTTGCCTTTGTCTTCCATTTACTTTGCCTTTGCCTTGCCAGCAAAATTTCGATCGGGCCGGGCCTGAAAATTGGGCCCAGCCTGTTTCTCATGTCTAGTTGCCTTGCCTTTTCCCTGCTTTTGCGCACCCTTTGCCCAGCCTTTGCCTTTTCTTTGATCTTGCTTTTATGGCTAGCGTGTTTTTGACGATATATTTTAGTTTGGTTTATTTATCGTATTTTGCATGTGGAAAAACGTAATTCTCAAAGTGCAATTTAATTTTGAAATATAATGATACATGACATTTCATCTTTTCCATTCATTATTAAAACAGTTTTACTGTATAACACCTTATATAGTGTAATATCAAACATTTGTGCAAGTAATTTGTACCAACTAGTAATTGATGACATAGTAAAAAACCATGGTAATTGATGACTTATTTCTTGACTTCCCTTCTTCAATTGAAACTCCGGATGCTCTTCCTGAAAGCGCCATCCATCTTGAAACAAACTTATCATTAAATTTACTCTTTAACAAATTTTGCTACCATGTTGCAGTTAACTTATTTGTTGTTGTTATTTACTACGGTTAGAGCTGTACGGTCGTCACATAATCGTAGGGTTTCAAATTTTAAAGTTGTTTTAATTTTTTGTTATTTAAATATTATAGTATGCACAGAAGGTTACTTTATGGTATTTTTGTCGAATTTTTTAAATCTTAAACTTTTTTTTGCAAATTTAACAAGTATAGATTTAAATAAAATAAGAATTTCAGAAATCAGACGTTTTATATGTGAATTCCCATCGGAAAATGGTCAAAGACAATGTTCAGTCGATTTGGAAAAGATTGGCATTGAGTTAAGCGATGAGAAAGCTGCTGTACCACCAGGCTTTGGATGCTTTGAGGTATGATTTTACAAATTACAATTTAAAGTTTTCTTTTATAACGTTTTATTTTGATACCAAATTTAAACGTTTTTTTGTTTACAAAAATGATTATTTTACTTTTTAGAGGTTAGTGAATGGTCAGAACCGAGTGTATTGTCCATTATTCTGTGAGTCAGCATCTTCCGCTTATGTCATCGCGAAACGACCGAGCAACAATAACAAATGCTTGAAGTTCTTCAATTACAATGTAAGTTTTGACAAGTATTGCATGTTTAAACATCTGAAACTTAAAATTTATTTTTAAAGTTGTTTTATATGCATCACACTTCTTAGTATTATATATTGCCCCAAGCAAATAAAACAAAATTCTAGGTAGAACGCCAAGAATCGAACGGTGAATATTTCCTGTGGCGAGCTGCGCCTTGCCTAAGTCAGGACATTGTTTTTGAAACCGGCTGCCAATTCGACGTGTTCGAAGGAGCTCTCAAAGTTGAAGATTTTGTGCGAAAAGCAATCGCTCGTGTCAGCAGACATTAATTCTGATGAGAAACGTGTGCAACATTATCATAAATAATATTTTATTACCAATGTTCTGGTATAATTTTACGCCCTAGCAGTATGACTTTGTTTTTAAGTTGTTTTATATACTTTCCTGCAGTTTTTTAAAGCAAAACGGTAAAAAATTTGCAAAGGCAGGGCAAAGGCAGCAAAAAGGGAGGGCCAAGGCAGGGCAAAGATAAGGCAAACCCGGGCGAAAGCATGCAAAGACAAGGCAATAGCAGAGCAAAGGCAGGGCAAAGACAGGGCAAAGGCAGGGCAAAGGCAGGGCAAAGGCAGAGCAAAGGCATGACAAAACTAGAGCAGGGCAGAGCAAGGAAACAAAAATCTTTAAAAACTATTAGCAGGACCATATTTAATATTTCGAAAAAAAAGTGGTTTTTGCGAGGTGGGTGGGGGAAAATTTTTCTTTTGCTCGGCCATGATTTTTCACATAACAGATAAAATATATATTCTACCCAATTTGTATAACTAAAATACGGAAGTGACATGATTAAACGCATTTCAATGCTCCCAACATAAAAATCGGACGTGTTACCAGCGTTCCGAATCAATACCTCCAATTTCGATTTTGAAAACGACAAAAAAAGCAAATTAAATATTCAAGAAACGCACTCTCATTCAGTCGCCCGAGGCAATCAATGCTCCGGAAACCTCTTTCAAATGAAACCGCCGCGTATCGCGTCGGTTTTCTCTACCGTGCTGCTCTGTGTAGCGGCCGTTCAGATCGATGTAACACACGATCATCGTCAACCGACCACGTTTCAGTTAGAGAAGACAACATGGCTCGATTTGAAGCTGCCATCGATGGAAAATGAAGTGTTCTTAATGTTCAACTCAAGTATTGAAGAGCCGATGCCAGTCTTCGATGTCTTTGGTACTGTTTGTAAAGAGGCGAAGGCTGTGCCTTTGTTTCAGAAGGTTAAAGGTAAGGATATTGTATGTTAAACACTTTAAAACTTCTTAAATTTTATTTTGTTACGTAAAAAATTTTAAGATTTAAAAATTGTTTTTGTTAACAAAATATTTCATCAAATATTAAACTATGTAATCACTTTATAATCAAAATTTTGTAAACCTTATTATTGTATTGCGTTCTTTAGTCACTGCAGTATGTTTTGAATAAATTATACTTTTCTATGATATCATTGACACTAAAGACATATAACTAACATTGATTTTTTGAAACAAATTAGTTCAACCTATAGCACGAGCGCGTCCAAATAATTGTTACGTCAAAAAAATTTTTTTATCAAACTTGATTATTTTTTTAAATTTTATCTTTGGCTCGGACTCAGCTCCGGTGTCAGAACCGCTCCGAAATCTTTAGTACTGAAATTTGGCTTTTTCCTGGCTCGGCTTCAACTCTAAGATCTGGAGCCCAAAGTCAGCTTCATAGCTCTTGAGAACTCGGCTTCTATTAGGTTACTCAAATAATTCTGCGCCTTCGTTCAAAAAAAATTACGAAATTAGGGAGCGCAGAATTATTTGAACAACCTAATATAATAACCAATGAGTCTTGACGCCATCTACAACTACTTTTTAAATTTTATTTTATTTCAGGTCCAATAAGCAAAATGATATCAAGAACAGACTTCCATAGCTTGAAATCACAGACAAAATGCAACAATACACAAGCTACGAATAAGACTTTGTAAGATTTTTTTATTTTTCTTATTACCTGACTAACGAACTTTTTCAAAAAACTCAACATTAACTTTGATTCATTTTCTTATAAAAAAACTATTTTAAAGCTAAATTTTTAATTAAAATAACAAGAATTTCCAAAAAGAATATTGTAATTATGTCTGACCTTTAAAACAATTAAAATGTAAATTTGTTTTACATTTTTTAATTGATGGTTTTTTAGAGTATATTTGATGATTCAACCCGCACATGTTTCAAACTTGTCAGCTACAGTAAATGTTTTACTTCTCAAGAATGAAACAGCTACAACAATGTTACGTAAGGCTAAAATATTACATTCTATATCCTTATGTTTAAGTAATCACATGTTTATGACCAAGTATTTTAGCAATTACTCAACTAATCAGTTTATACTTTCAGCATTCAATGCAACTTATCTACCCTCCAGCGCAACTACTATAGCTTCGCTTACTGGCCAACAAGTAGTCACTGTAACTAAATCTGGTCTGACAGAGGCACCAAAAGCTGTAGAAGTGAATGATGTAAGTAAAACGCCGATTACAGAAGCTGTATATAGTGTGACAACAAAAGTAGAGCAAGATAAAACGGCAGATGTGGTAAAAGCTAGGAGGAAACGTCAAGGTAAGTGGATAGCAATCTGGTTTGAATTAGTTAAGGAGGGCGGGTATTTAAGTTTAAAATGGAAAATTTTTTTTTCAAAAATGTAACACATAAGGAACATTATACACTTTTTCTTGTTTGACCGCCCGGCATTGTATGCTAGTATATATGTTAGACAATAATCTTTCTAACTGCTATCTTATTATATTATTGATATATTTTTTAGCACTGGAAGCATTAACACCACCTCCACATGTCATATTAGAATCTGATGTTGGCTTGCCGATGGATGATAATTACTTGAACATAAAGATATTTCAAGAAACGGAGTTAGGGTATGGCTCATGTTTTTATTTTAAAAACGTAAATTCTTTTACATTTTTTTCTATGATAAGATGTGTCTTAAAAAATTTGAATCAGTGATTAAAAAGGTTTAAAATCTAAATTTCAGTTCAAAATGCCACGGGATTCTAAACATAATTGGCAAAGGTTGTACCTCTATATCAAAGAAGCTAGATTCTTCTAATATTATTGCCAAAATTGGTGACGTGGCACAGGTAATTGCTGTTTTTTGTGAAATTTCAAAGTTGTAAAACGTTCAAAATTTACTTTATTTAATATTTATTTTTACGTTTATGGTTCAGTGTAGTGAAAGGCCTCAAACATTACATGTAAAAGTTGAAGACTTGGACTGTGATGGGGAAAACAAGAATCTTAGACTAGATATTACACCTGGAAACGTGAGTTTATATCTAAATTTATATTTTCAAATATTAGACTGTTTAAATCATTGAATAATTATGTGCTCCTTAACTTCAGAAGTTTGTTTTGTGAAGAGGCAAAGAATTATTTGAACAACCTCGTATATAAATTCCAATTAATTTTAAAAATTTTATTTTAAGAGTACAACCGGTAACTTGTTGTACTTGTGGATACCTTTGGCCATTCTGCTGAGTAGTGTTTTTGTTCTGATAACATTATTTGTACTGTATCAACGAATGAGAGCACGAGAACGACACAATTTTCAACGACAGACCGCGTTGAGCCGAACTCTTTCTGATCCCAAACCAAGCAGAATTGCAGCACAGGCATGGCAACCGTAATCACGATGTTACTGTAGCATACGATTGGGTTACATAAATATAACAACTTGGTTTTAAAAAGTGTTTTGTTTATATGTTATACTGTAGGTATTACAGTAGTGCTCTATTTGCTAGGGCAGACAGGTAAGGCAAATTGGCGTAGGGTTGGTAAGGTAGGATAAGGTAAATAAAACTTTAAAATCCGATAACGTTTGAGTAAAAATCTTTATTATGTTAAGTAGAACATATATTACATATAGAGCTGGCTAAGACGTCATGTATACGTTAATGTTTGTGATAATGCTGTTTGTAGACTAAACACATGTATGAAGGCACTTATAGTTGAATAGAGAACACCCGATAGTACGTGTAGAATAGAAATTTAAGTACAACGTATGTGAGATACAGTAATATTATAAATTGTGGTATTAAGGATACGGTAACTTGTTTTTAATACTGTATACAATAAAAGTCTATAACAAACATTTTGCAATGAGTTGATAGTACTGTAGAAATCTAAGTAGTACTGTGAAATTATAAAATGTACTGTAGAAATTTAGGTAGTACTATAATTTTGTATTATGATTAAAAAATAAAAAAAAGGTATGGATAATATATGTAAGGTAATATAAAAAGGTATATTAAGAAATTAGAAGTCAAGGTTGTCAAAATACAAAAAGATAATGTTGTACTAAATACTAGAGAACCCGATACTTGTTGTAGAATAGTATTTACATGTCACCATTTCGTTCAAGAACATTACTGTAGAACTTGCACAGTGGATACTGTAGTTTTAAGACTTTGTGTCATGGTTTTTAGTTGTAAATTAAAGTGCGGCTTAAAAGCTACTGAAGTCTACCAAGTATATACTACAGTAATCTTCAACTCCTGACTACTGTAAGGCAGAGTAGAAAAAAGGAAAAAAAATTAGCCCTCCTAAGCCGATGAACAAGTAGAAGAAGCGGTAGAAGAGTTAGTCGATGGTAAAGCCGAGTTTTCATCGACGAACTCATGAATTTCTTTGCGAATCTCCCTTTCCCAGCACAGTAATGACTCCATGAAGTGGAAGTTAGGTTGAATCGAAGCATTTTGATGCAGAAGACGGTCGAAAGCATCGTCTAATGAACATTGCATCACGTACATAAGGTAGGCCAGACATACTGTAACTGAACGGCTAATTCCGGCCATACAATGCACCAATACTGACTTGTTTTCGGAGCGGGCTTTCTCGATGAAGGCAATGGCGTCTGAAAATAAGTAAACCCTAAGATATGATAAAGGAAAGTAACTTATAGTGCTATTTTTTTTATCAAAATTAAACTTGTCATTTATTTGCCAAACTTATTTGTCTCTAAATTTTAATTTTTACTCACATCCGGTTCCAAATCCAGACATCCCGACCTATTAGGTGATTGCGAAATTATCCCGCCAATTTTTGTTTTTACCAAAATTTAATATTTAAAAAAAACAACAACAACTAATTAACAAATATATGTAACATTATTATCAACGACCTGTTGCCATCCCTTTGGCAGCATTTGAATTCAACTTCTGTAGAAACCTGGAGTTTGAGAATTGAAAAAGTTAGCCCACCATCGCTTGAGGTCGTCTCGGTTGTCAAAGCGTGTTGCATTCAGATGGTTTTGAAGAGAGTAGAACATATTATAATCTGTAGGCGTAACATCAGTTGAGTATAGTGAATGTAGCATCACAGCCCAGCCGAGCCTTTTCAGCTTGTGCTGGGTCAACTTTGTCACATAGGCACGAGCAGTATCATGAATGAAGAAGACGCGGTCTTTTTTACCATGCAATGCAACGGCAACAGATTTAATTTGTCTACAGTACACATCCACAGGGATCGTAGTTCCATGTGGTACCATTTCCCAGTACACAATACATGTTGAGTTCCAGCTAACGCTGTTCACCTCCTCCAGTTGGTGAAGACCAGGTTTGGGAGTTGATCCACCCTGTTCGCCACGTAAAAGCCAATGTTTCTTCTTGGTGTGATTAACATACAGTACCCACTCCTCGTCCCCAGTAACCAAATTGTCAAGCCATGCAAAGGTCCTTGGGAACATCAACAAATAAGGGCAACTTCCACTTAGCGTTTCAGCTGGTCGCTATTGAAATCATGTGGAACCTCTTGGCCATATTTCCATGATCTTCCAAGGGTCTGAAGTCTAGTTAATATGGAAAAAGGATCACACTGAAGCTCTACAGTCAAAGGAGTACAGGTTCGTCTCGGGTCTTTTTCGATCAGCTTCAGAAGATAGGGTTTCTCAAGCAGTGACGGTCTACCTGATCGCGGTTTTCGGACATGTCAAAGCCGCCGTTTTTGAATTTGTGGAAACAAATTTTTGTGGTGTTGTGAGAGACAACTGAAGGCCCTACAGCACTGCATATTTTTTTCGTTGTTTTTGTTGCGTTGCCGTTCTCACGGAAGTTGCGAAGCAACGTTGCCCTAACATGACCATGTTTTACCTTTATTTCTTGAACCACCGTAAACAACAGAAAGCTTGAACATGCAATATTTTTTAGTGCTTGGACATCTCTTTATATAGGTTGACAACAGAAAGTTCTAGAACAATCCAGAATTTAAAAAAAAATTTTGAAAAATTGGCGGGATAATTTCGCAATCACCTAATATTTAAAATTCCCAATTGTATAAATTTAAAGAGTTATTTACTTATCGAAATGTCACTTTCATATGCATAACACAAATTAGGCAGATTATCCGTTTCGATATATCGGAATTAATCTTGGCGGAAGTCATACGACCTATGCCTTCCTCCATACTGTTTGTGTCATCTGTTGACAAACTATCGGGTTCGAAAGGAATTTTAAATACTTAAAATTAAATTAAATTTAAATTTTTTGCAATAATAAATTTTATAATTTTTTTTTCAAAAAATGCAAGTGAAGCTTTAAAATTGGGTACGGTAAAACTACTGTAACTTTAAGGATTTCTGTATTTTTTAAATTATTTTAACTGTATTACATGTTAAAATAAATAAACTATCCTCACACAAAAATTCAAAACTTGAACTGTATTACGAAAAAAGTTATGACAAAACAAATTCCTACAACACTTTATCCAAACCCATCATTAATATGCCATTTTTAAAGCATTAAAACCCAAAAACATCACTTTCACAGTAACAAATGTACTCAACTTAATCCCTAATCTACAAAAATGTAATTACAGTCTTAATAACCATCCAAATTAACTAGTACTGGTTACTAATACCCTAAATTGTTATAATTACTGACATCCCTCCTCCCCCACTTCACGCACTTTGTTTGTGTGGGAGAGACTAATTTGGCGAATGTTTAACTGTTTTTGTCTGTGACATTTGCGGAGAGACTTTTTAGTGATGTTTGAGAGTACGTAGCTTGGTACGTTTCAGCTTTTTTGCAAAAAAAATTTATTTCGAAATTTTTAAATTTAAATTTTTTTTGAAATTTTACAGTTTTTATTTGTTCTAAGACAAATAAATGGGTTTAGGTGTAGAGAGTAAGAGATAAAATGACAAAAACCCAAAAAAATACTAAACTTTAGAGGACCCTATCAGAAAAAATTTAAAAAAGCTAATTTAGTGCCATCAAAGATCATTATAAGTTCAAAAACATAATATTACACAAAGTAAGGTAGTAAAGTCAATTTCATTTTCCTCAGATGTACTCAAAACAAAGTTCGAAACGACAAATTTTCGAATTCCAAGTACAAACTGATAAGGGTCAACTTCCGGTTCTGCGATAAGAACAAAACAAACGCTCGCAACTACTAATTTTGAAATTCGAAACACAAAACTTGAAAGTCATCAAAAATGTACTGAACTTTGCTTTTTCTATATTATTTTACTATAGTCATAATGAAAATAGTCTTGTATTACTATTAAAAAGGAGCTTTATAAGGCAAAAAATGGCAAAAAAGGCTTAATTTAGGTAACAAAACAACATTTTTTAAACAAAAAAGACGTTTAAATTAATTTTCAATTTAAAAAAAGTTTCAAAAAGTTAATTTTAAAGTTAAAAAGTGTAAAAGTGCATACCTGGAAAGTATTTGGCCAAGTTGTGTGAGTGAGAATCATCAACAGGTATACGTAAGTAATGGAAGTCACCGTCAGTCTCGTAATAGTTGGGCAGATCTGAGGTTACATTGATAACATAGTCAATTCCAAACCTTAAAATTCGAATTTTTAGTTGAAAAAATTTTTTTTAAATTTATATTTTTTTTTGAAATTTCAAAAAAATTTAAAATTCAATTTTTTTAAAAAACTTTTTTTTAAATTTATTGTATTGTTTTTTAAATAATTCTGTGCCCCATCACCTCAAAAAGTTGCTTTGTAAAGGAGCACAAAATTATTTGAACCATCTAATGAAAAAGCGTATTTTACCCACCTCTTCAACAACTCTCGGTTCTTAGCAGTGTCATCGTTGCCCAAGTACACGCAGTGAAAGATTTTGGCAGGGAACCCGCGGTCAGCTGACGGCTTGATCACATTCTCAGAGAATTTGTCAGTCAGAAGACATAGATTCAGGCCAGCCTTCTTCCTGGTCCCAGCGTAACTTGTACTTTCGATTAATGTGGGGAAATGTCTGGCAAACTCTTCCGGTTCGTCTGAAACAATATTAATTATTCTGGGTATTGGCCATGGTTTTTGATGGGTTTGGGTATTAAAAACGGAATGAAAAGGTTGGTGTTTTAGGTATGAAAGTGAGGTTTTGTGGCTAGAATAATGATCTTTTAATGGCTTTAAGGTCGGATTGTTCAAATAATTATGTGCCCCTTTTAACGCAATGTTTTAAAGCTAAAGGCTTAGAATTATTTGAACAACCTAGTAGCACCAAGAGAGAGTACCAAATCTTAACCCAACAGCACCAAAGTATCAACCCCTACCTTCAAAGCAGAAAACATCAAACTTCTTCTTGACCAGCATTTTGTACACTTTGCTAGCCATAACATCATTGTCACATTTATCCGGAATCAAAATCACTCTAACTTGGTCAGTTTGTTCGGCCAACTGTGGGGCCAAACTGCCAGGAGCAAGAGTACCATTTTGAAGTCGTCGCATTAGCACTGTTGGCAGGAGGATCTTTTGGGCTCCGGCGAAGGACTGAAACATACGGATTTAAATTTAAAAAAAATTTAATTTTAAAATAAAAAAAAATTTCAAAAAAATTTAAAATTTAAAAAATTCAAAAAATAATGAAAAAGATAAATCCTGATGTAAAACCCCTCCAAAACTGACCGTGTTGTTTTCAGAAGACGGTCTACAGTCAAGGAGTACCACTTGTTGTCGATCGTTGTGGAGCCATTGAGCAAGTTCGGCCGATGAGCAGGTCTTGATTTGTTTGTCCACGAATGAAGAACTGGCCTGATTTTCATCAATACGGCAGTCGGATTGTAATTCCAGCATCATCAGGTTTTCTACAATTATATACATATAGTTTAAAATGGCAAATTACAAAAGTTATTCAAATCGTAAAATACGCGATTAAAAGTTCAGTATGATATATACGTGTAAAGTGCAGTAATATATATGTACATACAGTAAAAATTTTTTATTATTATATAACCCTCAATAGTGTAGCACCTTCATTATTATGACGGCTTCTTAACTGCCCTTTGCAGTGTAACGTACACCCCATATAACAACCTACTCCCCCTTAATACGACATATATAATACTAGACAGTTTCGTCTAAACAAGATTATGTAAAGCAAGTTACAAATACATAAATTACAAAATAAATCCACGTTCATAACGAACTTGTGACGCACATTCAACAACAACAGTTACACGACACATGTACATGGCATAAAACCGTGATATAATTATACTTTCTCCTGGTCGGTAATTAAAAATAAAGTATTTTTGTAACTTTAATTATGGGATGTTTAAAAAAGTGGTTTTACTGTAAAGCGGTAATAAATTTAGACATGGATGAGGATGTTTTGTTATAGTAGTATGTTAGAGTACAATAGAGTAAAAAATAGTTATTAAATAGTGGAGAAAGTAAAAAATAGAAATTTGATAAAAGTGAAAAAGTAAAATTTTTTAAAATTTACTTTTTTTACTTTCTGTACCCTAACCACCGCTTAGCCCCTCTACTGAGCCGTATAACATAACCATGTCAAATCTGCCCTAAATAGACCATTCAACCACTTTTTACACCAATCTACAAATCCCCATTACATTAATACACACATTTCCAATTTAACTCCCACAGTAACAATTTTACTACAAATTCGGTTTTTACAGCGCTGTAAAATAAGTCAGAGACCCGGCCACCGGAAGTCGTAATAGTCCAAGATTGTCGTGTAAAAGTGTCTGTTTCACAACGCTTTTTGCACACGACAGCAAAACAAAGAGAGGAAAGATACGAAAACAATATGTCTTATTATCATCTGACACCAACTTGTAAACAGTCAGATCACAGCCGTCTTCACCGTGAGTTATGATGGCGATACCGTGTTTCGCTATCAATGTGTCAGTTGTAACAATTTCAGGCAGGCGGTTTTTACAATTGAGTTTGGGAAGTTTTGGGGATGTTAAGGTAGGTATTCGTATAAAAATGAAGTTATACTTCCATCATAATCAATTTTTTTTAAAAATTTTTTTTTGAAAAATATTGAACATGGTCCCCCCCTGTTAATTTTATTTTCGTAAAATATCAAAAAAAATTTTTTTAAAACTTTTTTAAAAAATCTGTCCGAAATCTAAAATCACTCTCCGAGCCTTAACCACCCAAAAAAATATTTAAAAACTAAAACAAAAAGTTCAAAAACTAAACAATCCTGATTTAAAAAACCACAAAAACAAGCCAAACCAAGCCAATCCCGTTTTCTACAGCCAAACTTTAGAAATCAGGGTTTACATTGTCTTGTGTTTGTTATTGTACCGCATAAACAAGAGTTGTATTGTTTGTGTAAGAGCATATCGAAATAGCCAAAGTGTATACAAACAGGAATAAGTGGGTCATAGACATTTGGATCTTTGAAAAACGTCATGTTCTAACGTGAATCCTGATTTTTACGTCAGGACGTTGAGATTGAAAGGTGATAATATGCGTCAGGGCTTGGAGAAGTTAAAATTAAAATTTAAGCTTAAAGGCAAGTTAATATTTTAAACTGTTCTTGAAATTCAAGGTCGTTTTGGACAGAAAAAATAAAATTCTTAACCAAAAACAAATGGCACAGCGTTTTCAGTACGCTTTAGTACAAAACCTTCTACATCACTTAAACCCCCAACTACATAAAAATAAAAAAAACTTCATTTCAAATAAAAGCTAGCTTTAGAGTTTGTGTTTGTACTTTGAAAAACATTGAAAAAGTTTGAAAATCTGTTAGTAACACAACCTCTTAAAGCTGTGCAGTCTCGTAACGCTAAACTTTTGTAACAAAACACCCTTAAAGTGTTCTAAAAAACGCATTACATTAAATTAGACAGCAATCCTGCTGTGCCAATAAAAGCGCGTTTCAATGGCATTGAAAGTAGAGTTTGAGTAGGTCATATTTGAACTGACAAGATATAAAAAAATGACTGGGTTTGGGACTAAATTTTTTAAAAATAGGCTTAAAGTAAGCTTATTTTTTAATTTTTTGGTCAAAAACTTTATAAAGTTTTTTTATTTACATCTTTTCTTTTGTATAGTAAGTTGTCTAGTTAATTTTGAGCTCCTAACCCCAAACATTTTCTTCGGGTGAGGGCACATAATTATCTGAACAACCTAATAAACTTGTAGCTAAGCTTATGTCTTCAAAATAGACGTAAAAAATAAGTAAAAGCTTAGTTTTATAGGCTTTTTAAGCCCCTAAGTTCCTTTTCTCTTGCCTTACTTTCTACCCCAATAAACTATGATATCATGCACCCAAACTCTACCAACTTACCCAAAAAATACCGCGCCAACCATCCCAATAACCGCCCCAATAAACCCACCAAAAACTGTTCAAAAACCACAAAAAGTTTTGCGAAACGACGTCGGCATCAACACGTATAGTTTATTGGATGCATTAAGATGGGGGGGGGGTGGGTAGAAGAGAAAAACGGAAAAACGAACGGTCGAAAAACCAGAAGGAAGGGGGAGAAGATCTCTGTGAACAATATCAATATAGTTTTTGGGGTGGAAAAAGCGAGCAAACCACTGCGGCGTTTTTCGAAAAGCGAAGGCAGGAGTTTTCAAAGAGGGGGGGGGGAGTAAGGGGGAAAGAATGTTGTTCTTCTGGCAGGAAGGAGGGGGGGAAATGATGCTGCTTTCAGAGAGAGTAGGGGGGCAGCAATGCTGTTCTTCTGGAAGGGGGAGCAAGACAAATTCTCCGCTGTTCTTTAAGGGGAAAACGAGGAAATTCTTTAGCTTTAAGGGACCGGAAGTAGAAAAAACGCAAACTAAGGGCCGGCCGAAGGAGGAGATGGGGAAAGCAGTAAATAGAAATAGGAGCCTAGTAACTCGGGGACGATTACTCAATATGAAAGAAGGTTGTTTGGAAATAGGGTTGGATGAGCTATAGGTAGGCTTAAGGAAAAGAAGTGTAGTTTAGGTAACAAAAAACTTTTAAAAATATTAAAAAGCCATTTTAAAGCCAAAAAGTTTTAAAATTTCTTTAATTCGAATGTGCCAATGCGTACTTTACAAAAACCACCCTCAAACCAACAACTTCACCCAACATACCCCAACTTACTCTTACACTTCCTAAAAAGGCCAGTAAAAGTAGTACAAACTGGCAAATCTATTAACAAGTTTGGCGGAAAAACAAAAGAAAATAGAGTTAGGGGCGGCTATGCAAATTACGTTATGATGATTGAGTTCTGGCGGAGCTAATTTGGAATTAAAAAACAATACAAAACAATACTATAACAACATGTGGGTGTAGTCGAATTATCATGACAATCAAAAACGACAGATTGGACTACAATTTAAGGTTTAGAAAGAGCGTGAGTTTTGAAATTTAAAATTCGGATATTGTGGGCAGTTTTGTACCGCTTAAGACTACTATTAGTACAGTAGGATAAGATTGGGCCTACAATTAACATGGTCGCTTAAACTTGTAGTTACTGTTAATAGGGTAGCTTAATCAAAGGCTTAACGTAAGTGGGATAGCTGTGAATTTTAGTTACTTCTTTTGCCTTTATATAAGTTATACCATACCAGACTTTTAAAGTTTATGGTAAGCTTTTAAAGTGATTATAACAGCCTAAATATAAAAAACCTAAGTTTAAAATTAAGCCTGACTCGTATTCTAAATCCAACAATATGACCAGCTCTTTAATGCTAACTAAAACTCGAAACAAAATAAAAACAAACAATTTACTCAACACCCATGGCATAATCATGATAATGAACAGCCCTCGCGCCCCCTCCTAGCCTTAATTCGAGCATTTAATTAAAAAAACGTACTCTACTATAACATAAGCGCACAGCGGCAAAAAACACACAGTGGACCGAAACGGAGGGCTTGACACAAAAGACCTCTCCCACGCCTTTATGTAACGTCCGGCTGTGTACCGACCTATGCCTGGGGGTCGAAGAGCCGTCGCGGGCCCCAACACCTGTTCAATTCAATTTATTGCTCGCGATGTTTTCCACACACAGGCCACCTGACTTTTGGGGATGGTGCTCAACTGTCGCACAGACTGTGACGTTTGATGCAATTCCTGGTTGTGGTACAAATAAAGGGTAAACTACTGTAAGGTGATAAGGAAAACGGAGTGATATATGGTAAAGGAAGTAGGAAGTAAAGTGAGAGGAAAGTACGTTGGGCAATATGTCATACGCTTGATTGTTGCGGAGAGATCCGGAGAGCATGCTCTTTTAAATAGATCATTCTATACCATATAGTGCATTTAAAACCTCAGTATAACAAAACCACTTTATAAAAAACAAAAGTAAAAGCCTCAGGCGATTTGTTATACAAAAGTTTTACTATATTAGTAAATATATTATAATAGTAAAGCAAAAACAAAAATTTTTGAAAAAATTTAAATTTCAAAAAAAATTTTTAAAAATTTCAAAACTTAGTTTCAAAAAAGTCTGAAACTGAAAAAAAAAAACTTTAAAAATCAGCAAAAATCTGTTGACTGTTATTGACCTTTTTCTCAAACATTAATTCTTTGCCCATCCCAACCCGCAAGCTAAGTTCAAAAAACATTTCAAGCAACAGAATAATGAACCGAGTACAACTTATTTTACTATGAATTCGGAAATACAGCCTTTATTTGTACAGGAAAACCTAAGAGAGAACTCTCAACATCTCTTTTCTATATCTTGAAAGGGGTTTTGGTTTGTCTACAAAAGAGTATTTTCAATGCCTTCAGTTTACAAAAGCTACAGATATTAGATTGTTTAATTAATTCTGCGCCTCTTCTCAAAGCTAGTTTGTGGGGTACGGTGGCGCAGAATTATGTGAACACGCTAATATAACA